TCTAAAATCTGAAGAGCCGATGCCACTGCGAGTGAATAAGCGGAACTAAAGCAACTCGACGGCGAAAGGGTCTTGGACAAGGTCAAACATATTAATGTGCGCATCAAGGTTGTCGGAAATTTCACCAAGCGTAAAATTATTAAGCTGGAATATCGAGAGACCGGAAGTATGCCAGCGGACATACTAACCAAGGCATTGACTGCACCAAGATTGAATGCATTGCGCCAAGTAATCGGTTTAAATCAAATCGATTAAATGTCGACGATGACAGAGCAAGGTTTAAGTGTTATGTCAAGGACATTGTCGACACGGAGGAGTGTTGGAAGGCAAGCTTCAAGATGATGTGCCATTAATCTCGTCGAGAAGCGAAGTAGCAATATTTAGCAATGTGTGGATCGTTCAAAGTTAAATGTGGTCCACACCTTGTAGATCGAACGCGTTACGCCGTTCAGCGATCGGCCGACCGTGATCCGTCATCCGCTATCCGTCAACCGCGATCCGTCAACTGCAATCCGACGACCGCAATCCGTCAACCACGATCCGTCAACCGCGATCCGTCAATCGGGATCCGTCAATCGCGATCCGCCGACCGCGATCCGTCAACCGTGATCCGTCAATTGCGATCCGCCGACCGCGATCCAAGATATATTTTCCACACCTTGAGATCTGGTTTTTTTGAAAGGGAAACACATGGCAGTAGATACTAGGCTACAGATAGGCAGAATCGTATGTTTTGGTATGTGATTGGTTAACATTAAACAGAGTTCGAAATTACATCTAAGAAACACAGGCTAATCTTCCGGGTGGGATAAATTTGGCCCCTTTGGCGACTCAAGAGCATCTGCTACGCTACGACGCAAGTGATGTCCCTGGATTTTTTTGCCGAGGATTACAAGAATTCTCAAAACAAACAACTCCCCTGCGATTGGACGCAGTATAACAAGAAAAACGGACATGGTACATGATCGCGAGACGGCTCAAGTGGTCAAAAGATCAAGTATATCAGGTGGATCAAGTATCTACATTTTTGGACAAGGCGAGATCAAAGTGACTCGGATAGAGCACCTACAAGAGCTCCTCGACCGCGTAATGATTTCCGCACGGTCGACCCCCTAACCAATTCCAAACACGGTAGAGTTTAGGATCGATTCAAGTCCACCGAGAAGAGTGCTACACGCCCTACCGACGGGTACACAAGGTGAGGAAGTAACGTTGCACGGAAATGGAGTACCCCCTCCGATAGTCGGCTGTCTGAGCGCCTGTGAAGAGTCGGAATCACATCAGGATTTTTGTGAACCCCCCTCCACAACAATCTGGTACAGACTGAGTGTTGATAATCATGTTACGCCGAACACCTGTGTGGGGTTTCATTATATAATTTATTCTATTATATAGACTTCAAGCTAGATAGAGGAATAACAAAATAAATATCACTCGCTCTTTTGCATTAAAAATTGGGTGTGCTATTGTTGTCCTTTTTTCAACTTCTAACATGACAACCATGGCGCTGCCTGAGCGTAGTTTTGAAATGGAGAGACTTGTGCACGAGAGAGAAATTTAGAGAGTAAGTAAAGTTTATATTTCTGAACATAGCAACTCGCATTTTGAACCTACTTCGTGTTGGTTTTACACAACTGTTGCCTAAAGTCATCCGGCAGTGTAACTGCTCACGCGACTGCTCCCAGGAGTCGGCCAGCTCAGCGACTGTTCCCCAAGATTTACAACACTCCTTCCTGACTCATGGGAGAGTCAGGCAACAGAAGTTTGTACTTACTTGAGTCCCATCTCCAGCCGCAATTTAAAACCCGTGGCGCTGGCAGTGCCTTGGTCTGAAGATCGGCTAGCATGTCGTGTGACTTTACGAAGCTTGTCTTGACGACTTCTTTCGTAGCATATTCCCGCAGAAACTTGAGCTTCACGTCCACATGTTTTGCACTTGCCGAGCTGGCCTCATTTTCAATTTGTTCAATAGCGGCTTGATTTTCCATAGCTAGCACAATTGGCGTCTTCACTTGCAATTCTAGCTCAGAGAATAGTTTCTTTAGTCCAAGCACCTCTTGACCTCCTGCAGCTGCAGCGACGAACTTTGCTTCCGCAGTCGAGACTGCAACCGCCGGCTTTTTTTTGCAGTGTCATCCGAAGGTCGCACCATTAACCATGATTACTGCCGCGCTCACAGACTTACGGTCTTTACGATCTCCAGCAAAGTCTGCCTCCGTGAAGCAGGTGATGCGGACTGGGATCAAATTTCCTTCATCCACACGTAGGTCCAATTTTAAAGGATTGAGAGCCAATTAGGTACCAAGCAACCCGTTTGGCCAATCTCCAGTCTTGTATCATCGGTGCATGGCATTGTAGTGTGACCCTATGCACCGCAAAGCCGATATCAGGTCGCGTGCACCGGGCTACCCAGAGTAGACTCCCGATCAATGACTGAAATTCTCTTATGCTTGGTAGTCCAGCTTTGCCACTCGATATCAATGGTAGAGCCACTGCTCCTTCCAGACTTGGCTCTTCATCTCCAATCGGCGATCGTACCGCGTTTGCGAATCTAGTCCGAAACGTGTGAGCATCTCAGCAATTGTGCTCTCCTGGTTCAATGCATAGCCTGGTCCGTCCGGCTCCACTTGCATGCCAATGAACTTGGCCGCCTCCCCCAGGTCCTTCAGCTCTAGCACCTGCATGTAATTAAAGAACGCATCCACGCGACCTGTACTTGTCGCGGTCACCAGTAAATCGTCGACGTATGTTCCAATCACTGTCGTTCCACTTAAATCCACTTTGTAAAATATACAAGTATCCGTGATACATTGCACGAAATTTAGCTCGAGGAGTGTCTTTCTGAGCAGTTGGTGCCAAATACGCCCGGATTGTTTTCGCCCATATAAGCTTTGCTTAAGACGCAACGCAAGGTCCTTCACGCTTGACACGCCCAGCTTTTGCAACAAACTTGACGGTACTCTCATGCCGTCGGGGACATATAGTAGAATGTCGTACTCTTCTTCGGTCATCGCTTGGACGTAGGCCGCTGGCACGTCTACGTGCCTAGCGCTTACACCCCAAATCATCGAAATAATTAAAATTACTGTGACGCTCTCTTTTTCCATCACTGCAGCAAAAGTGAGGACAAAGTCAACCACAAGTAGTTGCTTATTTCCACACGCAACAAGACGCGCTTTGAACTTTTCAACTTGGCCGTTACCACGTCGTTTCTTCTTGTAAGCCCACTTCGTGTGGAGCCGCTTGGCATCAGGCTCACACTTGATCAGCGTCTACTTCTCATTTGCTTTAAACGACCGCAGTTCTTCAACTTCTGCCTGCTCCCAAAGGTCACTGTGGGGGTCACGCCGGGCCTCTTTGTAAGATTTAGGGTTTGGCCCGTATTCAACTTCTGGTGCGGTTGGTGTATTCGCGGATTTTTCGACCACTGCTAGCACATCAGACGAGGCTCTGATTCAGGCGACAGCACTTCCTTTTCAACTTCATCTGCCTCGATTTGTCGACGCGACTTCTTCTTTTTGCGCATAGATCGTCTAAGCTTGGAATCCTCTGCAGTTTTGTTGGCATTTCGCGCGCCTTGCAAGCTGTCCAACCCCCTTTGGGAACTGCGCTGCTGTCATGAGCATCATCATTGCCTGCTACAACAGTAGTATACCCGTTCTTTTTTCTCTGCAGTTCGTCGTCGCCTAACGTTTCGAGCGCCTGTCGAATTTGCTCGTTACAGCAGTTCCTAACGTCTCGATTGCGCTGATGTGGCGCGTCGTCGTCACCTTTCGATCTTTTGATAGTAAAACCTTGTAACCTTTAGTTTCGTCATTTTTTCAATGATATATCCTCTCACCGCGTGTCGCTCAAAATTCTTCTTCTTCGTATTACGAAAAGCCATGCATGGCGACCCGAACACTACGATGTCGGTCAGGTCTGGAACTTGTCAAGTCAAAAGCTCGAGGGGTGACGCCCTGTTCGCGATCGCACGCGTTGGGATGCGTTTCAGAATGTACGTAGCTTAGTCAGCTGCATCGCTCCAAAATGTGAGAGCAATTTTTGAGCCGAAGATCATGCATCGAACCATGTTCATTATAGTTCGGTGCATACGCTCAGCTTTTCCGTTGCTAGCTTGATTTGCAGTTCACCCACTTGGCGAGCTACTCCTTGTCGATTACAAAGAAAGTTCACGTTAGCGTATTCACCTCCTCCATAAGTGCGGATGACATGCACGCGACAGTCGAAACGTTTCTTGAAAAATACGAGAAAGTGATTAAACTTTTTGGCAGCTTAATCTTTTGTTTTTCCTGCAAACACACGCACGTAATCTTTCTTGTGATCCACGAAGTTGACCATATAGCGATTTCCGTGTCGATCGACCGGCGTGATGGGCCCTTTCAAGTCACTGCAAATTACACCGCCTACGCGGTCGATTGGCGAGTTCTTTCCTAAATTTCGCTGACTTGGTGGCTTTTCCTTCGTCGCAGATTTGACAATGCACGCTCGTAAGCTTAATTTCCGACTCGGGCTCGCGAACCATACGCTTGAAGGTATTGAAAGACAAGTGGCCAAATCGACTGGAAAATCCATCAGGGTGCCTTCTTGATAATCCGAAGCAAGTGGCTGTCCGACGACTGCATTCGTCACTATGTCTAAAAATGTCGTTTTCTGTAACCGAGGGGAGCAAAGTTTTGCCACCAGCACGTTTGCTTCTAATTTTAGGTGAAATACCGTTTGAGACGGTGAGCCCTTTGCAATAAACATGCTTTCATGACGCGATTCAATGCGGCATCCTTACTTAGCCAATATCCCAAACAGTTTGAATTACGCGATAGCAGCGGCGCTTAATACACGTTGCTCAGCTTAAGCTCGAACTCCTTCCTTACGGAAATACCGATAAGCGTCACACTGCTCTTCTTTGTAACTTGGAGCCGTTCGTTGCTAGGAAGGAGTAGCCATTGGTCTCGTTACAGTCCACGGCGTGTTCCAGCATCGAGACGTCGCGAACCAAGTGTCTACTTGCACCGCTGTCCAAAATTCAGTGATCCAACTCCATAGCGTCCCCATGCGCTGCAAGAGCCCAGCGAGTCTTCTCACTAGCACTGACGCTGTCTTTCGTTTTCTTGGTTTTGCACTCTCTGGCTATGTGGCCGGGTTTTCCGCACGTAAAACATTTTCTTGACTCACCCACTGCATTTACGACGCCCTTTACGTGATTCCTTATCGGGCGATCATCATCCTCAATCTCTTGCGCCCATGCCAAGATTTCTTGTGCATGGTGAAGATAGTCAGTGCGACCTGGATCATATCGTCCCATGATCGCAACCTTCATGTGTGGCGCAGCGTAGTTCACAACGCTTTCAAGTACCATTTTGTCGCTGGTCTCACTCGAATGCATGAGAGCCGTGAGGTATAACAGGTGCTCGGTCCATGTACGCGAGCTGCTCTTTTTTGACCCGTACATATGCACAGCTTGGTGATGGGAAATGTTCACCTTAAAAGCGAGCCACAGCTGCTCGAGCAGATATGCGATACTTTGGTTACGCATCCACCATCCTTCAATGTGTGCTTGATAATACTTCAAGGACGTTCCCTCCAGATGCTTCTGGAGCTTGTTCGCCTTAACTCGTTCAGTCCATTTGTACCCGCACCCGAGCTCAGGCATCTTAATGGCCTCAATGAATAGTAGCGCCCTCTGGCAAAATTCACTTCCCAGTCCTTTGTATTGCTCCACTCCGCTGAACTTTCCGATCATCAACGTTAAGTCTCTAGCGTTGGGCACGCGATGTCCATTAAGACCCGGCAAGCATCCAGGGTCTGCGTACGGAGTTGGGGGCGGTGCTTGTTGATGATGCGCCTGAGCTTGATACTCTGCTTGCGCTTGGTCTGCCGCTTGTGCTTCCAACGCAGCTTGTGCCCCCACCGCACCTTAACTAACCCGCGCCTGTGCTTCGGCGCGCCTGTAAAATCTCCCAGCCCCAAACGGTCCCATACCAGGGAGTTCGTCGATCTGCATCGGCGTACGCCCTAGCGCACTGCCGCCATCTATTGCGCGACGAAAATCGCTTCCAGCGAATGCCGCTTGCACCCATCCGTTCGTCGCCCAGGTTGTGCATGTTGCATGAGTGGCGAGACAGGCGAAACGTTTGACACGCTTACACTAGCTCTTTCAATAGTGTCTATGCGTGTCTCCAACCGCGTGAGTGCTGCGAGCACGCGCTCCATGTTGGACAGTGACGTCTCCTGGTCAGGGTCGCTCCTTTCGCGAGCGACCGCTCGGGTCGGGGGTGTTCGTACCTCGCCGACAGAATGCTCAGACCCGTCGCTTGGGTTCATAACCTATTGAAATGGAGAGACTTGTGCACGAGAGAGAAATTTAGAGAGTAAGTAAAATATATATATCTGAACATAGCAACTCGCATTTTGAACCTACTTCGTGTTGGTCTTACACAACTGTTGCCTAGAGTCATCCGGGAGTGTAACTGCTCACGCGACTGCTCCCAGGAGTCGGCCAGCTCAGCGACTGTTCACCAAGATTTTTTAACACGTAGCCTATCAGTCACGAGGAGGAGTGTTAGTAATTGCATATCTAGTCGTATAGCTGTTTCTGGCGACGCAAAAGGACGCGTCATTTTGGTAGTGCTAGGTGTCGAATAGGAGGCAGCGAAGAGGTGTTTGAGGAGTCGAGGGCGACGCTAGAGAGCGATTGGCGCAGAGAGATTGCAGCTAGCGAGCACAGAAAGAGCGACAGAAGCGAGGGATGAACACAGAATTTATTTCACCTATTACACATCACGTCCATCCTTTCTTACAATTCCAATACCATATTTGACCCAACAGCATTTTCCTTTGAAGCGAGACAGTAACGTTTCATGGTAGATGCATAACGCCTTTCTATTTTAATTTTTTATACTCTATTTTGCCTATATATATGGTGAATTTGATCTCATACCCTAATATATGCAAAATTATACTTTCCTTCAAGCCACTCTTTAGTGGAGCCGATGCAACAAGTAATATACATCATATATATTACAATGTATTATTGCCTAGCAGCTAGCTATCAAATTTTATATGCTCACCAAGTATATAAAATGTTTTAGTCAACTTGCAAACCACATCTCAGCCCAGGGAAGATTAGCTGAGATGTCTCTAGTAAATATATAATTGGTAGAGAATTTTTGTAGACTAGTTTTCATAGATTATAAAGTATGATAATTTATATAATACAAATATGTTTTTTTATCACATCAGAGGTTTCAAAATTTCTTCACAAAAGAGGAGAGAAAATTAAAAAGTTAATATAATGCAAGTGCAAACTGGTTTTAAATGGTAGAAGATCATTTGCTGTCAATAACGCTTATAAATCAATATGTAAGAGTTAAATCCGTATCATTATACTATGTAATAGTCAATTGCACAATCGGTTTTATCCTCTCACGAATGCAACACATTTCCTCGAGGATATCGCGTCAATGAATATAGTAATGGAATTGATAAGCTGGTCCAGTTCGGCGACTTTTTCCACTTATAGTTCACCACCATCGGGTGGCAACGAATTCTTATATCAATTACTTCCTCCTCGTCAGCATCTTTCACCCGTCATTGGCGTGCTGATCTCCCTTCTTCTCCGCTTTCGTGATCTTCATCCTTGTATTCGTGCTCTATCTCTTGAATTTCATATCATCAAGTGTACAAGTCGCTCGACAGGACCACGCAATCAAGCGCAGCAGTGCGTATTCGAGCTTACTTACAACACTTCGAAATCACAAGCGCATGATACTTCCATGAAGGCAAAAGTAAAGTAGATTCTGTACACGCCGCCAAAATAATGTACTCTGTAAATGCAGTCGAACTATTCTATTTGACTGCAATGTTGAGAAGTAGCAATGCGCACGTCCTCGTGAATGTTCAGATACCGAGCCCACATTACAAACCTCTCGTTCTAGGTTAGGATGGCAATGGAATTGCCGACTGCTGCATCGGATGGACAAGTCTTTCGGAAATGCGTCATCTCGGCGCAATTCTGCTTAATAAAGATAATCGAGTCACTGGCGTATATACGATTCATGAAAAATGGATCATCACCATCATCCTCGTTATAGTTTGAAAGTCAGCTATACACGCTCAGCAGCTTCAACACTTTCTATTGCATGGTATCAGCTGAATGAATGGGTATACACTGCGTAATTGCTATCAATTAAAGGCTTACCAAGTACCTATTTTCTTACTTATTGCCAACATGACTAAGAAATAAATATTCTCAATGTCACATTTCTCAAATCTGACAAGTGAAAACCTAGTTTATCTACTGCACATGCAGGCCAATGCGACGTCACTTGCAGCCGATAACGCAAAACGAAATTGTTTGAAACGCGCTCGATACATGACCAAAATGTGGACAAGTGGACAATTACGACATTGGAGCCTCATGTCGTTAGCGATAGTCGCAACGTTGCTGTGTGATCTAAAGACGGCAGCCACAACGGAGACAGCAATAGAGAAACCTTTGAAAAGAACCGAAGAGCGAAGAAGCGTAAGCTTGCGGGGTCTCATGCCGATTCCAAACTGCTCCGACACTGACGACTATTTTGAGTATCAAGGTATGCAGTATCTTACTGACACATTAATTGATGGAGACAATCATTGAACTATAACATGGTGCTGGACAGACAAGAATTATCATGAAGATTTTGACGTCAATGGGAAGAGCTTAGATAGAAATGCTTCACATATTGCGATCATTGTAGTCAGTGTTGCCGTTGGATTGATCCTGATGACTGTCTGCTTGACGTGGAAAGCCTGTGTGGAATGCTGTACGAGCGCCAACAGGCGATCACGTCATCGAGCTTTTATGGAGCGATCGTACGTTTCGTTAACCTACTTACTGGAGCGTTGCATGTGTTTTTATGGACTTTTTGGTGCTATAAAATGTTGTAGAAATGCTGGCTGGAGATGCGAGATATGTGATCATACAAACGAATCTTCCCATACCGAGTGTATGCTGTGCGGGACAACAGCTGAAGGTTGTTGTGATAAACAAGTAGCAATGTTGAATCGTAGTTTGAGCTCAATTACAATCTTTGCCTCATGTTGCAGAAATCAAGATGCTCTCCAACCAAAGAGAAAACGAAGACACATCGGTAGCAATTGCCTCGCCAGCGGAGGAGACCAACACTCAATCGGATTCCAATTACCTAATCGTGTTTTCTCCTGGAGTAGAGTGGAATGATGGAGACTTTAAGGTATTTTTAAGTGGGGGCTTGAACATCCGCCAGTTAGTTGCACGTGAACGTCATCAATGGAAGCGCTCTATAGGGGTGCAACACGTACGCTGGGTAAGATGGCTTTATGTAGATGCTCGAGCATCCTTTCAGCCTTATGTATCTGACATGCTCACTTTGCGTCACAGGTAAATATCCCTTTTGAAGCGCTTCTGGAGAACGAAGCTTTACGTAGCACCATCATTAAGGAACGCGATTTTCAGGAATGGCAAAAACGGTACCTTCCGCAAGCGTCTAGGTCATCTCGGATATCTTTGTCATCTGCCCTTTTATCATATAGAGGTAGGCAGCAGCTTTCTTGCCTTGCCCCCGGAACGGCGTTCGTGCGTGAAGACTCGCACTCTGGAGGGCAAGCGGTGCGCTGGTGTTTGGCTGAGGATTTGTCCATGCCGTCACGTCAATACTCCAAAACTTTAGTGGTAAGTATAGCATTGGTAGTTATGCTGGGATTGTTCCATTAATCTCTCATCATTGTGACGCTTTGTACCATTTTAGCACGTTGCGGCCTTGACGTTCTCTAAAAAAGTGCAGTGGTTTTACCGGTACTCACTCAAGCTGTCCTCTTCGATTGCGAATGGCTTTCATACTATACGTAGGTACATAATGGATATGTCATATGCTGTTGTTAATTGCTGTTACTATTTGCAGGAATTCACCGCGACAGGGTATTGAAGCAATCAGTGACTCTATTGTTGTCGGTGCCTAGTGCAACCCTTCATCGCAGCTTCCGAGTTCATTTTATGGAAGAAGTTGGTGTTGATGGTGGAGGAATTTTGCGCGAATGGCTGCATCTAATTTGTAGCCAACTGTTTGCGGAACCTTTAGGGCTGTTTTCACTAACCAGCTCAACAGTACACCAAGGTTACTGGATTAATCGAACCGCTACAAAAAAGTCTAATGAGCAATTGCGGGTACGAATAGTGCAGTATATATTATGCTGCATCAGCTTATGTGTAACTCAAAAATTGTGCTTTGTCTCGTGACAGATGTACGTCTTCTTCGGAAAATTGCTAGCAAAAGCACTGCTGGAAGGTCTACTTTTGAGCGTCCGGCTTTCGATTCCTTTGTTAAAACACATTCTCGGCGCTCCACTTAAGCTATCCGACTTGTATCTGCTCGATGAAACAGTGCATTCCAGTATGATGTGGATTTTGGAGAACGACAACACCAGCACTTTGGGTTTGAACTTTACGGTAGAAGGTGTAGATCTCGTTCCGAGCGGTGCAAATGTCTCTCTTCACGATGGAAACAAACAGCTTTACGTTGTAAAGGTGGCACAATATTATTTATTCGACAGCGTTCGAGCGGAAATTTCTAGTATCATGGAAGGTGTTCAAAGTGTCATCAGCGATACGATGCTCCACATATTCGACTTTAAAGAGCTCGACTTGCTGCTCTCGGGGCTACCACAGATTGATGTCACCGACTGGAAGATGCACACAGACGTTCGATTCTGCGAGCACGATGACAGTGAGTTTGATTTGATCAGCTGGTTCTGGGAGATTTTAGAGTCTTTCACACAAAACCAGCGCGGACGATTGTTACAGTATGTTACCGGATCCAGCGGTGTCCCCGTTGAGGGTTTCAAGGTATGCTTCTTATGTGTACATATATGCAATGGTGGGTGAAATCGTTGCTCTAACGTAGTATATTTGATATAGGGCTTGACTGGTATGGATGGCGAAATCAAGCTTTTCACAATCCAGCTTGGTAAAGATATTTCCACCGTGTATACAGTACTACCCCATGCAAGCACCTGCTTGAACAGGCGAGTGTCTACATTCGTTAACGATACTTAAACGACACAATACTGAATTGTTCTTGCTGTTGTAGACTAGATTTGCCACTCTATTCTTCCAAAGCAGAGCTTGAGCGGATTTTGTTGATGGTACGTACTTGCTGTCCGAGGATTGGTTAACGGTCGAGCTAATAACCTGAAGTTTACTCATTGCTACTGTTGTTGTGTTGATAGATAATAGAAGTGGACGTCACAGGCTTTAGCAGTCACTGAATAAGAGTGCTGCCATATACGTGGGGATCTTCATGATACAGTAGAAAAGGCGTTTTCTTGGAGTTGGGAAGAGTTTGAGGAGACGAAATGATACAGCGTGCTATGTAGCATCATGATTATAAGCTGCTCAGCAAGAGAAAGTGCTCGAGCACAGCGACTGGAGGCATTCGGTAGACAACAAATGTGTTGCGACGAGAAAGTCTTTGCTCCGATATTAAGGATAAGTGGATCACCATCGTATTTATTCCTTCGTGTCAAGTTGCCAACAGCGTTACTCTCCATCATGATCTATTCAAAACAAGCGCGTAATTCTAGTCTAGTCTAATCTTATAAAACATACGAAGACGAGCACGTCTTTCGATCACCTCTTGGCAGCATACATGACTTGAAAAATGTAATGGTTTTAGATAATAAATTGACGTGGTGCACCCTACATTAGGTAGCAAACATCACTTAATCCTCGCTGTATAAAACGTCTGAGCGATGGCGGAGATAAAGACGGCGCCAGAAGCCAATGGTGCGGCGCCAGCTGCAGGCCGTAGCAGACGACATGCAACACCCGGTGCTAACGCTACACCTGAAGAACGTGCGCGCTACGAGGTGGAGCGCAAGAAAGTAGCCAAGTATAAGGAAGACAAGCTCAAGGCACGCCGAGACCATACGCGCATGATTTTGGAGAGTCACGCACAGGCCAAACGTCGTGCTTTATTAGGCAAACAGTCGGAGTTTTTAGCAACTCTTGAGTTCCGCAATATGCTGCCGGACATTCCATTCGATACGAAGTTTGTTAAGTATCCTCACGAGCCAGAACGGTGTAGATATTAGATGGAGTTATACAGGAGAACCATAGAGATGGACAAGTGATTGATAAAGATGGTGTTTTGTATACTGATAGACTTATCAAGTACAAGCCTAATACACTGGAGATGGACTATACGTACGAGATCCATGAAGAGCCTAATCTTGGACTGACTATCGACCTCATTGACCCGGCCAAGTACGAAGGTACGACGCTGAATGGGGTAGCTAGGGCTCAGTGCATTTTGCTGATAGTAGTGTGGTGCTATTGTGTGTTTGTTTTGTAGCCCCAGCGGAACCCGGGCCATTGGAAGTTGGCGACGAACAGGCGTTGATGACAAAGGAAGACCATGCTGGTCCGAAGGGACGGTCTAAAGTCCGGCCTACAGTCTCTTGGCTGCGACGTACGGAATACATGGGCAATGATCTGTACGACTCGGTGCACAAATTCAAAAGTGAGGCAGAAATTCAGAGTGCACTGCGTGAAGGCACGGAGAACGCATTGGCCGAAGTGGTGTCGGTCACATTGGAAGATCGTGCCGAAGTTTCCTTCCGTGACATCAAAGACCCGAAGCTCTTGGTGCATCCGCACAACAAGATGAAAAAAATCACCAAGGTGTGGGATGTCTTTCCAGATCAGCTCTTGTCTGCAAACAAGTACGCCATACTGGTACGCCTCATGAAAACGCATTTACTTTTTGTTCACATGAGTTTACAGCGCGCTGACAATTCTGATATTGTTGATCTGTAGTCGTACGATATGCTACCTTCTGAAGATGCTAAAAGCAAGGGAATTGCTAGTCGTGAGGAACACGCATTATTGTGTGGAGTGAACAAAAAAACTCAAGCTGGTAATGAGCTTATTCAGGGCTCTATCTTATTACCCAACGCATCTGCAGACGAGGAGGTACTGCTTTTTTGTATAATGGGTAACAGCTATCGGCGAGAACTGATGAATGTTTGTATCTTTTTCGCACAGGAGAGTACTGATCACGAAATTTTTTCATGTCTCCGAGAGTATCTTATGTCTGTGGAATCGCTTGATAGCGTACGTCGGTGCCACTGACTTTTATTTACGTTGGGATGCTAACTTTTGTATCCATTTTGTATTATTGGTTCTTCTACTGTGCAGAGAGAGTCGCAGCATGTTGTGTTCATGCTAAACCCCGAGTCCAGTCAGTTTACGTACACTGATGTGTTAAATCGCATTCAACTACGAAAGACGAAGGTATGTACACAATAGCTGATGCCGCTTGTCGAGCACTTTGTGCGTTTGATGTTTTAACGAGACCCTCTTTTGTATGTGCAGATGAGTGGAGAGGAAAAGCGCCGCCATGGAGCTGTTGTGTACCGCCGCGATTATTCTGACGGTGAAATTGATCGGCGCACCCAGATTCTTTTTGACTGCGGAGGAGTCTACGATGAACAGCTTGACGATGACGAAAGTGTGCGTGAATTTAAGCGCAGACGGGCGGGAGAAAAACACTCCCCGTCTCGGTCTGATGACGAAGAAATGAAGGCCAGTGCACCTAAAAGCTCACTTGAAAAGTCAGACAGCTTTGATGAAAAAGTCGATGGCAGCGATAGTCTAACTCCCCACAATGACGGCAGTGCTAGCCCTGTGATCAGCGACAGCGACAGCGATTAGTTTGATAAGATGATGCAAACTTCATCAGGAGTGATAATATCGCCAGCATGTTGTGCCAAAATGCACTTGTCAAGAAGGATCACCGACAAAAAAGTATTCATCTACTGTATCTCTCTACATACAGCTATTTGCTAAAGCGTCTCGCTGGGGTTTGCACACTGCGACAGCACCAATGATGCCCGAGTCATACCCTGCAATCGCCTTCTCAATGCGAACCTAGGAGTAGAGAATGACATCAATCGGACGATATTTCAAATAAAACATAATCGACAACAATTGCAATCAGTAGTGCGTACTGGGTTGGGAAAAGTCGTCCATGAGTGCTTTGCGTAAGCAAGACGAATCTGCTTGATGTAGGTTTCTCCAGCCTCGGCGATTCCTCCAGATAACACAATGATCTACAAATGATAGCAACCTTCTCAAATTAGTCTCCACGGCATTAACATGCAGGCCATGACAACTTCATCACCTCTGGATCCAACATTCGGCAGAAAGTAACGCAGGCAAAACCCAAGTAGTCGGCAGCCTGTTGCAAATCATAATTAGCTAGTATAACTTCTCGTACGAAACGACATGCTGACACATACTTCATGGATGACATGCTTGCAGAGTTCGTCGCCTTCAGCAGCGTGCTTGAATATCAACTCAGCGTTGATGTCCGCTTCAAAATATTTCGACAGGCTTGATTTTTTTCCTGTAAGGAAAATGTGTAGAGAAAAAGGTTTGACATCCAACGAGCAAGCAAGCAATACGCAGCAAACCAGCGCGTAGATGTTCCTGAGCTTGCGACTTCAGTGCGCTAGCCGAGGTGTACGCTTCAAGGCATCCTCTTTGAGAGCAACCACACTGTCTTCCATTACGTTCTACAATCTACAAACAGAACAGCAACAACCGATTAGCAACAAGCAGTGACCATTGACTTGAATGCCATAGCTTATTCCTTACCATGTGTCCCCCTTCAATGGCATTACTGCCACCACGCACAAGTTGACCGTTGGCGACGATGCTAAAGCCTACACCTGTACCAAGAGCTACATTCAGTTGCAGTGGTCTTTGTCAGCTCCTTCAATCGACTAGAGACATTTAGCCATAATATCCATCTTACTTAGCATGATAAAATCCTTGACTTGCCCCTTAGCCGCGCCTACCCATTGTTCCGCCAGAATTGCAGCATCCGCATCGTTGCCCACCGTAACCTGCAATCATCTTTGTGAACCCCATTTTCATTGTGTCCACACTTCACATCACGCACCGATCTACCAATTTTGTCTGTGAGCAATTGTTGGAGCGGTACATCCGTCCAGGACGGGAAGCTGGCAGCAGCATGGATGACGCCACCAGCTTTCAGGACACCTGGGCAGCCTACTCCGATAGCATCCAAGTCTTCCAATCTCAAACAGCTCTGTCATCATACAACTTTAATATTTCAATGATTGTTTGCCACGTATGCAACCCACAACTCATCGATACAAAAAATAGAGACCGTCTTGAGGACTTTGTGGAGCATTGAGACAGCTAGATCCACAACGTCCTGTGGCTCGTGCTTATCCGGATGGTAGTTTTCTTGTTCGCGTGCCACGACAGACCCTTTGGATGTCACAATGCCTACTTTGACACCCGTTCCCCCAATATCCACACCCGCAAATATATCGAGTGCTGTCATGTTTTTCAAAATAATAGAGACTTGCTCGCCGATGTACCGTTACAGTAGCTTTAGGCAAAACCATATGACATTTTTCATTGGCTAATTAGAGACAATACTTTAATTTCTAGTAATAATTTTAATCGACAGCTCTGCTGCGATACTTGAAAAAGCGTATTATTATATCTTTGTTAATCAAAATACGAATTCGAAAGCGATTCATTGCTTACATGTATATCTCTCCATCTATCTACCCTTTATTCTTGCAGTTTTTTGTCTTCATTTACATCTACATGTTATGTATAATCATTTTACAAAACAACGAGTACGATCAGTGTAACGGGGTGAGCCCGTTACATAATATTGACACCTATATGAACTGTCAATAAGAATATTATTATAACTAATAATATTTGACAATATTATCTTTTTATTTATAATATTGTCATTAAATCTTCTTGAAGTTGGAGATGCCCTCTAATTGGTTGATATGGGCCATCATATCAACCAACGCGCTGACCAATGACCGATGGACGCGCGCAATGAGTGGAGAGCAAGTTGTCAACATACATAGTTGTAGTTTAATATAGTTAACATAGGTTATAACAGATTAGTTTTATTAGATAGTTAACTATATTAAATACAGTTCTCATTTCCTCTACTTCTAAGCGTGTTGTTTAGAAGTAAAGCTTCCTCTGCCTCTTGTGTACGTGATGTAACTGGGGCATCTGCTTTCACTGTAATCAGTGAAGGTAGACTATACTGTTATCAGTATAGTCGGAGGGTGCCCCATTACAACCAGGGGGCGTTAGTGTATCGCTAAAAATTGGACTTGCGATGGGCAAGAACATGCCAGGAATGTGTGTAGGCACAACACACCGTTGGGATTTCGTTTTTAACAGGGATTGGCTCGAGCTGAAGCACAACACGAAAGTGGCCCAGCCAACTATCTTAGGCACTCTCAAACGCTCCTCTGAGATGATCCAGATGACACACGACGTCATTTTCAGCCAGAAACGCCAGCGCACGGGGAGGTATCCACATATGGAGAAGGTATTGGCGGAGTGGTCCCATATTATTGAGGATCGCATTAACATGAGCGGCGATCTTCTCAAAGAGAGCGCAAGGAAGATTCTAGACCGTCTGACCACGCTCTTTTAGTGAGTTATATAACGGCTAACTTGAGTTGTTTAAGACTCGCCACAGGATCCAGTCTTATTTCCGCTTTGGACAGAGTGGATCGGTTGATATGAAACTCATTGAGGTTGAGAGGCTGAAGGTTTGAGACATCCTGGATTAGTATGAATTCAAGAACATTTACAATATGAATAAAACGTGATTGTTCAATAGGATGCAGGCATCCTTCGCCGAGTATAATTTTGTGGTGCATTACAAGCCTGGCAAGAATAATATTCTCGATGACGCGCTTTTTCGTCGTCCGAATTACGATCCTCGGCGTGACATAGGTCATCAAACGGAGAATGTTGATGACGAAGATAATATATGTGCGTGTTGTGTTGAGCTGGGGCTCATTGCGATGATTTCGACACCCGTGCTGTCGATCCGAACTCAGATCGCTGAATCCTACGCGAATGATTCCTTCTATGCGGGAATTATCAATTATTTCAGGGACCCTAGTGAAAATTCACTCGAAAAGTTGACGACACCAACACGCGCTAACATCAAGCTTACGCGCTTGACCGACCGTTGCTGACGTACATGATGGACGTCTTTGATTCACCGCGTGTCGTCATCCCTGCTGATGACGACCTTCGAGCCCGATTGGTTCATGAGTTTCACGACAGTCCAGCTGGCGTACACCTGAGCCGCGAAAAGACGTTTGTGGCTATTGCTCGCGTGTTTTCTGGCCGCGAATGTATAAGTACATCCAGATATGGGTACGCTCCTGTGAACCTGCCAGCGTGTGAAGCCCGCGCCGTCTTCACAAGCCCCATTGCGTCCGCTTCCAATTGCTACGGAAGCCTGACGCTCAGTCAGCATGGATATTATTTTTAGACTTTCGCCGAATAAATAGTAACGCACGGGTGTATTGGTTCTAGTGGATCGATTGAGCAAAATGGTGCATTTTTCTCCGGTCTCCGCCCACATTACGGAAGAGACGACAGCAAAGATATTCATTGATCTTATCTTCAGGCATCACGGCTGCATCTGTAGCATGACTTGTGACAAGTATCACCTTTGTTACGTCCACGTTCGTAAGGGATGTTCTACGTGCAACATGGGCAGATCGCGACCGGTCCGGCAGGAATGGGACGACTTGGTGTGTACGCTGGGCATGCCCGATCATATTCGTCCATGGATTGCCCGTTATGAGAGAAGCCTTTCGGAGCTCCAGGTGTCCGATCTACGGCGAGTGAGAACGCGTCCTTACGATCTCTGTGGCGTTCAAGTAGCCGAGATTGTCACCGTATCACTCATATGCTCTCAAGCCTCGTAATAGGTCTTGGTCTAGGAGTCGCTCGAGAGGTCGTTGTGGTTTCGTTGCTCGCGAGAATTACGGCTCGCGAGATCGGAGATGGAACCGGAAGCGTCGGTCGAAATCACCGTCTTTGTACGGGACTCATAGTTCTTGACCACGTCCGGGACATCCTGAGTCATCGTACTCAATGGCTTCCATGTACCGTCCGCCGGCGAATATCCCAACCAGCAAACCCTGTAATGTGTCTCGACATGGTTGTTTCGTGGGCGCCAAGTCATTACTCGGCGCCTGTGGCTTGTGATTCTCGTGATCGACAATACGGTTAACAATCCAACGTCGCGCACCAGATGCATCACTTAAAGACGGAGGAGAATCACGACGGAAGACCTCTGGCGATGAGCGCCGATTCCTGCAATCGGGAGTCTGTATCGTCGAATGACGAGCTGCGCCTACTTCGCGCTGAAGTCGAGGAGTCGAAGAATGCCCTGCTTGATGCTCGCTAGATGGCTGAGAGAGCTCAAGATCATGCGGATGCTGCGACTGAGGCTGCTGAGCGGACTCGACGTGAGCAGCGGGTACTGGTTGAGCACCTACGTAAACTTGAGACGACTGCGTTCGGAGGACCCCAGCAATTCGAGTCTGCACGCGTTCGAGCAGGACTTGGTCCCAGTCGTCGTCAGCGTCGTCGTCAAGGGATGCCGGATTTTAAGCGGACACAGAAGAGCGGAGAAGACTCGAAAGGAGATCCTCCGGTAGGTAAGTCTGAGGCGCCCGACATAGAACGACGGGTGCAAACGCATCGATGTAGGTATATATAGCGTGTAAGCGTCACCATGCACCTAAAAGCCCGAAATGGGCCAATATATCTTGGCTCTAACTTATTAGTGCCCAAATTCGTCACTGAGGTGCTCGGTAATCCACTTGTTGATAATGATACTCTGTCACCTTCTCAAAATGTCAGCATATTTTTTCGACCTCGTTTGTCTGCGTTCTATTTTTGCTTGTTGACTGCCTCTTGTAATGCATCACGGACAAATGCGTCATTCTTTGTCGTAATAGCAGAAGTTCGGTTGCTACAGCCAAACTTACAGGCGACGAATCCTCTTTTGGCGCAAAATTAGCAACGGGAGACGCGATGTAATGCATCGCGTCAGGAGTCGAAATGCCGTTGGCCACAAAATTATTTGCATTAGTTGCATCAAAAGTCATCATAATCAATCATTAATATTTCGACGCTATTCCATCGGTAGATACTCCCCCACCAAGCTTTGAGACTAAGTGCTCTGAAGCTGAGAGAGCAAGAAGTGACGGGAAGCGAGGATGCCTCGCGTTGCTCACGAAAAAGGAAATCATCCCGGTTGACATATGGACAGCATTGTGGGTTGCAAACTTTGCAAGTGAAAGAAATGAAATCCATGACGAAAACGATGTTGCATAACTGCGCAAAACACTTCGAGCATTCTGTTCAGCTCCGTTTGCCCATCCGTCTCTGGATGGGCCGCGGTTGCTTATGTCTACGGCGGCCCATCCAGAGACGGATGGGCAAACGGAGCGTGTATAAAAATTGGCCCAGAAAGCCGAAGTGAAACGCGGGTCACGGTCAGAAACAACAGATTCTGGCAAGCCGTGATGCCTGAAGATAAGATCAATGAAGATCTTCGCTGTCTTCTCCGCCGTATTGTGGGTGGAGACCGGAGCAAAATGCACCATTTTGCTCAATCGATCCACTAGAACCAATACGCCCATGCGTTTCTGTTCATCCGGTGAAAGACTAAAGATAATATTCATGCTGACTGAGCGGTGGTCTTCCTTTCGATTTGAAACGTCTTTGGAAGTGGTGGATGAGCCCTTTACAGGCCTCACGCATTGTCGTTTATGTTATGCTGTGGTCAAGCGCTCGTCATTTTCTCCATCGCAATCTGTTGGCCCGCGATGCCTCCTTCCGATGTGCTTACTGGTGTCGTTGGAGCGCGGACAGAAGCGGCCAGGAAGAGATTCTTCGGTCATGGACGCCATAACGAAGGTGCTGCTGCCAACAGCATTGTCCCCAATCAGGAACTCATCGAGAATGCACTAATGGATCAGGCCGAAACCAACTACAGTCTGCTAGGTAAAGACTAGCACTGAAAAAGCATGGCTGTGACTTCTGCCTTCTATATGACTGCCTCCTTAAGTATTGAAATTTAGTGTTTTTAATGTAGGTAATATGCAAAGCAGCACATGACCAAACACAAAGGTATCTGCTACTGATGTACCTATCTATGCCAGTCTCGATGTCTATCGAATCTATATTGCAAATATTTCTAAGGTCATGATATTTAGTCACGCCCAAACCGTAAGAAAACGCTTTCAGATGGGGGTCAACACGTTGCAGCAGAATGTAATGCTTCAGCACATGCAGTGGATCGACGTGGTTCTAGTATCCTTTGGGATTGTTTTGTGCGGATGGTACCTCTACTGCTACTTCTACCGCCGCTGCCATCTTCGAAAGCGATGGCATAATGAGATGACAAGCGTCCCAAACAGTTCTGCGATCATGGATAACGACATGAAAGAGCCACTGTTGGTCAAATCAGATAGCGACAAGCTATTAAGAATCGAATCCGTTACTCTTGCACGTGAGTATCAGCCTTCGGCGCCCCCGTTGAGCTGAAGAAACGAGCATCCTGGTTCTTCCTGATGACAAGCCAGCAACTTTATTCGGGAGATGCATAACGTGACATAAGACTAGCAGAGATGTACCAATGTCAAAAGTCTTACGTACTAAATCACTTCGTGTACGCGTTGTTGCTCAAAATAATTGGAAATGGTGTACTCAGCTTAATTCGTAACACCTACTCCGGCGAGACAATAACTGCTTCAGACTCATCACCAGCATTTGGCGATGAAGTAGACACGATTCGTGGAATCTTATCCTCCTTTGTTTCCTCTTCGTCGGAGCCTATAATTTTTTGAAGCTCGCTCGGGTTCTTTTCGGTTTCTTGTTGTTGCAATGGAGGCAAAGCAACAATATTTTCCTTGATCTCACGTTGGTGCATTGAGAAAAGCTGTAGCATGCATATAGCGCTAAATATGAGAAGGCGAATACACCCAGCAAAAAAGAAATGCACGCACCTCGTGCAGGAGCTGGAATAACAAGTCCACTTCGAGCCCCATAGCAATTGTGATTCCCTTCGCATGCTTTGTTGAGTCGAGCTCCACGGACACTACCTGGATACCAAACGATGTAGTTTGTGCAACATTCACGACGTCTTCAAAAGAGACCAGCGTGGTGTGTGCAAACACGGGTACCATCGTCCGATAAATAAAGTTTCTACAATATATACAAACATAGAAGCGTCGAAGACATCAGCCCCGAATCTCTTACGCGTATATGACAGTTGATAAAGCCTTCTTTACCCATATGTCACGTGGAGCGTAACAGGAATACCATTTACCATGCAAGAGGCCTCGTAGAGAAGAACATTATTCCTGCTGATAATCCAAATATACCCATTATGACCACGATTATTCCCCACGCAAATTTACATAATCCCAATCATCAGCATCGTACCGGTCATCACCTTCAGATTGGATAAGGCTTGATACTTCCGCATTTTCTCTGTGTCACGTTCAGCAAGGTCAGCTGTAGCTAGACATTTTGCAATCGACACAACTTACGCTTCCATGATTGCCCGGATTGCACGAGCCCGTAACCTTTGCACAGCTTCTACACGCGCAGTCACCTGCTGCTGCTTTTCTTTAATTGTTGCTCGCAATCTCACCTCGCAGTCTTCCTTGCACACCCGCCACAGATTTTGAATCATCTCGGTAATCACCTCGCCATAGCTTTTCCCAGGTTCAACAGAAGTTGCTTGCATTGTTGATGGGGAAGTATCTACAGGTTCTGTTTCATGACATGAAGGCGTCTGCACCTCTTTGGAAGCTGGTTTATCTTCATTCATTGACAGAACGTCAACGCTCGCAGCAGGTACACTCGTGTCATTTATCGCGCTTCCGTCACCTGTAGGTTTGTCCGTTAGCTTGATCGCGTATTTTTTCAAAGTTGGTTCAAGTAAACCGATCAGTAGAGCGCAAGCAAACTCTTGGTCATACGCATACGATTCCAAGGGGATACATAGGTCTCTTATGTTTGCCTTCATCTCACTTGAAACCATCACAGCAAGAGTTGTTTCAGCATAACGTAAATTATTAGATACTGCAGAAGATGTACCTGCTAAACGCTTGCTTTATGTCTGCAATATATCCTTCATCCAGCTCAACATTTTCAACTAAACATCCCGTAACATACTCAATAATAGCAATAATTGATGAACAGCTCCAATTTCACGTAACACAACATACCTGCATCCATGGAGTTTTCAGGACTGGACATATACAAATGACTTAGCGATAGACACTGACTAAGCAGCGTTGATTGCAATGCTCCTAATAATTGGTCCAGTGCATACATGTGTGGTTGATTGTGGTCTTGAGCAGTCCACAAACTATTTTTTCCTGTTGGTATCATGCCACCCAGGAGCTTGCTCTCGTCCAATACCAACGCACAGATATCTACCACACGCAGCTTCGTCGGGGATACACCAATGCGTACGTAAACATTGAGAAATGTAGAAGTATTGGCCATGCCATGAGCCATCGATTCTTGCATCACTTTCTTCCGGAATAGTACCCAATTGGCATGTTCTTCGGCGATTAAAAGACCTTTGCTGATGCATATAGTAGCAATGAGCTCCTTTATGACTTCCCATGAGCGATCAGGACGGATCTGCACCTCCAAAATCGTCCATTGGCTCGGATCTTTCTCCACGGGCAGGTCAGTCATCCATACAGGCACCGCGTGCTTATCTTCACACGCCACAGCCGTGCGAATCTCGTTGGTGTCTAGAAATTTAAAGTCAGGGTGATCTTTTACACAACTTTTAGCCTCGTTCTCCATTGGATCAGCGTCCCGCGACATCTTGCTCATACCAAACTCATCTTCCTCATTCATTTTGTATGCGTAAGAAGCTTTAGTCACCAATTTGTGAGCTCGTTTACACACTCTAGACCATATTTAGAAAACCTTATCTAATTATGATAATTATAAGCCAAATTTAGAAAAACCTTTTTTTGGAAGGCGACTAAATTTAAAACACATTCTAGCGATCCTAATCTAGGCTGAGACACTGAACCCAATAGTTTACAGTAACCAGTGATGCTCTCGACGCTGCTCTGGCTTGTTCTAGCGCTCGTAGTCCTCGTGACACAGAGTTATACGATCGTAATACATTTCCTACGTCTCTTATTGCATACATATTTTCGCAAGATTGTGGTCTATGGCCTCAATAACTTTCCACGTGAAGGACCTGTCATTCTATGCCCAAACCATCCCAACATGCTCGTAGACGCTATCCTTGTCATGACAGAGGTAGTTCGTTACGGCCGCAACCCTTATGTATGGGCCAAGGGATCGCTATTTAGCAACCCCATTGCTTCGTTCGTCCTCAAGAGGTTTGGTGCCGTTCCGGTGTACCGCCCCCGACGCAATGAGAACTCTCTTGCTGACGTGGATTCAGACATGACCCCCGAGGAGCTGGAGGCAGCCAATCGCACCATGTTTCAGTACACGTGGCGTGTACTTGATGGTGGCAACGTTATGGTGCTCTTTCCTGAAGGAACGTCGTACACTGCACCAAAGATGTTGTCATTGCGCACGGGTGTTGTGCGCGTGGCGATAGGTTTTGCTAAACATTATGACAAACCCATCCCAATCGTCCCTCTTGGACTGAATTACTTCAACAAGGATCACTTCCGGAGCCAAGTGACGCTGGAATTCGGTCCGCCCATGATAATTACGCCCGATATGGTGCAACACGAAGATTTTCAGAACGATGAACACACTGTGGTAAAGCATTTGACGCTTGAGTTGGGGGAGCGGATGCGCGACGTAACCTTGAATGCCTCTGATTTCACCACCATCCATGCTGCGCGAATGATGCGACGGTTGTATCTGAATACACCGGGAACCATTGATGCAAACAAAGAAGTCCGGTTGACTCAATACATTATTAACATGCTGGAGAAAAAGCCACAAGATGACGAGCAAAAGGAGCAAATTGCAATGATTCGTGACAAGGTTTTGCGGTATAAAGAGCAGTTGGAAAAGTTGCGGCTGAAAGACCAAGAAGTGAATTTGCCAGTGCCAAAAGAGCAATCGCTTTTGCAGCTCTTTTTGGAGCGGATCATGTACTTACTTGTGCTAATCCCACTAGCCACACCCGGTCTGTTGCTGAATTTCCCCTACTATTTTATTGGTATGTCGTGCTCTTTGCGCTTGATTAGAAGCCACTTTGCTAACAAAGGTTTTCTATTGTACAGGAACAAAGATGAACAGTCTTGCAGGATTCGTGGAATCTAAATCGATGTTCAAGATCTTTGCTGCCGGGTAAGTCGACTGCTTGCCCTTGACTTCTTTCTATTGACGATACTAATTTGTTGGATGTCAATGCGCGTAGTGTGTTGGTGCCTCTACATTGGGTCTTACTGTTTCTTGCAACCTGGTATTTTCTCGGGTCTTCCTATGCATACACGCTGGCAGTGGGGTTGCCGCTGCTGCTTTACTCGCACATTCGTGTGCTGGAAGAAAGCCGGTCCATTGCCGAAAACGTCTACTTTCTCTTTAACATTACGGCACATGCCGATCAGGTCGCAGTGCTTCGAAAAGAGCGTGAATTGCTTGCGGAAGAAGTACACGAGTTGGTGACCGCATACGTGGATGCCAAGTTTCTCTCGGCCGTTCACAAGTCCCTCGCCAGTTCGCCTGCAAAACGACGGCTGCTTCATCGTTCCTCTTCTACTAGCGACACCCTTCTTGCGAGATGACGATACCTAAGTTACTACCGTGATGCGCCTTGTTGAGTACTAAACCTAGAAACAGTTAAGACAATGCACGCGCTTTGTGGTAAATCTCGGTGATTATTGATTGAATGCGACACCGTCGGTCAAACCTTGCAGCATTTCCACATGGTGAGTTGGCTACCTACGTGGCAGCCTACGTACCGTTATCCACAAGCAGTGAACCAATAGACTGTAAATGATTGAGAAAGCGGAAAAGGTGTTCGCTAATGATAATCTAACTGGCACGATTGCAAGCTATATTCTCGATAATTCGGAAACTGTTGCACTACTGCAGTGTACGGAGCAAAAGTCCAACATCATGACGCTTCTTTTCCTTGTCCTTTAGCTCATCTACATACGTTTACATTCATAGTATAGAGGTAAATTATGGCAAATTGATACATCGACAAACAAATCTCACTCTTTTTGATCTGAACAATGGCATCTCTTTTTTCTAAAAAGAAAATGTTGGCTTTTTTGGTGTAAGTAGTCTACAAATGAATCATTGACGTATAGTTATGAGGGTTTGCACCCGTAAAAAACTTATATGCACATATCCATCTTTACCTTCTTCGATTTGACCGTTTTCAGCTCACCCAGTGCGACTTTGAGCTCCTGAATCTACGAGTAGAGTGTCAACAAAGGTCTCGGAACATTGTCGATTATACGTCTGAAATCTACTACCTCTCTATCGAGCTTTTGACGAATACGCTGCTCCTTCCAGCGTTCATCGCTGCCTGTCGCTTCCTCAATGATAGCCATTCGATCGATAATGTTAAGCAAATTATTCTGATACAGCATATACTTTCGATACAGGATATTCGTTCAAACGTGAGTATCCTTCGTATGTGGATAGCCTCAATTGTTGCTAGCAGTAAAAAACTGGACACTATTAGATGGACCGTTCCGGACATTGTAGATGAGGATGACGGAACGGCAAAACCGTGTCGATGTCTTCGATAGTGCTTGAAATAAACTTGTGAAACGTTTTTCCATGCATGAAACTGCGCCCTGATGTGTCCACAATTGAAAGTAACGATGTTCACGTTCATCTTTTTAGTGTCCATGCGTAACGGCTATTCGCTATGCACAGCATCAAGGATACGCAACCTGTCTGGATAGTTGCTACATCCTCGTTGGCTTCGTTCCGATGTATAACTCGGGTCACGATTTTCAACAAAAATCTAGTACAACACTAGATTTGAACTCAAAGCAGGCGACAACATTGCGGCACTCTTCTTCGGATTGTGCTCATGAATATTTTAGTGTCTAATATAAATGCTCAGGTTTCAACTTTGCGCACGTAGTTTCAGTGGAAAGTGAGTACAATAACATGCGCATCGGGCGTCGCAGCCTCCTGTCTAGTCGAAGGAGCTAAAGTTCAGCCTAAACTAATGCAGCGTGTGTGTGCTTTGACTCGCGGGGGTGAGTCCAATGTTCTTGGATTCGGAACCAAGAGGCATTTGCAACTGGCAGGACTTGTGTAACACTCTGTCGTGGAGACGCAAACAGGCCGATCGCATATCGATCTAGTCAGACCACCGTGTCACAACTATCCACTGTCAGCGTCCACTCGTGCGGACAGCAGTCGGTATATCAATCTCACCATCGAACGTTACTCTCCGGAGGTGACGTACTCAAAGCCAACGACTCCAGTAAGTCGTAGCCACCACCTCTGCACGGGGTACCAAGACCACTCACACCGAAGCCTGTCCAAAGGGATCAAGAGCAAGTCAACAAAAACGCAGGCATTATTCAACGTAGCATAGTAACAAGGAACCAGACGGCTTTGTCAACAACAACAGGTCAGCACCATCATGAACGGCTTTCAGAGTGGTGTACAGGTGTTTATCCCAGCGGCGCTCAATAGACCCACGCATACACTATACAGCATCTGCATGCTGGTGCAGCCCACTAACCAGGAATGGACAGTCAACCGTCGCTACTCGCAGTTCCTACAGCTACGTAAGGACATCCAGCACAAACTAGTCTCGCGTGGCGTCTCGTGTGCAAACTGCGCCAGCTTTAGCCTCGCCATCAGCAAATTCCGCTTTCCAGGTAAGTCGCTGCTGCGCACCAACTCGGTGGTGCGCCGTCGTGTCTCATCTCTGCAGGACTTCCTCAAGCTGCTCGTGGAACGTGTGTACAATGACGTCCCCAAGTGCGGCATTTGCGGTGAAGAGATAAAAGACATAATGCGGCCGTTCTTCATTCGAGGAGCACAGCCAATGAACGGTTCAATTCTTTCCAAGATATACAAGTCTTTATCGCTGGATTCGTATGTTGTGGTGGATCAGCCGGTGATGCCTGTAGTGGAATCGTTACCGCCAATTTCGCCTTCACTGGCTGGCAGGGAACTTTTCAGCGCCAGCAAGTCGTCGAGCAAGCCAATTTTCACACACAGTCAGGTTTTAGGCGGCAAGTCCATCTTTTCCGGGAGCAAGGTGATGCTGAGTACTACATCCGGTTATGCATCCACTCAGCCAACCGAGTCGGAAGATCCCATCAGGGATTACTCAGACAGCGACGATGACGGCTACGGTAAGAAGTACGACGATCAATACTGCTATGATGAAGGTATTCCTCTTGAAGACGCCATGAAACAGGTCGTGTTGCCCGAGGGAGCTCGTCTTACGTGTGAAGAAGTCGTGGTCCGACTTACATCAATGTGGGCTACGTTCGACCTCGAGGAGGCTCTTTCATCCTTACCACCCGACCGGCTTTCACAAAAAGCCCACTTTGCTATAGACGAAAAAGAATACGCGTTTTAACTGGACGTCGTATAGCGCAATTTTGCGTTTCCACCGGTAGCTGCTAGCCATGGCAATTGTACAAACTAAATATGAAGCAGTCAGGGTATTTGTATACCATAATATCAACGCGACGAGCACACACTGATTACATCTTCTGCAATCCTCACGTCACTGCTGGTTGCAGCATGCCAACCGAAGTTGCCGCACTTCATTTTCCTGCATAGGGTTTTTGGGCTTAACGAGCGCTCCATCTCATGTCGTACTTCTATAACTTCTCGGGATCCGTGATACCCGTGGCGACTACGGAAACACGTAGCTTACCATCGAGTGAGTCGTCAAATGTTGAGCCAAAGATAATGTTGGCGTGCGGATCGTCAAGCTCTCGTGTCACACGTTCGGCCGCTTCGTCGACCTCAAACAACGTCAGGTCGGAGCCGCCAGTGATATTTACAATCATTCCCTTGGCATCCTGGCCATTGCGGAAGCAACGTGAGACATTGATTAGTTGACCAACTTTTCAAAGGGCCATCATCATTCATATCGAAAAAGCCAATACCTTGATCGAAATATCTCCCAGAAGAGGATTCGCCAGCGCATCTTCAGCAGCACGCAAAGCCCTTTCCCAAAAAAATAGCAAACCAACTAGCATTTAGCTCATCCAATTAACGCAGCTTGACAACTAATGAGCATAACAAACCTGTTAGCTCCATCAGCCTCTCCACTTCCCATCATGGCGTTTCCCATGTTTTGCATCACCTAGCGGATAACGGAGAATAGAAAAGGATAGTCAGCATTATTTAAACAGCCGGAGAGCAAAAAGCGTTAGCTGCATACCGACTGAACATCAGCAAAGTCAAGGTTGATAAGCCCAGGCATCACCATCAGATCGGAGATATTCTTGACACCATCAAGAAGCACATTGTCCGCCATTCTAAAAGAAAACAGCAATTAATAAAGTTGACTCATGGCCCAAAGAAGTATGCGAATCAAATTACGCACTGGAATGCATCCATCAAAGACGTGCGCTCGTTTGACATATTGAAAAGGTTCTGATTCGGAATCACAAGCATCGTATCCACGCTGTCTCTCATATCAGCGAGGCCCTGTGCTGCAAGCTTCGCGCGTTTATTACCTTCGAAGCGAAACGGCTACGAAGGACAAGCAGGTGAGTTCGTTAGCGAGCACAGCATCAAATTAATGATGTTGTGGGCCGTGAATACCTTTGTGACAACTGCTACCGTGAGAACACCAGCATCTAAGGCTGCCTGGGCAATCACGGGTGCGGCACCTGTTCCAGTGCCACCGCCCATACCTGCAGTGATAAAAATCTACACAGACACGATAAGTTAACTTGTTACACTTAGCTTCAGTTCGCTTCAACAAAATTTTGCTAGCAAAACGTACCATGTTTGCACCGTGAACCCGTTCCAAAATCTCATCAATTGCTGCCTCTGCAGCTTCACGACTACATCAATCATCAAGAAAGCACTCATAGCAAGTCAACGCCCAAGATCCTTTTCAGCATGCAAATACAATGAGTACAAGCACTTACCCAACTTCTGGATTCGCCCCACAGCCCAATCCTCCAGTCAGTTCAGGGGCCATTTGGACGCGATTCTCCGTCAGCGTTGTACGTAAGTGCTGAGCGTCCGTGTTGCATACAAGAAACTCTACACCCTGCAAACCGCGCGCAATCATATTGTTCACTGTTTATATATAATTTTTTAGTGCACAACAACCAATTAGTTATACTTGATATCATCCTCTCTTCTCCCTTGACATTTAAAAACCCACCCACCAGCATTGCCTCCTGCACCTCCAACACCAACAACCACAATTTTAGGTGCAAAGCCTGACAAGTCCGTCACAGGATGGTCTTGTGTGAGCCAAAGCGGCTGCGTGGAGCTCATCGTAGGTGGCACCAGCTTCTTCTCCACAGGCGGCATCACTTCGCTCACATCCATTGGTGACGCAGGATCAACTTCCACTTTCCCTTTTAATATGTCGTCTTCATCCTGTTGAGCCTTTTTAAAGCCCTGCAAATGAACACATGCCGTATGTGCACAACCAGTCAGGACCACAGCATGTTCAGGCTTCTGTAACAGGCTGTACAACTAATTACCATGCGCAATACAGCAGCTGCTGCTTTCGTTGCTTCAGTGGAGAAAGCAAGATGTTGAGCTGGTCTTTGAAAAGCCTGGTGTGGACGTAGTAGCGTCGTCGCAATCGCCTTCATGCGGGGAATCACCATCGGAACTAGATCGTCACACGAGTCTTTTTTGAGTACTTATACGAGAGAATTTTAGTCCCAAAAAGTGTATTTTAGGACTATAATTTTAAAGCTATTCCGTTTGGTGCCCGTGTGGTGCCCGTGTGGTGCCTAAGCTCAATAAGACCTTGACTAACAGACCTCTTCATTGCAAAATCGTCGCAACAATACAAAAGCTTCTTAACTATCTCTTAAGCTCAACGCAATCTTTTATTACCGGGTAAATCTTGGTGCATCTTGGCTCTACTGCTGTGCATTAGCATTCCCGGTTTCATTTTCTCGAAGCTTTTTCGCTTCTGCGCCTACCCGTTTGAACTTTTTACTTTCCGTCTTGTTCTGGCCACGATGTTTTTGCTTGTCCAAGCGCGACATATGTAACGAATTTCGGCATCCAGCACCGCCTTCCCAATGGCGAGAGACCGACTTTTTTGTAGCAACGTCATTGCCACAGGAGCACACCTTGACCGCACTCGATTGTTCTTTCGAACACAAACCGCAAATCATTCGACTAGCAAATTTACCCAGGTTGGCTTCTGGACAATCACTTGAGTCGTGGCAGACGTCGCAAGGAAAGGCTTTGCCGCAGCACTGAAACCGAAACCAGCGCTGTGAGTGCTTGTAATGCTCACACGTCCCATTACGAGGCAACGGCTGCCCCAAAACAAACACTTCTGCGGCTGGCTTAGCTCCTTTTTTGCTGACGTTAGCAACCTTTGTTACAATATCATTCAAGACATTCCGCTTCGACGTGGATCCGTCTGACTGTCCTGCAATGAAGCGCTTTGCCATCACTGCAAGTTTAACGTGACAAGAGAAGCATGCTTGCTCGGATCGCTGCTGTGGCATTATCCTCTCTAGCAATGCCTCACATCCGCATTCCAAGCAAGTTGCTAACACATCGGTGGGAAGAACGTCAACAATACAGCAATTCTTTGTATCCACATATGCAAGTACGTTACTCATCGAATGGGCAAACACTGGCCTCATGACCACGTGATGAAGGACACTGCACCGTGGACACCATTTCTGAATTTCCGCAGAGTCCAAACTCAGGATTACGTCAAACTTTAATGGGCAATTATCACACTGAATCTGGCAAATGAGCCGGTGCGCGACAAGGGTGCCAACTTCGTGCAGAAACAGATCTTCAAGACGAATTGAAGTTCCCTTCACTTCAGGTTCAGTCAAGATTGTAACGCGCTTCTCAGCTGGGATGATCTTTGAGTTGTAAACAAGCTCCTCGTTTTCAGATAATTGTGCTGTTTCTTCTTGCTCTATCACTTTTTGAGCAGTGGCAATGGGATCTACACCGCGACGTATCATCTCACATAGTGACTTATAGCGGTCGATGCATTCGTTCAGGGACCGACCATCGACCTCGTTTGCTATGCTGGTCCATCGTTCTTCCTTGTCCATCGATGTTGGATACTTTTTCAAAGCCAGATCAAGCGCTCGCTGCTGTGCTTCTGACCACGCACTGCTAATTTCTCTGTGACTCTCGATATTTTTAGTATTGCAGCCTGCTAAATCGTTTTCCACTTTCGTGACTGATGTGCTATCCTTACATCCAGCGGCACTTCCAGTCAGAGTATCTAATTGCACGATAATAGCGCCAGGCGAGCTTTCCAATGTTTGATTTTGACCGTTACCTTTTGTTCCAGCTCTCTTCATCTCATGAGAAAACTTGCAACTGTCTCCGTTGCGGCACTTATTCTGCGCATAAAACTTGCATATACGCACTCGAGCTTTCTTCTTCCGCTCAGGTAGTACGGTCACCGGTGTTGACGACTCAACGGGCAGTACTGGATTAGCATCTCGTAAAGCCGACATAGTGACCGCATCAGGGTCTTCGCATGCTGCACCCACCTTTAATGTGTCCGATTTTTTTTGGTGCGAAAATTTGCATTGTTCACCATCTCTGCAGTTACCTCTCGCGAAGAAATGACAAAGCCGTTGGCCACGATTTCTCTTCGATTTCTTCCCAATCGGCGCTAATACCTCCGCTTCGACCACAGACATCTCCAGCTCACGATTCTGGCTGCAACCATCAATAATCACGTCTTGATCATGGTCGGAGTTGTTCTCAAATGGTGCAATGATCCGCCAAAAATTATTGTCGATCCAAGTCAACAGCTTCCTAAGTGAGAAACTGCCACACAGCTGCTGAGCTCGAGTGGTCACCGCTGCATTAATCGCTTTAGCCTGCAATTCAGATAGTCGACTATTCCACTGACAAAAATCCACTTGAGCAGCTGCAATGGGATATTTCCTAGGGAGTATCATCTGCAATTCGACTTGGCCTTTGAATCGCGTCGGTAGCTCTGGATCTGATAGACTCAAGAAAAGAAGAATGCGCTTATCTAGCGTCGTAGCATCTTCGTGAATCAGTTTCAATTGATATCGGCGTTCCAATGCCATCCACTCCTTCTTGGCGGCATCCGTCTCGTTCGCCACTGTCTCCTGCCAGCTCAAATTTGTTGCCATAGCTGTTCACAATCTCAAGCAAATTCGAAAATGACCAAAATTAGAAATAGGAACCGAAAAGCACGAATCTGATTGGTGGAGCAGCGTCTGGTACAAAAGTTTATCAGATATTTTACCAAATAGATTACGATATGACCCTGTGGAATATGCGTCTGCGAGGGCCTCGCGGTAAGCAGGTTGTGCTGAAGCTTGACCCGGAAATAAACTATACAATGTTCTCGGGTATGTAACGCTAAAATATTGTGACTGTAGTCTTGGTATCGTTGATCTGTATCTGTATCTGATCTATTTAACTTCCAGAATTGGCTGCCAAAGAATTGGGACTGAAAGCAAAAGACCGTCTGATCTGTACGCACATGAGCTTGTGGTGTTTCATTGCAATGCGAGCGGTTAATTTGTCGTGATATTTTGCAGTTCGTAGAGGGTTTCCGCCTCGAGCAGTGGAGGTGGAGGCCTCAACGCTTGTGAAGAATGTCTTTGAGGCCAACGACACGGTTGTGGTAGATATGAGCTCTGGTACTACGGCTTCAGTGCCTGCTACTGCGATAGCAGCAAAGACAAAGCGGGCGGATGTAAAGAAGACTACAGCAAAAGTACCGAGACATGGAGTGCACAAGCTAAATTCACTTACCAGTTCATCGAAAAAGGCACTGCCGAAACGAAAAATTATTGGTAGCGGACACCAGCTTGGCAGTTCGCTGGATAAAAGTTCTGACCTGTCTGGTGCAGTAGAGGATGAAGACGCAGGTGATAATGAAGACGAACCGCAACGTAAATACCGGCGTAGTCGTGCCGTTCACCTCACTTCGAAAGAGGGTGTGGAAATTAGTCTGGTAAATGCTGTTAGTGGCCAATCGAATGATCGTGCAGCAAAGTTTTTTCGTGCTGCAACAAAGAATGCAGTGGAGCATCAATATGAGCTGACGCTGGCCACCTCCAGGCTGAATGCAGCATTGTCACGAAATTTTGAGATTGAGGAGCTCTCGAATAGCAGACGTGCTGATGGTAGCGCTGCTAAATTGCGAGTGCGCTTCAAAGAGACATCGCGCAAGTGGAAGGAGGAGACTGTTGATCTACTAAAGACGAATGAACTGCAGGCCATTTTGAAATATGTGTTGCTGTCAGGGGGCGAGACTGGGCGTGAGATGTTAAAGCCATTTAACATGGCGCAAGTGTCAACCAGAGTATTTTGGAGTATTGCGCGTATGTATGATGGAGATGTAGCTGCCGGTTTGGCTGACCTTCTTCCTGATGAAGATTGGTCATTCTTAGACACTCGTACACGGTACGTTTGGTGGTGTTGTCAACTTTGATTGCACGGTGTGGTGTGAATTTGACGTGTAATGAACTTCTGACAGAGTTATGTCTGAGAAGGCTATAGAAGCAAAGGTACGGTGCATTTTACGTACTCGCGTACTTCTAGATGATGCTTAAGGTTGTCAGACGAGTAAGCCTTGTATTGCGAATGATTTGTAGACAAATCAAGAGCAGTATGTCTTGTGGAAGCAGAGCCATACTCGGTTGTCTTCTCTAAAGCCAGAGATGAGGCAGGATACAAGCAAAGTCTCTGCAGCTAAGGAGAAAAAGTCCGAGATGAGTCAAGTGAACTCTGATGCTGGGCAAGAACTGAAGCAAGAGGCTACGGTGTCTAAGTGTGCTCAGACTTCAGCTCTTTTAGCAGAGGAAGCGACTTCTAGCACCTTGAGTGGTGCAGTAGCACAAGCAGCGCACGCTCGGTTCGACCGAAATTTGCAGGCAAGCGTCGTTATATCTGAACTTTTCCAGGAGAAGAAACTAGCTACTCAATTTACTAAGAAGCAAACAGCACCCTTGGATAATGAGAAGATGGAGTCCGAGGATGATGTGGAGGAAGCTATCACAGTTTATTGCGATTCTTGCAAAAAGGCACGTATTCTCTCTCCTGAAGAAGCAGCTAATTCTAAGCTCAATAAGGATCCGTGGACCTGTGCTAGCTTAATGAAGACCGGACGCGGCGGCGGGTGCGAAGATATTGACGATGAACTGGCTCAAATCACGGGCGTTTCCATTGCTGAATGGCTGCAAAAGGCGGCTATTACCACTCGGCGAGAATTAGCAGACGCTACTGTGGTTTCCACGATGCATGCCCTTGTGAATCCTTCGGACCCGTCAGCTCAGGTTTTGCGGGAAAAATTTGAAAAGCTGATTGATGAGGTGAGCAGAATTGTGGTAAGATGGGCTATCGCTGACGCTTGACTGACTGTGTGGGCAAATATGGCAGGCGCGTCTTGATGAGGTGAACGATTGGATGTTGGAACTTGTTGGCGAGGCTGATATGGTGCAACGACTAGAGGTTCAGAAGCTGGGCACACCTGCCGATCTCATTGTCACACCAAGCGACTTAATCCTTGAAGCTGTGGGCAATACATGTAGCACGACCAATGTGTCAATTGATGAGGTCAGCTCCTGGCAAACCCGGGCACAACGTTTGGTGGACAAACACCCTTGGTTGGCAGACTGGCGAACTCTGTAGTACCTGCATTCAAAGGAGGAAGCAACAACGCAGTATATTTTTTTGAAATCAAAACTATTTTTTTGTTTTCAGGTTTTCTGCATTCTACACACAGTCGGATGGGATAAACGACACGTGATCCGATTGCCGTTCGCTCTTCGTAGTTGCTTCACAGGTAAGTCAGCCAGAATATCGTCGCCACCATTTAACTTCGCCTTCTCTTTCATTATCGTACCGTAGTGTGTCATCTGGTGACTGATTGCTAACTTGCTAACGACTTAGTCGATCTTGACAGAGCTGTAAATCTTGCGCGTAAACCAGAGGCAAGCGAAGTAGCCGATGGTTCCAGTGAGAAAGAAGAACGTAATCGAGATCAGGAACATGTAGCCGAAGTACAGAATACTCGAAACAAACGCCGTAATGTTCAGCTTCGTGAAAAAGTACAGGAACGAGTACAGGTACAGATACACCGCCGCAGATCCCGACGTAAAGAGCGCACGCCACCACCAGCGGTAGTCCTCGGCGCAAAGCTGGAAGTAGCACATCACAATTGTCACCTCCGCGCACGTGGCCACCAGGATCAATAGCACAATGAACAGGAAACCGAACACGTAGTAAATCTGGTGCAACCACAGCGCTGACATGATGAAGAACAGCTCAATGAACACTGCGCCAAACGGCAGGATACCGCCCACAAGAATGCTGAAAGGGGAGGTGAGGTACCAAAGTTGCTCCGGGATCTGACGGGCGATCTGGTTCGTACGCACAGGCTGCTCAATGGCAGCAGCCTTAAAACCAAAGTAGCTACCGAGGAAGACGAGCGGTACAGAAATACCAAACCACAGGACGAGCAGAGCAAAAAGCGTGCCAAACGGGACAGCCTGTGACGAAGCCTCACCCCACAGCACCAGATTTAGCAGAAAGAAAACGCTGAATAGCAGACCCGGGTACAACACAGCCGTGAGAATGGTGGTTTTTTTCCAGTCCTTGCCGTTGAACATCTTGTATGTACGCGACGAGTGATAACCAGCAAAGCTGCCCATGAATACGAAAAGCAGCAGCAGGGTCGTCAGCAGTGAACCGCGGTTCGCCGGCGACAGCAGACCTAGCAGTGCAATAATCATCGTAGACGCACTCATGGAGCACACCTGCACGCCAGTTCCCACAACCACCGAGAAAAGCATGGGTGAATCCTGTGGTGGGCGAAACACGTCGCCATGGACAAGCTTCCAGCCAGACTCTTCCTGAGCCTCTTCCGTTGTCTGCACCTCGTTGTAACGAGCGATATCACGGTGAAGCGTGCGGAGCATAATCATTGCAATCATACCAGTCAGGAAAAGCACGATCATAAGCGAGTTGATAATGGAAAACCAATGGATCTGATCATTCGAGCTCTTGCTGCTGATAATGCGGTCCCAACGTTCCTCCCAGACAATGTCCGACTTGGTAAATTGTACGTCGTACGTGTAAAGCACAGTGGTCTCCCCCGACGTGTTCAAATATTGAAAGTGTCCTTGGGATACTTCTTCAATGTTAACAAACTTGCCACACGTGTCTGAATCCAGTTCCTGTCCGACCGTGGGCTCCTTCTCGTAATTGTGTTTAATAGATGTAGGTACAACTTCAAAGCCGACGATACGCCACTTGGGTCCATTCCCATCTTCTTCTGCGTACGGATCCGCATTGACAGAAATGATAATGCGTACGTGATTGTACAGTAAATACTTTCCATCATTGTCGACTTCACCCACAGGAAAACCACGTTTAAAAGATCCATCCTGTTGCGAGTCCGTTGGATCACGGTATAATACAGGCAAGTTATCGACTACCCATTGGACATAGTAATCATTCTTGATCATGTCAATAAAAGATTGTGACTGTTCAGGTGTGTACGTCATGGGTTTGCACAAAACTTGGCAAATGACGTCCTTTTCCATCTGTAATTTGTATAGTGAATCCATAATAGCATCACCAGCCATAATCTCTCCAAGATTTTCCTGTTGTTCATGAATAGATGCAGGTTTACAGTATGGAAGATAATAGTACTCGTATGGTACTAACGTCTTGGTCGACGTGATCTTGTTTACGTTAAGACGTACGACGTCACCGGCAGCCCACGATTCAGGTGCTACGCCTGGCACATAAAAAGCTGCACTGGCTTCTTGTGCTGACAAGAAAGCAATCAATGCCGTCAACACGACGCTCTGTATCCACATGATTGTTCTTGCTCCAGAAGGAATCGTCCGTCGTCTGTCTTCTTCCCTGTATTAAAAGCTAATGAGGGGCCACGAAGCAGATACAGTGGAAAATACATACCTTTGATAAGAGATACGTAATTGAAAGAATAAACCGGTAAGAACTAATACATTAAACTTCATGTGTTGTACGTCATTTAGTCAAAATCATAGGTTTCCTATCATTAGCTTCAAAGTAACAGGAAGCGATGGAGGTCGCTAATATGTCCGCCATATCGGAGGCGTTGCATCAATTGTATGATCCACTGAGTGTACCACAAGTACGAAGACGTGCTGATGCATTATTACAGCAGTTTCAACGTTCACCTGAAGCTGCACAGACGGCATTATCCATTTTACAAGCGCCGATTATTGACACGGGAAATGCTGAGTATTTGGCGTTGCTGCGGGTCCAACGGGCGTTTTTAGCATCAACTCTTTACTTTACAGTGGCATCAAGCAGTTGCAAGGATAAAGTAGACAATGCAACGAATGGGGCGCTTGAAGAACGAGCTCAACATGAGGTTCTTGTAAAATATTATGAACTGATGGCTCAGGAAATCTGGACTGTATTGACAGGACCTAATGGAATGAAGGAAGAGATCGATGTACAGAAGTATCTGGCCCTTGCAATTGTTGGTATCTTACTACGCTTCCATGAGCCACAAAATGGCACGACTGTAGTTGATGCTGTGGAATGGCTTGTTCACAGCCAAAGGTATCCAGCTAATGACAATGTGACAAGTATACTAACGAATACTGCCGTGCTGCTGACACTGAAGGTCATTCCAGAGGAAGTTGACAATAAACGCGTTAAATTCTCCAAAGCCAAACGTGCACAGTGTGAAGATATGGTGCACGAATGTGCAGCACACGTGGTGCTTACGGTTCTTCCGTCGATTGCTGCCGCTATTGATGCAAGTGGAGAGCAATTACAAGTGCGGGGTCTCTTGTTGCAAGCTTTTGCGAGCTGGGTGGAGCATGGCACAGTGCCCCCGGAAGTTTTCATTGAGAGTGGACTCTTGGACCGATGTTTTCGTGAAACGTTGGTACCAACTCTATCAGTGTACGCGCTGCAGGGTGTACACGAAGTGGTGCTTGCCTGTCGTCACTACGAACATGTGCAGCTGATGGAGCTTGTTATGCACAATTTTGTGGTGCTACGAAAGCACGTACAAGAGCATATGGCAGGATCCCAAAAAAGCACAGACTTTTGCCTTATTGACTGCGCGAGAGCAATATCTGACTGCGGGCAGGCTTTCATCATGTATTTTGTAGACTACATGTTGGATATGCGACCTGGGTCTTTGGTGTATGAATTCCTGGACACGATATTTTTTTTCACCTCGCTGAATGATCTCGATGTCTCTAACGAAACGATGAAATTTTGGATTCATTTTCGCACGTATGTATCTGGCAAGCACGAGCAGCGCATGTACGAGTTTGAATCCTTCGTCTCACGTTTACTTGTTATTCTGGTTGAGCGAACCAAGTATCCGGAAGGGTTTGAATTCTTCCCGGAAACTGCAAAGGAGCGCTTTCACCTGTATCGAAGCGAAGTACGCAACGTATTTCGCGCACTTGCTACAGTCTCCATAGCCAGCGAGGACCGATTTATTGTGGATGCTATTCACGCGATCTTCCAACAGTATGCATCCGCCGATTCGGGAGCTCCTTTACCATCCAATGTACGCATGTCCGCGCTATTTCCGGTCTTTTGATTCGAGAACTAACTTTCTCATTACATTTCTACTTGTTTAGTGGTGGCAAATCACAGAAGTATATGTACACGCTCTTAGTGCGTTATCAAAATCGATTCGCGAGGACGACACATCTCTCGTTCCAAGGCTGTTTGAGTACTTGTCGCGAAAGGAGCCTTCTCACCGCGCACTCACGCGCACGGTAACCATCTTCCTTGGTGTAACTGGCCATTGGTTTGCGAGACACCCTATTTATTTGTCGACCTACGCGTTTAAAATTATTTCCACTGGCTTCGAGCTCTCCCTGGACGATCCTGGATTTCCGTTTACTCAGTACGGCCTAGAAGATCACGTAGCTGCCGTGGCACTGCGTAAATTGACGCTTCGGTGTGGCTCACACTTTTTTACCCCGCAATGGATGGAAGCGCTGGTGAGCCTGTACCGCTTAAACTGTGCAGCAGTAGGCGGGTCGTCGAGAAAATGTTTTTTGACAGGAAATAGCGCAGAGCTTGTGGTGGAGTCAATCTGCCATGTCCTCGCCACAGTAACGTACAAGGATGCCCTTTCGGTGGTAGACGAGCTTGGTGCCATCATGTTTGCGAACCTTGCATCGCGTTACAGCCAGGTAAATGCAGACGACAGAGGCTCAGTAGAGTTTTTGTGCGAGATGTTCAACCACCTCATCATGTTAGCTACAAAGATTCCAATGCAGATGAATCAAGAGATTTCACACCCTATACTCTGTGTGCTGCAAAAACAGTGGGGGGTGCTGGAGACCATTTTGCGTTATGGCTGCTGTGAAGAAGTCGTTGAGCGATTCTGCGCACTTTTAGTAGGCGTTTTTGAGTCTTTGCGATCCCAAGCACTGGATTTGGCATCTACAATCGTGCCCCCGTTGCTGGAACAGTTTTTGCAGAGCCTTGACGGTAGTTACCTTGGTGTGATCAAAAGCATTATTGGTTGTGCTGGCGACGACGAGGCCACAGCAGTTAGCTTAACTCGCGTGATGGTTATAGTCAGTGAGAGCTCAATAAGCAAGATCACGGTAGATGGCAGTGTCGATGAACATCCGAGGCTTGTAATTGCGCTATTTTCTTTGGTGGCAACGTGCGGCACGCACCATCCATCGGTTTTAGTCCAGTCAAACCAATTGGAGGGTGTAGTAGCACTACTATTTCGTGCTTTCAAGTCGCAGAATCCTGAAGTCAGAGTTGCAACTCTAGACTTTCTGCTTGAGTTGGGCTTGCTGTCTGGTCAGATTCTTCGCACTCCAAAAGACTTGCTGCAGGGGTCCGAATTTGCTGGCAAGATGTTGCTCTACCAGCAAATCCAGACGCTGTTCTTTGAAAAGGACGTCCAGTACCATGTGCTATTAGCTCTGTTCACTGCTGCAGCAGGAAGTGTGCCGCCTAACTTAATGGAGAAAATAGCAGAGGTTGTACGGTCTTCCTGGACCTACTTCGGACGACAACGAAGCGAAGAGCTTATCCATCGGCTTCTATCTGATAGCAGCATTTTGGGATCGCAGGTCAACAACCGCGCACGATCTGAGTTTCTCAACTTCATTTCCACACCAACTTGCATAGAAAACCCGCGCAAGTTTAAGCGAGTACTCACGGCGTTCTGTGGTCATTTCAAGCGTAATCTTACTGAAAATTTGAACGGGAATGTGATGTCTTCATAAAGGACTTGCATTGCTCGCTCTGGCTATCGCGACTGCATCCGAATGGAAACTCAAAAAGTACATAGACGAGAGACAACCAGATTTTCAAGGATGCGATGCAAGAAAAACGTCGTTCTCGCCAAAAGTGCTGTGGCAATGCTTGGTCTTACTGAAACGGATTGCCAGCGTCCTTCCAGGACGTTGTATTGTTCTCCGTGGTGGCAGTTATCAAGTGTCCACTAGGGGGGCGAGCAGCATAAGAAGCAAACGACCACTCCAAAATCTTCTGAGCGATATCCTCCGTCTGATTCAATTTGTCATGTGCATGTGAGATGACAGTCATGTAGTCAACAAAGACACGAACCACCCACACCTCCATACCTTAGTCCAGCTGGAAAAGTCAGCATTCGCCATAAACTTGCGGTTCATGGGCGTGTCGATCGTCGTTGGCAGCACGCCCAGTACCGACGAATCCTTAGGCAGCTCAGTCCTGTAGGACAAATGTACCAGTAATGGTGTGCACATTGTACATGCAACTTCAAAGAGTCTTACACAGCACTAGCAATCAGATGATGAGTTGCTGCCTTGCTAGCTCCATAGGAGACCATGCCAGGAGTGGCTTTGAGTGCCGCAGTAGCACCAGTCAGAACGAGTAATCCTCCAGGTACCAGCAAGTGACTTGCCAAGTACGTGGCTTCAGATATCAATTCAATAGTAAATTGTAAGGAAAATTCACGGATCCATGATTAATGTATCACACCTACCGAGGAATGCTGACTCGAGGTTTTTGGCGTGCATGTCCCCTAAATTAGCAAGAGAGTCTGCGTCACGGATACTGCCTCCAGTCCATCCACCCGCTGTGCACACCACAGTGTTGATTTTTCCATATCTGTTTGTCCCTCTCAATTCAGCACCTCATACAATCTTCAAGTACAAAGTGTGTTTTTCATACCTGGTCAAGATATTCTGCAACGTCTGATCCGCTTGTTTAAGGACGTTGCTCTCGGGCAGAAGGACGTTGTTTTCAACGTTCTCATTCTTTGCAAATCCCACAGAAATAACATTCCACGACGCTTGAGTAAAGTGATTCACTACACCGCGGCCGAGTGCCCCAGCGCCTCCAACAACAAGCAGCTTCTTGGACATCGCAATACTGTATGAGATACTAGACCTCTATAAGGGTTTTAATAAATTTGCAATAATTTTCTACTATTGCAAATTTAGTAAAAACCCTTTAAACTTTATGTTTTTAGCTAGAATCTGCACGAACATAACGTGTACTCATGATAAATGGTCGTACAATTTATGAGAATTTCGAAGTCAAAGCCAGTGCCGTCGGGACCTGATGACGAATACCTTCGGGACATTTTGTCTAGAATCTCTTCCAGCGCGTGAGGGCCACAGTAGAAAACTCCGACTTCTTCGCCAGGGTGGTTGGCTTTCGCATTGGAAAAGACCTTGTCCCAATCTGGACGACCAAAATGCGTAAGCTGCTTCGTATTCAAGCCAGACACGAAATCCTTGCCGGTCTGTTCGTGCACAAACTCTTGGAACATTTTAAACTGCGATGTGTTTTCACTGCCCTTCAACGTACTTAGGTACTGGTGGGTCTCAATCACGTTGTCACGGTCCATTTCCGATATCCGTCTCTTCCATAATACGTACAGGCGCAGCAAACAATTTGGCGTAGCGGAAACGACGCTCAACCAGGTAGATCAGGAACGGGGGAGTAATTCAAATGGACGAAAAGCTTCGAGAGAGCCATGATGCAGCACCATGGAATGACATCACAATCAAGAAGATTCCGAAGAGCATGTTGGAGTACCAGAAGCGGTTGAAATTGCCCTGACCGATTTTGGAGATCGCAGCCAACGGGAAGGAGATACTGGTGATCATGAAGAGGATTACACCACTCCACACCGGCAGCGACTGAAGCAAGGTAGTGAACGGAGGTCGTTCGCCGTTAGCGAACGAAGACACGTGAGCGTGACAAAAATGAAGCGCCTGATTTTGTTTGGCGTTGCGATGAGATACAACCGTAAATACGTGGAGTATGTTCGAAATCAAAAGGTGTTTACGCTATGAAAAGTTTCGTCGACCTGCGTATGGACGAGCCAGCAAACATTGGCAAAGTTTACTGATCAAACCAATGATTACATGGTCATCTACAATGTAACACCTTGAGCGTACCGTTACTTTTTCGAAGAAGTTGTCACACCTTTTGACTATGACACAGCCTCAATCTGTTTTACAATACACAAGGTCGAATTCTGTACACATCTTCATATACACGGCGTCGCGAATGCTGGCCAGTTGCAACACCAAAATAATCGTACCCGAAACGTTTACGTGATGTATTCCTTGTCCGTCGGAATTCAGCCTCGAATAAACAGACCCGTGCGCAAAGACATATAGCAGCCAATTTCACTGCATTCACTAGTATTGGATCAAACTGTTCGTTCCACGACCATCAATTTAAACAGGTTAATGCGTAGTAATCTTTGCCAGCGTCTGGCTCGTAGTCACGCCCAATGGTTTCCCGATTACTTCTGCTGCTGCTTGGGGCTCTGATGTGCATCAGCTACGTGAGCGCAACTGATGATCTCAACCCCACAGTTGTCCGCCTCGTATCCATCCACCCGCACAATGTCAGCGCGTTCACCGAAGGGCTCGTATTCGACGACAGCACACTCATCGAGTCGACGGGGCTTCACGGACAGTCCTTCATTCGCGAATACAGACTCTCGGACCTCAAGGTCGATTTTTTCAAGGCAGGAGCCACGCAGTCCGTGCCGTTTTTGCACGAGTTCCGCTTCGATGACGATCTTTTTGGTGAGGGTGTGACCGTTCTAGGGGACAAGCTGTTTGCATTAACTTACAAGGCGGAGAAGGTACTCGTTCTGTCTCGACATGATTTTCAGCTGCTTGGCCAGTTCCCCCTCACGACATCTACTAAGGAGGGCTGGGGACTTACCACAGACGGTGAGTATCTCATCGCTAGTGACGGTTCCGCCGAGGTGCTCTTCTTTGATCCAAAGGACGAGTTCAAGCTACACCATAGCATCACTGTCCGCCACGATGGAAAAGATGTGACCAACGTGAACGAACTAGAGTTTGTGGACGGCGAACTTCTTGCCAACGTGTGGCATAAGAACCATATTCTGCGGATTAATATCACAAATGGTGACGTAATGGAGCAGGTTGATCTGAGCTGGATACCCAACATGGTGCCTAATATCAACACCAAGGGCATGACGTCTTCCTCGTTGCGGGATGAAGCCGTGATGAATGGAATTGCCTATGACCCCGTGACGAGTCACATATTCTTGACTGGCAAGCTCTGGGACTCCATGTTCGAGCTCGAGCTGTCATATCTTAGCCCATATCGACGTTCTATCGTCCAGTAGATCGAGCGTCTTCATGGTACCCATTGATAAATAGTGTTGTACTTACCCTCCTGCAGTAAAATCAAAAGATGCCGAAAGTTTTGACCAAACGACATCTATCAGAAACACTTACCTGAAGAAAGTAAATATTGTACTCGACCGAGGAAAAAAGCGCCATACATCTACCAATTTTGACTACAAAACAACGTTATTTACTGTGAAGTAGAGGAATTGGCATCCAATACGAAATGCAGCATTGGCCATACTTGCTCTTAGGAAGAATAGGAGTGACCACACAGCCATCGCCTTCTTGACGTAGCAAGAGTTTCTCATGTACAACCCAAACACTCCGTAAAATTGATTGAAGTCACGTTTACGGCAGAATCCTTGTCGATAAGCTGCCGAAATGTGCATTGCAATTCCGGCGGTTCACATTTGCCACTTTTTTCGCTCGCTCTCCGGCTTTCCTCTTACTTGTCGACCTATATGCACGTAATGTTTGACATTCTCCATATGTAGCTCATACGTTGGAAGCGGCCTCGCCTTTTACCAATGCTAGTGTTTCCTCGTACTTTTCTCCAAAGAGTGCAAGTTTCTATGAGGCGACAAAGCTTTACCTAGTTCTGTCACTGATCGAATGCAGTCTCATACAGCGAGGATGTATGCGTGAATCGCTCGAGGTACTGTACATAAGCCATCATTGCTGTTTGTATTGTACGTGAGCTGAATCGCAGCGTCCTGGGTGCCGATGATACTGTAGCAGTGATGCAATGACACAAGGCTACATTCGTGTACAGAACCACTTCAACTTTCAACATCATGAGACGAGCCATCGCAATGAAATTGAACTTGCCTAAAGCGATATCCACGGAAGTATTACTTTAGGCCGGTTTATATGGTCGACACTAAAATTATTTTGTAGTTAAGAGACGTTATCAGTTTAAATAGTATGATTTTAGACCAGTTTTATGTAGCATGTTTATCTATATAAACTTTATATGCATAAACAATCTGTAACAGATCTAATCGGTTTTAGAAACGGTAAAACAATGTAAGACATAAACTCAAACCGTTATTTCTAATGACGCTACGACTGCGTCAATTGCAGGTGATCCACCGCCATGGCGATCGTACCCCATTAAACAACATCTTCAAGGGGAGCAGCAATGCTCGTTCAGAGGAGAAAGAGGCACTTCTGTGGGATCTGAAGCTGCCTACACCGACGCAACTTTGTTCCAAGTTCAGAGTCCAGACGAGCGGAAACGCTGTTCAGAGCTCACTTCAGCAGCGGCCATTCGGATATTTGACGGTTCAAGGTATTAAACAGATGAGGAGCCGTGGAAATCGACTGGTAAGGCTGCTAGAATAATAATGATAGTGGGTAGTGTCCACAAAAGTGAACAAAGGTTTTGACTGGGCAATATGATAGCAAGAATATTGCAAGGAGGAGCTGCGACTTGATACAGTCACATCCGAGCAGCTGCAGATCTATAGTAGTGGGTACACACGCACTCAACTCAGTGTACAGGCATTACTGGACGGTTTGCTGAGTGATGAACCTCAATTGAACCCTTCACTGAGTGTGCTCCCACCAGAAAAAGACATGATCAACAGTGAGTTCGTGTAATGGTTTGTGGGGCTAATTTGACACTGGCATTGATTTTTGGTATGCGTGGCATATTGTCTTACAGCGTACGGAGTTTTTCCGGAGATCATGAGGATAAAGGCAGATATTGAAAAGAATAACGGTGAATTTGCGGCTCGTGAGCACGAGATGGCTCCGATTAAGCAAGAGTTAATGCGATTGTTTCCAGCCATACACTCGGGTCAAATCCCTTTCACGTGGCTAACTGCTGCCGACTACTTCGTTTGTCGGCGTGCTCACCAGGCCCCTTTCATTCCTGGTACCGAAGTGCACGGCGATGTCGCCGAAAAACACCTTGCTTTCCGATTCCATCAGGTAGGAGATAACGTAGAAATGAAGGGGGTGTTCAGCAACAGTAGATTTCCAGTCTGAAAGAGCATTTGATTGGTGTCTACAGTTTTACTCTCATCGGACGATTTTAAAGCTCGTGGCTGGACGCTTGATGCATAATGTGCTCCGAGAGGTGTGGATCATTTGTAAATCGGTTGGTCTTGCTTCGTGTCTAACGGTTTCTTGCGTCTGATGCTGCAGATGCAAAAAGCTTGTTTGGACCACTGCGAAAGCAAGAAGATTATAATCTACAGTGGACACGACGTAGGGCTGCTGTCGGTCCTTCGATCAATGGACGCTGAAATTGCAAACGATATCGGGTTCTGGCCCGATTACTCCTCGGCTCTCACGCTTGAGCTTCTGGAAAATGAGAGTGGAAAGTTTTTTATTCGTGCTAGACTTAATGGCGAAATCCTAGCACTGAGCGAGGCTCCCGACGGTCTTTACCCATCTGATCGCTTCCGTGACGTGGTCTTGGATCACATTGGAGGTCACGCTGACTAGCTACCTTCCACAACAAGTTTCCCGGATCAAGATAGAACAGACAAGCAAGAATACAAGTTTTGTGTAGCGCAAATTAAGCCAGCAGCTCAGCCACTTGCAGTGCACGTTTGTAACGTCTTCGAGCAAGCTTCACATTCAGCATCTTTTCCTTCTCTTCCGACGCTGCTTCTTCATCTTCTTTTGCCGGAACACCCAAGTCAATAATTTCTTGTGCAGAATCCGCCACACGCTATGCAGGACAAAAAGTACTAGTCAAAAAACAGAAGCTCGTTCTCAAACACACTAAAAGCTACAAACCTTGCGTGCCGCGCCTTGGATACCGTCTAGGTATTCTAGCACAATAGCGAACATGGGCTTGGGTACAACATCAGCTTCGTACATCCACCGAAGGATCCATTGCTGCTGGATTGTCTACTTTGCCATGTGCACACCACATAATAATCAGCAGTTGTCCTCCTCCTCCTCTCCAGCAATGGTCAGTAGACTAACAAACCTTAAACTTCCACAAAAGCTCATCATCTGCCTTGATCTCTCCACGCTTCTGCCACTGCTCTAGATAGTACTTGGCCTGTTGGATTGCATCCGGTGAGCGGTCAGACTTCCCGCCGCTTTTGCTCATTTCCTCTTGATCTTTCTTCTTGACCACACGCGCACGTTTCTTGGGCAAAACATTCTCGCCATTGTCATTAAACTTGACATGCGTTTTACTTGCTTCCTTCTTGGTTTTAGTCGCCTTCAACTTACCACGTTGCTTCTTGGACGGCTTAATAGCGACCATAATGACACAATTGGCCAGAAATCGGCTGCCAACCAAATTTCTGTGACGTGTGATGTCGATACGTATCCAAATACCCGTTGATTGGCGGAATCTTAGTGCTCGCGATTCTGATTCGTCGATATTTTCGACTTCAAGGTTCGCATGGTCTTGCCCAGCTCTGCATGTAGAGCTAATCGCATCCAACATATTCGATCTCATAACACCGGCGCGATTCTTTTTTGCTTGTTTGCACCACGCTTAAAACGTTTGTTAATTGATACACATTCAAGGGAATTTACAGTACGCAAGACATGAGCCAGAAAACACAAATGCTAGCTGCGATTTAGCCCCAGGGCGGTTTTATCTCTTAAGCTTCACATTGCAGTCACAAAGGTGAGTGAGACGGCTTCTATTGCATCGGTGCAAGCAAAGATAAACTACTTGTTGCCCGCGTAATGGCTTACAGGAAGTGGGTCTTGCGGAGGTCCTGGTACTTCTTGTATCCGATAGCCGCAACGCAAGCAATGATGAACACAACGATGAAAAACGGCATCTTCCAGCCACTAGAGTTGGCGGCCGTTTCCTTAACAGTCTCTTCCAACTGCGTATCCACGTGGTCACGGATCACATTCGCTGTGCTTTGCACACGCTCAAACACTTTTCCACTTGCCCAAGCCTCAAGTTCATCAATCCGCTTCCAATCCTCAACGCCTTGTTTCTCCAGCTTCTGGATTGTGTTCTGCGTTGATTCCTTTAGTGCAGTGAATTGGTACTCAAATTCTTCGAGCAACTGATTGTATTTTCGTTTGACCACCTTCATCTTGTCGTCATTGTTTCCGTTGCTCAAAGTGGTTTCAAGGTCCTTATCAACAGCATTGCGCTGTTTTTCATCGTCCTGAGTAGCAAGCGAGTCAACAACATCACTGATCAGCAGAAAAAAAACAGCAGTGAGTCTCATTTGTCTAGATACTAAACAGCCCATGTAAAAAAAACAGGTAGACTTACTCGTAAGCGGTAAAAGCAATGACGTCGTGGTTATCAGCGAGACTGCCAGTCGAAGCCGTGATACCGACATATGCGTCGTGAATCCAGTCGTCACCAATGGTAAGACGCTGGTTATAGCACTTGACCCAGTTGCCCGAGGCATCAGCATCAATCAAGATCGAAAACTGCTGATCCGCCTGTGTGTACGTAATTCTAGCACGCGACATGTTGAGCGACGGGCTAAATGCCGCATTCTTCTCGTGGTAGCGAATACCGGGGGCCATGCAGCCGACTTTTTCCATATCATGGAGCTGGTCCAGTGTCTTTGTGCCGTCGTTCTCAAAGAACGTCACGTCCTTGTGGCCACCATTGTGCTCCTCATTCACAAACGTATCGAATATGACACCAACACCCTTAAAGTCTCCAATAAAGCCATGATTATCACCCTGTACATATTCACTCGTAGTGAGCCAAAGTGCCAGGCCATCACCAAACCAGGATTTGGCTTGACCGCTGATACGGAACGTGAGTACGGCAGCAAACTCCTTGACAGCCAATTTCTTGTTACCCCAAATATGACCGCGCTTGCTCTGACGATCAGGCGTCAGTCGTACAAAGTGGCGGTTCACGGACGTATCTCCACCGTACACAAAATAGTCTCCGATCTGGCGCAGTCCTGCGTCATTGATATTGTCAAATGGTTTCTCGAATGAGACGTAGTCCAAACTTTTGGCATAGACAGGAGAGGAATACAATGCAGTAAACAGTGTTGCCACCACACATAACAACCGACTACAGCTTATAAGAGAGACACTCATCGATCGATACTGTCGAATTATTTGCTACGTGGCCGAAGATCGATAGTGAGAATGATCCTAAGTACGATTGCAACGGTACATTTGATCGGTTAGATTCTTTTCACGATATTTGCGTTTAATTTTGAGTCAAATAGTATGCGATCGTATTTTTCCAGGACGTAATTTATGTGTAAGGAAATAATTAGATCATTTTTTACATTAGAAACTCGAATTTAGAGGTAAGTTTTGTCCATTCAAGAGCATGTTTAGCACTGCATCAACGCTCAAGACGAACGTTTCGGTGCCTTTGCTGCCCTGGGTCGAGAAGTAGTACGTGTATCAATCATTCTCTGTCCTCACATACAATACATAAACAATATTTGACCCATTGTTTTTTTTCCTCCAGTCGTCCCAAGAATGTGGACGAGATATCTCACCAAGAGCATGTCGTGGCTACACTAAAGACATCGATTGCGAATGGTCAGTTGCCCCATTTGTTATTCTACGGACCTCCAGGCACGGGCAAGACATCTACTATTGTGGCTGTAGGACGTCAGCTCTTTGGCACGGATTTTCGTAAAAACGGCCGCTTCTTGGAGCTGAACGCATCGGATGATCGAGGTATTAAGGTGGTACGCGAAAAGGTCAAGAGTTTTGCTCAAGGAGCCATCAGTACTGGTAAAGGCTTGCCGCCTTTTAAGATTATTGTTCTGGATGAAGCCGATTCAATGACAGGTGACGCCCAGTCGGCACTGCGTCGCATGATGGAAAACTATTCCAAGGTCACACGTTTCTGCCTCATTTGTAACTATGTAAGTCGCATTATCGAGCCCGTGGCATCACGGTGTGCCAAGTTCCGCTTTGCACCATTAGAAAAGGTCTCAATGACGTCTCGTGTGCGCTTTATCGCCTCAGAAGAACACGTGAATGTGTCGGATTCGGTGCTGGACTCGCTGCTCGAGTGCTCGAATGGTGACTTGCGAAAGGCAATTAACTACCTGCAAAGTGCCAAGCAGCTCTGTGGAGAGGAGGAGTTGTCGGAAGACGATGTCGTTGCGGTGGCTGGACTTGCTCCGCCTGAATTGCTGCAGCAGTTCTGGGTCTCTGTGGCTTCTAACAGTTTTGAGAAGATGAAGACCGACATTGAAAGCATATTACTGGCAGGATACCCGGTGTTAACCATATTGCGGCAGCTGAATGACGACGTGCTCGCAATAGAGAAGATCAGTGATGTACAGAAGGCTAAGATTTGTCTGCGCATTGCGGAAGCCGATAAGAGGCTCGTCGATGGTGCTAGTGAGCACTTCCAGCTACTAGACGTCGCATCCTACGCCATGCGTGTGTGTCATACGTCGTAATACATGTGATCATGCAGCATAAGTACATGAAAAAACAATGGCAACGAGCACCTCGATAGTGGATTAAAGCTGCTACACCAACACTTGAACCGTGGTACAGCATTGATCTACTTGTTAGCATCTAGCTGCTCATGATAGTAGTTGCACCTTGATCAGTTACAGAAGATATTTGCGTCCATTCATGATTCTTTTGCTGCTTCCAAAAGGTAACCTCGTCATCACCAGCAGCGACGCTAAGCATCGAGCCCGTGAGTGACCAGCTTATTCGATACACTGGCGCACGAAATGTATGCATCACGTGGGATGACCACTCGCCATCGGCTTCATCTTGAGTCCAAACACGCACTGTATGATCATCTGATCCAGACGCGATCACATTCGCTGGGATGCCCACATTCGGAGCCCAAGCTACATCACGAACCCAGTCGTTGTGTCCATACAAGGGGGTGTTCTCGATTTCCCAATAACTGGTGCCAGCATTCCCATCATCTTGAGGCTTTATAATAAGATGCCAAATAGTAATCGCCTGATTGCACGATCCAGTGATTACGCGTTGGATCGGCCCTTGAGCTCCTTGCGAACCCAATGAGTTGTAGGGTGCCCAGCTAACCGACGTGCAGCCCATGCCTTCCTCCGAGTTGCGAAAACTTGACGAGGTTACCCACCCTTCACGCATACGGGTAAGGAACGACACTTGTCCATCAGCTGACGCACTTGCAAGACACAGTCCATACTCGTACGGCGCCCAGGCCACACTCAGTACTGCCAGCGAATGAAATTCATGCACGTGTTTCAGACGCCACTCTGTCACATTTCCGACACCTCCAGCACCCTGTTGCACCAATTCCTCTCGGTAAATGTATACTTTGCCATCTTGAGCAGCCAGAGCCAGCACTGCACCGAACTTGGGGTGCGCCCATGCCACACGGTGGATTGGAGCTGCTGAGTCGTCAATAAGAGGCACCACGTGCTGTAAATTGTGAAGCTGCTGCTCCTGACTTTCTTTTTCTGTTGAATGCTCGGTACTATCTGTACTAGCTACAACAGCCTTCGACACGTCGTATACGCGGAATGTTCGATCGGATGAGCACGTAACCAGGCGTTTGCCATAGTAGTCCAACTGGATATCGTAGATCGAGTCATTGTGCTCCGTTTCAATACTCGTTACCGGTGCCTGGCGTGGGTGTTGATGTTGCTGAGAGAGAGGCTGACCGTACTGCACAGGAAACTGTCCGTCCATCGTCGTGCCGTGCATGCGGCCAAAGATGCTTTAATCGTCGACAAAAATGCTTTTGTAAAGTCTTTTAATTACAGCGTCTAAAATCTGAATGATTTGACACATCTCAGATTAGTATTCTTTCTGAGGCCGCGTAAGAATCATCAATAGGGAATAGTAATTACAATAAAAGCATGCTTGTCACTTATCCTTCATCCTCCTCGTATATTAAATTTTGATGTTGCTAAAATCATGCTACAAACTTCTACACGAGCTTCATGGGCTCTCTGTACAATCAGCGAAGAGCGTACTGATCTTTCTTGATCGTAATCTCTGGTTGAAAAAGATATCTATTACTTTGCCATGGTCAATGACTAGGAGACCAGGTAGGGACTGAGGACCTAGTCGACGCAAAGTAGGCGTTACGGATCCGAAAAGTCAGAGAGCTTCAGCCGCTGGGAATACGAAAACACTCTCACGGATTCCAAGTCTGGGTATGCTACAGAGTAGCTACCCATCTATTGATCTTTACTTTTGAGGCGCATATGCACTCGACATGCAAGAGGCATCTGGCCTGCGTTGGGCACCACGAAGGACGCCTACATATCCTCTTGGACTGCGTCGGTACGTCCAAGTCTTGGACATACATCATCACGCAGTGGACGCGATCGGTGGTTTCGTCCACTCACATGCTTTTGTACAAACAAGCCGCGTTATCGCGATCGGCACCGGAGCTACCTCCGAGAGTGCGGGTGGATATCAAGCACGTGTTTCCAGACACCGCTGACATAGCTGACCGGGTATCAAGGGACAACAAAGAGATAGGGATGTGAGCAATGGCGTCTACTGCCGCCTACCAACGGAAATGTTCCAAGACACCATCATCGTCAACCAGCAGCCGAAACGACACAGCCCTCGTAACCGACAGGAGACATCTCCTACGGAACCATGACGGTAAATAAGACAGCCTATTCTCACACACACATATATCATAGACGGCAAAGAGTCAATTACTGTTATTAAGTGCTTTGTGTAGGTTGCGTCTTGGTTCGAATATCTGCTTAGTTGGGTCATTCTTTTCCATAGGCTCAATTGTTTTAGATCAGTATAAATCTCGTATGACTATTTCAAAGTTGCAATGTTTGCTGTAAATGGGCCCAGCGGACCATCGTCACGCCATGAACGGCGTGTAAAGAGCGACCGACAGCGAAAGGAAGAGAATGAAACCACGAGGTGCTTGGCAGAGAAAACAAAAAAGCACTTTTTTCGGGAAAAGCATGCGCAAGCTGCCACCAACAAACACGGTGAGCGCTCAATGTATAGGAGTTTGTATGCAAAATCAGCGTTGATATGGTCTGCTTGCTCATACTGAAATCGACATAGAAAACGGAAAGGAGTTTCCCAAAAAATCTGATATTTTTAAGGTACACTATTGGTAGGGGTTACGTCTTTTCAGTGCCTCCATTATAAAAAGTTGGTTTGATGATTGTTCTAGGGTTGTCAGATTGTGTTTAATGGGCAAACGGGCAAAATATCTTTGTATGTAATATTGAAACGAGACTATCGTGCCGTCATTTCCTTACGGTATTCTTTCTTGCTTTTGTTTCTAGGTACTATTTGGCAAAGTTGGTAAAGGAGCATGGTGGTAACGTCGCGTAAGCGCAATTATGGTCAATGTACAACATAATTGCCAGTCATTTAACTGACACGGCGATTGTAATCTCGTTGATTATGCAGATCGTCGATGGCTACGCGCATCACTCACATGGTTGGTTCCAATTTGAACGGATCCAAAGCAGATAAAGTGCTCAGGGTATGCTAAAAGTAGCTGCTCGAATCAAAGCTTGTTGTTGATCTAATGAGCTGTTCTTGAATGCACAGAGCTCTGGCAAGTTCAAATTTGTGAGCCCAGGTACGTTCCTTCAATGCTGGTAATTTCTCTCGCTCATTTTAGTTACGCTGTCACAGAGTGGATCTTGCAGTCAATCAAGCATAAGACACGCCAGCCCGAGTTCGAGTTCCTCGTGTACAAGGACTCTCAGGCAGCACGCTCACTCCGTGCTGGATTCTCGCGAGCTGCTTCATCAAACAAGTGAATGGCGTACGAGGTAAACACGAACAATGGACGTGCACACATGTGCGCTACCAAACAACCAAAACATCCACTTGTAAAAAGAAGAAGAATATGTCATGTATAAGGTCACAACTACCCAGAGTCAGCACTCGTTGTCTCTCCTTTCAGCCAAGACTGAGAACGTGAGACCTAAGCAAGAGCGCAGAGCCGACCTGACAAGCGCAACCTGATATCCTTTTCAAACGCCAACTAATCCTCGACAGCCTTTACCCGCTTCGCACTTTAGCCTTATTGATCATTATCGTGTCCACAACTTCTTACATCTCATTGTGCAAGACTCCGAACCGTAGACAAACCAACTATTGCGCGACGCAAGGCAAACAGGACTCATCGACACTGCTTAACAGCACTTCGAACCGCCGTTGGAAGGAACCTGTTGGCCGGGCGTCAGCTTAACGCCAGCCTTGGGCGCCACCGGAGCGTTGGCCATACGTTTCTTGATCTGGGCAGCCATCATCATGAAGGCCTTTTCAACGTTGGCTGCGTTCTTCGCACTGGTCTCGAGGAACTCAATGCCCAGGCTCTCAGCAAACTCCTTCGCGGCATCCGTGCTCACCACACGCTTGGCCGTTAGATCGCTCTTGTTGCCTACTAGCAACTTGTTTACGTTCTCGCAAGCGTATCTGCAACCATAATAGCAACACAACGTCAATGTCCAAACATCTTCTTACACAACAGATGACCTCTCGGACGCACCTATCAATCTCGTGCAGCCACTGTTTGACATTGTTAAATGACTCCTGGTCGGTCACATCGTACACTACGATAATACCGTGGGCACCGCGGTAGTAACTGCTAGTGATCGTACGGAAACGTTCCTGGCCAGCTGTGTCCCACTATAAAAGTACGCATAATTAGTTAAGATACTTCATGCATACGACGACAGGCCGCACGATGGCAAAAGAGCAACTACGTATCGTACAATCTGGAGCTTGATGGTCTTGCCGTCGAGCTCAATAGTACGGATTTTCTAGAGACAACCACAAATACAAAAATCATGTCAGACATATCAGGCTCAATCAGAAGTCTACAGCAAGGGGTTCATTCAGATCACTCACAAAGTCCACACCAATGGTCGAGATATAACTCTCAGTGTACGTATCATCAGCAAAACGAAGCAGTAGACACGATTTACCAACGCCAGAGTCACCAATCAGCAGCAGCTTAAACAAGTAGTCACTAAAGATCAATACACACATTGTCAGTCAAAACTTGTGGTATATCATTCTACAGCTCGAGTCTCAACGTACTATTCCGGGTTCATCTTGGACGTTTCTAGAGAGAGAGAGAGCGGCAGATAAAGGTGCTTTTAATCTACAGATAATTCCATCAGAATGTGAGTTTTTTTCCCACTCCATAGAGAAACCAAGAAAAAAACAAAACGGCTTACGCGTTCTGGGCGTTCTTTGGATTGTGGTGTGTCAGAGAAAGAGAAGGAATCGGGGGGAAACGGATCGATGGGTTACTACTGATTGGTCGAAATGGTCACTCCAATTTTAAAAGTTGGCTGGAGGTTTGTGATTGGCTACTGGCTAACTAAATAGTTCGAGTGCATTTCATTCAATCAAAGTTGGTATTAATTAATCGGTCAAAGTACATGAACATTAAGTAACGGTCACGAAGCTACCATTAAATCGCGCGGAAGGCGCTCGTATTTGTAATTAGATAGCACTGCTTCAAAGGCGTATATTTTTAGAATGCACTTCGATATGCCACCATCGCAATGATCAGTTCCTACATTTTTGTAACCACTATATTGCATATTCCGCAATGATTTCCGAGATCCTGGTTCAACCAGAATGATGGTCTTTTGTCTGCCTCGTTTCTATCCATTTTGACGATGAATTACGTATCGTTCTCGAAGCCCTTGTCCTTATAAAATCTAGCATTTAAAGCCAAACGAGGCCACATAAGTCCGATTTACAAGCCTCTATTCAACGAATTAGCATTTGTTTCGACCTAGGGTTGTGCGTCAACGTAGCTCTTTACTCCTCCCCTAACACAAAGAAAAGCGAGAAAGCTGAGAAGAAACGTCGCAGGCAAGTAATGAGATGGAGGCTCTGTTACTGTCGGGCGCCAGTTGCTCTCCACACTGCGCCATCCCCACTCTATTCTCATCTTTGCAGAAGAAACTAACTGGTGGTTGTATGGGGGGTTACTATTTGGCTTCATATAGACGTAAAGAACTTTAAAGAGACGCCTAGAAGAGAAGAATAATCACCACCAGTTTGGCTTTAGTACCATACATATCATGAGCTCTTTTAAGAAGGAACATTCGTTTGGTACGTAGCTCATTGATCTCCATAGCCTTCAATTAAAGTGACAAGAGCTAACAATACGGGGTGTGATTGTGTTATAGAGAAGCGCCAAGCTGAAGCTCAGCGCATCCGGTCCAAGTACCCTGACCGAATTCCAGTATGTGCTTGTTACTTATCTGATCAGAACTTTTCGGATGCTTGACTTGTTTTTTTTTGGTATATTGATCTTGGTGCTATAGGTGATTTGTGAAAAGGCAGACCGCAGTGACATTCCGGATATTGACAAGAAGAAGTACCTTGTGCCGGCTGATTTGACAGTTGGTCAATTCGTGTACGTGATCCGGAAACGTATTAAGTTGAGCCCAGAAAAGGCCATTTTCATCTTCATTAACAATGTGCTTCCACCCACCGGTACGTACTCTAACGTGATGTTGTCTTATTGTATACTCTCGAGTAACTTACCATGTGTGTGTGTGAATGTATTGATTCAGCTGCGTTGATGTCGAACATTTACGAAGAACAAAAAGATGTCGATGGCTTCCTTTACATCACTTACAGTGGTGAAAACACCTTTGGCCAATAGGCTGCATGTGTCGGCGTGCGGGGACTGGATGATGGCTGAAGATTTTCTCGTAGATGCTGTTGTGGCTTCGAATTTTTCTCGTTTGCACGATGTGAGAAACTGCGACGCTTTTTCATTGCATTCTTTATTATCCAACGTTGTCGTGGGGGGGGGTGGGGTGATGGCACGACGGAGTTTTGGTGAATGAAGAATGCTGAACAGCCGTAGGTCACTTTTCCAAATACAAGGAAGACTTCTGCTATGTGTAGTCCATTCTTCCAAAGCTGGCAGTGTGGGTATTTTTTAGGAACAAAACTCCAGAAAAATGCAATTCTATTCATTCCTTTCTTGTTGTTGCAATTTTAACGCTTTTTCAAACGATGTGCATTGGAACTGAATCATCTGTAGGCCTTGACCAACAACTACAACTTCGTCAGCTTCTCCATCTAGGGTTTTCCGAATTGCAAGGTCGGCAATGTCGGCGCATTCCGAGATTGTCGCACCTTGCCACTCTAGTCTAGATTTGCCGTTTTCATCGCGCAGAATACTCCATTTGCTCAATCGTTGATCGTAACCGGCTGCATAAATGCGTTGGGCATTCACACATGCAACCGTTTTGATAGCTGAACCACTAGCATTTACTATCCGAGTTTCAAACAGCTTTTGGCACGATGGAAAGCGTAGCTCATGCAGATTCAAGCCCTGGTCGTCTCCGCCGCTGATGAGCGTTACATCAAGGCTCCCCTCTTCCGTGCTTTTCGCAGAGGAGACAAGATCGATGCAGTTTGTGCCCATATCATGCGCCAAGTAGCTCCCACATGGCTGTAACTCGCTTATCAGCCACAGCACCTTTTTCTTAAGCTGTCTCAAGTCGTGATGGGATTGAACAATCGAACCTATTTTCTTCAGCAACAAGCTTAGGTCCCACAGTGTCACCAAACCATCAGTAGAACCAACTGCTAGTCCGGCAATTATCGCCTCAGCTTCACCCTTCTGAAAACCTATACATGACAGGATCGGCTTTTTTGAGGCCAAACGGCAGTCACCAAGCTCGAAAAGCTCACCATTTTCTACATCCAGCAGTAGTAACTGAGTAGAGCCCTCGGAGTTGCAAGCTGTCACAAGTCGATAATTATCCGAGATGTACGGAATCGAAAACGTAGCAAGCCCGAGGATACGATGGTCCTGAGCGGCTTCCGCACGTTCGTGGCTACAAACATGTCGGAGGTCGTCATAGTCACTAGAGACTAGCCACACATTTAGGCGCTGCTTCCCGCCCCCTGACAGCACGGCGTATTCTTCAACGCCATCAGAATTCTTGCGTCGGAACGTCGTGAGCGCCCGAACAGTAGTCGTATGGGCAATTCCTGAAGCCACGCTGCCCCAACGCAAGCTTTTCTTTTGATCGCATTGCGCGCGGCGACGATGCAGCATAAGGCTGTTGTCCTCTGCTGCAGTAACTAAACGGCTATGATCAAGAAAAGCCACAGAAGTCGTCATCCGCCCATGATGGTGGTCGTGCAGAGAGCATCGAGAGAAAACGGAAGAAGCCTCAGTAGACTCGTGCTCAGTCAAAAGAGTACACGTAGAATGCACTTTGATGTCAACGTATTGCTTCTGCGTTGGAGGTGTGAACACAAAGGTATGCGAGGGAATGGCCGACATGACCTCATCACTACGAATACAAAGCGCATGGGGGCGGCGCCAACCACCGCATTCCACCTTGAAGACACGATATTGCGCTGACATGTTGTACAGTACAGCGTGGGACGCGTGAAAGCCAAATACCATGAGATCATTCTTTGTCTTGCCGTCGTTTGATGCCGGTTGTCTCCACCGAAGCTGCTTGACTGTAGAGATTCCTCGGATAGCTTCGCGGCCTAGCTGTGTAGCTGTCAGGGCTCCACTAGTATCTTCTTTTAGTGCATACGAGCAAATGTACCCGTCGTGACCCCCCGAAAACATGGTAATGTAGCAGTTTTTAGCATCGCCGAGTAGAAGTGATGCAACCAATTCACGTCCGTGGACGCTCTTAAGGACGAGACCGGGGGGCCGCACTACATCAGTCTCGATATTATGGCCCTCCGGAGTACACGGGCGATGAAATATATACACGTTGCCATGCCCGTCACCTCCCACAATATTCTTGATCTTAGGTGATCGATCTACTACTAGAATCGATGAGATTGAGCTCTTGGCTGGGATCTTGAACGTTGCCACAAGATTCATTGTAGTAATGGATAGTGGTGCCAAGCTATCGCATGCCTCTTCAATGATAGGTCTCCACTCAGTGAGAACGCCGCTAGCACTACTAATGAACAGAGCGTCTTCCTGGTCCCACCATATTTTCATAACGCGAACATTGATTTGGGTATTCCACGAGTACAATAGAGTTCCTGTAGATGCTCTAACAAGACTCACGCGACCCGTTACTTCGCCAAGTAACAAGAAGCGCCCAGAGAAATCGATTGAAAACGTAGACAGTCCACCACTTCGAGGTTGAACAAGGGCGCCGTCAGTTGGAAGGATACCGAAAACAAGTTCTGCTGTGAGTGACAATAGATCCAGACGAAAAATCTCGCCATGCTCGGAGGCCACAAATGCCGTCTTCCCATTGTCCAGAGGGCTGAGTACGATGTTTCGCACACTTCCAGATGATGGACCGCCCTTCTTCTGCTTCATCAACTCAGTAGATATTATCGTCATATGAACGCGAATAGTTTTACACAAGTCACTTGCCGCCGACCCCCCGTCGGAAGAAGACATAAGCTGGCGTCTGATGTCCCAAAGCTTTACAGCACCGTCACCGCCTCCCGTGGCAATCATCTTTTGCGACGGAGGGACGGCTACACGCCACACATTCCTGCCCATGTGTCCCTGCAACGTGGCTAAACAATTACCTTCTAGGTCCCAGAGCTTAGACAGACCATCTTCGCTCGCCGTTACGACACCGCGCTCCCAAAAAGATACATCCCAAATACGGGCCGAGTGACCCCAAGCTCGGAACACTGGAGAGTACTCACACTGCAGCAGTTCGTCTCGGTTTAGTGTCCTTGACAAGTGCAGTAAATCGACCTTAATATTTCCATTATTCGACCACAACTGTACGGTGCGATCGTCCGAGACGGAAGCCAACGAGCGGGCATCGTAAGACCACGCCAGCTTGAAAATGACACCGTCGTGAGCGTGCAGCCGTTGCACCGGTTCAATGGCAGTGTTGACGTCTTTCAATGCATTTCCCATCGGATTCCACAGTAAAATCTGTTGAAATACCGTTCCCGAAGCGACCACAAGCTCATCCAATGATCGTCCGTGAAAAGCCAACGCATACAAAATGCAGCGCTCGGCACACTGGATGCTACGTAAAATATCACGAGTCACGGGGTCCCATATCTGCACAAAATTATGTGCAAGTCCGACTGCAACCAGCAGCTTCTTGTTCTGTTCCGATGCAAAATCGTTCGTCAACAAGTGTGCATCAAACACCCAGTCACAAAACACGTTTGGTTTGCCCAATGTCATGAGCTTCTCAAGCGTTCGCGCATCCTCTGGAGTTTGCGGCAAATTATAATAGCATGACACATGTTTTTGACCAAAGAAAACACCGGCAAAAGCATTTGTATCAGGAAATCGGACAAAATCACAGCCGTGTAGAATGCCTCGCGTCAAAACAGTGTGTTGACTCATTAGCTTTCCAGTAGCAGTTGCATAAAGAAAAATTGTTGGTCCTACACCAACGTAAAGCAAAGATCCATCTGATGAGAATGAAAGGAGCGTCACTGCACCTAAGAAGTCCAACTTTTCGATGGACGGCACCATTTATTCACTCGTGATGAATGGCAGGGACATGTTCAGATAGGAACCGGTACTTTGCCAAACGGATACCGGTTTACATGGCTACATTTACGTACAGATGGGTTAATAAAGTCCTCTAGTTGTAGCATGTTTATGTTTACCGGCTGTCAGGGATTGCCCATCCCCCCATCTTCTTACGAAAACAATGATTTATCGCAGGTCGTCTTTCCATACGTTTTCAGGGAAAAGGCACTACCGTGTCCATTCTTCATGTCAGTTTCCATCTGGTCACGTACCCATCTGGTTAAATAAAGTCGGGCTTAGAACCATCTGACTTGGAAACCGTCGCGTTGTCGAGCGAGCTCCAAGAGCGTGTCTTTCGTAGCACGTACCAAGTCACTCGTCGCCTTTTTCCGTAGTTTGAGACCACCCCCTCATTTCGAGATCATTACGATGCTAGTTGCAAGTACCACACCCAATGAGCTTCGTCTGGACGTTGTTTCGAACGTAAGTGACGTTTTGGTAACGAGTACAAACGAGTTGAGCATGGAACAAGAAGAAGGAAAAGAAGAAGATTATGCAGAAAATGAAGAAGAGCAGGACTGTGTTTTGATCGTCAGGAAAGACCACGTAGAAGCTGAGATGGAGATGGAAGAAGCTGAGGAAGAGGTGGAGAGTTTGGAGGAAATAGCAATGGGTTTGGAGGAAAAGAAGGAGGTTTTTGAGACTAGCAAAGATGAGCTGAAGGAAGAGAAGCAGGAGCAGGAGGAGGAGCAAGTGTCGTCGACACGTACTGCAACTGCAAGGGGTGGTGAGTCGACTTTGATTAAGCGACGTCCATTTGTTCCGTTGGTGTCCAAGAGTTGGCGCATGCGAGCGATGGAGTCCAATACACATATTACACGCCTTATGAAGGCAGCGTTACTTCAGACGCTGCTGCACGCTATTCGCATTGGATCGGTGGAGGGGGTAATGGTCGCGATTGAGCGTGGAGTGCAGGTACAGTATCTGGACAGTCGTCAACGCAATCTTGTAATGCTGGCATCCAAGTGCGACACAGAAGCTCGACTTCATATTGTAGTAATTCTACTAGACGCTGGCTGTGATATGAACCACAAGGATCAGCTAGGCTGGAGCTGTCTGCATTACGCTTGGTACGTTTAACGGCTCGATGGTTTCTTTTTAGTACTGAAAGCTGACTAGCTAATATGGATTTGGACATTGGCTCTTGATATAGTGCAAGTGGAGCTATCAATGTGGCTGCAGAGCTCATTCGTCGTGGAGCTCGCGTCGAGTTTAATCCATACGGTTATGGCCCTGAAGATTTTAACATTCCGAAGGTGGCGCGTGCAAAAAGTCTGCTGCAACACACGGAGCAGCTACACCACGAACAAAATGTCTGTGCTGCATGGACATACTTTCGTCGTCAGGCTGAAAAGTCTAACTACAGTATTAAGTGCAAATCGGTACGTAGACGGTTATCGATTGAGTTGTATGGCAATTGTTGAAAACTAACTATATGTGTGCTTGTTTGTACGCAGAACGGCGATCTTGGCAAGCCACTGAAGATCACGTTTCAAGCCCCTGCTGGGCATAGCCCTCTGGACCGTCTCCGTGTGGTTGATATGAACTCGGATGTGGCTCTATGGCTACAAGTTTCCAAGACCTTCAATGTTCCGCCTGGTGATGTGGGTACGATCACGTTAGATGTCGAGACGCTTGATCATCCATCGTTGTATCGTATCGTTTACGAGAAATATGAGCCCACACCTATTCAATTACGACATTCGGCTGCTGAAAACAGCTTATGCGTCAGGAACTTAGACACAGGAACTTCAATGTTGATGGGCAACGTCAACACACTGGTTCTAAGGGAGCTCCAGAGCTCTCGATTGTCGAAGAAATCGAAAAAATTGTCGAGTTCAGCCAGGTAAACAGAGGGTAACATCTTTGCGTCTGACGTGTTTGCAGTACTAACGAGCGCTTTGGTATTATCTCTATAGACCAGCTCCAAAGTCGGACAAATCTGCGAATGCGGTTCGAAGAGGATCGACAACGTACGTCGCCTAGTTGGCAATCGATGTACATGTACAGTTGGATCGAGGCTAACGTTTTTGTTACGGTAATAGTCGAGCACGGGAGATCACTGACAAGGACCGTGAAGCTTCAGTGGAAGAAGACGATGACGAAAATGCTGATTCAGGTGATGAAACAATCACGACGCAGGAGTTGGCTGAGCACCCAGCGATGACGAGCATTACCGGTGTGTATAAGATTGTGGCTATGGGTGTTGTCAGTGTTTCCACGCTGGTAACTGCAAAGGCGAACGAATACGTAATCTCTATTTGCCGCGAGGGTCCGCTTGGTCTCCAGTTGGTACGGCTTGTCTATATTGCTAGTTGAACTCTTTGGGAGCCGCTGCATCTCTGACTTGTTTTTGTTATCTTTCATGTGTAGGCGCCCCAGATTGACAGCTTGAAAAGATCCCCGCGTCTTGTTGTGCGGCGTAGTCAGGGCCAAACGGCAGCAGTGAACCCGGGCGATTGCCTTGTTGCGATTGGTAACGCTAATATTGAGCATGCTGGTCTCAAACACACGCTATGGGCACTGAATGATACGAAACGGCCGCTTGTCCTTCGCTTTCGACGTGGAAATGCCAAGGAGAAAAAGAGTATGTTTGAGACTGGTCTATCCATGCTTACTGGATCTCGTAAACAAGCCGTTATTTCAGTGTAGGTGTCAGCTAGTGGCAGATGCAGCTTTGTTTGCATCGTTTAAGTATGGGTGAATATAAACACGTCACGATGACGGCGCATGATGTCGTGAATCGATTACGCCTCTCACGTAAGACTTACAAAGTACTATGACACAAACATTACTAATTGCACTGTTCAGGATAACAACCTACCATGGGTCGGGGCTAGAACATTGCATGCCCTTTGTCTATATGACAATACTTGAACGTCCTGTTTTGGCTGGCGCATCGTTGGCATAAAGCTCCAGGCTTAGTAGACACGTCAATAACATGCAATGGATGTGTCTACCCAAAACAATGCGCAGAAGTCATTTTATCAGTCAACGTCCCAGTTTCAGTTATGCCAGTAAGAAACTCACCCTAAAGTGCTCGAGTAAATCGTCTGGATGAACCTGACTACGATTTTCCGTCTCGGGATCGTACACGATTGCGGGATCTATCACATCCATTATGTTCAAAGATGGCCAAGCGTCTTCTAGTTTCTGAGGTAGTTGTCTCTTACCTTGCTTGCCGTCTCCACGCCATAAATACCAAGCTTGCGCCTCCCACCACGCCGGCTCCGGAGATCCCGCATTTCGATACTATTCGTGTCAACAACAACAAGACAATACCGCCACGTCAAGATTAGCCAAAAGTCTACGCAAGTAGAGCATACCATCCTGCAAACAACTTACTGCAACTGCTAACATGGATCCTGGACGTAGTGTGCTCGCCCACGATTTTACATGCAGCAAGAAATCATTAGGTGCTTTACGCGCCGTATACTTTTTTGTCAGCTGCCACTCGCCATCTTTTCCATTGCCACGTCGTCGAAGCCATGGGTTGTGTCCATGGAACGTCCACGCATTTGGTAGCATGTTACGATGTGGTTCATTGGGATCCACACAGATAATGCCAAAAGCCCAATGTGGAAACTGCTGCCTCATTACACCAGTCTTATAGCCTGTATAATAAACAAAGAGCTTGTGCACACATGTCATCTGATTGTACATGAGTTGCGGCCACGACTCTGTCGGTTTAGGCTCTTCCTGCTTGAGCAACTTGTCCGATGGAGCCTCCGCAAGAAACTTTCCCACTGCGTGCTTTGCCATAAGATCCACATCATGTTTCATCATCTTGTTTGTCTGTCAGTAGATCACATTACACGTCAGTAAAGCTCTAGTCTCACGTATATCCTTCCAAAGTCTCTGTACTGGCATTGCACGCACCATTCCTAATCTACCAAGTGCACGAGGCGTCAAGAACGCCGTAATATGCAACTTGAGCTCAAATTGAAGCTTCTGAATGTTTGTCACTCTCTGATATCGACGTGTAACGCCTTTCAACGTGATTAAACTATCGTCGACACGACGTTTCTTCGCAGCGACTTTGTCTGCCAAATTCTTTTGGAAATAGGCACTCTCCACGCGCAGAATACACGAACAAACGTCACGTCCATTGCAGCGACGTGTGTGACACACAATTTTAGTATCAACGAGCGGCCCCGTGGCTGTGCTCGCAGCTTCCTCCGTCATCGCCGCCTCTTGCTGCTTTGGGTTCATGCTTACAAACATGCTCCATATCATAAATCAGAGTGTCAAACTTGATATTCACTATGACAGGGGATGAATCACTAAATTTAGAAAAACACAAACCCTCTAAAAAATGATACAAAGGCTGCAGTCGAGTAAAATGCGTCGCTGGTTGTCTGTTCCTCCAGAGGCAAAGGTGATTATTAATCGTGTACGAGGTACGAGAGACTTGTTGGTCGATGAATCACAGCGACATCGTGATGTGATTAATGAACTGCAGCGCATTGTGGAGCGCTTTGGATTTCGTTCGGTACGGCTTTTTTGATTGAGTGTGAGAGAGTATTCGGTAGACGATTGACATATAGGGTCGTATGTAGATCCAGACGCCGCTACTCGAGTATACGGATTTATTTTCGCGGTCATTGGGCGGTGGCTCTGATATTGTTATGAAGGTTTGTGGGTAGAGGGAGAGAGAGAGAGAGAGAGAGAGAGAGAGAGAGAGAGAGAGAGAGAGAGAGAGAGAGAGAGAGAGAGAGAGAGAGAGAGACTCTATTCATATTGAAATGATTTGTTGTTTGTAGGAAATGTACACGTTTAAGGACAATTCAGACAAGAGTGTAACATTGAGACCGGAAGGCACTGCTGGTATGTTTATATCGTGTTTTGAAAAGTGTCTGTTTATCTTGTACGGGGATAGATTGTTACTAAAAAGTGTGTGTTTTGCAGGCATTATGCGGACTCTTGTAAGCAACAATTTACTTTTCTCACTACCACAAAAACTATCGTACTCGGGTAGTATGTTTCGGTGCGTGGTGGCTTAATAGTGTGGCTCTTGGAATAATTGACGGACGAGGGTTTGTAGTTTGTTAATTTGAACGTACTGCTCGGTTGATTGGAGGATGTAGGTATGAACGTCCTCAGCGTGGAAGGTATCGAGAGTTTCAGCAGTTTGGTGAGCTGCTAATGTGGATAAACTGAGTTTTTGGTGGATGAGAGCTTTAATGATGTTGTTGTCTGCGCATCGTGGTGTCAGGTGTGGAATATGTGGGTTCTTCTGGCCCATCGGTCGACGCCGAGGTGAAAATTGATTCACTACTGCTAATGTACTGGTACAATAACAGCATTGGGCTTACGCAATATGGTACTGATGCAGGTTATTGCCATGGCATCGGATGCATTGGACGCCCTTGGCATCAAGAATAAAGTTGTCCTGGAATTAAACTCACTAGGTGATAACGAAAGGTAACAAGCGATTGCTTCTAACAACATAAAACTCAGGACGACTACGATATCTCACTTCTAATGCATTCGTCGATAGCCGTGCAAAGTATCGCATGGCGCTCGAAGAATTCTTCTCAAAACGCAAGGAGGACCTATCGGTGGATAGCGTCAATCGGTGCGTTTGTTTTACCCTGCTTATATTGTGGCAATAGGCGTATGAGCGCAATAACAGGTAGCTTCTTGATTGTTGATCAGTCTTGAGCGAGGGAGCGTGCTTCGGATATTGGACTCGAAGAGTGAGATTGACCAGAAACTTGTAGCTGATGCACCACAGCTGAGCGAGTTTCTCTCGGATGAATCCAAAAGGGTAGAAGAGGAATGGTTGGTATGCATCTTGTATGTGGCATTTACATTGATTCTGTGCTGTGTTTTTCCAGCGCTTTGACAGCGTTTTGAATGGCTTGGATGCATTGGGAGTTAGCTATCTACAAAACCCACGCCTTGTGCGAGGACTGGTATGCATCAAGCTCGCTGCGTTTTGTTTTCTAGACGACAGCGACTCAATTTGTGTTGTTGATGCCGAATGCCTGCAGGATTACTATAGCAACACCGTATTTGAATTTGTTGAGCGACGGTCAGCCAACGCCTCGGACAAGGAGGAAGCACCTCGAGGTGGTTTTGCGGTGCTTGCGGGCGGTTGCTATGATGGACTAGCTGAATCATTAGGAGGCCCTGCGACGGCTTGTGTGGGTTGGGCAGCAGGCGTAGACAGGTTGAATTTGCTATGCGAGATGCCGGCCAAGACAATTGTCTCTATTGCAGTACGTAAAATGCGTGGGACCTAATGATAGATTGGTGAGGTCATACTAACACGATGTTTGCGTGGGTGCTAATAGGTCGTCCCCGTTCTTGCTGGCAATGAGTCGAACCGGGTGCTTCACGAAGCTATGCGTATCGCACAGGTACGCTGAAACATACTATTTCCTGCTCTTTACCGTGTGTGTGTAAATCACATGCATGCCATTATATTTGTTCTTTCTAGACACTCAGACAACGTGATCTGATGGTCCATTTCTGTCACGGTCGTGGCAATATGAAAAAGTTGATGAAGGTAACGATACTGTTGTTCAAGACCGATAAGTGAGTACACGGGACCTTGTTGCTGACTTTTCGTGATTTCTTTGCGCCTGATGTAGGCTGCTGAGCGCTGTGGTAGCACTTATGCTGTAATTATCGGAAGAGCAGAGATTGACAAGCAACATGTGAAGGTAAAGAACCTCGAAAAGCGTGAAGAGGTTGAGATACCGACGGCAAAGCTGAGCAGCTTTGAGTTTTGTTGAGTTATCCTCCAGTCCATAAAAATTGTAACGCATGAATGCGATACAGCTCTAATAGACGAAATTTTTGCCCGTGCTCGCTAAGTATACGTTTAATTGAGCAAAGATTAGACATGGAGGCGTTTTTTATTCGTACCTGGAGGTTCGTATAATTTGATACAATATCGTATCACAATCATTCTTGGACAAATGGCAGATATCCAACGTCACTTTACGGAAGAGATCGAGGTGTACGAACATGAGCCTGAGCCTGAGAAAGAGCAGACAGAAGAGGATGAGAAGATGGAGCTGTGGTGTTTGATTGTTGGGATGATTGGAACAGCGTTTCCTGTTCTTGTCAAGGCAACGGACCGCGTCTGGGAGCTACAAAAGATGATTCGGAACGAAGCTGCAGAAATCTACGGAGACTTAAATGCTGCTCAAATACAGTTATTCCTGGCGAAGAAAGACAATGGCGAGTGGCTTACGGCTACGGAAGTTCAGGACATTGAGAACGGGAACATTGAGTCGGCGCTCTCTCTTTTAGACAGAGGACACTTGATATCTATGAGCCGATTGGCGGATTCCTTCACAAACCGCGATGTTAACGCCGTCCATGTTCTAGTACCAGCACCTTCAATGACGTCAGATGTACATGTAGAAATGGGCATTGGTTGCAAGCGAAAACGATTGAAGCAATCGATCGGAGATGTCGAGACGATGCCAGTTTTCACAGAAGAGCTGGAGATGCTTTTTGATGTTTTGGGGCAACATAAACCAAACGAAGAACAGGTGATTTCAACTCGAGCTTTGAGTAAGTTTTGCAAAAGGCTTGGGGGATTTCCAGTGTCGTATTTCGTGCGAAAGGAGGAGCTCATGCTTTGGAGACTGGTCTTAGGGGTTATGTCGAATAAAGGAAAACGTGTTGTGATTTTGGGCTCAGCAGGTGTCGGTAAGTCCTGTTTCCTCATGCTTGTGAGCGTCTACTTGGCATTTGTTGAGAAGCGGAAGGTTTTAGTCATTCGACGATTGAAAAAAAACGCTGAAGCGAGCGCCGTGATTTTTCTCAACGGTGAAAACAAAACATGCATTCGGAATGCTAACCTAAGCGCTGCAAAAATCTCGTCACTTCCTGACAACAAAGACTTTCAGGACGCTTTGATATGCGTTGACGGATATTCCCACCAAGAAGTCGACCATCATTTTGGCCTTCTTTCCTTTCAGCTGCTTTTGACATCCGAAAAGGACAAGATAACCTCCGACGACTCAACTTGTGAAATGATGCTACCAGGATGGCGGTATGATGATCTGCTTCAATACGCTCAGTCGACGCTAGATGCATGGAAAAAAACAACGGGGCTTGATCAGGAAAAGCAAAACGACACAGCTGACCTTGTCAAGGACCAGTATTTTTACAGTGGAGGAAGTCTCCGCAATTTTTGCAGGAGCCGCAAAGATATGAAGAATGAATTGAATGGAATGTGTGACATTGTGAAAAGGATGCACACCGTTGATTGGGAAGACGTTGACCCGCAGCGTATCGCGTCATTCGATCAAATGCAGCGATGGTACGTTGTAGACCCAAGTGACGAAAAGCACTATTGCTTATCTAGTTATTGGAAAGCTCAGATGGATTCTGGGTATGTATTTGATCAGATAGGTCGCTTTATAGCTTGGGAGAAAGATCTTGACTACTATCAATTCGCTCAACAGACCAGAGCTGGATACTGGGGCTCGATATATAAGCAATACTTCCATGCCTCTGTTCGTCGGTCGACACAGAAGTCTCCTTTGCAGATGGTAAACGTCGTTGTTAACTCAAACCCGTCGTACTCGAATCAGAAATATGATCGCATCGAGATATGTGGTCAAGTTATTGAATGTGAGGGTGCGACGGAGGAAGAATGCTACGAACACCTGTCAGCACTTTCTTCGAGAACATGTTGGCATCCAGACGGCGTAAACTTCTTTCCAATCGATGCGGTGGTAATGTGTGACGCTGTGCTAAGAGGAAGTAATGTGAGTGAAACGATCCTGGCCGTTATTTGCACGACTGTTAGCACTACGACAACGTTTGATCCGAACTTTTGGAAGAGATTCAATAGGGTACTTGACGACAATGAGAGAATTTCCAGGGCTATTCCACGTGCATTTGTGGTGACAGGGCCAGATGCCAGCACATGCAAGCGTTTTTCCTTGATCAATGCTCCTGTTTCAGACGACTTCATGGTATGCTGCTACGATCCATTGAAGTTTTTTCGAAAACGCCCAAATGCCAGAATAGCGTGACCAAAATTGTTTGTGGTGACTTCGAGACACAAAGACGTAAGTTCTTCAACACACGGAGGTGGTGTAAGGCGTTATCTCCTCTCTACCAACCTGGACGGGGCCAAGAAAATCGCCGAAGAGCAGGCGCATCGTGCTGCCATCCAGCCAACGTGTTCATAACTTTAGCAGGCAGGATTCCAGGTAATTTTGAAGATCAATGGTATACATACGCACCTGTACGTGTACTTGCTTCTTACGTTCTCCGTCCGGAAACGGTCGTATCACGAGACGAATGCTTGGATGACCTCACACTTCAAGGGCGTTGGTCAAAGAATCATGCCTCTCATGCCGTATACACTTCATCGCGCGTTGTGGGTTGCTAACATGTATGGCATGTATACGCGTAGAATGAATCCCGGATGTTCTCAGCCAGTGACATCATCTCATGCACCAAATATTTGCAGCCCCACGTACAAATTCAACGAACTATTTTCTGACCGATCAAGCGCAAGATCTGACTGTTAGTGGTGTTGTTGCATTCAGTCATTTGCGGGTACTAAATGCACTGTTGAGCATTATCTGTCAAAGATGCGCTAGGGATGCGAATGAGTGATTTACGTGCAACGTTGATCTCTTTGTCATTCTTGAATTTCTGTCAATTGGGAACGCTCGAGCCACTTTCTTATGGGGTGGCTATTGTGGTCATAGCAGCAGCCAGCAGTGCGCTCTTCGTGCATCGCATTTGTATTTGACAAGCTATCGAGGTGAATGACGGAGCTACTTGTCTTATGTAGCAGCCGACTACTTCCTCATCGTCAGTAAACTTCTCATGACGAAAACTTTGGCGTGCTTGCTCTTCTCTCTTTCGGCGGAGCGCCACTCGTTGACCACCAGCGATGATTTCTCTCATAGTACTTGGAAACAGCACATGATCCTGCAATACTATCTCCACGCAGTCACTTCAGTTCACTGGTCCCATATCTTGCAGAATAGTCGAATGTTTCCAGCAGAGATTGCGAAGGTGATCCTGTGAATGATGGAAATCTTGAAGAAACATTTTTCAAAGACTTCATTTCAGTCTAAACTAGCTGCCTTCTAGTCGGCAACGAACACAACGGTAACTAGCAAGGATATCTGTACAAGCTATGAGAACTTCTCCGAATGGAAGTCAAAGATAGTGCCGTCGGGACCTGATGACGAATACCTTCGGCACATTTTGTCTAGAATCTCTTCCAGCGCGTGAGGGCCACAGTAGAAAACTCCGACTTCTTCGCCAGGGTGGTTGGCTTTCGCATTGGAAAAGACCTTGTCCCAATCTGGACGACCAAAATGCGTAAGCTGCTTCGTATTCAAACCAGACACGAAATCCTTGCCGGTCTGTTCGTGCACAAACTCTTGGAACATTTTAAGCTGCGATGTGTTTTCACTGCCCTTCAACGTACTGAGGTACTGGTGGGTCTCAATCACGTTGTCACGGTCCATTTCCGATATCTGGTTCATCGTTTCTTCAAACCAGCTCAGGGACTCTTGTCCACGAGTCACCCAGTGAAAATACAGCTTCTGAATCTTAAACGAGCCCGGATGCTGGATATGGTTGCAGTTCGAGCAACGGTTGTCCTCCCATAAATGCACCACGTCCTTCAAAATCGAAGCAAAGGGGGTGACACCGATACCACCGCCGACGCAAATGACCGTCTTATAGCGGTGATAATCTTGCGTCGGAGCACCAACGGGGCCATCGAGGTAGATGTCTGGGTACAGCACCTTACGTTCATGGCAGTCCGCAATGACGCCCGCTAAGGCTTTCGTCCAATCGCCACAAGCACGAATGTGAACACTGACGTAGTTGTCTCCGGGAGCTGATGAAATAGTGAACGGGTGCCACTCATGCTTAGAAATCAGCGGGCAGTTAATGAACATGTACATGCCGGGGCGGTACACAAAATGACGAGGCTTCTCTATAAACAGAGCAGTGGTACCATCTAGCTCCATCGCTTCCATGATACGTACAGGCGCAGCAAACAATTTGGCGTAGCGGAAACGACGCTCAACCAGGTAGATCAGGAACGGGGGAGTAATCCAAATGTACGAAGAGCTTCGAGCGAGCCATGATGCAGCACCATGGAACGACATCACAACCAAGAAGATTCCAAAGAGCATGTGGGAGTACCAGAAGAGGTTGAAATTGCCCTGACGAAACTTGGGAATCGCAGCCAACGGGAAGGAGATACTGGTGATTATGAAGAGGATTACACCAGTCCACACCGGCAGCGACTGAAGCAAGGTAGTGAACGGAGGTCGTTCGCCGTTAACGAATGAAGACACGTGACGCGTGACGAAAATGGAGCGCCTGATTTCGTCTGGCGTCGCGATAAGATACAGGTAAATCTCATTGACTACATGCGCGGCCGTGTGGATAAGACCAGAACTCAGCAAGACAGTACCCGCAATCTTGTGAAATTCAATACTGTCATCGAAAGGGATGTAACGCCACAGGAACCGGCTTCGCTTCATAACTTGTGTAATGGAACGACACATGGGGACCAATACGAAGACGCAATTAAGCATCACAACTTGAGAGCTGGCACGTGCAATACGCAAACCCCACCCGATGGCAGGATCCACTTCGTAAGTGAACCACTTGGACCAAAAGGCGACGTTGTTAAGAAGAACGTACAGGAGGAGCCACCATATCCGAAGCTTGTTAATACTGTAAAAAGCGCCAAACTTGCTTTTCGGGCGGATAGGAACCATGCACATGGGTTCTGACTTTTGGAGGTTGTACGAATTGCTGATGTAAGGACCAAACACTCCGCGGAACTGCTCAAACGTCATAGACTCGTCCTTCGCTTGAGCCTTGCGAAACATTAGACTGGCCATCGTTTTGAAGTCCGTACCAACCACGTCAAGGCGAGCCGTCGAAAAATTCGACTCCAGTAGCTGGACGATCTGGTCTTCGATCACGTATCCTGAGTTTTCGGGGTCGAGCGTCTCAAAAATGAAACGCAATTTCTCTTCGGCACCTACTTCGAGATCCATGACAGCATCAATAAGGATAGCGTTGCCGTCGATCGTACCGTTCCCTGTAGCGTATCCGTCAAATTCCTTACCGTTGACCTCAAATGTCTGGGAAAAGGTCTCACGCTCAATGTAGCCGTCCTTACTAATGATACTACTCATAACATCGCGCAACGCATGCAGCTTTTCCATAGGTGTGTATGCCATATCAATGCTGTGTTCGTTCATGCTCATTGCCACGCTGTATTGTTGCTCAAAGTTGCAATCGCCAAGAACCGGGACGGACATGACATCGGTGCCAGGCTGCGGACCGTATCTGGAACTGCCCATCGACATCATCGACGACATGTTGGACGCACGAGCTAGCGTCTGACGCACCATAGATGCACCTAGCATAGCTTGGACATTGGGGCGACGCTGATTTCGGCGACCGCTTCTGCAGTTGGCGCTCATTTTGGGCGAACCACGTCCGATAAATTGTGTGGTGGTGGCGTTCATATTGATGAAATGGCTGCTGTCCATAAAGTTGGACGTCCCCGTTTTGTGAAACGAAGACATCATTCCAGACGGTGGCGGTGGAGCCTGTGGGACTAAAGCACGCTTGTCCTGCATACTCATCGTACTAGTTCCTGTGCCGGCTGACCCTTTGCGCGAGTGGGGCGACGGTGTCGTAATGTCGACAAAAGGGTAAGTATGCTCACCCGGAGTAATTTTAAGCTCGTCCGTACGTGCGCGGCCGGGCTGCCGATGCCCGGCATCGTTCATCTCCATGAGTTCTTTTAACGGCCGCGATTCGTTGAGCTAGAAAACGAAGAATGCAAAGTGCGATCACGACAAGAGAAAGTAGAAAAGTCGGTACGGAACTTCCTTGATGCGTGGTGCCTATAATTAGAACGCACTTGCGAGATAATCAAAACAGATGGCGGCACTGCCAAGTGAAGAATCAAAAACCGCAAGTGCCGCGAAATGGTCAAGTAAATGCTGGCACTGTCTGAACAAGACGACGTTGTATTGTCGACATCCCTCCCCCCCTCTCTGATCAATTACGCTCGGCTCTGTGCACGCAGACGATGCAGCACTAATGGTTAGGTGTACTTTATACTGCTCTTTCTTACCAGTTGTAAAACAGATGGAGGATATAGTTTCTTGCATCGTAGTGACAAAGAAAGGTCAACTGCTTTCTGACTACTCGGTAAAGCACGGATGAATTTATAGGCTGAGGGTTACCAGCAATAAGAGTGGTTCCAATGGAGCTACAATGTGCATTAAGTACTATTACAATGCGCAGGGTAATGCCACCTTTCGGTGGTTTTGAATTGTACTGCTCATCAAATGTCGTTATCGCTTGCCTATCTTTTTAATTCTGCCTCGATGCATTCCATTGGTTCATGTATATACAGTATGCAGTTATTTGACTGCAAACATATGTGCTGGAATGATACCATTTTGCGTTTTCAGCTCGTATGAACACGCGTTTGAGCTACCCATCAGTAAAATTTGTCCTTCCCGGAACGCTCCATAGACTTGACATGCAAGAGGCATCGGGCCTGCGCTGGGCAACACGAAATTGACTCCTACATACTGCGATGGTGCATTTAGGTCTTGGGCAAACATCATCACACAGTGAACATATCATCCGCTTCAAACGGTCTTGTACAGACAGGTAGCATTATTGCGTACGGCACCGGAGCTACCTCCGAAAGTCCGGCTGCCAGTTGATGATGGTGTCTATAAACATTTCCATTGCTAGGCGAAGGTACACGTCATTGCTCACATCCCTCCCTATCTCTCCGTTGTTCCTTGATAGCGACCGGTCGGAGTTGGCGAAGTAGGACTTGTGTGACTTCCACTACCTCTTGCTCCGTGGACGCACTTTCCTGCTTATATATTTTCTTGTCCACTGAGTCCAAAGCGTGGTCACGCAGACAAAGCAAGCAATTCACCATATGCTTAGTATCCGCCTGCTTTCTCGGAGGTTTCTCCATTGCCGATCGCGATAATGCTGCTTATTTATACAAAAGCATTTGAGCGGATGATGCATCCGATCGCATCCACTACGTGATGATGTACGTCCAGGGCTAAACGGACCGACGCCCTTCATGTTGCTCGGATGCCTTTTGCATGTCGTCCATGTCGCGTTTCAATATTGAACTTGTGTGAACTGTCGTGCTTCGTAAGAAAATCATATGTGCCGCCTGCCTTTGTTATGCGCTGAGTGCTTGGTTTACAGTGGTACGAAGACTTCGGTGGCGTTCCTTCCTGCGTAATTTTTACTCGAGCGCGTGTGATGTGTGTGTGTCAAACAGACTGTCTATTTGCCGTTATGGTTTGCAAGATTTCTGAAAAATCCACAGCCATTTCTAGTACGCCAAGGAAGGTCTCCTGTCGATTACGAGGAGCTGTGTCATTCGTGCAGGCGGCTAGTACGCATGGGTTGCAAGACAACGTGGACATTGTTTGATAAGCTTGGCAAAGAAAATGGTGGATAGCTTGCTTTGTCTGCGTGACCACGCTCTGGACTCAGTGGACAAGAAAATATATAAGCAGGAAAGTGCGTCCACGGAGCAAGAGGTAGTGGAAGTCACACAAGTCCTACTTCGCCAACTCCAAGCGCTCGCTGTCAAGGAACAACGAAGAGATGGGAACATGAGCAATGACGTTTAACTCTACCTAACAATGGAAATGTTTCGAGACACCATCGTTAACCTGCAGCCGGAAGGATACAGCTCTCGTAACTGACAGGAAACAACTTCTGGGGTACTAGAATGGCTGCAGACTTTTCAGAAATCTTGTAAATCATAACGTTAAGTTTAATGGTTGCGGCCAACGCTCGTAAATTAGAACGTGGACATCTCACTATAAGCTATAGCTGGAATAGTCACTAACAAGTTAAGCAAGCTCTAAAATGAAGGACTTTGTCGCCCGAACGACGATCAACGGCAAAACAAAGGAATTTATCCGTCATCCACCATTTTTCTCGCCGTACCACATCACAATTACGATACGATGAAGAAGCCAAAGTCAACGGCCATGCCGTTCGCATGTGGATAATTCGCTCACCCAATCCTCATAGATTCTTGACGCAATATCGAGAACTTACCACGCACGAAAATGCTTCTACCGCGTCAATTTATCGATTGAAATATGTTTTTCAAGAATATCAAATGGAATTATCGCGAGCAGCACAAGTCGAGTTTTTTTTTGCAGAAAGTGTTTCTTTCCGTACGACTTTTGCCTTTATACTGGTGTAATGGGTGAGATAGCGTTTATAAGATGTGTCTATCGATACTAGTGGCTGAGTTGCGCAGTAATAATCAAGCGCCATGGCGTATGTGAATTTACATGCTGGGCTGAAGATCGTTGCACTTTAACTTCAACAATTTTCACTAGTTTAGCACTCTGCGCTCATGGTAAAAAGGTGATTGTAACAAGTAGACATTACCTCTTCAAGTAACTGATGAGCTATGGTACGATGATTGCACCTACCTTGGTTGGCTATATGATACCATACGGCAAGCAGAGAATGCGCGCTAGAATCAACAAAGCACTCATGCAGAGTACTATGTGCTTGATGCGACAGTATTACAAGACGAATTTCTATGGATTTCAACGTTTGCTTCTATTCTTTGGTCCAGAGCTAGCCATATATACTCACTGCTGTTTGCAAGGTCTGTATTACGGTAGAAGCTACCTATAAACCAGAGGAATAACGGGCACGAGATGGCATGGATTAAATTGCCAGCTTTTGGCATTCATCTATCTCACTCGCAACAAATGGATGCCAAGAACTGGGGTGTTAACTGCCGTGCTTCCAAATAATACTCAGCTGACTGCCAGATACTTTGAAGCTGTGTATGGTTGTCTTCAATTGATTCGAGTATCTTCGAGTAAATTCGGTTGTGTGAATGCTTTTCTCGGCGTTACCAGTGATACGGTCTACCAGTGAAAGGCTAATACAGATTACCGATTCCATGATACAGTCAAGGCATGTAGTGCGCCGGGGCACCACATGACAGGTTGAATGTCTGCAGTGGTCATTATCTCGGTGCTTTGTGGTCCAAACGCGATCCAATCAACTATAAATGAAAAATGATTCTCTGCGTGATCACTCATTTTTTTAACTTGATCGGTCACTTTCGGCATGTTAAGCAACACGAATACCCGAAGCGCCAATGCTCTCGACCTTGTCACTTCATTGCAGCGTCGATACTCTGACCAAGGTTGTAGATACCGGAACAAAAATATTATGAAAAACCGCTGCAATGCTGCTTGGAATGCAGTTTCTAAAGAGGCACGCCGCTAGAATTGGAGCAAAAGTTTTTCACGCTTTAGAGCTTGACCAGACAAATGCTCAACTCTTTGGAAGGCCGTTCTCTTGGACTTGATTGGCCTGGTACGCAAAGGCAATCCGAATGTCTTTGATACGTTCAAGCTGAGATCAACAATGCAGATGTTGCAGCAATATTGATGCGTTGATTAAGAACACTTCCAATTAGAGCTAGTACGTAACTTGCAAGGACGTACAATTCGAATGGTGGCAGGATAGTGGGGTGTCACGCCGGATGGAGAGATATTCAAATTTATAACATCAGGTAATTCCGACAAAAAACTGGTCCAGGAATGCTGGATGAACACGTCCCATTTTACAGCAAAGCCATATTTTATCGGAGGTTGCTATCAATTTGACTAGTCTAGAAGAGAAGAGATCCATAGAAGTGGATGTTAGGCATTTCTATATGAATTACAACTTGCATATCCTTACCTAATGTCGCCATCAGTAGAACTGATCCTTCATAATGCTTCGAGATATTAGTGTGCTGCATGAGTATGCAATACTAGTACAGATTCTAGCTTTCAGTCGTCTTCTTTCTTAGCCGATAAAGGGTTTGTGACGTGAGGTATGGCCCGAACATCACCGATTCGTCATCGATTCCTTTGTTTAACGTTGTTATTTTCCAGACAAAAAGACCTCAGTTCACCTCAAAAATCGTCAATGCAATTCTGTAACTGATTTCTTAAAATGGATTCATTACTGCATCATTTCTGTGAGTCGTCACACACATTCGACTAGCAAATTACGCGACACTTACGGTAACTTGCTTTGTTGTCGAACACGTGAGCAAAATATATAGTATCCAATGCCCCAATGTTTCACCTTCCAACCAGCAGTAAAGCAGGATCCTATTCACATGAAAATTCTATCTTTATCTTCCTCGAATATGTGTTTATTCTATATCATTCTTGGCTCGGGCTTGACCTTCATCCCAAAAACAACTTCAACTTGAATAGGTAGGAAAATTGTAGCCATGTCCGTTGACCACTATCGTATTTAGTCGAGAAACCACCCAATTCAATGAATCGCTCCTTACAAAATTCAAGTCTATTGGAAATCCATAGGTCAACACGCCATTTTGCGGTTTGACAAACAGGGCGCGGATCGAGCGAAAGGAAACGAGAAGAGGGCAAGGTCCTTGCTACGAAACTATTGACTTCCGTCTCTTCATTGCTGTTTGTGTGTATTCTAACGTACGAGGTCTATGGATCGCGGTGTTGCTGACTCCTGTACGTTCTCTAAAAAGCGCATTGAGAGAAATGACTGGCAGAGACAGTCGAGTCGGCCGTTTCCGTCTCTTTTTGCGTCTTTTTCACGTGCTTTTTCAATGTGTTAACTGGACAATAGCAGACTAATTGATTTCTATTGATTTTGTACAGTCGCTACGCCCGCCAACGAGCACGTAAACGCCGCCAAAGTGACCTTAGCACCGCCTGCTACAGGAAAGAAGAGAAAGACCACAGAGCCCGAGACGAGCCCTGGAAAGAATGTGGTGGACCAGGTGAAAATGGAGAATCAGCATATAAAGAAAAAGGATGATGGTGAATGTCGCAAACGCCGCAATGGCACGAAGAAGGTGAAATACGTGGAAGAAGATGATGTATTTGAGGGAGAAGAGGCTATTTTGGCTGAGAAGAAGAAACGAGCACAGCAATTGGATTATCAGCAGAGAACAGTGCGTTGTTTGTGTGTCAGTGCTGCAAATTCAAGTGTATAAGGTGAAGAGGACTAATGGATTATTGATTATATTGTTATCGCTGTATGTAGGACGGGAGCTACCCGCAATTGGACCAAATTGTCGGTCGACGGATAAATGAATCGACTGGATTAGTAGAATACTTGTGCAAGTTTTTTGGACGTTCGTACTTGCACTTGTACTGGCTCACGTTTGACGAGGTAGAGCTCTTTATTCCAGCAGATTATCAGAAATTTCATCGCGTACAAGTGTACGATCGAAAACTGAGACGCGATGGGTATCAACCGTTGGATGAAGTAGATGATCTTGAGGCAAACAAACTCACGGTTGAAAAGGTTTTGAGCCACAAGGTGGACCCGGCCGACCATTTGGACGAACAGATTGAAAAGCGCCGACACCAGCTGGTGTACGAACCAAAGTTTCCACGTGTGACAGACTATTTCTTGATGAATCACACTGACGCGATTCCAGAGCGTATGTTAGGCATCGTGACAAAGCTGATGAAAGAACCGGGTGGTGATATCTTCGAGCACCCCGTTAATGTGGAAGATGTCCCCGACTATCTCAATCATATCATGAATCCTATCGATTTAGGGACGATTTCCACGCGAATTGGTCGAGAAAGTTACTACATTGGCTCATCAGCCGTGTCATTATTTGCTTCAGACGTGCGACTGGTGTTTCGTAATTGCAAAACGTACAATGCCGAGGGATCCGTCATCTGGTGTATTGCTGATGAGCTTCTGCGCCGCTTTGAGAAGTGGTTTTACGATTGGATTCTGTCCCCAACGGCTTGGTTGATGCTTCCACCAACAGGAAACACACAAGAAGACCAGCGACTCCAAAAAGAGTTTCGAGCTGAAGCCAAAGGCTTCTATGACGGGTGGGCGTCTTGGCAGACCGGTTGTTGTGTTTGCGGGAAAAATGATAACAGCGAGGAGCTTTTGCTATGTGACCACTGTGATGGTGAGGTTCATATGTACTGTGCCACACCGGAAGTCACGGAATTACCAGATGGTGAATGGTTTTGCGGGTACTGCCAAGCATGCAAAACATTTATTGAGAAGGTGGAAAAGGTTAAGCAGGAAAGTGCTGATAACAAAGCTAAAGCCATCGACTCGGGGGGCTCCGCTGGAGTACGAGGATGTGGTATCCCTTCAACGCCCGGTACGACCACACCATTTCGTTCGAAAAGAATACCAGCTTCTGGATTGGTGCACACGCCGAATATTCTTTTGAATCGCGCAGAAGGTGAAGGCAAAGTTAACAAGAAAACGTCCAAACGCAGCTCAAAAGGTTGCAATGCAACGAAAAGCTTGGGACCAATCAGTACGAAAGATCGTGCTGCTACGTTTTTTCTTGTCAAGTGGGTTGGCATGTCGGTTCGCTTTTCAACATGGGAACGCCCTGAGGATATTGGTGACGATGAACAAATCCAGAGATACTTCAAGCTCAGTCGTGTTCCCAGTGCGAACGAGATCAGAGAAAGTACGTGCCAATTGCCGTGCTGTGCTAAGAGGCACCAGCATGCGCTAGCAAGTAGCACGAGGGGGAAGAAGTGCTGTGAAAAAGATCGCTTTTGTACTCTGGGATATGGCCACGAAAGTAACTGCAGCCGTAGTATTAAAGTTCTGGGAGGAGCCTATGGCAGCAGCGCATATCAACGGTTGCACATGGCAGAGCAAGTAAAAGCACAATTGTTCGCTTTACATTGCTTGCTGAACAATCACACGCCTGACAAAGATGTTCTCAAGCAGTGTGGTGTGTATACGAACGCATTTGTAACCACGAAAGAGTACCTGACACCCCGAGTTTCCAAAGAGGATGATGACGAAGATTACTCGGATGGAGATGGAGGTTCATCTGATGATGATGCTGACTTCGATGCACAATTTGATCATCGAAATCGGGTTGCTCTTTATCCAGGAATTTTGACCCTTGATAATGACGACGGCGATGACGATGATGATGAGGCTGGAAGTCACAAAAAGAAAACCGAAGAAGAGGTTGGAGCAGTTCTCAGTTCTCTAGTCGAGCATGTTGCTCTTGGATACCCTACTAAACTCGAGCCCGTCAGTGCTGAATTTCGGCATGACTCGACATATCCAGGGACAGCTTTCAATGAGCTTCCAGCCTTCTCAGAGTTTTGCGTCGTTCTGGTTCGATCACCATTCGGCCTAGGTATGCGTCTTGGAATCAGCGTGACCAGCAGCGTATCAGTTTTGGGATTTCAAACGCTTGCAAATGGTATGATAGGTCCTGCCCAAGCATCTGGAGTTATCTCGGTTGGTGATGTGCTTGTAGCTGTAAATAACGTATCGGTCGCGGGCCTTTCATTTCAAGACGTCGTCGGGTTGATCAGTGCGTCTCCCAACCAGATTATCTTCCATTTCCATTCTGCTAGACCCGCGTTCATGTACCCGTCATACTGCCAAGCAAAACAAGTTACAAAGATTTGCTTGGATGACATTCCGGACGACGCGGCTCCAGGAAACTCCAAATATGCAGACTTTAGCTATAACAACTACAGACGGATGCTCAAAGTTGGAGTTGCTGACCCAGGTGTGGCATCATCAGCTTCGGCGCAGATGTTGATGCAGCACTCCAACTACATTGCGCCAAGCGGTCCCATGCAACATCTTTACGCAGGGGTCGTGGACAATAGCATTGATCCGCACGAGCACTTCGCGAGTTTTCTGCCGGTGCGGGCCAGCTCATCTAACGAGGAACCGCATGGCAAGAGTACGGGTGCAAGTAATCATGGAGATGCGAGCGAGTTTGCGCCGTATGAACAGTCGCCAACATACAAAGGTGGCCGCACGCTGCGTGCTTACCAGGTTGAAGGCCTCAACTGGATGGTATCATGCATCAAAGCTCAGCGATCATGCATATTGGCTGATGAAATGGGGCTGGGCAAGACGGTTCAAATTGTGTCGCTGATTGAGCATATGAAGTCAGAGGAGTCCATCCGTGGTCCGTATCTGATTGTTGTGCCGCTTTCAACGATTCAGCATTGGCGTCGTGAAATTGAGAGCTGGACGGATCTCAATGTATGCGTCTATCACGACATTGGAGACCGCACCACCAAGTTTACCGCAAAAGATATGCGCGCGGTAATTCGTGATCAAGAATGGTACTACCCGAGTTTGGGAAACTCGATTTTCAAATTTCACATCTTGTTGACCACTTTTGAGACGCTGATAGCAGACTTTGAAGAGCTCGAGCACATTCACTGGCGATTGGTCGTAGTGGATGAGGCACATCGGCTGAAGGGCGCTGGGTCACGGGTGCTGAAAATGATGCGCGTGCTTCACGTGGATCGCAAGGTGTTGCTAACAGGAACACCATTACAGAATAATACTCAAGAGCTCTGGGTTTTATTGAATTATCTTGAGCCGGTTAAATTTGCAAGCTTGGACGAGTTCAACAAGAACTTTGGAAAGCTGCATTCGCAGGAGCAGGTTATCAGGCTTCAGCAACTGCTGGCGCCTTACATTTTGCGACGAGTGAAGGAGGATGTCGAGAAAAGCATTCCGCCCAAGGAAGAAACGATTATCTCTGTGGAACTGACAACACTGCAAAAGCAGTACTACCGAGCCATCTACGACAAGAATAAAAGCTTCTTGTATCGCGGCACGAAAAATGGCTTACCGACGCTGAATAACATTCAGTTGCAACTGCGAAAATGCTGCAACCATCCGTTTCTCATCAAAGGTGTTGAAGAGAGAGAGTTGGACGAACTTGGTGATGATTCAACACCACTTCAAGTGATGGAAAAAACAATCGAATGCTCAGGCAAAATGATGCTTGTGTCCAAATTAATGCCAAAGTTAAAGCGAGACGGGCACAAGGTTTTGATATTTAGCCAGTTTCTGAAGCAACTTGACTTACTCGAACGGTATTGCGAGGCTAATTCTTTCGTTTACGAACGTTTAGATGGTTCTACTGGTGGAAGCATGCGCCAGAGCGCAATCGACCGGTTTTCTCGACCACACTCGAAGTCTTTCGTGTTTTTGCTCAGCACAAAAGCTGGCGGCGTGGGCATTAATCTCATTGCAGCCGATACGGTAATTATTTTCGACAGTGACTGGAATCCGATGAATGATCTGCAAGCCCAATCACGTTGTCACCGTATCGGTCAAAAAAAGAGTGTGCAGATTTATCGGCTGGTAACGCGTAACACATACGAAAGCGAAATGTTTGACCGCGCATCACGAAAGCTTGGTCTCGAACACGCAGTGCTAGGTACAGCGTCTTTTAATGAAAATTCGCAGATTACGAAGCCATCTGCGGAGCAACTTGTAGAGCTGCTGAAGCGTGGAGCGTATGCACTGATGGAAGATGACGATACGGCATCGAAAGAGTTTGCTGAGCGAGATATTGAAACTATTTTGAAGGAAAACGCTCGTGTTCTGGTTGTAGGCGCTAATTCTAGTGCTGACAAGGGAGCGGATGTTGATGCGAATGGGGTGACGCTGCTAAAACATAAAAGGTCGCCAACGAAATTTCACAAGCGAAAGTCACTTGGCGGGATGGCGGTTGACCGCTCATCTTTTGTTGCTGAAGGATCGACCGGTGAGCTGTCCGTGGATGACCCAAATTTTTGGGAGAAGGTTCTCCCAGGGGCAGTATCAGTGGAAATGCTGAGCTTGAAGCTCGAAGATGGCAGCGCCGTGAACTCACGTCAGTCGAAGATTAAGTTTATCAGCAATTTGGATATAGCTTTGACTAGCTTGATTGCCGAAATGAGCTCAGGAAACAATCCTGACGATGGCGGTGCTGGGAGTCGAGATATTCAGCACGACTATGATATTGCTATACAGGTACTGAGCACTGTGAGCTCAAAATACCTTGACGAGTTTTCCAATGACCAGATTGATCTCGTCAAGGGATACTTATCGAAGTTGGAAAAATCGCGCGTACGAAGCTGTCGTCTCGCTCCTTCCCGAGCAAGCATTTACCAGGATGAAGAATTTGGTACCCCAAAGAGAAAAAGGCGAAAGAGAAGCACTCCAGCAGGCAGCAAAGCAGCAAGCAGCGATGACGAAGCATACGGCAATACTCTTGTGAAGATGAGAGGCAGTAAACATCGTAATCGTCCTCCGAAACACCTGGGAAGCGTGGGCACTAAGCCCCCAATTGCCGTCTTTCAAGCGAGCGACAATGACGATTTGTGCACTCTTTGTGGCGACGGCGGGTTAATTTTGCTGTGTGACGGTCCATGTCATCGTTCATTCCATTTCGAGTGCGTAGGCATGAATGACGAACCGAACGATGAACAGTGGTTGTGCCCAGATTGTGCTGCGGGACGTCACATGTGCTTGATATGCAAGCAGGTCGGCGAAATGGGCGTCGAATTTGGTGTCACGCAATGCTCGGTAGCCAAGTGCGGCAGATTTTACCACAAGGGCTGCCTAGGCAAGAACCCGCGCGTCCAGTGGGTTGGCAAGAAGCGCTTTCGTTGTCCGAGCCATTTTTGTCATGCGTGCTCGAAGAGTAGTAAGATGAAGACTGCTGCCAAAAGCAAAAAGAAAAAGGACAACAAGAGCGATGTTGTGAGTTGTATTCATTGCTCACAAGCCTTCCACCCAGACTGCGTTCCGTCTGCAGACAAGTTTGTACGACTATCGAAGAATCTCATGATTTGCGCAAGGCATTTAGACGGGGAAAAGCCACCAGCTTCTGCAGGCCGAGCGTCTGGATCGAAAACCACAACACATCGCGCTAGTGCAAAAACACTTTCTGCTGCCGCAGCTCAGCGACGACTGGAAGTTCCAGAGTCCACTTTTCTGTACAAAGACAACGAACCAGAGGAACAGCATGTAGAACCTTTTAAAGGCAAGCGCAAGCGCACATCATCTCCACAGACGGCCAGCGTGAATGGATCGAAAAACAGTAAATCTACACCCTCAACTAAATCAGTTGCGAAACCGACGAAACCGAAGTTTTGTGCGCTATGTCACCGCGGAAACGTAATGGGAAGAGGTGCTGAACCTCAAGGATTGTCACTTCCGCCTTTAGCAAGAACGGGAGCACGTAACGGAACTGCTGGGACAAGCGTGGACTCAACTGGGACTGCTAGTGCTGATATAGCCCTTGAGGGACCTTTCATCGAGGCTCCAGTTCGTTTGAAGTACACTGACAAGCCCAACGAGTCTGTGCATGTGCACTTAAACTGTGCCGTGCACTCACCTGAGGTGTACGTGAAGGCCGATGGACTCATAATGAACTTGCCGAAAACAATCAAGCGCGGACGCCAGCTTAAATGTACTGGTTGTCACCAATTTGGTGCCACGGTGGGCTGCATTGTTGCCAAATGTCGGCGTAACTACCATTTGCGTTGTGCTGTGGAAAGCGGCGGTGAGATTGATGAAACCACGTACACTTTGTGCTGTAAACCACATGCAGTTGCACGCAAGGAACCGACACGTGTATGTGTGTGTGATGCCAATCCAGAAGACTCGACGCTCACGTTAGTGTGCGCTCCATGCAACACGAAGTTTCATCCAAAGTGTGTCAATATGTCCGATCGCCACGCGGCTCGGAAGGCAAAAACGTGGGTCTGCAGTGTTTGCGATGGTTCAGCTGCAACGAAGCCGGTACCGCCGACTCACATGCTCGCTCCGTTTCATTCAAACACAGCAACGTCGAAGAAACCAGCAAGGACGAAGGCGAAAGAGCCGTTAAAGACAGCAATAAGGAAGAAGAGCAACCGCAAGGCTGAACAAAGTACCAACGGCATCGAATCGCCGCCCAAGCGTAAAAAGCAAAAGAAGAACCGCTTGAGTGTACCACGGAATACGTTGTACCCCAAGACGAATAGTATGTCTCATGGAATTTCGCCTCATATGGATGCTGACTCGGATAGCGGGGTCTCATCGGACGAGTAGAGAAAAAAAGGAGACGATGAACTTCGAAGTATGTGGGATATGCGAGAAATAGATGGAACTGTATCTTACATATATCAAGAGTACCTACAAACACTAGATCAAAGGACCTGGCGACATGTGTTAAGCTATTTTTTACAAGCTGGGACTCGAGAAACAGCTACTTCTTAACTTGTCACTTTGCTTCGTAGGACTTGCCACCGAAACGATAAAGTATCATCGATTGCCGAGGATGGACATTGCAGAGGGCACCCGCATCAATTGCCGTCAACGTTGCCTTTGCAACTTCTCGTGTCGCACTGTGATCGCTGCATGTTACAAGGTAAAATCAAGTAGACGGTTGTATGCACCCACATAGTAAAATGCATTAGACCAATGAACTTGTCGAGCAGAACATGGACACTCGTCAAGTGAAGCGCTGATCAGACCTATCTACCCCCAGGTGGTTTATCGTAAACAGAAGCTTTGTTGATTACATGTAGCTTTACAAAATTTCATGGCTCTGATATCGTTGCTGACAGCATTGTCGCGGATGGGCAATGCAAAGACATGCAAAGACATTTTAATCAATAGAACATGCATTCTTTCGTTTTGGGCGTCATGGGATCAAAACGCCATGATACAATCCGAGTGAGAAAAGAGCGCAAATGCTCTGCACGGTGGATCTATCATCTATCTATCTATCTATCGTACTGAACCTGGCTTAGGAACTTCGATTGGATATGGGAGAGACAGTTAACCTCTGCCATATGGTACGACATATGGCTTCACATTGCGGCAACATTGCAGTTCAATGGCAATAAACATTCGGCTCTGTATGAGTGGACGTATTACACCCGGATGCACAAAAAGGGAAAGCGGCCGCGATGGAACTTTACTGATCAGAGTGGAAGTCGATTGATCTTCCGACTGTTGGACGTAGATTGATCAAAAAGACCACTTTCTTTTCCCATCGTCTTCATCAAGGTTCCATTCTTCAACTCGCTCTCGAGTGCCTGCTTAAAACCCACGTTTCATTGTTTCCGTTTCTACTCCCACGTGTCGAAAGCGAAGGGACCACCACCCTAGTCACGTCAGCTCCATCGCCACCAACTGCTCCGTCTCTCGTCAAGTTGCCGTCCAGTCATCACGTAGTCCAATCTCATTTTGCCGTTTCACGTCTTTTCAAACGTTGCACTTACTAATTGGCTTTCCAAACGTCACATTGCCACGTTTCAACTTGCACTTTTTTTCAAGATAAAAGTGCGATCTGCTACGCTTCAATAGTCTTATAATCAATCAGCACTAGATAAAAGTACTTGGTCTAATGCCACTATCCATTTCATTTTATCATAACAAACACAACAACAACAACAACAACATATCGAGTTCTTACCAAAGCGTCGCACTTCACGACCGAGCAAAGGTCAAGCCTACAATGACACTTTCATCCGAGTTTTACCGCAACATTTGGGGTCCAACTGACGAAGAAGAGGCAGCTCTACGTCGTCGAGCTCGATCTCGACGAGTTGATAGTTCGCCTGCTTCTGTGACGTCTCGAAGATTCAAAAAACGGGTGGCTACAGGTCCTCTCGTTGACATTGCACAGGTGGCACACGTCGTTACGACCGTGTCGGACTTTCGAGCTGATTATGGTGAAGACATGAAGAAAATACGACTTATGAATGTGTGGGACGACCGCAGTCTTGCTTTAGGTTTTGAACCAGAGTCTTCGACTTGTCTTGACAAGTCAGTGGACATTAACATCAAGACGGAGACGGGTCCTTCTACTGCAGCCACGGAACCAGAAGACATCATGTCGCCTATTCATAGTCGTGCAGACAGGATCACTGAACGTAGCTGTGAAGACAGTGACGCTGAAGTCAGCAGCTTTGGATCGTCTCTGATAAACAAGCTTCGACCAGGACAGCTTAAACGTGCTTATACACCTGAGATTGTATTACCAAGCACTGTAAAGAAGTCGGGGACTCGTGACAATGTCAGGAAGGAGCAGAATTTGGATAATGTGCCGGTACCTCCTCCATCCTCACACAACGGGAGCGTTATCTTTAGTGCCGTGTTTTCAGAGCAAAAGGATTGGAGTTGGAGTGCTAAATTCCTGTTGGGAATCCATGAACCAATTCGTCACGCTTTATTTGTCATGGATCGCTTCTTGGAACAGTCTCAGAGTCAGTCGAAGCCTGAAGCTTCACATACATTGGCACTCGAGACACACGTTGCCGAATTTTTTCTCTGGTTTAAAACGTACTTCGTCGAGTATTTACAATGTCAGCACGAAGTAAAAGCTTCAGTCTTGCTGCCTCTACTCAACTTACCAGCTTCGACCAAGCAGCAAGTTCTAGATGTGTACCTGGATATCTCTCAAATGCTGGCACAAATTCAACAGCTAGAACGTGCATTGTGTGTCAGTGGAGCTTGCCACGCATCGTCATGGCTTTTACGACTCCAGGTGTTGCAAACAGAGATCCGACAACTGAACCGCACATTGCATGCGGCTTTGAATATGGAAGAGGAGACCTTACACCCAGCTATGGGCGCTGCATTCACAGAACGTGCATTCCATAGCCACATTATGCCTCGTGTCTTCCGTGCTATCCGGGCTAAGCGTGTTGTGGTGCCATGGATTGTGGAGCGCAGTAAGATCTGGGGAGGAGAAACAGAGCAGCTCAGTATTCAGGGCATGTTGCCCTTTTCAGCAAAGTTCATGTATCGCAAGATTTGGCGACCATATTTCATGAACAATGTTGCCGTGGCGATGAAAAATCTGAACGAGTTTGTCGGCTCTTCAGGCTCAAGCAGCACTACCAGTACTGCGTCGACTTACAGTGAACGCCACGGAGACATGTGCTCGATCATGTGAAGTCACTTATTGAAGTTGCATTGACGGCTTTCTGACTGGAAGCGCTACAGCTATTTATTAAAAGAAGGGGCCACGCCAACATTACGTGGGCGAAGAGCGTTTGTCCTGGGTGCCCGAAGCTAGCAAAGCGAAAGCCAGTATCCATTGCCGTAATAAATGAAATCCTTTTTATCTCGGTAACGACTTTGTATGTCCACCTTTGAATATCAAGCAGATACAAACTCGTCGACCACACTCTTCCATGATGTTGCTCACACAGTATTCAAAACGACTAAAATGTTACAGCCAACGGCTGTTCGTGTTGCCAGTTGAGACAAGTCGCAACATGAGATTTTGAGTGACATGTCAAGCGACAAGCCAAGATGGGTAACTTGATAGCAAGCGACGACTTTTAAAGCCATTAGTTGTCAATTCGACAGTGCTTCTAATTAGGTGAGATATATCGGACTAGTAAGTACCAAAATCTACATGAGACGAACACGAGCGCAAAAGTGCAGCATCTATCAGCCCTTTCACCTACGGTAGTGGAGTAAACAGAGGTACACTATCTTAACATACCTTTTATGATGGTAATGAACCATGCAATATGATACATCCGATTGTACTTTACTCCTTGGTATCAACGCCATCCCAAAGTGGATGTGTAAGCGGCTTCACTCCAGCACCGAGTAGCATTCGTACAGCTGCCTTTTCAATGCGTTGCAGTTGTCGATTAACAATACTCTCACTTTTAGGTGTAAATTGCTCTGTCCGAATTGTAAGAAGTCCTGTGCAACAACCAACACAAACAAGTCATGAAGGTGTCGTCCATACCGACATTCAACCAAATTCTTACCATTGAGATTTCCAAACAGTACGTCTGTCGAGTATCTATCGCCAATCACAACCAGTGTCTTTATATCGACTGTACCGAAGTGGGTTTTCACAAATCCAATGCCTCCAGGTTTCTGGAACGACAAATATCTCCGTTTCAGATCCCAAAGTAGCACTCCAATCAGTATCATACCTTCTGATTATGACGAAGTACAGCAACATGCAATTTTTCTTCAATCTTCTCGGCTTCCACTCCGTCCGTGTCGTCTGAAGATCCAGCCGAATTGGAGAAAATAACAACACTCGAGTCCCCAAACACTCGTCGGCATTCAGCCAAAGAGGACTCTAAATGCGATGCAATTTCCAATTTGTGCGGCACCGTCAACGTATTGTCTTTGTCAAAAATCACACCACGGAATCCTCGGTCTCGAAGTGTCTGGAAAGGCACTTCCGTCACATCTAAAGGATACCAATGGACAAAAATCAATATGTTTAAAGTCGTATTTTGCGATACATACTCGTCAGAAACGACAAAATCTTGCATGGAACTAAACACAAGATAAAGGAGATTACCTTTCACAGAGACTTGTGGCAAAAGAAGCTGCGGTTGACGTGTCAGCACACGGCAAAACTCTATGACACCATTAAGATTAAGGCCTTTCATTGTCTTTTAGTGTTATTTTTTATTGATCTTATTGCGATATTGACAATACATATGTATTATTCGTAATTAATCGAATCATGTCTCTACCAATCAGAACGTTTAAAAGCCAGATATACTCTCAATACGTCTGAGAAAGTATCAGGTCGCCCGGCACTCTGTGGTGCTGCATTAAGACATTCCTACTGTATATATCCTACGTCAGCACTCCCGCTTCTTACATCCTCAATGGATGAAAATGCACAAGAAACGCACGCTCAGGAAAAAGCCGAGCACGTGAGCTCCGACGACGAATCATCATCCTCAAGCTCCGGATCAGGTTCGTCGTCGTCGTCGTCGTCGTCTTCATCTGATTCTGAGACGGAAGATGAAGTTGAAGTAGAAAACACAACTAATGAGACTGAAGCGAAACAAGACGCTCCTTATGGAGGTGTCACGAACCGCACAGGCAATGCTTACTCTAGTAATAATACTGGACCACCACTATCTGCTCCTCGTCCACATGGAATGGCAGCTAATACGGAAACGCTAAACGTGAATTCAACGCGAGCAGCGGCACGATTTAAAGCTTCAGAGACCGAGTCAATGATGCCTTTGGGTACACGGAAACGAGACCGACGTACAATTGAAGAGATTCAAAGAGATTTAAGGGATAAAAGAAAGAAACCTTTGGGTACACCAGCTGCAAGATCAAGTCCGCCACCTCCAAATCGCTCGCCAATGCGATCTTCAGATACTGAAGCCGTCGTAAATAGTGGAGCTCCAATGGCTGTGGGTGGCCCACTGAGTCAGTTTGGAACTGCAGGTCGTCTGCCAATTAAAAGGAAACCAGTGTCGGCACATGATAGATTGGCTATGAAACTTAATGGACGAAAAACGACACATGCGAAGGCCAAGAAGACAACCACTTCGGTTGCTGCTGTTGGTACAATACCACCAGTGTCGGTAATGACAAACAAGCCGGTGACTAAAGCGGTGACTGCAATGAGCTCGATGCCACTGCTTACAGGAAATAGCAGCAGCAGTGACCATGGAGGGGACGCTGGAGGTGATGGGTACAGTAGCAGTGTTAGTAGATCATCCCAACCGGCAGTGGATGGCAAAGTGGTGCGTGCGATGTTGCGCGCAATGCTTCGCTATGGAGATCTTACCGACGTGGGTCTCTACCCGACGGCTGGAAATTTTGCTGACGAGTACAAAATGCCTAGCTTCATTGAGCGAGCGAATTTGCAAACAACTACAAAGATCTCCATCGATAGACTGCACACACTTGCAAATGAAGTTGCTCAGAAAGCCAAGCAGGCAGTTGAGGCACGACCCCCGCAAGACAACATTAAGATTGCTGAGGTTGAGGCAAAATCAACGCAAATCATTGAGCGTCTTTACGAGAACTTAAAACTTCGCATCGCTGTTCAGCGCGCATTGCGCATTGCAGGGTGTTCTTCAGGCAACGCACAGGCGAATGCTCAAGGTGCTTACGTATTAATGGCAAAACAGAGCGATCTTTCTGTTTTAGGTGTTAACACACGAGACCTGCCTAATTGGACCTGGGCTGAAAAAGAGCACGACTGGTCACAGCGCAAGGATGCTGCGCTGCTACTTGGTGTCTACGTTCATGGATTTGGAGGCTGGGAAGACGTGCTGAACGACGATTTACTTCATTTCCAGGGGCAACGAGCCCTGAAGGGCGAGCGTCTAAAGAAGCGGGCTGAAAACTTACTGAAGCGGTTGCCACCGCCTGACCTTCACGCTGGCGATCCACGCATTGTGCAGCAAGCGAGCTCCTTAAATTTTGCGTGTACTAACTCGGGCCAATCGTTGGGTGCACAGTTTAGTGCAATCATCCAGAGTGGAGCTATTCCCGGTGTGACAGCTTCAACTCCTGCTGTTTCAGCTTCTGGAGGGGGTCGAATGGCGCGTGCAGCAGAACGATTTGCTACGCGTCAACAGAATGGCGAAGAAGTCGCAGGTCGACGCTCTGTTGGCGGGTCGGGAAGCCAAGGAATGGATGATGGTAGGCAGCAGAAGGTACTGGCCACAAGATCTCCTGCACAAAGTAGTGTTGTGGATCGCGAACCTGAAGATGGCGAAATTGGTGGCGCATCGTCATCCCAGTCAACGTCGTCACACCGCAAAAGACGATCGTCATCTGGAGATCAGACCTTGTCTCGTAAGAAACACCGCAATGGCAGCAGCAAGAAGGAAAAACGGAAGAAAGAGCACCGGAGGAGTGACTCTAGTAAGCCAAAAGCTAACCTGGAGACCTCCGAGGTGGTGGTGACACATGCGATTGCAGATGTAGCTCCATTGCCGCTACTCTCTGTTGACGAGTGCTATGAAAAGTGGAAACCCAACAAGAAGTTGTGCGAAATTCGACAGGTACTCAAGAAAATGAAGATAATGGCCGAGTGGTCCCGCAACCACAAAGACGAGACTGTGGTTGAAAAGGTGTATAAGTATGTGAGTACAATTGGGGAAACAATCGATCGCGTCGTAACGCAGCATCAAGACCAGGCCGAGCCCGACCAGTCATCCCGCGAAGTTGATGAACTCTGTACGTCCTTGTGGACGTATGCAGCAGGGTTCACGCCGTTTACGCCGCTGGGCTTTGAGCGTCTATACGACGATATTTGCGCGGATGCGGACGCTCTCGTTGCAACAAAGTCATGACGCCCACAAAGTTGCGTGTGATGCCAAAACGCTGTCACAGTCCATTCAAGTGCATGCAAGTACAGAGAAGATTCAAGGATACGGTATGCGTTTCAACACGAACAGGCACGTTTTAGCAGTGTCGTTGCTAATGCAGCTACAAGTGCAGATGGAGTTGTAAGCAGTGGTGTGATGATAGTTAAGCTGAAGAGGACGACAATGTCGAAAAAGAGACTGCAGCTAGTCGTAACAAATCAAGATTAGGATGAGGAGGGATACGGAAGCAGTTACTTTGAGGAAGAAAAAAGTAGCAGGTAAAAGCGGCTCTTATCTGCTGTGCTTCCCTACTATGGATGCTAAGCATGAGCAACAGCAAATTTCGCAGGAGATGGAGTTGCCAAAGAAATGCTCTACTATCAACTCCACCTGCGGAGATTGTAGCTTTCCACATGCTTCGAATGATACCTGGTTGATAGCAAAGATGCTACACCACATTAATGATGTACCAAGAGCATGACAGAGTAGTCCTGATGTCTCCGTATTCTAGTTAGCCATGTCATGCTGGCAGTGTAGACTTACTTGCGCTTGCCCGCTCCAACAAGCTTCTTCAGCAAGTTTCGATCTTCAAATGTCTCTGGGTGTATGAAGTAGTGTCGGTCACGTGCCTGGAACGACACCATCGGGTGCATCGTCTGGGCCGGTGGAGACACCTCGGACAATCGGAACGAATTCTTCGTCAGTTGAGCAAACAGAGTCACCGTCTCGACCGTCACCATCGGGTCGTCTATAGCTTCTCCTCCCGTACCGTCAGCAGCTAACGAGTCTGCCAACCACATTCTCATCACGTAGGGCTTGAAAAGATAATGGAACAGCGATGTACTGCCCAAACCGAACAGCATGATAGTGCCACACATGGCCCACTTCACAGACAACACACACAAACACATCAGTACTCGACCACTATGATACAAACTTGATTGTCGTAATCAATACTACTCACTTTGCCAATTGTAGAGGTGTCCTGCTCGCTTACCATGCACAGCACGGGCATGCCAATAGACGTGAGAACGCAACTAGTGACGGATACAGCTTTCATGAGACGCACAGCACGTGACATTGGCGCCGAATACACCTGATATCCAATCAACGATGAGTCTGGCAGCGTGATTTTGTCTACTACGGCGTCATGCGTCTTCTGTGCGTCTTTATTAGACCGAGACGAACTAAAGTGGTGAACAGCGAATGACGCAGGAAATAAAGAGGTTTGAAAATGGCTATTGCTATCGAATGCAAGTCGTTGAAACGAAGATACATTAACAAATCGACGATTGGGTTTTATGTGAGAGATGGTGTAAAGTGAGCGAATGGAAGCTGGAAACGTCTTGGCAAGACGCACTGCACGGCATGACAGTCGTAGAACCGACATGATACTCGAATGTGTGGTTGTGCGAATGTTATGCTGCGTAGTATACGCGTATACTTCATGTCGTACTTAAAGAGGAACATAACAGATGATACCGGTACAGTACCGATGACGATCGACGAGTACCATTATGTAATGTCGTCACGCACCATATGAGAATTACGAATCTATGGACCGTATAAATTGTAAACTTACGCTAATCAACCCTACTGTCCGGACGTCCGTAATCGATGCAATGACGATTTGCCATGTAAACCATTGTTGCAAATGTCGCAGTAACGACACGGGCTCAAGAGCCACCGTCTATGCACTCGACTCGTCTTTATTCAAACGTTATGTGACATAACGTTTGAATAAAGACGAGTCGAGCGCATAAACGGTGGCTCTTGAGTCTTACGTATGTGGCAATAGCACATTGCATAACGCCTAGTGTTGACAATAGAAAGGTGGCTTTGTATGTAAACGTAGAGCCAGGTACATTTATATGTTTAAGCGCCACAATCCTCCTGTATATGGACAAAAAATCGTTAAGTTATAGCGGTATTATCGTCATTCCACGTAACTCCATATGTGCAACCGCTCCATGTAACGTGGTTTTTGTCCAATTGCCGACGAGATCAACGCAAGACGAGCCGTTCATACAGGCTCATCCTCTGCCGAGCAAAGCGCTGTGAGCATCTCGGTTCCCTCTGAGTCAAAGAAGACTGTCTGTCGAGTCTGTAAATCCTTTCCAGCCTCATACATGGAGAATAAACAAGTGGAAAACATCAACTTTATGGATGATGCAGTACCTCGACGTGTGATGAGAAACCCATTTGTGACTCAGACATTCCCCTATCAATTGCAACAACAGCCATCGTCTAACTTTATGCAGTTGCCAATACCAATGGAACCACCCTCAAGTCAGAGTTACACGTACCAGCAGATGCTTCCTGGACGCTATTGGCAGACTCCAACAGGGTTAGAGCCTTTGAATTACGGCAAACAGGGACGTCATGGTGACAGCTTGGACACTGGGGATATCGTTGCTATTCTGGACACTAGCTCGTCCAGAAGAGACACTGAAGAAGCAGGGATATCATTGGAAGCATCGTCGGATATGAATATGACTAGCTTTGACATGAACTCGTTCCAAATAACGGAATTGACAGGAGACTCTATGAAAGATACAAGTGAGTTGTACCAAAGATACGGGTGCGTTTCACCCGAGTCCTCGGCTACAGCTGAGGAGCCAATGAAGACCCATTTTACGATGGACCCGACAGCGGATCTGGCTACTGGAGCTTTAGCTGTTTCAGCAATTAGTGCCTTGGTGGATGTGGCATATACGCAATTCAGCAAGCCGAGCAATCCCAAACTGAAGGTGGAACAAATTGCCAAAAACAGGAAAGTGAAATGCAAGTTCCCTGACTGTCCCAACCAAGCACGAGTTTCTCAGTACTACGGTGATTTTTGCAATCGACACGTGATTGTCGCACCCTGTGGATTCCCTGGTTGTCGGGACAAGGCTATGGAACGAGCTGCGATGTGTGTGGAGCTAGGCAAGGAAGCATTACACGAGACTTTGAATCTTCGCACACAAAATGTACCCGTGTGTCAAACGCTTGGGTGCTTTAAGAACGATCAAGGAAGGGGATACTGCCGTGGCCACGAGAAATTGATGATGGCTACTGGACACCTGCCCCCACATATTAACAAGCGCCGCCTCAACAGTGCATACACTATGTGCAGCTATCCTGAGTGTACAAAGCATTCCCAGCGACATCACTTATGCCGAACTCACGGAAACCTTCTCATAGTGCAAGCCCATGAGCTGGCAGACCGACCTGGAGCCACTGAAAGCTATGACGAAATTCTATCCAAGATGCAGAAAGACATACGTCGTTGCACTCACGAAAATTGCATGAAAAACTCACAGCGAGATCGACTGTGTACAACGCATCTTTCCGAGAAACATAATCAGCAAACGAAAGGCTCGATACCAGGCTCGACACTAGCATTGGCAAGTAAAGAAAAAAACGAACCAAGTCAGCAGGAGAACATCCGTGGAAGCAATGCACGAGCTATTGAACGACCTCGGGGTAATAAACTAGGTTGCGAAAATCTCTTGTATGCAGGGGGTGTATGCGCGAAGCATACAAACAAGACCCAGAATCTGACATCAAGTCAAGGACGCTACGATTCAATCTCCTCTGATTCAGCCGCAGCAACTTTGATGGCTGGTGATGATAACGAAGAAGCACAAGCGTTGTCTGCCGAAGGCAACCAACCACAAATATTTAGTCCTTGGATGGGTGCTGCAAGCATAAGCTGCACTAACCCAATCTGCGATCGTAAAGGTTACGGGGGGCAAGAATACTGTGATCCATGCCAAAATTTGTTCTCGCGTGTTGTGGTACCCATGCATGAAAGCTCGGTTGGTTCCTGGGGCTTCCCTTCCAAAATTGTATGCAGTGACGTCATACAACCTGAAGAAAACCTTTCGCTTTGTCGTGTAGCAAACTGCGGGCAAATATCCATTTACGGTGGATTGTGTCCATCACATTTTCAAGCGTTCGAGACAGGTTCATTGTCAGTGGATCAGGTAAAGTTGACGTCACAGACACAAAAAACGTGATCAACAGCAGGAGCAGCAGCTAACGAAGCGAACTTTTCCACATCCGTCAAGGGGAGAACATCATTGCAAATGAATGTGGCAAAGAGATTCAGAAACGGAATTTGTGCAAGTATCTCCATCGTCTGCACGAAAGTATTTCTACCGGAAAAAAGACACCGCTACAAGTCGGAACCCAGCAATTTCCGTAGCAGAATTGCAACAAAGTGGTTTTCTCCATTAACGATACAACGGCCAAGATTTCCGTGTGCGCATGTGCTATCGATGGATACGTTTGCAAGCTCTGGGAGTCGATCAGAATATCAATCGGAGCCAATACAACATGAATGTGGTTGTCTCGACTCTAAAAGAAAGACGCTTGGAAGCTGCTTTGAACTGGAAAGTAAAGACCTCATCAATTCTGAACAATAGTGAGTGTCGGATGAGTAATCGACAATGGTGCATAGAATAAAGAAGAAGAAGAACAACTCGAGGAGGAAGTGTTTCACGTACGATAGACGAGATACCATATAAATATGATACCGAGCTTGCATATAGTAGTACAAGTACTACGTTGCCAAAGACCGGTAGTACTATTTTTCACGTATTAATTGATATTGAGCTTCAAGTCGTCACCACTCGACGCCAGTCGTCGTTGACATCACTCGCCTCGTGTGTCTTCTTTAGTAATTAATATCGCGTAATCAACAGCAGCGCCAACAAGAGATGGAACGTGTCTATTCAGCCTTTTTTACCTGTGAACGACGTCGGGAGCCTCTAGAACTCACAGCAGCGGCATTAGAGCTGCATAATGAAAAGCAGAAGACACAGAAGACGCAGGTTTCACGCTCTGTGGATGGAGACAGACGACGATCCATTGCTGATTATAGACGGGAAGAATTGTGTATAGAGTCCAAGCGACATGCAGCGGATAGAGCTCAGGAATTACACAGGATAACGATGGACTGGATGAGTGTCAAGAAAGATCTGAAGGCAGCGTGTCAAGCGGCAGTACGAGCTTTTATATTAGCCTATGGCTCGAAAGCTTTTACTGCAGTACTACTGGCGTCAAGGAAATGGAGCAGTCTTGAGTATGGCTATGCTGATGCTGCGAGGCTTTTATTGAGAGGAGATACACTTCGATTTGGAGCTTTTTCTGGGAGTTTAGTCGGAATCTTTCGACTCACTGAACTCACGACAAGAGCTGTTCGTGGTGGACAAAGAGATGCTGCTAATTTAGCAATTGCAGGAGCAGTTGCTGGCTTGGCGTTGCTTCTGGATTCACCTTCGAGACGTAGTACCATCTCGCTGTACATTTTCGTACGTATGCTGGATGTCGTATGTCGCCATTTCGTGTCTATTGGTGTCTTACCGACGTGGCGATACTCGTCGGAAGTGCTATTTGCAATGAGTAATGCCGCCATTATGTATGCATTTGTGGTGGATCCAAGTTTGTTGCCCAAGGTTCGTTTTGCTGTCGAAAGAACTAGTACCTACTGGAATCGTTTTGCTAATTGCACTACCTTTTTTGCAATGAAATCGCTTCGTTAGGGCTATTACCAGTGGATTTGTCGAATTGGCAGTGTGAATCACCATGGCTTGGAGTACACCATCCGGCAGCGTATGCGTGGCCAGCTAGATGTTTATGGAAACTCGTTGTCATTTCGCCGGTGTCAACCACACTATCACATGTACGCACACTGCGTACAAAGGCAGTAAAGTCGGCTTGCATGTACATTAGTAACGATGGCTATGGTATGTTCTTGTTAATGGCTTTGTTAGGGAGTCATGTGTGGCGCATGCCATCAAGGAATGGATCAACGGATTGGGAAGGTCAATGCAAATTTATTTTCCTGTGCATTTTCTCCCTGCTATGTTTTTTCGCTTCCAGCAGCTTCAGGGAGCTCCAGTGTCTACAATTGCACGCATTTCCTATGCTGCGCTGTGCTCTTCAGCATTTCTTGCATCATACCAGGTTCGTGTTTTTTGCTAGTAAGATGGCGCACCAATAAAATACTGACTGCTGTGTTGTTATGCAGACGGTGGCAAAACTGGTCGTTTGCATGGCTCGCAATGCTTTTCGTCGAGATTATGCCACCACGTCACTTGCAGCTGGAGTCAGTAAACTTTCACTTGATTCTGTTGTTTTAATCTTGCTGTTGTAACGTAAAATGGTTTTCCTATACTGCTTAGGTTGCAACGGGTGGCGCTCTCTTGTTTGAGCATACCAAGCGCCGCTTTGAACTCATGTTGTATTGTTTCCCACGCGCACTTGACATTGTGTGGCAACTTTTGAAGCGCCGAGGAATTTTACGCTATGTGAAGCACAGTGAAGTAGCGCTATTCTGCCTCTCGATGTCGCTCATCATGTCTAGCCCAGCCCGTTATTTCAAACCGACATACCTTCGGATTCTGCGGTTCATTTTTGGAGGCGATATTATTTGAATTTACTTTACTGATTCTTTCCTTGATTCCAGTGGAAGTTCCTTCACGCATTAGCCAATGTACGGCTGGTCAGATTTACGCAGGAAGAGTACTATGGATTTGACGAATCATTGGTAAAGGAGTCAACATCAGCGGAAACTAGACTGCCACACCAGGGCAGAAAGTTGACTTGATTATAAGTGAAGTAATCGACTAAGTACATCGAATGCATGCATTCTCGCACACGAATGCTCTTCATATTCTGCCTGCAGCCAAACCAACACGATCGCCCAATCTGTGCTTGCATTGAAACGCCATCCATTTAGAAATAAGGCGCAATCCAAAGCGCAGACTACCCAATGTCTTTCTGCCGTCTATTTATCCAGGAGGGAGGCGAGAAACGTCAATCTCTTCGTCGTCAGCCTCGTCCAACAGTGTGCGTGTAGCACCCTCAAATGTCGAGAGATCGCCCAGTTTGTCAGTCACGCGGGTACTGCGAGCCATTGCAATGACACCGCTGCGATGGATCTCCGTGATGCCCAACGGCTTCAGCAGCTCCAAGAAGGCCTCAATACGACCAGGAGTTCCAGCCAGTTGCACCATAACTTGATGTGGCCGCACGTCAATGACCTTAGCGTCGAACAGATTGGCCAGCTCCACGACCTCAGCACGGGATCCAACCTCTGCACACAAGATTTTTGTCAGATGTCAGTTTTAGGTTCACATCAACACAGATTCCAATAATAACGAGTATCAGTGATAAAGCTGATCAGTATGAGCAGTTTCAAGGTTAGACGTACCAGCCGTCGACACCTTGGCCAGCATCAGATCGCGCTCGACGTAATTCTTCTCAGCATTTTTACCGCTGCTGAGGATGTTGACGACAGCCACGAAAACGACATCTTCCAGCTGCTTCTTCATCTACAGAACCACAACAATGGTCAATTCATTCTCCAGTCCCCTCGTCACTCAAAATCAATAGCATCCGTACGTTCAAAACACTTTGAGCAGTGCCATTGACGACCACCGTCATGCGGGAGAGCTCCTCGACTTCTGTGCGACCCACCACTAGACTGTCAATGTTGTACCCTGCAACAAAATTGACAACAAACCCCAACAAAACATTAGACATTGCAAGTACATTCTACAACTCGTTGCAAGTCTTTTACCTCGAGCGGCAAAGAGGTTAGCAATCTCGGCCAGACAACCAGGCTGGTTCACCACCAATGCAGCAATCACATGACGCTGACTCTGATCTGCAATACTAAAAGCACGTGAAAAGTATTTGACGGCGACGTTTGACGGCGCAATAGCAGCTCTAGACCGCGGGAAACCACAACGAGTCAACGACGCCACCGACCTTCGCAACATCGGAACAATTGTCAAATGTCGTCATTGGTCCTCAATTACGTCAGTGGCTGCGCAAACAAACCCCAAGCCCGATAAAGTACGAAAGTGGACCAAGTAGGAGTGTTCTTGCGGCTGTTGCTCGGCTGGGGCTGGGCTTACATCGGACTGGAGTCAAGCCCTGTAAACTCTTTGAGATATCACAACGTACCAGCGACATCATAGTTTTAATCTTATGAAGCAATTAGTTGTAGCCGTCCTTGAATATTCTTGGACGTTCGCGTTAACGCTCTTATCTACCATCTCAAATGCTCGACCATCGGTTGTTTACCCAAGGAGGTCGCTCTCTCGCCTGCACCGTTTCCGTGAACAGGACAGTGGTTCGTGATTACTAAAAGATGCAGCCAGACTAACAGCTATCGGCAGTTTGTTGCCTTGGAATTCAGACACAGCCAAAGGTCAAGAAGATACGAGGCTTCAAAGGTTTCGTTCTTTGTGATATTGTAGTCATTCGAGTAGGGTCGCCATTGATGTCGCAGCGTAGCAGACCGAGCTTAGCGTGAGTCACGTTTTGTGGCAAGTGGATTGATTGCCGCCAGAAACGGCTTGATCCGATACAGCTTCTTCTTCTGCATGAAACTGCGACTCTATAGCATTTGTATTGGACAACATATGAGACTCATCGTACCATATTGATCACGACTAAGGTTGAAGTTGCAAGGACGGCGCTTGAAACGCTACATGATGCTGATAAAAAAATATCCATTGGTATACTCCTTTACTGTAATACGTACTAAGAACGTGGACCGTTGACGCCAAGAAAAGATAGAGATCTCCATCATTTGGCACTAGAGTAGCTGGAAAACAATCAGAGCCAATTCATATACCACTGAACCACTTCAAAGCAAGCTTCTATATTTTTAGCCCAGCCACTACTGCCCCATAAGCCCTTCGTTCAGCTTCATCCCGTTCTCTCGTGACTCTAATCACGCACGCAGTGCCAACCCCCCCCCCAAAGCAGAGTTGCCAAGTCACTACCGGAACGATAGCAAGGCGAAAGAAAGAAAGAAAGAAAACGCTGGGCAACGGGTGAGGAAAGGCGCAGCAAGTCTACCGGAATACTGGCAGAAGACACGCTGCACAACAACAGCATCATAGGGGCTCGAGGTTGTGGTGCTCACTTGTGAATTGACTGCGAGGCTTTCATTCGTTCGGTTACCCGTAGCATCATGCAACGAGATTTATCTTGGATCAGACCAGGCGTCACTGGATACACAGAGGCTCAATTCATAGTGCTTGTACTAAGTGTTGTAGTAGTGGCCGTCGCACTGCTTTCATACTTCGTGGTGGCACCAGAGTACGAAAAGTACTTGGGCAAACAGTACGCGGCGTTGATGCACGCATCCTCGGAGCGACAGCTTCATAACCAACAGGCCATATCCGATCGAAATCCACCGCGCAAGCACAAGTCACTCGGTGCCTGGGACATTGAATCCGGCTCGAGCGACGACGACGGACTACATCACTGCAATGTGCAGCGGCGACACTCGCAAATACGATCCCCTCCTGCCAGTCTCTCTTCACCAAGGGACACGGTCATCATGGAGGCTCAGATCGCACGCAAGGAACGCAACGCCCGTCGCCGTAAGAGCGAGAGCGATGCGCTCAAACAAGCTACCGTCCAGCGAGCAGATATGCTGCGGCGTCGAGTGCTACTACGGAAGCTTGAAGAGGAGATTGCTGGCACAGTAAAGGCAAACAAAGAAGCCCAGGCAGCTGCAACGTTAAATTCCAGAATGACAAACACGGTGAATTACACGCTGGATCTGAGCAATGACCGACTCAAGATGCTGCAGGAACATCCAGCTGATTGTGTCGAGGAGTTTGCAATCCTTGCTCGAACAAAGGCATCGACTATAGCTTCACTTCTTGTGGACAATACGGCAACGTTCAAAAGCATGATAGAGACCGTACCAGATCTTCATGAAGTAAAGCGGGCACTGAAAGTATTGCACGATGTCTTGAGCTTCTACTTGTCGGCGGATCATCGTGACATGAACAAACTTACGGTTTTTTGCAATTCATTGCTGCAGCATGATGGTCTCAACCGTTTACGAGCGTTCGAGGCATCTCGTGACAAAGACGTTCGAGTACTATCCACCTCCATCATCGAGAAGGCTGTGCCTGCCATTTGGCATTAAGATACATCAGTCACCTATCTATAACCCCTCAGCTGCGATCGTATCCTCCATCACTAAGTAAATAAATTGTAGTAGTTCCTTCAGAAGATCACACTCTTAAACAGGAATAAACTAATGTCCTTTGGGTAAGTTCGTTCATCTCAAAAAGTTTGCTTGACTATTTGTGTGGAAAAGACGTCGCAATTTCTTGCAATGAGCTTGATAGTACCATCCTTAGCACCATTCGAGCGATAGATCCACCACAGAGAAGTACACTGCCAAGAGTAGACGGGGTGAGCTTGGACTTCCATAGGATGAGTGTCTTGGGCTGCGAAAAGGGCGCTGTACTGTCGGCTATAAACTGCACGAGAGCCACATGATCACTCAGCAGCAGTGGACCACTCTTCTGAATGCTATAGCGTACACTAGGAATCCTGTCCGAGTCGTCAGGCGGTCCCGCCGATAAGATCTGCTCTTCAACACCAAGCGACACGAGGCGACGGTGGCCAACAAGTCCGCAACCTTCGCCATCCTTTAGCGTTGAGCCGCGGCCGAACCATTCCATGCGTATCCCTTCATCGTAAGCTTTATCGACTGAAGTGTTTACAAGGTGCGACAGTATGAGCTCTTGTCCGTCACTATCCGTGTACGCCTCGAAAGAGGCGGCATCTACATACCGATCTGCCATTGTATCACGAATGGAGCGCAAGGATTGGTTGAAAAGATAAAAGGAGAAATATGGGTACAGAACACGTTTTTATGACGAATGAAAGGAATGTGAAAGAGAAAAAAGAGTACTTTTTTAACTCTTTTTGGTAACGACATCAGCGACTTGCGCAAATTCGGTGTAATTGCAGATATCATGGCGATTTATTTCAGCGCCATTGTCGCTAATCCAAGTGTCGATTCGTCTTTGCTGCAGCATTTACGGATAGTGCTTTCAGCAAGCTCTGTATCGTCGACCGTAGGATAAATTTGATCAATCCACCACAACAGAATAGATACCCAATCACACTGGGCTGCACCTTTAGCGACCAGATCACGAGCGTTGCTGGTGTGCTCTCTGGAGACGCGGCGACATCGACAAATTGCACGAATGCAAAGTGTTTCTGTAATGGAAACTGTCCAAACTTACGAATCTTGTAGCATATTGAAGGGATCTTGGAGCAGTCCCGTTGGGTAGCCGCAAGACTCGGCCGCCCTCCGTCGCTATCGACAAGATCATCAATAGGCAGTCCAACCGACAGAATCTCCTCTTCAACGCCCAATATGACGCCACGTACGTGGCCGACGTAGCCTCGGCCTTCGCCCTCGTGCAACTCCAATCCCCCCGCAAGCCAAACTTCCTCCAGCCACGCATCAAATACCTGAGAAGGAGAGCCGACGACACATTCTGATACAATCAGCTCTTGACCCATATATCGCTGGTATTTCTCGTAAGCTTGTGCATCCACATATCGCGTTTGGTCCAAGTAAGCGTTACGCATTCTGGTCCCGCTTGACACTGATTATCATATTTTATTTGTGTCAGGTCCCAGATACCGGTAATTGGCCAATAAAAAAAGTTGTGCTTACTACTCCCAGAAAATTCTGCAAAGTGAGCGAAACACAGTCCCGTCTTTAACAACATGACGTATGCGACATTTTTGAACCAGGCGACTTATCGAAAAAATCCAGAGGAATAAGCTCCAGCTTCAAGATATTGATGTACAGTATTGACTACCACCTTTTCTTAGTTATCTCGTGGAGTTGACTTGACTGTAATAGGTAGTTTGTAATTGATCTGTTGTTGTGTGCTATTTGGTAATTTACAGCGCTACCCTGTAGGCATTGCGCTGGCGGCTGGCGTACAGGACGCCAATTCCTACCGATATCGGTTGTTGCTGCAATGCCAGTTTCAGCAATTCGGTCGAGTCAGTACTGTTCTCGCATAAACGCCCCACAACTTGCTCCCAACCAGATATACTCGCAGCAGCGTCGTCTGCAGTCGAGTTGCTGCATGCATTCGCTAGAGTAACTTCAGATGGTTGCGCAGTATCCTCTTCGTTATACGGCAGGTCCAGCTGGCTCAGCAGCGACCAATGCAACTGCGCTGCGTCGGCAAATGCGGCGTGGGTCATGCCTCCATTGCATGCATCGTTCGTCGAGCCCCAGACCATCTTGCTGTGCAGCCAACTCGATCCATCCACGCCACTCTCCGCCCAACAATAGTCAAACGTAGTTGTCATTGCTCTTGAGCTGCACGCTAAAAATTGTTGCGGCGATAGCGACTGGGGCTTTGTTCCGGCATGGACCACTACCGCCGTCTCGATGCTATCGGCTGCTGCAAAAGCCCAGCAGCTGCCACATTGATTCTGACTCTTGATAACCGTGCAGATGCTCTGGTTGTGTGAATTATCCGACGAGCACCAATCCAGCGTCTCGCGGTATCCGAGTGTCGAGCTGACAAGTCTTCGTTGATCTGTCAGTCGGCGTTGCTGCTGACGCTGCGCCGCTTGATGCTCCTGCTGTACAAAGTCAAAAGGAGACATTTTCCTGTCGCCATCATGGTATAAATGCCGCGTGTTGACGCCCATAGCGTACGGGAAGACCCAGTCCCGTTCTGTTGCATGCGTGTGCACTTGTTCCAGATAGTCCACGTGCTCTTCCATCCGACGTCGAAACTCAATCGAGCCTACGTCCATCCTTTCGTTTTGCAGGAACTGCGTCACCATATCGTCCGAAGACACTGCAATGCCATCCCGGCCTACCCACAAACACCTTGCATCGTTGCAGCGCTGTATCGTGCCAAATGCAGAGGGATTATCGAGCGCTTGGATTGTAGATGGAGAAACGACTGTCGTGAGAGCAATCACTTTCATCCATGAGCGACCCTCACATCACCATGTTAAATGAACTATGTTTAGTTGCAGATTATCACTTGGCGACACCGGCTGGAGTCGGAAGTGGCCGCTGCACGATACTGCGTCAAGAGACTTGTCGACCATACAAAAAAGTTGGAGTGGTGAGTCAGCGACTGCCACGATGGACTTGTATGATTGAACCTGCCACTTCAACCATAATTGATTGACGTTTGACGAGCGTCTAATCGTTGAAAAAGCATTGCATGCATGCGAAAATGGAGCTTGGAAGCTCTCAACTTTACTAGTAGTGAAGAACTTCTATAGCTTCAGAATGATCATCTCGTGGTAACGTATTTGAATAGCTAGCTTGATTCACGAACGCATGAAAAGACTGTCATACTAAACCACCGCCATAGCGCCATCACACTTCTTGAGCTTTTAGTAGCCGAATTACAATGTGCTGTAAAGACTTTATCCTTCAACTACTGCCCGTTCCTAGCATAGACTACGGACTAGTGTGCATTCTGAGCGTTGGTAGGAGTGGATGCAGCCATGTACATGGCTGAGTTCTGTTCGCGGATCGTCTTCATTTTCTGGTGCGAGACAAACATACCGATGGCAGTAGCCACCACGGTGAAAATGGTCGTCGCTGCTGCAACACCAATCCACGACGACGGGCTCAACCCCACAAAGATCTTCTCACCTCCGCTATCGATAGTAGTCCTCGCTTGAGCGCCTGCCTTTGCGCCAATAGGTATAACGGGGAAGATGTTCAAACCACAGTTGATCTTGGTGTCCGCTACCAGCTTTATGTAGCCATCGTCGCCCCACAAGCTGCCGTACGAGTTTTTGAGAATCCAATAATCACCATGCACGCTGTCCGTGCCGTAGCCCACGAGAAGAAGAGCGTGATTCAGGTCATTCTTCGATGCCATCACGCCGTTGTTTGGACAGTTGTAGAACCCACCGGCGTATTCGTCAAAGTTACCATTAGAAGTGATTGCTACAGCAATGGGCTGCTTCTCCAGCGCCAAGCGGAGCAGCAACGTGCAATCGCTGGAAACGGTGCAGTCAATACCCACAATCTGTTCATAACCAGTAATACTTGCAGCCGCTTCATCCGCACCAACATTACACATCGATGAAGCGCTTGCAGTTGGCGAGCCCCCAGGACTCTCATCATCGTATGGCATTGTCAACTCTGTCACGAGACTCCAGTCGTTTTGAGCCGCGTCCATGAAGGCACCGTGTGTCATGCCACCATTACACCCGTCATTTTGAGACTCCCACATGATCTGTGTCTGCATCCAACTAGCACCAGGCACACCGTCGTCTGACGCCCAGCAATACTCGAATGTTTGAGTGGTTTGCAAACTACTGCATGTCAAGAACTGTTGCGGAGATAAAGACACAGCCGCTGAAGCATTTTCAGCAATCACCACGGCAGTCTCGATAGCATCTGCAGCAACAAACGACCAACAGCTTCCACAGGTCTTTTGACTTTTCACAGGTGAACACACACTGTGGCCCATTGAGTTGTCGGCATCACACCAGTTCCAATACTTGGAGCTACCACCTGCACTCGAGATCTTGCTGCCATCGGTACTACTTTTTTGAGTCTGAAGACGACGAGAGAATGCCGAAGCCATTTCCTGCTCGACAAACTGCTCAGGTGTTAGCTTGCGGTTCGACGATAACGTCAAATGCCGCTCGTTCACTCCCATGTGATACGAAAACTCGTGGCCAACACTCTTTGCATGCATATGGACGTCTACATTATTGCAAAAGTACACATTGAGGTTAGCATGCTGCCTGCAAAGTGGTATAACATTCGTCCTCAACGCTTTTCTTACCTTCAATGTACGTCATGTGTTGCTGTAGATTGCGTAGCTTTGACTCTCTCTTGCTGCCGGCAACATTGTTGTGCTGAAGAATGAGTTCACGCAGCATGTGTGAGTCCACAACTTGTCCGTTTTTTCCGGCCCAAAGGCATAATGAGTCTACAGAGCGAACGGAAGGACAGCCGATGAACGCCCCTAGTGATCGATCCGTCGTCTTGACGGCTGTGGCAGAAGCCGCAGTCAAAAGCGTAAGGAGAACTGTTTCGAGGCGCATGGTTTCGAAGAATGAAGTGATACTGTGACTGACTGAATCTCTGGAAACAAGTTTTTGATGAGAAAAAGCTGCTGGATTCACAATAGAAAATGAGCTTTCTTCCTATGAGAGAAATCAATGTCATTGCAAGAATCAGCGAAGCCACTGGCAAGAAAAGTATCCACTGACTCCATAATGAGACATGTTGACAGTCAAAAGTTTACGTAGCGATGGAATGCTACGCTACTTACGGAACCCTCCTCATCTCTACTCACTCTACTCACCACATCTTCGTTATATTTCAATCAATATGAAGCTACGTGTAATCAAAATGCAATAATGCCCGTCGCAAATCATCAATTCCAGACGCCACGGGCTATTCAAAACTGATTGACACCCCCATTTACTGGCCGTTGACCCGTGCCGCGTGCATGGCTAAGTTCTTTTCGCGAATCGTCTTCATTTTCTGGTGCGAGACAAACATACCGATGGCAGTAGCCACCACGGTGAAAATGGTCGTCGCTGCTGCAACACCAATCCACGACGACGGGCTCAACCCCACAAAGATCTTCTCACCTCCGCTATCGATAGTAGTCCTCGCTTGAGCGCCTGCCTTTGCGCCAATAGGTATAACGGGGAAGATGTTCAAACCACAGTTGATCTTGGTGTCCGCTACCAGCTTTATGTAGCCATCGTCGCCCCACAAGCTGCCGTACGAGTTTTTGAGAATCCAATAATCACCATGCACGCTGTCCGTGCCGTAGCCCACGAGAAGAAGAGCGTGATTCAGGTCATTCTTCGATGCCATCACGCCGTTGTTTGGACAGTTGTAGAACCCACCGGCGTATTCGTCAAAGTTACCATTAGAAGTGATTGCTACAGCAATGGGCTGCTTCTCCAGCGCCAAGCGGAGCAGCAACGTGCAATCGCTGGAAACGGTGCAGTCAATACCCACAATCTGTTCATAACCAGTAATACTTGCAGCCGCTTCATCCGCACCAACATTACACATCGATGAAGCGCTTGCAGTTGGCGAGCCCCCAGGACTCTCGTCATCGTATGGCATTGTCAACTCTGTCACGAGACTCCAGTCGTTTTGAGCCGCGTCCATGAAGGCACCGTGTGTCATGCCACCATTACACCCGTCATTTTGAGACTCCCACATGATCTGTGTCTGCATCCAACTAGCACCAGGCACACCGTCGTCTGACGCCCAGCAATACTCGAATGTTTGAGTGGTTTGCAAACTACTGCATGTCAAGAACTGTTGCGGAGATAAAGACACAGCCGCTGAAGCATTTTCAGCAATCACCACGGCAGTCTCGATAGCATCTGCAGCAACAAACGACCAACAGCTTCCACAGGTCTTTTGACTTTTCACAGGTGAACACACACTGTGGCCCATTGAGTTGTCGGCATCACACCAGTTCCAATACTTGGAGCTACCACCTGCACTCGAGCTCTTGCTGCCATCGGTACTACTTTTTTGAGTCTGAAGACGACGAGAGAATGCCGAAGCCATTTCCTGCTCGACAAACTGCTCAGGTGTTAGCTTGCGGTTCGACGATAACGTCAAATGCCGCTCGTTCACTCCCATGTGATACGAAAACTCGTGGCCAACACTCTTTGCATGCATATGAACGTCTTCAATGTACGTCATGTGCAATTGCAAGTTGCGACTATAAGTTTCTTGGTCACGATTGGACACGAGGTTGCGCTGGACGAGCAGCTCACGCAGAGTCGTCGAGGCGACGACCTCGCTGTTTTCGCCGACCCAGAAGCACGGAGACTCAACTGAGCGCATGACAGGACAATCTACAAGCGTGCCGATAGACCGAGTGATAGTTTCCGCGGCAGCGCTGACGACGATGGCCGTAGCAAGCAAGAGGAGAGAAGCATGCATACGCATGTCGTCGATATTGTGATGGAAAATGAGACTAATAATAGTCACAAATAGCTGTCTCTTTTTTATAGAAGGAGCAATTTTACGACAAAAAGTCAAAATGGGTACACCTACTGATGAAACTGTCGAGGAATAGATAGAGCGTTGGCTATGGACTTGCTAACTGTATCATGAAAATACATGTCATGGTTGAAATTGAAGCTTTCGACTAACTGCTTCTGATTTTCCACGATTTTCTTTGATCGTTCGGTACATGCGTAGCTACCACTAGCTCAATCATCTACTGAGTCTATCTATCTAGTCCAGCAGGTGACTAAACTGCGAATACAATAATCATTCGAAGTGGGCTTCCCTCGTCTGTAGATGTTTCGTTGTGATCGTTGCAGTCGCACTGTAGAAAGATAAGGCGCTTCTGGTCAAGCGATAACTGTTTTCGCAGCAGAAGACTGTATGTATTAGACCTTGCATTGCATATTATAGATGGATCACTAATCGCTTTGGCGACTTGGTGTGTCTTAGTGGTCGCAATTCACCTTTAAGTAATGCGACGATGAATCTCACTCGTCTTGCAAGCTACCAAGTCATGGGTGCATCTTTTTATCATGGTCGACAAAGCCAAGCCGGTTTTGCTGCTAATCCCAATGGTAATAGCCGTTCAAGGCAGTGTCACTTTGTCCCTGACCACGTGAAGTATCGCTCAGCGATTTGACTCGACGATTTGTCGTCGATTTGTCTGTCTATTCAGTATCCTTCGAGTCTTCAGTATAACGCTACCAGGTATCTAGACGAACACTTTCTAACGACAATGGCGAGCCAAACAGGTGCGAAGGAGGAGGCTCCGATGCAGATGAAGACGGCGATTGTGCCGCAGTGGACGCGCTTCCTTGCCGGTGGCGTGGCATCTGCTACCGCCGAACTCCTGACGCTGCCCATTGACATCACCAAGGTGCGGCTGCAAGCGCAGCGTTCTGGCCCCACCACGGGGAGCAAGCCGTTGGTGCATTACAATGGCATGTTCCATGCTGCGCAGACCATGATCAAGCAGGAAGGTCCCGGTGCGCTCTGGAACGGAGCTACGCCTGCGCTACTGCGCCAAGTTTCGTACACGAGTATTTGTATGGTGTTATACGAACCATTGCGTAACGCCTTCGGAGCCAACGCGATTCAGGGAGCGAACCGTGAAGTTCCATTCATTAACAAGTGCCTGGCAGGAGGATGTGCCGGCGCTATTGGTATCAGCATTGCCAACCCGTGCGTTAAAGTAGCTCCTCGTCATCTTGGGTTTTCCGACACGGATTGACTGATGCTTAGTGTTGTAGTGTGGATGTTATCAAGGTGCGAATGCAGGCAGATCGCTCAGGAAAGCTCTACCGCAGTGTAGGTGATGCATTTGCCGTGATTTACCGACGGGAAGGTATGCGTGGATTTCTCCGTGGCATGCCGCCCAACATTCAGCGTGGTTTTATCGTGAATGCTGCCGAGCTCAGCACTTACGACCACAGCAAGGAGCAATTGATCTCTTCTGGGTTGCTCAAGGAGGGCGTGTTAGCACATACTGGTGCCAGTTGCGTGGCAGGCTTTGCTGGTGCGGCTGCATCTAACCCGTACGTGTATTATCTGCTCTCAGCACTAATTGCATTTCGAGCTAACATTGTCATCTGCAGAATCGACGTGGTGAAAACGCGTCTAATGAGCCAGCCAACCGACACGCATGGCAAGGGGCTTCATTACAGGGGCATGATGGACTGCGTGCGAAAGACGTTCAACGAGGGTGGCGCGAGCGCATTTTACAAGGGCTTTATCCCGAACTGGATGCGGAAGGCGCCTTGGTGTATCGTATTCTTCGTCACGTACGAGAAATACCGCGCAGCTCTGGCGCCCACTGACGGGCAGTAGACTGTTACTTGCCAGATAGTGGTGCTAAGTGGAAAGATGTTCGTTAATGACAAGGAATGAAAGCAACAAGACACACTGATTCTTGTCCACAACGTGTATTTTGTAAATGCCGACTTCGCACTAATCCCACAACGAGCCTTCCCACACGATGATAAATAAAGAGTACATCATTCTTTCTAATGAAGGCGAAAGCGCATTTTCACGAGACCAGACTCTTCAAAAAGCTTCCTGTATGCTTCCTGGTATCGATTCATGAGCCCGACGCTGCCAATCTACTTCAACGGCTACCACACTACATTCATTTGGGCAGCTCACGTACAAATCTGCCACGTTTTCTGGATATCAGTCACACGTATTGGCTATCGTGCCTTCTCTTTACCATTTAAGCTCCTCAAAGTCGTGCATCTGCATGTACCACGTAGATCGTGGCGGTGTGAGGTAATGCATAGAGGCTGCTCCCGGTGGCAGGTTCTCGATCAACTTGTCACGCAAGTCAATGTATTCGTCTGTTTGTACCACATTAATCTTCTTGTTGTCTGTAGGAATAGAAACCTTGCCATCCTTAGACAGCATCACAATAGGAAGGCGCTCCATAACACGGTCCTCCGTTGTCCACCGACTGCGTGAGATAATGTGCACATTCAGATTCGAAAACGATCCATTCATGAACCTGTTCGAAATGGTGCTTTCAACAGAAGGCTCCGGAGCTTCGTCTTCCTCCTCCTCTTCGGAGCAGTAGTACCCCGGACAAGTGCGTCGACGACGCGAGTTATGAACATTATTCTTGTTGTTCGTGGCAAAGAGGGAGCGACGAAACCGATCCCGTTCCTGTCGTCTGCTTTCTAGCATTTCCTCGCGCGTCATACGCTGTTGATTGGTGCTGTCATTAGCCGGTATCACCTGAGTGTTGCTGCTATTGCTTAGAAAACTACCATTGCTACTATTAGAACTGTTATGGCGGGTGCGATTGGAGCGATTGAGTGTCTTGAGCATCTTTTGTAGCGCCACAAACGTCTCGTCTACTTCCTCATCTTCAGTAGTAAAGCTCGGGTCGTTCTCTTCGGACGTGCGGCTATCAAAAGACGGAATATTCTTGGTCAATCGTCGTTCAATCGTCGTCATATTTAATCTTGTTTAATGTATCGGCGTCTTCTGGGTCATGTAGTAAAAGAACAAATGCTTTCCCGTTTCTACGAGTCGGGGGCAGGCAGTTAAGACTGCTGGTTGTCTGTATCTTCCCTGTTTCTTCTGATAAGTGGCCAGTGGGGGTGAAAAGTGATTATGGGTAATTAATTTTTCAATGTTGCATAAAAAACGATAACAAACTAACGGTTTTCACAGGAGATTAATTTAAATTGCAAAAAACCTGCGATAGTTTTCAAGAACTTGTTTTAATGTCGTTGCAATTTGGTTGATGAAACTATTTTGTAGACGCTCGTTGCGTAAATGTCACATATAGTAAAGGCGCTAAAATAATGTATTGTGCCACAAATCGAGTCCCAAGATGAGGACTAGGGTTGAAGTGTCGGTCTAGTAGTCGTGGCCAGCATCTGCTTGTAGAGATTACGCATTCTGGCCAGTCGGTTATCTTAATACAGTACATGTCCAGTGCTCTACTTGGTACCCAAGCAACATGGACATGCATGCGACGAGGTCGTGTCGTTTTCGCTGATTCCGCCCAGTGATCACTTGTGATAATTAGCAGTAACCGCCTTTGGATGTCGCACTCGAGAGTCCAACGCCTCAAATCTCCCTACACCCTCATTGGCTCTTCTATCAGTCCAGTGCGTAAACGTCCCGTGTGACAGACGCGTAGGCGGACTTTCTAGCAGCGACTTTGTGCGCAGCTTTAGCACTAGTTCCTCAGCTTTAGCACGTACGTCAAGGCCATCAGCTTCTGTCTTCTAAGAATAATGCAACGCATTTGAAACGTCAAATCGATGCCAGTAAAGAAGGAAACTGCCGTTGAACCGCTATACTAGAGTACAGTCCTTGTATCCTACTGATCGGGTGTCCATTCCTCTGCACAACCGACTCGTGATTATGGCAATGTTGATGTACAATGCCGAGACCTGTCGGTTATCTGAAACGCCCGACATGTTTCGTTGCAACAGAAAAAGTGGGTGCGCATGTGCAAAAGGAATTGAATTTGACGACGGAACATGTTCATTGTAGGAGATGAGAGCACTTCCCAATTCGCGCCTTCGAGCAACAACGGCCAAAAGAGGAAACCTTCAAAGGCCGGCCCCCCCCCCCCCCCCCCGGGGGGGGAGTCCCCCCCAAGGGGGGGGCAGGAAAAGGGGGGGGGGGTTTCCTCCGCTGGGGGGGGTGGGGGGGGGGGGGGGGGGGGGGGGGGGGGGGGGGCCCCCCCCCCCCCCCGGGGGGGGGGGGGGGGCTCCCCTCCCCCCTTTTTTTTGTGGGGGGGGGGGGGCGGGGGGGGGGGGGGGGGGGGGGGGGGGGGGGGGGGGGGGGGTGGGTGGTTTTTTTTCATTGTAGGAGATGAGACAAAGGTCCGAGAGGCACATATGATGGTCCAAAGAGATGTTGCAGCTACAAAGGAGCGACTCCTTTGTGCTTACATTCATAGCAGAAAGCACGCACTCGCCAGTCTTGCGTAGAGGAAGAGCGCACGGCGGTTTTAATCAGATTATGAAGAATCGTGAAGAAGTAGATGCGCTGCACGAAAGAAAGCACATTTTCGCTGAATCTTATAGCCCGATTGATGTGTGAAATCACGGCTCACCTTCAGCTTGCGTTGATAGTACGAAATAATTCGAATGACATGCTTTATGACGGCGCTATGTGATCCTTTCACGTAGTATAGACTGACTAGCTCTAGGCTCAAGGTGGAACGAAAGTCATGGCTGCAGCCAAAATTCATGCAGGTCGGTTAGGCATGTCCACGCTCGCTAACTAAACGCAACTTCCGACAATGTCCAAATATCCCGCTTAAAACATGAGAACCACCGGTTATACGAATGGAAACAACAGAAGATATGTTACAAGAAGATCAAGATCACGCCGTGTACTACTTTAGCAACAAGCCAAATTCATTGATCCAGCAGTGAAATCCCAACAACGACAACACAAAGACAGAGAGACATTTATACACAAGCTCGTCATCAAACAAACAACAATCCAGTATTCAAAGGGCATCTCCGTCCTCTCACGACTTTTTTTCTCTCTCTTTATCCTTGTGTCTATATCGCCTCCAACTTACAGAATAACGGGGTTCTCCCCCACCTCCTCGACAAAGTCGTGTGTCTCATTCATAAAGATCTTGAGTTTCTTGTTCTGCAACGCACGCATGCGGTTTCGAGGCAGCATGCCAAACACGGCCTTCCGCAAAACTTCCTCGGGCTTACGCTCAAACAATTCCTTGGCCGTACGCTGCTTGAGACCACCTGGATGGCCCGTGTGCCAGCGATATAACTTATTGTTCCACTTGTTTCCCGTGAGCACAATGTCTTTGGCGTTGATCACCACCACATAATCTCCACAGTCCACATTGGGTGCGTACGTAGGCTTGTGCTTGCCACGTAGAATGGGTGCAAGCTGCGACGCTAGACGCCCCAGCACTTGACCCTTGGCATCCACCACGTGCCACACCACCTTGGAAGCTTGCGCAATCTTGCTCATGATTCTTACACGTGACGCGGTAGATGTGTCGATGAAAGCCACCCGTCAGCAGTAAGAAACCGGTTTTCATTGCGATTCGTTTTGACCGAAAGTGTCTATATTTCAGCAATGTTTACCGTCGATACCGGTTCTGTACTGTTTCAATTGATTTTTGACACTTTATTTCTGACAGATTCTGCTATTTTTGACGAAATGGGCCGCTACACGACGATGCAAACGTTTAGCGACCAGGACGCACAGGGCGCTGCTGTACCTTATACATCAGCGGCCACGCCTTACGATTCTGTAGATGCTGTTGTGCCTACTACTAGCGACCTGAAGGACACTAAGCTTCGTGTTAATCGCGTAGAGAACGTATCAGGCAGCGGAGCGGGCGCTGGCAGCGGTGAATTCCACACGTACCGTGCTGCCAGGAGACGGTACGACAGCTGGTGCGTGTTGTGTGGTGTGTGCTGTGAATAAAGTGTTGTAATTATTACAGAGAGATGGAGCGCATTGAAGTTTTAGAGCAGCGGTACAAGCAGAACAAGGCGCAGCAGGAGTTTGAGGCTACGCGCAAGCGCAAGTCCGAGGAGTTTGAGGCCAAAGTACAGAAGCGTGCCGAGAAGCGACGGCAACGCAAGGAACGAGCGAAATTGAAGGCTCTAGATGCAGTTCAAGAAGAAGAGAAGACGAATGAGAAGGAGAAAGAGGACAGTGTAAACAAGGAGGAGCAAATGCCCGAGACTCCAGGCGGCGTTGCGGAGATTCCCAATGATGGCAGCTTTCTGGAAAAGATGCTGGCTTTGCAGAAAAAGAAAGAGAAGATGGAGGAGAAGTGAAGAGAAGCACACTGAGATCAGGATTGAAACTGAGTTGCTTCTTCTTCTTCTTCTTGAGGTACTGGGTATCGCCGGTAATGCCAGCCTTTTTGCTATCTGTAGCATCGAGCTAGGTTCAGCCCACAGCCTCTGCAAACACATTCAAAGAGGCACGATGGATCACATCGCATGAAAAGTATCGCTGTCATTTTATCATAGTCCTTGATTGCTTTGCCCTGTATTAAGTAATACAAGTACTTCCATAGGCCTTTACGTTTAAAGCACATGCTTTATTCATTACGGCTCCTCACAAAACCGCTTCATTCCGCATGCTCTACGCACGGACATCACTTCCCACCAGCAATCACGATCATACCATTTGTGATAAGAGCAGTGACGCAGGTACCGTGGCTATTCGACTCATTCAACTCAACTTGGCAGCAGGTTGACCACCTAGTTGTTGAACTTGAAGAAAATAATGTCGCCGTCTTGCACCTCGTACTTCTTGCCCTGCTGTTTGAGCTTGCCAGCCTTCTTGACAGCCTCTTCCGTGCCCACTTTAAGGAAGCAAAACAATTCACATCATACGTTAGCTCACGTGAACAGCACACACCGATAAGTATCCACCACACTTACGCTCTTTCAGATCAGCAAAAGCCTGGACTTCGGCCATGATGAAGCCCTTTTCAAAATCTGTATGGATCACACCAGCAGCCTGGGGTGCCATTCGTCCTTTACGGATAGTCCATCCACGCACTTCGTCCTTACCAGCCGTAAAGAAGTGGATCAGACTGAGAGCCTGGTATCCCATACGGAGCACGCGATTGAGGACCGACTTGTGTGTCGGGTTCTCCTTGAAGTACGTCTCGAGCTGGCCAGCAGCCTCGAGGTCCAGCAGCTCGAGCTCAAACTCACAACTAAGAGGAAGCACGGGCTCGTTGCCACCGCGCTCCTTGACGTACTCAGCAATCTTGGGCAAGTATTTGTTACCCTTGCGCAGGTAGTCGCGCTTGCTCACGTTGATGAGATAGACAACAGGCTTAGCCGTCAACAACTGCATAGAATTCAGGATATCTACCTCCTGGGCGGTCCATGTGCCGAAAGAGACGTCCTTGCCGGACTCAAGCCACTCCAGAATCTTGCACAAAGCCTCGTACTCAAGCTTCTTTTCCTTGCCACCAACACCACGCTCCGCAAGCTTTTTGACACCCAACGATTCCTTCTTGACGCGTTCAATGTCCTTAAGACGCAGCTCTTCCTGGATGATCTTCATGTCCCGCACAGGGTCCACGTTGCCCTCGACGTGAGTCACTTCGGTCGAGTCAAAAGCACGCACCATATGGTAAATGGCATCCACGGCCTGGATATGCGACAAGAAAGCGTTTCCCAGACCGGCACCTTCAGCAGCACCACGGACGAGACCAGCAATGTCCGTAATAGAGATCACGGGCGGCACGACGCTAGTGGGCTGATACTTGTTCACGAGCCAATTGAAACGCTGGTCGGGCAGTGGCACCACAGCATCATTGGGGTCAATCGTGCAAAATGGAAAGTTTTCAGCTGGAATGTGCAACTTTGATAGACAATTGAAGAACGTGCTTTTGCCCACATTGGGGACACCCACAATACCGATCTTAACGTTGTTACCTGGACGACCTAAGTACGTGCGTGTCGACTACAGAAGAAAAGTGTGTAAATAGTTAGAAAAAGAGAGAGAAGATCATAAAGGATACATTGCTTTCACAGACCTCTTCATTCTTCTTTCCCTTTGGCGGCATGATTGTTTCGCTAAATGTCCCCTTTGGATCAATTCGAATGGCGCTCGTGAGCTTTTCACTGAAAGGTGGATGGGATTTAACCCTTTTCATCAAAGAGTTTAATCGGTGGTATCGTTCATACCGGTATTACTGATGTTTTCCAATGCTGTACCTCATATAAAATGCAGCAACAACAAGAAAACGAGCAATTGAAACTCAGTCGTCAAATGAACCAGAAAGAGCTTCATTTGCTTATCTTGTCATGCGCACTACAGTTGCGCAGGATCTAGTTCGTCTACACCGAAGAAGCACTCACTTGGGTGTTGCTATCCGCCTTCACCTGCCGCGCCAATCTGGTCGTATCTGAACATCAAGAGCACAAACATCAAGAGATTAGGCATGAAAAATCATAGAACATAAAAGTGAGCGACACAGAATGCAACACTCGTACCAGCTTTCTTCTTCGCCGCTGCGACACCAAGAGCAATAAACACCACCGCCATGATGCCCAAAAATACACCCACGCCAATGAAAATGGTCTGTGGAGCTGAGTCCGAGCTGCTCAGTGTCGCGCACGAACTAATGTCCTTAACACTGCAGTCAGAGCCAGTGTAGCACGGCAGGCAGCTGCACGACTTTGAGCCATTTGATTCCTTGCACTGGCCATTACTACCGCAGTCAGACGTGCTCTCGCAGGTACCACCGCCGCTCTTTACTTCATAAGTGCCGCAAATGTCTTCCTGGGTCGTACCGATAGCTTTGCTCAGGCTCACATCACACGTACTGCCATCGTCCGTGCAAACCACGCCTTCACGACTAGAACAAATCCACGAGTCCGTGCTGGCGATCTTCAAGTTATCCGCAGAGCAGCTACTCACGATCCAGCCGTACTTCGTTGCCTCCTTGTTTGTTGGCTGTGTCTTTGTTTCCAACTTAGGTGCCCACGAGCACTTGGTGGTTTTGGTCCATGTCGCATCGTCTGTGTAGGCCGAGTACTTGGCAAACTGAGCCTTCAAGTTAGAGTAGTCCTTTGAGGGCTTCGAACTAGGCTCCCCCAAAAAGTCCGTGCTTCCACCTGCAAAAAGACGACAAGTATCAATTATCAAACGTAAACGAATGCAAAACTAATGCATCAAATGTACCTGTAAACATCGGGAACAGCGAATCGGGACTAAGTTTGGCTTCACCATACGAATAGGCTAAACCACCTGACCAAACTGCCGTAAACATCTCAGTCTTTGCAGGCTCTTGGTACAAGTAAGGAATCATCCCCCAGTCACGAGGAGTCGAGGCAGAAGTCTTGCAGCCGTACTCGCCAAAGGCAACGACAATGGGGATGCCCTGTGCCATATCAATGTAGCGTTTATATGCCTCGGCAAACGTCGAATCCGGGCACCAACGGTACTCGTTGATCAAGTAAATATCAATACTTTCCGCCATCATGCCATCCGTCATTTTGTCGCCACACAAAAGTCCCTGAACCTTAATCACGTGGTAGTCGTCGGCATTAGAGACCTTGTCGTTACTACTGTCAGCAGCAGCGTAGGCAAGCGGTAGAATGCGAGTTTTCTTGCCATTAGCTGCCATCCAGTTCTTCAAATCAGCCACGTAAGCCTTCACACATGAGGCAGCTGTCAGGTCCGCCTGCATGATTTCGTTGGCCACAACGACACCAAGAGTGTTATCGTACTGTGCAAAGTTCTGAATAATCTTCTTGCCATACTCGAGCAGCAACGCCGGGTAGCAAGTCTCGGTCTGATCCACAGTCTTGGCACCGTCACCAGACGACACTTTGCCCGAGCAACTCAATTTCTTAGTGATCGTCGAGTAGCGATACTTGCCGTAGTAGACGTCATTATCGGGCGAGGCTGAAACCATCACGTACACGCCAAGTTTGGCCATGTCGTTCATAAAGTTCTTGTACGATGATGACGGGTTAATGTTGTATAGACGAAGCGTATTGTACTCTAGCCCAGCCAAGTTTTCCTCAATCATAGCCTTGGAATACTTGTCATAGTATTCATCACTCACTGCGTATTCGTACGTCAACTATAACAGCAGCATATTCAGTGTACAGATACATACATTAGACTCCATACTATCCTATCAGCTATAGCTTTGCTGTTAGTGTTCGACTCTTTCCTATTCTTTACGGCCTTTTTCAAATGCACACACGTACCCCTTTAAGAAAGAAGCGCTTGCCCGACTTGGCGTTAAAGAGTTTGTTGCCACGCACAATGATCACACCGTCAACGGCAGCAGCAGCCGTCATGTGCTGCAGTACGGCGAGAGATGCTAGCAGCGCTAGTAGGACGCAGCTAAGTCCAGTCATTTACTCAGCAAGTTCGTTTGGCTCTGTTGTTCGCTTAAAAAGAGGGCGACGACTGGCCGGTTCTACGAAAAAAATAATCTGGTGTCCGGATTTTTTACAGACGGTTCGAGATGTTGTCGGCACTGAAGTTTTTTTTCTTCCTACGTTAAGAAAAAATTTCCGGAATTCTTGATTGAGTACGACCGTCGATTGGACGTTAATCATGACTGGTGGTCGGGACCATGACCCAACCTAACCCTTCAGCTGAGGAGCAGTTTGCTACGGTCTTTGCTCTTTCTGACAAATACAGTCGCAAAAGATCCACACTCTACCGGTTCTACATACTCCACTCTAAAAGTTGTAGTACCGAGTGAAATATACGCAAATTAAATATACAATGTGAATCGGGTGTGGGAATGTATACTTTTTACCGGCGCTAATAACAACAAGACGTTTTAAAAATCTGCTTGGCATGCTGGCTCATATGTGTGTATATCGCTTTCATTATTGGTCATGATGCGAACAATAAAAAACAAGTGCATCATTTTGGGGCGTTCAAAACAGGAACAGATCAAAAAAGTACCTGCTACATATCCTGGACAGGCGTCGAAGTCAACATAGTCTCCGTGTTCCGCAGATATGTATGTACCATACTTTGACGCTAATTAAACAGTGATTGATACATGTCGGTAGCGCATTCTTGCTGGAACTGAGCTTCTTTAGTAGCTATGAGCTCCTTGATCGATTCTTCCTCATCGCCAAGAGCACCAAATAGCTCGCCTAGGACATTGGCTTCCAGATCCTCACTATCCCAGCACTGAACTAGGGCGGCTGCCAAGTCCGCACTTGCATTTGCAAGTAATTTTCGCCACTCTACGACGTGATTTGCTGCCAGGAACCGCTGCGTTTTCACAAAGAGTTTGTTTTCCAGTGAAAATAGCACCTGTTCACGACAGCCTTGGTCTTTTGATGCAACAATCACTGCTGCCGCTCTTTCTTCATCTTCGAAAGCCCCAACAATATCTATCGCACAGGAAGACCGAAAGGCTAGAAGGCGCGCCTCGCATTGCTGCTTGACCAGTTCTTCCAGCATGACACGGGCGTAGTAAGACACCATACGTTTATCTACTACGAGTTGTTCTCGTACGCCATTCCACCAGTAGTTGACAGCAATTGTAAACTTGTCCGAGTCCACCTTGTGCCACCACCCCTCTGGAATCACAAGTGCGTCTGGAACAGAACGATCACAAATACGTTATTGTTACGGACACGATCATCAATATGTGCGTAGAGTACTGCACCTCCAGCTGTGACTTCAAATTGTTGAGCCGACGCCTTTGAAAAGCGTGGGTGTTTTTCGAGATCCGGTTGAACGATGTCCACTTGGCTGTGATTGACGGACTTGGTGTGAACCGGGTAGGGATACATCTTTGCAGTGTCTGACGGAGAATACAATGTGATAGTTTTTCGACCGTACAGAACTACCACTATGTTTTGATACGCGTCATAGTGCAGCGTCGTCCGGCTAGGTTGCACCGTCATCCAGAGATTTACTTGGGTGACAGGTTTTTCATGAAGACATTCGGGTCTGAGAAATGGCACACAAGCGTTAGAACAATAAATGAAATCTAACGAATGTTGTCTTCTTACACTCGAAAATCGTTCATGATGGCGGGCAGGATTGCCTTGGTGCATGTAGAATCAGGTTTCAATACGGCTATCGGGCACTGGGCCAAGTAAAATTCTAGATCGTCCACCGTCTGCAGCCAATGCGACTGCTTTCTAAAAGCTGCTTGGTAATAGTCGACAAAGTCACCAAACTTTAAGTTTATGCTCTGTCTGGCCTTCTCATTGCCGTAGTAACAGCCACTTGATCGCTCTTTACATGCAATTTCAACCACTATGTGCACGCTCCATTAGCAAAACCTCATTGCAATGAACAATGATCTGTCTGTTCTCTCACGAGTATCTCGATGCGACGCATATGAATCCAGCAGGTGAATCGATTCCGGAGTGAACTTGGATAAGCGGGTTGGTACTACACATTGAGCAGCAAACCCAACGAGGTAGACCGGGTCAAGCGGCCTGGACAAGTCCATCGTTTCAAACATGCACTTCGTGGTGTAGTGTACACAGTCAAAAATCGATGAGAGTAACGATTTTTCTTTTCTTATTTGGATGCTGCAATACTAAATCGAAGAGCTACTCGTTTGTGGTACTAAATATTGTGATGCCGTCGGCGAATCCATCATGGGCTCCATGATTGGCACTGCCTTTGGAGAAGCGGCAGATTTTGAGTGACGCACGCAATATCCATGACGCTGGGCCCACTTATGACACTCTTGTTCAGCACAGCGCAACCCGCCGCCGTGTGAGCGGCAAAATCCCTTAGAAATGGCGCCCTTCGTGCAATCTGGATGCTGACATCGAACACCACCACCGTGTGTTTTGCAACATCCTCGAGACTGTACAGCACGGTGGCATCCCTCAACGCTACACAGCTTGACACCTCCGTGTGCGCTACACTTGTGTCCGAACTGCGCCACCCGTTTGCACCCAGTCTCTGCGCAGAGACGTCTACCACCGTGCCCTGAACAAGCATTGTTGAAACGCGCAAACTTGTTGCAACCTTCCACTTCACAGCGACGCCGACGGTAGTGCTTGATAGCTGGAGCAGATGCTCCCTCTTCGGCCTTGGTGGCATCCGAGTTGAGTACCACCGATGTGTCTTTTGTATCTGGGTGCGTTGGCAATTCATCTTTCTTTTTCTCGATCTCGTTTGTCGTTCCACTGGTTGTTGTATCTGTCATATCGATTCCTTCTGCTGCTAGGGATGCACTGAAAGAAGCAGCGTCCGTAGTAGAAGCATCAACATCTGTTATAGTGGCTGTTGTAGCAGTTGACACTTCATCCTGTTCTGGTTTCTTTTGCTTGCTCTTGGCAATTACGGCCGCTTGAAGAAGCGTGTCAATCCATTCGCGAATAGGTTTTCCTTCACTACCTGTTGGCGGTTGCAAGACCAGTGTGCCCTGCTCGACAGGCTTACTCTCGGCCACCTCGCTCATTGCTCCGCCACTCGTACGCTTTGTGGTATTTGCGCAAGTCACAGTGGACCATGTCGCAGGCATTGGTGTGTCGTACATCAATAAACGTAGGCCACACTATCTTACAACGACAACCCATCGTTATGTGCAGCATGTGTTAGCAGTAACATAATAATGGAAGACTCAGGCTTTTCCAGCACAAATATTTCTGCGATATTTTCTAAAATAGTACTAATGATCGCTTCGTGGCTTAACGTGCTCCGTAAACGCCAGGGTGGACCAGATTGTGTCTTTGCCACTGCCGCTCAGGTTTATCAATTGAAAAAAATGGCCAGCTTTCTTTGAGTCAGCAACTTAGAGCGTTAAGATGGCTCGATAACTACAGAGTCGATGACATTTTTTTGTTGATTAGAGAGATTTGCACCCTCAAGACATTAATAAGGACAAAGTAGCAAGTGAGCTTGAAAGGGGTTGGATAAATGGCACAAGACGAAGATGAGAAATGCGATCCATTGTCGTGCGTCAGGTGCTGTAGCCTTACAGCGAGAAGAAAAATGCAGTGGAAAGAGTACAAAAGGCCGTTTGAATGCTCGGAGTTGCTCAAGTGTCGAATGAAGCAACTTTAACTCGTAAAGCACAAGCTTGGATTCAATCTTGTTTTGCCCATTCCATGGTCGGTCGATCAGTCGGTCACCTTAACGAAAAATGTATGAAAGATAGAAAGGTAAGAGCCCATTACACAGGAACAAAGAAATTATTGTCAAAATTTGATACTTTATTGAAAAATGTCGCGAGGCTTCAATACGAAGCTCTTTTTACTTACATGATCGCACACCCGAGCCACGAATCGTCCGAACCCTTCTCAGTTGCGCCTTCCATACCGTTGTCTAGATGCTTCATGGCCGATGCGACATTGGTTTCATAATAAGGATGCCACACGTGGTCGTACAGGAATCGTGCCCTAAATGATACATCATCCTTGTACGCTTTAGCGACTTTGGTGCCACCCCAGACACGGCTCCTCTCTACAATCCATGGGACCATAATACGCTTCGGTCTAGTCGCGCGGAAGACCCGCGGCATGACGTATCGATGGAAAGCATGTTCTGTAAATGCGTATTCAATAGCAGGCAGGAATGCTACTTCCTCTAATGCCAGTACATTGAGAAGTAGGTGGTTGAGGCGCCGAATGTTATCCTGCAGAATAGTCAGACCAGTCTGCCACGAGTCAGCTGTCGACACAGCCGATAACAGCTGGGCCTCATGCGCAATGATCACATCCACCAGCGCGAAAATAGCTTGATAGAAGACGGTGATGTCTCGTTTCTCCACAACCTTGATGATCACAAGCGGGAGGAGAACTGTTGTTTTCACATCTTGCTGGTTTCGAACAAATTCAACGAAGTGTAGTTTAAACCAGCTGAAAAACTCGCGCACGTTCCAATTCATGGGCGACTTCAAGCCACGACTGCGCTCTAAAAACCGATCCATCACAAAAAGCGCATGGCGAACCGGCTCGTGCAGTCCCAGTAAAAACTGCGAGTTCCAGCTCATGTCCACTTCATCGTCATGCGTTAACACACTCGAGAACACCACGTTCGCACCTTTCCGAAACGGTGCTGATACTGAAATGCTCATTACACTGGAAAAATCGCCTGACCATACCTCTCTTCGGAGTGTGTTGGCATCCATTCTCAAAGGACCCAGGCTCAGAGCGCTAGACATGGTGACCTCCGATGAGCTTGTCTCACTGCTGTGCTTGGAAATGGATGTCGATAGGTTGCTGGCGATCTGCTGCGTCGTGTTAATCATTGCAGCACGTTTAGCGTTCTGTTGCGATTCCAGCGACGCCCAGATATTAGTAAGCTCGGCGTTACTAGAATTCTCATAGCCACTCTTGTAGTCGAGCGTCGTCAACACATACGCGACCTGGCTGATGTCCACAAGTAGCTTTGACTTCTTGATAGCAAACACGTCGCGTGAAGTCTCGGGTGCCGACCAAATATTCGAATAGAAGACGGTTTCGTCGCTCGGAAGGCGCCTCAATTTCTCCGTTGGTACCATTGCCAATCGACTTTTCACGAGTGGTTTGCGTATGGAAACGGCGGCAGGCTTGATAGCCCGGCTACGTGGAAGCACAGAGTCGTCTCGGTGAGCGAGCTTTTGAGGCAAGTGCTCTCTGCCACGCAAGTCGCTTAATATTTGAACTGGCATAGTCTCCTCCCTTTTGTTATGTTCTTTTGTTTCGCTCGCTCTGCTTGATAGAAAAGCTAGTAGATACTGTTGCGTTGCTTAGTCACTTGGTCGAAACTTGTCGAATGGCAAGATTTCAAAACTGACAGATGGAGGTCGACACGTTAAGGAGAAAAATACAGTGAGTAAGGCGCCAGACATGTCAAAAGAGAAAACATGTGGAGCTACAAACCTGTCTCCACAATCGTTACTGCCTCTTTCAAGTGGATTGAAGAATGAACATATTTGGGTCAATGTGGCAGAGAGACTGGCGCTGCTGCTGCGGCTCGGGGTGTTCATGCTGTAGTCACTTGAGTGCAGTGTAAGAGACTTAGGTCTCATCCCAGTCCAGCTGGGAAAACCACCATGTCTTGATATTCCAGAGAACGGTGACAGTAGATAATGGATGTGCGAGAGACAGTCACAAAGACAACCGATCTCATATTTTTTGCAGTGCTGTATATCGCATTGAACCGAGCAGCGACGAAGCCTGAGGAATGTTTGGTGTGTTGAAGATTTTTAGTTGCGCCATCGCAACGTTTGGATGAGAGGATAAGTGCAATTGGAAAATGGTCAGACAAACTGAACACGATGTCCAGTGATAACCTCGGGGTCTACACTTTAGGGCTCAGTAGATACCCTCGTTATCCAACGAAAGTGCAGACGTGATACTAGTGTTCTAGTCTACTGAACTGTTCAGAACGTTCTGCCTAGTATGTACGCAGTGATGAATTGGAGCTACTCTAGCGAAAGGATAGGGGTTGTATCATACTAAAATTAATAGAAGCGATTGAGAGGCGATGGGCGGCCGTTTCATATAGATTTTTTCTGAAAGGAGGGGGGAAGGAAGCGATATAGATAATAAAAGCGTCAGTTTAACCTGAGATTATCATTTAATCTGAGATTACGTACTCCATAGAGTTGGAGCAACTTTAAGTGGCAAAATCAATCGTAGACAATTGAGTAAACCACATAAGATCCGAATGCCGCCGAAGCGTCGCCAAACTAACCCGCCTTCTGACAAATTCCCCGCACTGATCACCAGAGACTTCAACCAACGGCAGTCATTCCCTTGGAAGTGGCTAGACAATGGGACAGCAAATCTCGTTACCGACATCAGATGTACTGCTGCGTCCAGTGCAGGCACCCTCTGTACCGCTCAGCGACGTTGGCAAAGTCGATTACTCTGGTAAGGAGGTAACTTCAACTACTTTGGAAGATTCAAAAGACTTTACCGATAAAATCCTTGAGTTTGGTCCCACATTGTGCAACTTGCCAAAAGGTACGAAAAAATCAATGATTATTGACAGGAAGACAAACATCTTAATGTACTTAAATGATTATTGATTGATACAGAGAGGGAAGTAATCGGACAGTTACAGCGATGTAGTCCAGAACAACAAATAAAAGAGATTATGAGCGCCGTGGACTCGGTGGAAGAGTTATTCCAGCACATTTCCCAGCTCACTTGTCTACCAACACAAGATGGATACAATCCTTTGCAACCAAAGATCGCTGACGAGGTGATACCTGGAATGTTTGACGCTCGAGTTGCAAGCTACGTGAACAACTTGAAGACGTTGTATCAGATGATAAAGAAGGAAAAGTACCGATACGAACAGCGTCTATTGGCTTCAAGAGCACGCTCGATGACTTTGTGCAAAGTGTCGCCGCCACCACTGCCATTACCAACGCAAAACTGCCTGACAATGAGCTGGGATCTGGTGGTGATGTTACTGAAAGCCACACGCAAAAACGACCTGAAACAATATGAAGAAGCATTGCAGATGGTCAAGGAAAATTTGAGATTAGTGAAACCTACTGCCTACTCGGACAGTATGTACCTGGCACCTTCCGCAGCATCGGCATTTGATTTGCTGAGTGAGTGTATGGGTGACCTTGCTTATCCTATGACCGATAGGACGTCTGAAGATGAAGTGCGCGTCGGGGCACTCACGATTGCGACATTGGCCGAGGTGGGACTGGCCCGTGGGTCACTTGCGACTATGCTCTTTGTGATAGACTGGTTAATGAAGCAGCCACCGACGAGCTCGGTAAATTTAGAACTGTCAATAGTGAAACTCGCCGCACTCAAAGAACAACCCATGTACGAAAAGTGTGAGACTTCGGGGGAACTCTACACTTGCGGTCAGAACTCGTATGGAGAACTTGGAACAGGGGACGATATGGAGCGACATCAGCTCACCAATATTGCACTTTGTGGATGGGATGATATTCGCCAGGTAGTTAGTGGCAACGAAACAATGGCGGTGCTCACGAATGATGGTTCTGTACTAACGTGTGGATTGAACAAGAGCGGTCAATGCGGCCAGGGACACTTTCATGAACGAGTGATGATGTTCCGGCCTGTGCAGGCTCTGCGCTCACACCGAGTGAAGATCATTGCTGCTAGCAATGGATGCGAGCATATGATTGCACTGACAGATTCAGGTGTTGCGTATTCGTGGGGATACAATGACCGCGGACAATTGGGCCATGGGAACTTGTCAACCAAGATCCACTTCCCAAAGCTTATTGAGTCGTTAAAGGATACAAAACTTGCGTACGCTTCTGTGAGCTACCACCACAGCGCTGTGATCACGAACTCTGGGGAGCTCTATACGTTTGGTATGAATGATTGTGGACAGCTTGGATTGAATCACACGCAGCACCAATCGACACCGCAGCTCGTAAAGAGCCTCATGGGCACCAAAATATCGATGGTAGCTTGTGGATTGTACCATACACTAGTTTCCACAACCTCAGGAGACCTGTTTTCCTGTGGGAAAAACGATCACGGTCAATTGGGTTTAACCCACAATCGTCCGGTGAAGGTACTTACCGCGGTTGCCCTTACAAATGAAATGGCATGTTTCGTTGCGTGTGGGTACTACCACTCGGTAATAGTTACCACTGTCGGTCGGGCTTTTTCATTTGGTCGTAACGACTATGGACAGCTAGGAATTGGAAGCAAGGTACATCAGAATGTACCTAGTGTCGTGGCCTTGTCTGCCAGCACACGGGTGGTACGGGCATCATGCGGGTGCTACCACACTGTGCTTCTTTCAGAACAAGGAGAGGTCTTTGTTTTCGGACGAAACAACAAAGGACAGCTTGGAAATCGAGGCAGCGCCGATGCGTTGTTGCCTGTTCCCCTTAAAGTTCGCCCAGAGAAAAAAACCCGCCGCTGTGTAGATGTTGCTGCTGGTTTCTACACCACGTCATTAATCGTAGAGCAAAAAGGCGAGAACGATGATGGCGATTTCGCTATGGTCGATCAATCGGGTGTCGTACCGATTTGTGGACGTGTTGATATTGACCGCTCGGGAGAAGTCGAGGGGCTAAGTAACTTTGGTTCGATTTCCACGGTAGGCGTGTCTCTTTTCGAAGGTAAATGGTTTTATGAGGTAGAGGTCGTCACTAGCGGTTTAATCCAAGTTGGATGGATCGATGGATACTTCCAAGGGAGCTCAGACCAGGGAGAAGGAGTTGGCGACCATGCCCACTCATGGTCGTATGATGGTAATCGCCAGCGACGTTGGAATAGCGAATCATCATCGTATGGAGAAAAATGGAGAGTTGGTGATATCATCGGTTGTTTGCTTGACCTAGTTACGCAAAAGATGACATATTTCCGGAACGGAGTCAACCTGGGCGTGGCATATTCTGAATTTGAGTGCACGCTCAATGACAAGCGTTCAGGTATGATGCCTGGTATCAGTCTTGAACGAGGTGAAATTATCCGCATCAATCTAGGACATCAGCCTTTTGCTTATCCCCCAGCAACTGGTCACGACTTAATGAGTATATCCCGAGCAATAAGAGTGCCTTCTACTAGCGTAGTGATTCACTCACCAGCAGACGAACCGAGAGCTGCATTACTACATCCATCCCCTGTTAAAGAATCCGCCTCAGCCTTAGTTGGCAACAAGCTGTTTGTTGTTGGTGGGATAATTGTTGGAGAGCCTTCGTTGCTCCAATGTACAGAGCCAACAAATCAAGTCTGGGTGTACGATATTGACGCAGAAAGCTGGGAGAGATGGGCTGACTTTCCAATTGGAATTTGCAATCATCAAGTTGTGGCAATCGATGACAGTCAGATTCTAGTCCTTGGCGGTGAGAACACTAGTGCGGCGTCACGGCATATGGATTTGTACAAGTGTTCAACGGTGAGAAACGTAGATGGCTCACTTCCAGCATGGACATTAATTCAAGCTGTTGTTGGCGCAGCGAATTCAATGCCCCAGGCTCGTGCGTTTCATACCGTCTCAAAGGTTCACGTTCGCCTTGACCCGATCGTTTTCATGTACGGCGGAAAATCGGTCGACAACAGAATTCTCGGAGATGCGTGGTATTTATCACTCAAAAATTATGCTTGGTCTCGATTGCCTGGTTCTCCATCTCTAGATCCTGGTCCACGAATTGGATCCTCTTCTGCTGCCATTGGAGAGAGCGTGTATATATTTGGAGGGAAGGATCGTGCAGAACGGTACAGGTCGGACCTCTGGAAGTATAATACCTTTGACCGTATCTGGCACTTGTGTCATGACGATAATTTTGGAGATTCCAAAGATATAGCAAGCCTTGCACACGGCTTGAGAAATAATTCCCAGTTGATGCTACCGGAAGGTAGAATAAGTTATAGTATGTGCTCTGACTTTGGAAACATTTGGATCTTTGGGGGTATCAACCGAACAAACACTTACTTGTGTGATATGTGGTGTTTTTCAACGACATCGCAAAAGTGGGTTTCCGTTGAAATTACTACTCAGGGAAAACTTGACGGATGTTGCTCAGCAGCATTGCATGTACGAGCGGGTACAGTGATTGCAGCGCCTGACATGCCCCACTTCGATTCACCTGTCCCTCATACCGAGGACGTTTTTCTTTTTGGAGGCTGCATCAATCTTCAAGGAAAAGTGTCTTGCTGCAGCAAAGTCCGAAAGCTCTCTTCCTCGAACTCAACAGGATCGTACAAGCTTGACGCGGAAAAAAGCGTGTTGACAACTGGTGAGGCAGAGCATGTGCTTCGCGCTCTTCGCACGAAATGTGAGACTGCCAACAGGTCAACTCAGCATTGCGCAGCAGAAGCCAGAGATACTGCAATTTGTTTGCTTTCTCATCTGGATCGTTTAGCTGGAAACGACGTTCCAGAAAAAGATGCCGACTCTGTGCAGCTGTCGCGGTGTTTGTACCGGTCGCTTTGCATAGATCCTAACGAGGCAACGTTTTCAGCACTGTATGCTTTGCTCGACACAGTAACGTCTCGTTTCGTCGATACGGCCACGCTTGTGGAAGAGTCCAACACCACGTCACCGTTTATTCACGTATTGTATCCGTTGCTCGTAACGATACGGCTACTCAAGATGAATTTTTATGAGGTATGGCTCTAGTTTTACTTACGTCTTGCGCTTTGCTTTGAGATTTTACTGACCTCACCACTTTAACTCTTATTTTCCTATAGTTTTCTCGTAGTTGTCTGGATGGGTCAGTGATTGGACTGACAGCTGGATCATCGCAATGTGAAGGAGTTCTCATCTCGATTCGTGAGTTGCTCTTCATGATAGCAGACCATGTACCGAAACTACCAGTGTCAGGGAAAGTGTTGTGGTTTTATGATGCAGTGAAGAATGAAACCGCATCAGCAATCTACTTTGGATTCTCATCCCTTTTTCCATCTCTCTTGGATAAGTTACAAGTCATGAATCGTCTGATGGTAAACAAGCATAACTCGAAAGCGGAGGCGACACCAGCGCAGAAGCTATTGGTTCCGATGCTTGTTCCCTATTTTACGTCAGCAAAAACGCTATTTCAGTTGATAGGTGACCCCGATGTGCTTACCAAAGCAAACAGTTCATCAGACGGGGTTGTTACTAAAAGTGTGACCGCATTTATGAGCACATTGCTGACTAGGCTTCGGGAGAAGACGAAAGATATTATGGAGTACTCACCAAAAGATTTTACAAAGCTTATAAGCAGCCTCGACGATATTGAAACAAGCTACGAGTTCAGATGCCTCAATGTCTTGCTGCGCGCAACAATATATTGGTGTTCGTGCTCCACCAATCGAGGCTGGATGACCATTGAATTGGTGGGCACAAAGCTGGTGGCATTCTTATCAGAGTGTCTGGATGAATGCCATGGAATGCCATGTATGAAAATTCAACGTCTTCTAGTGATTATTCAGCGCACTTTCTCAGGCAAGTTGCTGCCATTTGTGCTACTCAGCCTTTTTTCGCTACCCTCCGTTCGTGACACACTTCCTGCTTTACTGGATCCGTTTTGGTCTCACTTGGAAGATCTTTCGACAAAGCTTCATACAGTGCTTGCAGTTCTCAGTAAGCCTGGCGTTTTGTACTCACCCGGCCCACATATTGGGACACCCATTTATCTTGGAGGCAGTAGCAGTGACACTGACTTCGTGGATACAGCGCTTGTGTCTGTTTCAAAAGAGCTCACCGTATGTATCTTGCAGCATACAAGCGGATGTTCCGTCACCTATAATCAAGTCTGTAAGAGTTTATGGAATAAGATCACCAGCTCGAAGGGATACACATATTGGAAAGTAAAGGATTTACCGGAGGACGCGGAGATTCGTCGGATTACTATCCCTATGGATTTAGCAAAACTTTTTGGAACTGAAACGCTACTTGTTAAGGTCCAAATGATTAGAACGGAAACTGGACTACTGAATGATGAGATCGCGAAGATTTCGTTTCTGCCCAGCCGGACTATTCTATCGCAACATATGTATGCTCTTAGCGACGACCAGTTGCCTGCTCCAGGAATAGCTGAGGCTGCAACACGATCTTCTGCAAAACCTCTTACTCAGGTCGCATGGTGCCCAGATGAATTGATAGAGGAAAGCCACGAATGGCTTAAGGACCTCCAAAGCATAGTAGTTTGGGCCGGAAGTCATTATGCCGCCACGTTAATAATCGGTGGCTCGCTGGAGACTGGAGTCGCTGTCAGCGAGAGATGGCTGTCTTCCGCACTTTTCCGGGGTGGACTGGAAGAAACATCGCCTGAAACTACATCAAATGATAACGGAGTTGGCAGGAATGAAGCGCTCCTGCTACAAGTGGTGGACAATGTCGGAAACGGCAAAAAACTTTTAGATAAAGTGCGTAATGCACTGGATCATGGATCGGCTCGAGGAAACTTAAATCTTCGAGCTGTAAGACTGAAGCGGCACGACAGTATGGAGAGTGTGCTTGAGAAAAGTGGTGGAATTGAGGAAGTGGACCGTGCGGTCCGAGCAACGTTTGCTGCTCTCTTGAAACATACTAATGTCTCCTACACAACCGAGCCAATTTCAAGAGAAGGTGCACTAGCAGAAACGGTGATTGATGCCTGGAAGGCTGCACTACAGCTACGTCGTTGGTACGTCATCCCACGCGGTATCAACGAGTTTTCCTCACAATTGTCTTTGTTGCCTCTAGGATCGTGAGAGAGCAGCAAAAACTGGCTGTAGCTTTCAGGTAACCTACTACGCATCAACTTGTGCGTCCTTGTACACATGTATTAATTTTCTTTACTTGCTATTGCAGTGAGGCAGGGGCTCCAAGCGGATTTTCTCCAGATATGGAGGCAAAGGACCGGCAACAGGTATTATATAACGCAGTCTGCGAGCCTATTATCCACAGAGCATTTCTTCTTCTCCAGGTGGCACCTGCACCAATTCAGGTTGCCCCACCTGCCTCCTCTCCGATGAAGCTTCTTCCTGGAATCTCGATAGCAAAAGTTTACGGTAAGATTTGATCTTGTTTTCGTACTCATCAGTACTAATATACTAAATGGCATGATTCCGAGCAGATTTCGCGATTAGGCATCAAAGCAAGCCTACTAAAACGAAGTTAGAAGAGCCCGAGCAGAAGCGTTTTGCGCGCCAATTGAACAAGCTGATGGAAACAAAGTCGGTAAAGGTGATGGAAGAAGAAGACGAGCAGATACATGCAGATATTTTCTCGTTCCTTCAGCAGTCAAGCAACCATCTTCTAAATTCCATTCGCGATAGCAAAGTTTCGTCTCACCACCCTGAAAAGCAAATGCGAGGCATATTGTCTACACATCAGCATCGCGCGAAGAAGCGATTACGAGGGCTTAAGACATTTGTCCGTCTCGTACAGAATATCGATAATCTCCCAGTGTCGCGGTTCCACGTGATTCCCATGCTGTCTTCTGCGTTTAAGCGCGTTCGCATGAGCAAAGGTCAAACCATGAGAAAAATGTCAGTAGAACAAACTTCAATCATCAAAGTGCACTATTTGGCTGATCTCGAGTTTGCTGGGCCTCAGCTATCGGACGCCATTCGACGGGAATTCTTCCATTTGCTGACTATCCTTCTTGAAACATCAACAAGGCACCTTCACCAAATTCAGCAGCTCATCGAAGCTAAGATGGATGGTAAAACGAATGAGACAAGGTCAGTTTCGGCATCGATTCATCTTGCTGTACACGATATTCTACTGGTACTGGAGACATGCTGTTTCCCATATAGAGGGCAAGATTGGAACCACCTTCAGTCTACCAACTTGGTAGCGCTAGTGACGGACATGACGAGCTGGAAGGGATGGCAAAGCTTCATTCAGTACGATACGTCAGATTACTTACTGGCGGGTCATAGCTGTACCGAGAAATATACCATACTTCCAGCTGGGACGGGATCGAAATACCCACATGTCATTTGTTCGCGGTATTTGACGCTCGGGACTGATCACCGTAAAGTGACCATCGCTCATAAGAGCCTATACGGAAGTGATGGAAATCTGCGGACATCGAATAAATCACAGAACAGAGGTGGGCTTGCGGTATTTGAAAAGAGTTTTTACAGGGGTCGTTGGTATTGGGAGGTTTCAGTGCGACTACTTGGTGGTACTCCTGTGTTTGTTGGCGTCACATCCGGCACAACAGATCTTAATACGTATGTTCCGGGAGATTGCAGTCTTTGTGGGGTGCTTCTTTACCACGAAGGTGTTATGGGGGATATTACAACCGGAATTCAATGGAATTGTTCGGATACTCTTGGCGTTCTGTTAGATTGTGAGAAGCGACAAGTGGAGTTTTACAACGGTGGGAAGAGATGCTACGTGGTCTCCGTAGCTTCAATCAATTCCATTGTATGCGGTTTCTTTCCTTCAATTGGTGTCAAGGATGCCGATGTGCTTTGGCATCTCGCGCCTTCTGTCCCACCAAAATTGTGGTGTGCTAGCTCCAACTTTCAATTTCCAAATGGAGTCATCTCTGGAGGACTTGTAGCAGCTCCTTTTGATGGAGCATCGATTGGTTGGAACGGATATCTTAAAGGAAGTCACCTGCAACTCTTGCCAAATGGAACGACGGTGTCTGCCGGTGACTGCAGTTCATCTCACGATCAGTTTGAAACTCTTGTTGCAAGCCAGGGTTTTGAAAATGAAAGCATTTTCGTTGAGGTTCGTGTTATTACGGCGGGGAAACATGGACGATCCGCACTCAGTTTTGGTATTGTTAGCTATGACTTTTCGGAGTTCGATGAGCCGCTTCGGAACAAGTTAGATGTCACGTGGAAGAGTGTAGAGGAGGTGTTACATTCGGGAACTATTGGAGTTTTGTTTGATTTCAAAAAGGCGACCATAACTTTGTATTCTGGCCGCTGGGAATCGGAAGTATGCCATATAAATCTTGCAACGCTAAGCAAACCTCTCTTTCCTGCCGTGTCAGTGCTCTGCAATGGCACAGTTTTCGACGTAAATTTTCATCCCCGCCCTCGTCTCGAATTACCATCACAAGTATTCTACCCAGCAACAAAACTTCTGAACCATCACATGTCTAATGATCTACAACTTGGAAAAAGTCTGCAGCTTCAAGTACATACTTGTGATGGCGGAGAGTTCAGCAGCTCACGTATCACTCGTAATTGTCTTGTGGATGATGCAGCGGTTTATAGCTCGTCTAAAGGAACAAATGTTAACCTGGTGCTGAAGCATGAGGTTGATACTCCTATGTGCGTAAGTTACATCCATCTCAGAGGTCCCGGGTCAGGTTACTCGAGTCCTCTTCGTTGTGCCATCATTTTTATCACCAGCATACCTCCTGACCTAGCGTGCTTCCAAGAATATGACGACATGACCGCGGAGGAATTTGTTGCTCTGCCATTTCCTCCCATCAATGGGTGCTACCCCCGCGATGAAAGTGTTCCAGTCGCATTTTTTGTACTGGACGGTAGCTGCGCTCAGATTTCTAAACAGCTTGCTCATCCGGTTTCTGGTCGGTACATCCTTATTAAAGCGCTATGCCCGGTGGCTGGAACAAACATTGATATTGGATACATAGGTGTCTGCGGTATCTTTGATCGTGAGAACGGGCCTGCGTACAACAACACGATGGTAGGATCGTATAGCTGCGAAGAATGTAAGAGAACGTCGTTATGTGGAGTGTTTTATGCACACGGAGAAGATGATAGCTTAAAGCTGTGTGCTGCGTGCTATGATGACAATCGAGGCGATTTGAATTCGTCATACTACGTCTACACGTCTGATAAATCTCAAGGCGATCATCTGAAAGCAAAGAAGTTGCTATGCCCTTTACGAAGGTCATGGAACGACAAGGCTACAGTCCTAAGCGATGTCTTCGACAGATCTAAATTGTCAAATACTGCCAGGGACGGAAACCCGTCAGCAATTGCACAAGAAGAAATAGGAAGAACTGAAAGACTGTCTAATATGGCCAGTTTCGATGATTGCAAGCTGTTTTCCTGTGGGCAAAACAATTATGGAGAACTTTGCTTGGGGCACTGTAACTCCACAAGCAAGATGGAGCATGTGCCATTTTTCTCTACAAAAGCAATTCGTAATATTGCAGGAGGAAATGAAGTTCTTGTTGTAGTGATGAAGGATGGAGCTGTTTTCACGTGTGGTCTTAACAAGAGTGGCCAGTGTGGTAATGGTACATTTAGAGAGCGGGTTATGTTAGCTACTCCTGTTCGTGCACTAAGCGGAATCACGATTAAGACGGTTGCTGCGGCAAATGGTTGCGAGCACATGTTAGCAATTGCGTCCGATGGTGCTGTATATTCTTGGGGATACAACGATCGTGGTCAATTGGGACTTGGCTTGACGATTTTAAAGAGTCATACGCCGCACAGGATTGAAAGTTTGCGCGAAAGGTATCACGTAACAGCGGCAGCAGTTAGTTATCATCACAGTGCAGTAGTATCAAGCACCGATGAGCTGCTAATGTTTGGCATGAATGACTGCGGGCAACTGGGTCTCGGCAACACGCAACATCAACACACACCACAATTGGTATACTCATTGTCGCGTCAAGTCATTACGAAGGTAGCGTGCGGTCTTTATCACACTGTCGCAATTACTAGTGATGGAGAAGTATACTCGTTCGGAAATAATGACTATGGTCAGTTGGGTCAAGGGCATGTTCGCAGTACGAAAGTGCCAAATCGGGTAAAGACGTCGCTTGGGGGGAGTGATGAAAAAATTGTAGCTGTGAGTTGTGGTTACTATCACACCGTATCAATTAGTGAGAAAGGCAAGCTTATCACATGGGGGCGGAATGATTATGGGCAACTGGGAATTGGAAGCAAAGATCACAAAAGTAGTGCTCAGTATGTACCACTTCCTTTGTCATCAAAGGTTAAGTCTGCATCATGCGGTTGTTATCACACACTCATTCTGTTGTCAAATGGAAGGGTGATGATCTTTGGACGAAACAACAAGTGTCAGCTCGGGATAGGATCAAAAACGCTTCCGTCTGCAGACCTACCTTTGCCGGTTGCTTTAAACCCACTGGCAGAAGATGAGGTGGTTTGTATAGCTGCTGGATTTTACAGCTCGTATATCTTAACAGGGCGTTCAGGCAAGAGTCGTGGCATTGATGACACGGTTGATGATGTGGGTCAGACAAAAGACCTTCCGGAAAATGGTTGCTTGGTGAATTCAGATGAACTTTTCGAGTCTATGATGAAGGAGATCGACTCCAAGCTCAGCATAAATTCCCTGACAAGGCGTGAACCGTTCCAGATCAAACACGTACAACCCAAGTTGCTATTCATTAAGTTGTATGCTACTGGGTGGGCAATGGTCCGCGCGCTTATGTACCAATCCGTTCAAGATGCCAACGACAATGCTAAAAATCGCTCGACAGTTTCAAAAAACTGCGCGAATCCAGTGCTGTCCATGCTCCTTGATTTTTTGCTGGAAAATTTGAAGCTCTTGCAAGGTGATTCTGTAAACAGTAGTATCAACGCGATGAATATCTCTGGAGCATCCCACGCGTTGAGTGCAAGCGTTTCGCTGAAGCGGGTATGCATTGGGCTCCTGCAATACTTTGGTATGAAGCTTGTCGTACCCGCACCAATTTCTGGGGCGCTTGAAGACATTACTCCAGACTCTATGCACGAGCACTTTTTTAGGAATCAGATTTTAAGCGTTCTTCTAGCGTGTGGTTCAGCAAACACTAGTGTTTGTTCCATCATCGCTTCAAACTCGGTGGTGATGGCTCACATCATCAGTGGAATAAGCTCTTCCGATTTGGCATCAGCTACCCTTTCCATTCGTCTTGCAATGCTGGTATTCCCGCAGCATTCGGTGTCCACGTTCAACAAAATTTACCGATCTCAACAGTCGACTCCAGAGTTTTTTTCCGACGATATTCTCAATATGCTCATGTTACTGGTGGGTCGTCCGCTTCTCCTACGTCCGCCACTTTGCTCGCACGAAATAAACTTGGAATGCACGAGCACTACTCTATGTCATTCTGCTCACTGTCTAAAAGAGGTAACAGTGACGAATGACACCGAGATGGCTCACCTCCAAGAAGTTGTGCTCGAAAAAATGCATGTTACAGAAGCAAAGGCAGCCGAGGTTGTGGCATTGCTACGGTATCTCACCCTTTATCCTGCATGGAAAGTAGCAATAAATGCTGCGCTTAACAGAGCTTTTGTCCAGTCAAACAAGGTTCATGAGTTGCTGAATACTATTTGTGCATACTATGGCAACGTTCCAAACATTGATAACATGGAGATACAAACTCCAGAGCTTGAACGATTCAACGGATCCTATGATGCCACATCACTAAGAAAACCCGAATCAACTACATTATTGCCAGAAATGGACGAATCGATGAGCAACGCATCCGATTACAATACCAAGGCTAGTGATTTAAAAACCATCACGCGAGATAAGCACTCTTTGATGCTTTGGCAAAAAGCAAGGATTGCTCTTGACGTGCTAGCAACGGTTCTGGCAGCTGTAAGTATCGTTGGTGGGCATGTCGAAGCCTTTAGAGAGGGCGGGTATGTCACTATTGAAAATGAAGGGACTCAGGGATCATGTAGATTGGGCATGCTTACAGGGATGACAAGGGATCCACGCACGAGTGATATATTGGCCCAGGTAGTTATAGAGACCAGTTCCGAAGTACCCGAGATACCATTGGTTGACGGAAATGCAAGAGCTCAGACATTCGCGCTTGCGAAGCTTCAGAGTGTGGAGCGGATACCTGCTCTTGCCGACATGTTCAATGATGTTGAAAACGTCATTGTGACACTATCGTCGATGGTTTCTACCATCTCTTCTGTTGAAGAGGGAGGTACCGTGTATTGTGACCTTGATCTATCTCAGAACAACGCTGTTCAACAGGTGTTGCGGAATCGACTTAGAATGTTCAAAAAGAAATTACGGTGGCGATCATCGAAGGCGTTATCGTCCTTGTTGACACAAATCCCGAATCTGAGCCCACATCTTCTGACGATGGATTCACAGCTCGTTTCAAGCCTGGCCACGCTAGTTGCATCTGAGAATAAGCTCCCGTGGGCAAGCAAGTCTGAGATGTCGGCGCTTGGAAATACAAATAACCTTCAGAAGCGATGGCTTTGTGTTAAACAAAGGCAACTATTCTTGGATACAGAGGAAGCGATCGATTCTGCTCTAGACCATTTCGAAGCCAAAATACGCAACGAAGTCATCCAAAAGTTGGAAAGCAAAAATGCTCTGAGTTGGAAAATAGATGCCATTCAGTCACCTCGCTGCAAAGTTAATCATCTTTCGCTTGCAGGTGTTGGCTCGGTGGATTTTGATTCAAATAGTTTACATGGAGCTGGAAAAGGATCGGATCGATTGAATGAAGGAGACTTTTCGTTTGGTGCTTGGGGCGTTTTGCTCCCACTTCTACCGCTAAACAAGACTGAACAGGGGCAGGTGGATGGCGCTTTTGCGCATTCAGCCACAGGCTACGCACCTTTTCCGCTCACAGCGTCCATCATTCGGGTTGGTCGCGCCGCAGATGCAAGCGATCTCATTGTAAACGATCGAAGTGTCAGTGGTCGCCACTTCCATTTGCGGAGATTAGGGCGCGAAGCTGAAGGGCGCGAAGAACAGTTTGAACTTCAGGATTTCAGTAAGAATGGAACTATCGTTAACGGTGTGAGGGTTCATGGGTCAGCTACACGTATTACGACGGGATCTCGAATCTCGTTAATATTGTCGCGAGGTGGTTTGGCAACTTATGAATTTCGAAGTCGGATATCTAGTGGTGGTGCTGGAGGTCGTCATGCGCCATCTTCTACTGCCACGGCGCAACAAAATGCTGGTGATCTTAACATATTAATTCCTGACCAGGAATATCAGCAACCGCAAATTAATACTACCCCGATCGTGCCGGGAAGCCCTGCAGAGTTACAGAATCGCGGAACTCGTGGCGGTTCTACCTTATCGGAGGGCTTCACTGAGGGCCACGGCCGTCAGGCAGTAAGACAAGGCATGCGTGTGATATCATCTGTGCTAGAAAGCGATGTTCCTGAAGCGTTGCTTTCACCGAATCCTGCGGTGGATTCACCTCGAGCTGGCGGATATAATTCTCCTCGCTCCTTACTACTTCAGGCTCCGGGTACCCCTGCTGTCAGGTCTCCAGCTGCAAACATGTTTTCTACTACGATTCCATCTACCATTCTTTCTCCTGCATCATATCAACAGCGAGAGAGCTTTTCGCCAAACGAAGCTACGGGGACAGCATCACCTCGCACCCAGGACAGAGGTAATGGGTCGATGCTTCGTATCGCACTAGGTCGCGACAGCGTAAATCGCGATTCATCTACGCAGCGACCCCGCACTATGCAGAATGAACTTGTAGAGACACATGTTCAATACTCAAGCGATGACATCAGCTTGCCCTCCCATTTGGTACGTTTCGCTTCTGTGTTTGCTTATGTTTTCATTCTGCATTGAGTAGAATGATTCTAAAATCCTTTTCTTCGATGACAACCGGTACAGAATGCATCGCCCGATCTCCAAGAGATGCAGCTACTTGCGCACCGTCTGCTTGCACGTGCTCAAGAAGAAGACTTGATTGTCAGTCTTTCTGACTGCGAGGAAGCACTCCGGATGACATCCAATAACAAAGACGAAGCATTAACGTTGATCCAACAAAGGGTCGAAGTCGACTCGGTAATTGGTAGTTCGAAGTGCATTTCTGAAAGAGCTACTGCGTCGATTGCTGACTTGTGTGTACCTGTATAATGCAATGCAGAGCAACTATCCTTCAAATGTGCGTCACTTGGCAATGGTTCTAGGAAGAACGGAACCAGTATGCGCAGAGGCATTGCGCCAAACGAGTAATAATTATGGGAATGCACTTCGCTTACTTCTGACAAGCGCAGGCACTGAGTTAGAACGCTCGTTGTTGTCATTCAAACGTCTTGATGATGCTACATCAAGGGATAGTATCGAGGGGTCTCGTACAAGCGTACCGACAACCGAACCTCTGACTAGCTTCCAAGATATTTGTGGTCAAAATCCAAGTTACGTTCTAACCGAGTCTAGCACGATGTGTCCTCCTGTAACTCAAAGTGTTGCAGCCAGAGCGCATGGCAGTCCTGTTAAAACAAAGAAGATGGACAAAACTAGCAGTGTGGGTCTGGATAAACTGCAAACAAAGTCAGACATAACGCTGTGGAGCGAGAGCAACAGTAGCTTTGACAATGGGATTCGGCAGATGAATGCATTTGAGACCGAAATTGAGGAGGAAATTCTCTGTGACTGTCTTGCTGCCATACACGCACGCAAGATCTTTAACGAAATCGTGAGACTATCTGAAAGTGCGTTGCAAAGTGACGAAATGCCACTCAGTGAGCTCAGTGACCCTCTCGTTCTTCGTTCGTTGATTTCACTTTTGAAGGCACCTGGAAAAGCCAACGAAAATGCATTACTTCCTGAGTCGGAGTGCCAGCAGCGCAAACTGTCAAATAGTGGGGGAATTCAACTGATGCTGTTGCGCATGGTGCGGGAGGTAATGTCGCGCTCTATCTCACAGACACTGCTGGGAAATTTGACCTCATTTAGAAACCTCTCGAGTCTGCAGCGATCAATTGGCCACGTGACGGATCAGACAATTAAGGTAGGTTATCGTGGGGTCACTCGACTTCTTAAGTTTCGATTTGAAAGTGAGCAAAGGAGACGAATCAACGCTGGAGAGGAAGTTTATGTTCAGGATCAGCCCAGTACATTGGAGAATCTCACGTTTGAAACGATCTTGCACATACTTTCCCGCACGCACGTTGTACCAGCCGCAACGCTTGGCTGGGAGAGTTCACCGCTTCGATCCCATAAAGGTGATGGTTGTTATCCTAAGGGACCGATTACACTTTCATGCGGTCTAGAAGTTGTTGTAGTTGACACGTACGAGAAGTTGTGGAATATCCCTCCGCCTGATCTGCTACTAAAGTTCCGTCACAAATGGCGAAAACGCTTTGCTACTAATGATCATGCGTGGATGAAGTCAACTGCGGATAATGCCGTGGCTATTTGGCGTCCGACCGTACCCCCAGCGATAGAATCTGCAACTTCAGGCTTTAAATGGTTCTGCCTGGGTGACGTCGTAAAATGCAATAACGGTGCTCCGGATGCCCCAATGCTACTTGTCAGCGACAGTAATAATCAAGGATTGTTGGCACCTCCTGTAAGTTTTGAACGAATCGACGCTACTGGAAAAGGCTTGCCTAGAAACATTGAAAGCGTTCCTGATTTCCAACGTAAACATCTGCGCTCAGTTTGGTGGCCTATTGCGCCATCTGGGTATGTTGCATTAGGTTGCGTGGCTGGAAGTAAGGAAGACCCGTTTGAGCCTCCAGAAATATCTAGAATACGCTGTGTTCGCGAAGATCTTGTGAAACGTGTTAAGGGGGTATTCCGTTGTGTATGGCGCGCATCATCTCCTTCACACACTGATGGAGGAGGTGCAGAACGTTCCACAATAATTGAGGCTGGCGATGGAGCTCAGGATGAAGATATTAGAGGAAACGACAATTTTGAGCACCACTCAATCGGCTCATCGCAAATGCACATGTTACCATTGCCTGTTGCCGACGATGTAGTCGTCAATACATCTCTGTGGACAGTAGATTCGGACTTTACCAATGGTCTCTTTTTACCAGTGGTTACGCTGAACGATGCGAGCACTAGCGAGCCCAGCACCGCGTTTGTGCTGAATATCTCGGATGAAGATATCGTTATGTGCGCACCAGTTAGTGTTGAGAACGTACTTGACTTTCTCGAGGCATTGCTTCAGTACCAGCGCTTGCTAGTAAGCAAGCAGTCAGAAAATGACATGAGTTCGACATGCCTGCGTTCTGAGTTGCCGGCCGCTCTGTTTGCGCTGGTGCAACAGTTGCTGCGTGAAAACTATGGTTCAAGTGGAGAAGCTGCCGTATCGCTTGTGCGAGCGCTTATTACTGTGACTCAGCGTGGTGCACACTGGTATGACAAGCAATCTCTTCTTTACTGTCGCTCTAAGATCATTGCTCTGAGCCAAGACCAGGACGGTGGATTTATGTTGCCCGCCCTATTACAAGCATTTGTGGAATTAATGCTAGCTGTAGATGATCAGCAACGTAGCTCACGTGTGCAAAAGCTAGCCACCTGTTTCGAATGCGATGGTGGTAGCCCGCTGACTTTGCCGTATCGCTTCCACTTTTCTAAGAAACCGTTCGTGGAGATGTTAGTGAATCACTCGTCCAAGATAGCAGTGACTCGACACCTGTCAGGTGAAGAGCGAAAGTTCTTAGTTAGTTATCAAGCTGAAGGTGGAAGGAATGCCGCTGCAAGAGAAGCGATGGCTATGAAGGGACTTGGTGCGTCCCCCGAGGATGCGCATTCTTGCCGCTTTGAGCACACACCCGTACTTGTAATGACAATGTGCGATGAGGTGAAGGCTGAAGTAGTGTATTTCGAGGTCACAGTTGTAGAGTGGAGCGATAGTACTAGCGTGGAATGTTCGCTCCGTTTGGGATTCTCGCCGCCGTCGTTTCCTTTGGAAGGAGTACTTGCTGGCAGTACTGCGGAAGGTTCGCGGTCTTACTCGTTCGCGCCGGCAACTGGCCAAGTGCTTTGTGAAGAAGATACTGTGGTAGATCGCTGGCAATGGGCTGGTCCCGCAGGTGGTGTGAGCCCTATTGATGTCTTTGGTTGTGGTTTGCGCCTGGATACTCAAGAGATATTCTTCTGTAAGAATGGCCAAATGCTGGGTACTGCTTTCTCAAGCATTCCTGCTCCTCAGCAACTCCATCCTACAATTTCCTTTAATGCCGACTGTAAGCTGCTGGCTAACTTGGGATCTACGTCGACAACATCAGCAAAAGACGCCAATTTCGACTTCAAGTTCCATTCGCTTGACTGTGACGACTTAATGAGTGCCTTTGAATGGTTCGAACCACTTAGTCAAGTTTATGGCGTGATGAAGGCACTAATGGACCCAGCTAGGCCCGACAAGGTGGATGTTGGTGTCGAGCCAACTGAGGAATCGAGCGACACTGCTCAGTTGCCGGATGAGTTCCTGCTTTCCGCCGACAATTTCTTGTCAGAGATCTCAGAGGGTGTATGTGTCCACGTGGAGAGCGCACACCCGTATGAACTAGACCTACAAGAGTCCCTCGTTAGTTGCCCATTAGCCACAAGTATTCATCTGCGCTTGTCTCCTCAAAGTGAGACTGCGAGTTCTCATTGCCTGCGAATTCTGCAAGGCGGAAGTACCTCGGGTAGTGAGGGTGAAGTACGAGCATTTACTGGTGCTTGCGGAGGGCAGGAGGTCACCATTGTTGGAGACAGTTTTGTGTGGCGATTCCCGGTCCAGTCAAACTTTCAATGCCGTGTGGACTGCGTGCGCAAAGGACCATACCTTAAACTTGATGCACGAGACACACGACTGTCACTTGTGCGAGATAAAGGCTGGCAAGCCGCTATTGGTCTGGCATGTTGTGAAAGTGGAGTGCATATCTGGGAAGTGCGCATTAGTTTTGTGACCGCAAGTTCAAATATCTTTTTGGGCATCGCTCGCAGAGACGTTCGTATGGACTCCTATTTAGGAAAGGACAATCGTGGATGGGGCTGGATTGGCAATCGTGCGCTCTGGCACAATGGAAGCAAACAACGGGGCACTTATGGTGAAAAGTTTAAGACAGGAGACATTGTCCGACTCACGCTAAATCTACGTCATGGCACACTCAGCTATGCGCTTAACGGCAAGGATCTAGGTGTCGCCTTTGGCCCGGGTGGCACAGGCCCTAAGCTTGAGGGTACATTCTACCCTGGATTTGCATTGTACAACCAACGGGACTCGATTGATCTCATCGGAGGACACCGGGTCGAGGATGGAGAACTAAAGCCAGATTTGCCTCGAACAGGAAGTGGGATCGAGAGTGGAAACGATTCCTACTACAGCAATGAAGAGGAAAATGTAGAGAGTTTCGGGGGGGATGATGCGAGTCTTGGTGACAGGGTCATTCCGAGCTTCCGCATGGATTTGGCTACAACATTGAGCCAAATGGGATTTCCTATGAAGTGGTGTCTGTATGCTTTACGTCAGTGCGAAGACGATTCTGAGCAGGCTACAGACTATATTCTCGCCAATATGCATACTATAAAAGCGCTTGCTCGTGGAGAAACTGAGGCAACGATACGTGGCGGACGCCATCGCCTGCTACTACATGAACAAGCTCTCTCTATGTCTGAAAGCTTAGTTGATGACTCGCTAGATACACTACCGGTACCCCCTCCACCGCCTATCGAAGGAGAAGTAGACGTAGTTCGATCGGTAAAAGAGGTGACTACTGCTGACCCATCGACGCTTTCTCAACAGCAGCCACAACGCTCTCCTGAAGACACCATGTGGGGCATAGCGTTCACTGCCGTGCCAGAATTCTCCATTACCGGTCGCCGTCTACTAGCAATTAAATTTGGTTCCAGACTGCATCGGTTGCACGCATCACAACGTGTATTTACGTTGGAACGTGATTGTGCTCTCGTTGAACTTGTAAACGAGATATGCGAGTCACGTGCAGAGGCTTTGTTGAGTTGTGACCCTCTCCGCATGAACCCAGAGGAGTTTGCTCCAACAGAAGACCAGATCCACGTCTTTCCGATACTACGAAATATTCCTCTCGAAGCACTCCAGCGCCGCTTTTTGGTGTTGCGCAACTTCAATTGCCGCTTGCAGAACACTCTCGCTTTCATCGACTTTTCGGCCCACGACGAGCGTTCCCTTCTAGCTCGTGGTGCGCGTGAACTCCGGGGTGTGGTCTTCCAGCACGTCAAACTTGCATGGTGGCTCGGCGTTCTCAAAGAGCAACAAGCACCAGCTGCAGCCCGTCCAGAAATTGAGGTAGACCGCCACCGCGCTCACGACGCACTTGAGCTTTCTGAACGTGGAGATCTGCTCGCAAGTGAAGCTGGAAAGCGGGACAGTGTATTTGCACAAACGTTCAAGCAATTGCATGGCCTACCGCCAGCATTGTTGCGAGGAGCTGACCGTGCATTTAAGTGCCAATTTGTGGGCGAGTTTGGTGATGACTTCGGTGGTTTATACCGCGAATGTTTGGCGCAACTCAGTGTTGAGCTGCAGGTTTTCACACCATTGCTGCCTGTGCTACGGCCTTGTCCCAACGCCTTGATGAGCACTGGCGAAAATCGTGAGCTTTTCGTACCGAACCCCCACCTACGCACAAACCCACAACGAGTGCAGATGGCAGAATTTCTTGGTAAGCTCGCAGGTGTGGCTGTGCGGACTAAAACACCGCTAGATTTGAATCTCCCGTCGGCAGTATGGAAGTTACTGGTGGGGCAGCAAGTGACACGACGCGACATTGAAGCCATTCATAGAGGATGTTTTCAGGTCGTAGATACCATTGCTAACCTTGATGCTTATGGTGTCACCGAAATGATGTTTGACGAGATTGTGGACGCAAGTTTTACTGTGTTGTCAAGCACACGAGAAACAGTCGAGCTAATTCCTGGTGGAAGTCACTTGCACGTCACATGGGATGACCGTGAGGAATATGCGCGCGCTGTTGAAACCTATCGCTTAACAGAGTTTGCACCAGTGTGTGGGGATATGTCGCGAGGTTTGGCGACTATACTACCAGCACCTACGCTAGGTCTTTTCTCGTGGCATGAACTGCGGACTCTCGTCTGCGGTAAGCCTACCGTCGATATAGGTATTCTACGGCGGCGCACGATATACAGTGACGGCTGTCAGGCAACCGACAAGCACATTGCCTACTTCTGGGACGTCCTGCTCAAGTTCAGTAACGAGCAGAAATCGTCTTTCCTACGCTTCGTCTGGTAAGCCAGCACAATAATACAACTCTGTGGCGTCGAGTGTTCTAACACGCTTTTATGAATTTATTGCAGGGGACGATCGCGTTTGCCTACACATGCTGCTGACTTCACACAGGATTTCAAAATCTCAGGGCTGCCCAAGTCTGTCGGTCGCGCTGATATGTATCTGCCTATTGCACACACATGTACGTTTATCGTGGACCCATGGCAATGTTAGCTTTGACTGACATTTTGGGTACTTCGTAGGCTTCTTCTCACTCGACCTACCTGCTTACTCGTGCCACGAGGTCATGCATGACAAGCTTGTGTATGCCATCACTCACTGCCAGTCTATTGACGCGGACAATACAGCGGTGGCTCAACGAGCCGGCCAAGGTATCAACTGGACCAACATGACCGCGACAGCCTCGAGTGCTGTTACCAGCGTATCAACCAGTGCTGGATAGTGACCATCAATGATTGGATCGGTATCCAAGCACACATGCTTGCTTATCAATTTCAAACGTTGTTTTGACCTCCCTACAGATTTTTAGTTTTGTTCGGTGGTGATCTCGATCGTATAGCCGGTCTACTTTGTGTGCCGTCCCTTCCTGCGAACGATCCTTGGAGGAACTGCTCGCTTGAATGCACGCACCCAGTCTCCATGATTTGCCACTTCATTTAGCGCAATAATGACAGAATCTAGGTTCATGATGTGAGTTCGCACTCGTGTGCCAAAGTGCTCTTGAAGTGGCAAACATGCAGTTCGAATACCATGTGAAGCTGCCTTCGCCTTTGTTTGTCCCTGTTCGATTTGTCAGATCCAAAAACGTAAGCTGAAAGGACGGCAATATCCATAACTTACATTGGACAAACACAGTCACCTTGCGCACGGAGCGATCAACGATGCCACCTACGACATAAACGCAGGCTGGATCAAGCTGTGTGAGGACAGTTTCCGAATCGGGTGAAAGGTAGACGAGCTCACGGGCGTCATAAAGCTGTTCAAGCGGTTCCTCATGCCTTCCAATCTACTCACAGGTGACAAGTAGATAATGATCAGCACTAGCACTAGAGTTTGACTACAATAGGGTCGGTACCTTCCAGCTCAACACACCACGCAGAGCACATATTAACGCAAGTTCGTGCGTACAAGACACAAGTTGCAGTGACAAGAGTTGATCCAGCGGACAAACTTTCAAGTATCCATACGCACATCCAAGTTGCTTGAAAATACTATGACGCTCCTTTTTACGCCACAAAACCGAAACCATTAGCATTTATCTTGACTGTGACAGTCAATCACTACTACAACTTACTCGAATTGTCTGATCAACTGCAAATGCCAAGTCTACGACCACTCGAAGACCTTTTATCTGAGCTTGTTCCAATTTTTGCTGCAAAAAAAAGAGCATCACATGTGAGTTGTTGAATGTCGAACCTTCTTTATCGTTGCAGACCCACATATTGTTCCACGCGTTGCATACAGATTCGTTCTCGTTGTTCATTTTTCTGTTCCTGTGTCATTTTTGCCAGTTCTATCGAGAGTGTTTGACGTCGAGCGCTTTTTTTTTCGTTTGAGCCGCTCGTTCTTGCGATCGCGACGTTTCAATTGCAGCATTTCACGACGTGATTGTTTGCTACTTTTTGCTACATATTGTGGCTTACGATTAGTATAATACATGCCCAATACTCCACAGATTGTCATAATCATTACACTTATGGCTACTATCGTCGATCTCATTTCGTTATTAAGCAAAAAATGATTAAGCTTACCTAATATCAAGCATATTTCTATACGGCTGATTGAAAATAGAAACGTTGGGTTGTTAGAGCTCTTTATGTTTATGGCACTTTAAACAAAGCGCGTTATCTAGACTCTTAACTTTATAAAATGGAGCTAATTAGTTGGTATGTAGTGCGCTGACCAATTAGAGGGATACGAATTGCGTTAGCAGCCTCACAACCAGTAAACAGCTCATTTGTGCCCATGGGGATCAAGAAACGCCAGCGCTCCGAGAGCTTCCAAGCCGAACAAAGTAGCAATGACAATGCCCATAAGCGACTAGCAGCTTTCCATGAGCGGATGTTTGAGTTACCAGCTGAAGATTCGCCTGTCGTAGCCCCTGTGACGCTTCGAAAAAAGCTCAAGACAAAGCACAAGACGAAAAGTGCTGGCGGAGACAATACAGACGATGGAGAAGCTGTGCCAATGGTGAAGCTCAACGTCAATAAGAAGAAGGAGAAGAAGGAGAAGAAGGAGAAGAAGAAAGTGAGGACAGCTGGAAAGGTCAAAGAAGAGGAGAAGAAGACAAAAAAGAAGGTGGTGATGGATCAAGCAATTGTTTTGAAAACTCCAGAGATATCCAAGAGCCATGGGACCAAGAAGCAGAAAATTGTAGCTCCAGCAGGTGTGAAGAAGGCATCGAAGAAAAAGAAGAAGAAATCTGTAGTGCCGACGGTAAAGGAGAAGACGCAGTGGCATGATGAAGTGGACTTATTGGAACAGGCGCTAGGAAGTATGAAGGAGATTGTGACAGATCCAGTTGACAGGTCGTTGCGCAAGAAGCACAATAGGATGCTAGAGACACCAGATGCTGTTTCAAAGATGGAGAAAGCGAAGGTGGAAGTAGCCAAAACGAAGGATGCTGTCGTACAAGCAGTGGCAGGGGTCAATTCTCGCATTGAGCCACCTAAAAAGGTATCAAAGAGCCAGAAAAGGAAGAATAAAAAAGTGCGGAAGGAAGCTGCTAAAAATACTAAGGACAACAAACTTGCACCTGACGATCTCCCAGCAATTGGCGCGGGTGCATTGTCGAGAGAAAATGGCTCGACAGCTACCAAATCCGCTGTATCGTCAGCAAAATCTCGCATAAAGTGGAAGAAGTCTTCGAAGGTGACTACGACACGAAGTCTATCAGCCCAGGTACAAGAGCCTGTGCAGCCCAAGCAAGACAAGCCGCTCATCATTTCGGAAACCCTAGAAAAACAACGTGTGAGTAATGCAGCAAAGTATGCTAACGAAGTCGCGCCTAAGATGACTGAAAGAACGCCAGGAAAGAAAGCCAGAATTGATAGCAAACCTGCTGTATCACTTCCGACGAAGGCAGTTTTGGATGACGAAAAGAATACTGTGGCATCGCTGCAATCTTCGATTGCGGCTGCTTCGATGAAGATTGCAAAGAAAAAGAATGGCATGTTTTTGTCTACTCAAAACGAACTCGTCGAAGAGGATGCGGTACCCCAAGTTACGGATAGAGTTTTGTCAGAAAGTGAAGACGACGGTGACGTTGAATTTGACCATTCCTATGGGGACAACATATCGTTATTTTCACGTCTCGTCGATTCGGCTGCACGAGAGCAATGGGAGCTTGTGGAGGTTGGTCGGTTAGTTCGGCTCTTTGCTGCGGAATGGGATTTCGAACGGCACAAGACAGCCCGATTTCTTTGCGAGACTTGCCCTGAACTTGTAAACGTCGAATTCTTGGAAGGTTTGGGTGTGGACTTGTCCGCGAAGCAGCTTGTCCAAGTTTTTGAGGCTGGCTCGGGAAATTTTAGAGTACTGATGAACAAAATGGCGTCCGCTGTGGAGAACGGCCATTTGAGCGTGCGCAATCCAGTATTTGTTTCGTCGCTAGAGCACCGTGTCGCGCTTATGGAGTCGAACGATGAAGTGATGGAGCTGTTACATCCGCTCTTGGAGAGTTTGTCCACAGTGCGTGATGTCGGGTGTTTATTGAAGCAGCTGTGCAAATACTGGCAGCTAGAGCGTAAAATTGCTCTGGTGCAGCAGGTACTGTTATCGAACGTATTTGACGACCTAGACGGTAATCAGGATGAAATCCTTCTTGACTTGCCTGATCTTACCGGCCGACTGGACTTCCCGAGCCGTTTGGATCAGGAAGATGTTGATGAAAATGGTAACCTGAAGGGGTTTCTTGCCGACGACGACAGTGATACTAGTGGTGAGGAGGGGTTTGAAGAGGATGTGGACGAAGTCGACAGTGAGGATGACGAAGGCCCATACGAGGGGGACACCGATTCAGAGGAAGATGTCGAGATCTCTGGTCGATCACGAGGTCGCAATCAGTTTATTGAAGATGAGGCGGATGTCGGCGACGAAGATGACGAGATAGAAGAGGAAGAGCGCCTTGACGATAATGCATCGTCTTCATCGGATAGCGACTGATGACATGTTAAAGAGCGCTAAAAAGTGTGTCAGAATTCCAAGACAACTAACTAGTCGTGGTTTGTAAGAAACCCGCTATTCAATCGCTTCAATTGGTGCTCCTACTGTTTTGTTCACCCATGACTACGACGAAAATATGGCGTTCAAGACAGCCAAAATGGCAAAAATCAAGGCAACCCACATGTACGGAGCCATGCCACTGCCTTCCTTGGTACTCTTGGAAACCTGTTTTTTGGAGTGAGCGATGGCAGCTTCGTCATCGCAAAAGAAAAAATTAGATCGATAAACACCGTTCCAATGGAATCAATCTTAAGCTGTACCTGCACGTGCTGCAGCAGTGTTGTCTTGGTACTGCTCATCATGCTCACCCTTGCCGTGACGCCTTGGGCAAAGTCCACCCTTCTTTGATGGCTCGGCCAGTGACGACTTCTCCGGCTCTTCTGAATCAATGTCCTGTTCAAAGGTTTGCTGGGCAGTCAACCCAATACTGCTAACCTCGGTTATCAAATTCGGGAAAGCAGTAGTTAGTGCCTCTGCGGCCGCAGTGGGCCAATTTGCAGTAGGGTCACAGTGCATTGCCTCCGAGTGCAGAGGCGTGTTTCCATGAGTGTTTTTGAGAGGCTTCGCACCCTGCAAAATACAGCAATAGCGAATGATATAAGATCCTAAGACTTACTACACGTGTCAGTTAACTATACTGAACAAACCTTGGCAATCAAATAGTTGACCATCTCGAGCTGGTCATCGCCGTTCTTGATACACGCCCAGTGCCTGCAAGTATCAGACATAATTTTTTTAGAACCACTCCAGTAAACTACAGCAACAATGAACATAATTGTAAGATTGTTACAGTGGTGTGTTGCCCTTGCCGTCCACGACATTAACGTTAGCACTTCCCGCTTCAATCAGCAGCTGGACAATTTCAAAATTCCTCTTTCCAACAGCAACATGTAGTGCCGTCATCTTCTTGTTGTCAACTATATCCACCTTAGCTTTGGCTTTCAGCAGTAGCTTCAACATCTCCACTTCCTCATACTCTGAACCGCTCACAGTACAGTTAAAAAGCCAGAAAAATCCTAGCAACAGAATATAAAACCCTACTGATGTTTACCTGCTGCCAGGTGTACGACCGTCTGACCCGACGAGTCCTGCAAACTCAAGTCCGGTTTGCCTTTGAGCAGAGCCTGGAAAATTTCTTCAAATCTCGGTGGTTGTTGAGCCAACGCCAGCATCAGCGGCGTAAAACGACGCTTTTTTTCCTGCAGATTGAGTGCGGCACCATTGGCTACGAGATACTGCACGATTTCCAGTTGATCTTCAGCCACAGCCACGTGCAGTACTGCAAATAACAAAAATTATTATTTTAGAAGAAGTAAAATTATAATTGAAGACAATAATAATTATTGTAGTGTCATTTATTTTTGCGTGCACGTACCAGACTCGCCCTTCTTGTTTTGGAAGGTCATGTGGCTGCGCAACTCGATTACCTTGTCAAGTTCACCGTTCGCTATCATATAAAGAGTAGAGGATGGTGCGTGAATGTACGGCATGTAAAAGAGATTTATAGGCTTCAGGAAGACACACCTGCTGCTCGAAGTAACTGCGCCATGATGTCAAAGCAAAAATTAAAATTTTCGGCTAAACGTTATTGTGATATTATATTGGCCAATTGTTCAAAAGAATCGGATCAATTTATTGTGAAGCTCTGATGGCATCCTACTACCTATTCGAACGTGATTAAAGACTTTTTTCCATCACGTTCAATGTTTGTCCCGATCAAACTTTTGCTGTAGATAAATCAAACTATTGCAGGTCGTTGGAGCTCGTGAAAATTGTCCGCATTCTGATCATCTGGAGTCCATAACACCGAGGTAGGGAACGATGCAGCAATGGCAGAAGACTTCGACGTCGTGTCGTGGGAAGATGGGAACTTGGAAGGTAGGGACGATACTACAGGCGTGGATGAACTACTCGCGTCTACCGAAATATGAACCACTGGAGCAGGCACGCGGGCATTACCGGAATTCATTGTCCCCCGTGACTTCATGTTAAACTTTATGCTGGACACACCGGGTGCCATACGGGTGTCGCGCTCCACCTCGTGAAACATTTCTTCGGTGCTAGACAAGATCTGCAGCAAACTCGGATAACTCGAGAACGACGATAGGTTCACCTTACGACGCATGTACTTGGAGCGCGTATGGTAACCCGTCATCTTGTCGTGCTTTTTGAGAATCTGAAACACAACTTATGAGATTAATCACGTTCGTTCCCTATCGATCAGTCAGCTTGATCTCTTACCTTGGAAAATCCTTGGTAATTTATCACGGCAAAGTTTTCAAGGCGAATGCATTCGCGATAGAAATGCACAAAGGCAAACATGAGTCGCTGCGATTCAAACGCATCAATGTTCCCTCTTTTCTGCTACACATTCATGCACCCAGCAATCAATTAGCACTAGAAAACCAAACAAGCAATACAATCGCTACCGGACCTTGAGGACCTTGAGCACTGACCGCAACTGTTGGTAGCGGAAAGAACAACGCTTCTCCTCCGCAGCGAAAAAGAGCGAGATTTTCTTGAGTTCGGTCTGCAGGTCGCGAAAGAAAGCCACCTCCAATTCAGATTCGGCTGAAGAATACCAGTCAGCAAGCAAAAGCCATAAAAAATCTATATCTCCACAGAAACGTACAAATATCGCGTTGGTTTGCAGCGTGGTGGGCCGCACGGGTCACCACCTTAATGCGCTTCTTGAGGGCTTTGTAGTTGAGCCAGAACGGTGCCCATTCTGCGTTGCTCTGTAGAATCTCATGCAACAAACCTTTGCCGAACTTCATGGCTGAATGATAGAGAGAAAAAAAGGTTCTAGGTCTGTCGTGCACTGCCACAATTGGGAATTGACGATCGCTGCCAAGTTGGACCGACGAGAAGACGAACAGAGATTGCAAAACGCTTGATGATTCGAGTAGTGTGCCAATAGCTCAGCTGAAGCGTGAATCAGGTGTCGTCAACACGCCTTTATTCGAAGATTCCCACATATTCAGACTTGACGGCAGTTTAGAAGCGATTATTATTTAGCGAATCGTAAAACGGACCTCCATCGGGGTTTTAATCCTTTTTCAGATTACTTTTACGGCTATTTCTTCGTGTGAAACAGTTCTAGAGAAAGTGCATCAAGATTCGAGATTCGAAGAAGGTTTGCTCCATACTGAAGCCAAGTATCAACCAAACAACAGAACGCAGATCGAGATTCAGACGCATGCCGTTTTTTAGTTGATACATTTCGGTTCCTCCATTTTGCCGCATGTCCGAAACAATGTGCTTGTACGTCAGACCAAAGGTACACCGCAGGGTGAAAATATGTCCTTTGCAGTTGCAAGACTTGGCTCCTCGATCGTTAAGTTCCGACATATCAAGAGATTGTGCGTGACGCTGTCCGCCTTGCTGCTGTGTCTATGTGTATTGTTTGTAACGGGTATCTGCCGGTTCTCAGCGACATGTCCTGCATTTCCACTTGGAAAGCAAACGGGCAGCTAAGTAAACTTGAAGTTACTCATCGATTACGCTCTATGGTAATTATGCTTAAGCTACTACATGCATAGTCTCTGTCGTACATAGCCTACTGCTTGACCTGGAAACGGTGGTATTGTTTGTCATCTACGAGAGGGTCAGAAACTTACCCTGGCATGCCGTGTCTTCGGTAAGTACGTCATTGTAATACATGGGTCAGTGTTTGCTGCTCTGCTGATCAGAGCTGCCATTTTGTACCCCATGGGCATTCTGTACGACACACTTCTCACACGCGCAACGACCTTTTACAAGACGAAAGTTTAGTATTTTCGTTATATCAACGGGCTTGCCTAAGCACTTTTGGGGTTTAGCTTTGCCCCAGTACGACATGACGGGCGCCGACAAAGCCTGATCAATGCGTTTACCAGCGCGCTTTTGCATTTCACAGTTCTATCGTGCTGATTTCATATGAATAACAACAGGTGGATAAATGGATGCAGCAGCAAACTCATTAAACGTATACTAACCTCCTTAAAGCGAAACGAGATGAAGCTTTCTGTGAACTTGAAGACGTAAACCGCTCGCGAGAAGATGCCTGTGGCCAGTTGGTAGTGAATACCAGAATTCAAGTTGCCTGACAAAAGTGGCGTGTGCTGCAACTGGTTGTGATTTGCTATTCATTCAAATTCGCAGTATGACCAACCGGAATCCCGTCGTAATCGCGTCAGGACCATGGCTATGGATCCCAAAGAGAATCTTCTCTTGGACACACAGAGACTGTAGCGATCTGTCTGTTACAGGTAGCGACAATGGCGATTCCAGCGAGGATTTGCTGGATTATTGTGCTATATTATGGTGATCGTGTAAAGCCATTAATTTCAGTGCCAATACACATGATACAATACCAATGTAAAGCCATTGCGGTTGCATCGCTTGAACAGAAAAAGTGCTTACTCAATCGCCATGAGTGATGGTTTTATGAGCTGATCCCGTGACACGGGCGACGTAAGTCATCAATCTGAACATTTAATTTGGGACGCCGATTCTTGGTTTGCCCTGCAGGCTGTGGGACTGTATACCGTTTTTCTTGTCCTCCGTACCACTATAACTGCATCTTGAAGATATCGGTCACGTTCACGTTAGCATCCCAGACGCCGCTTCCAACTACAACCTCACTTTCCAATTTGCTTCCAACCGCAAACATCTTTCACTACTACCGGTGGAAATCTTAACACATGTCGGAACTTAACGTCAATGCTGCCAACGTCCGCGTGCTGGGCAACGTCTCGGACCCGTTTCGCCGCGTATTGACGCCAGACGCGCTACGTTTCCTCGCCTTCCTTCACGAGCATTTCGAGCCACGTCGTCAAGCGTTGCTAGCAGCTCGTGTTCAGCGCCAAAAGGAACTAGACGCTGGCGCGCTGCCGGACTTCCTACCAGAGACCAGGTACATCCGTGAGGGCGACTGGAAAGTGGCGTCTATTCCCACTGACATGGCCGACCGCCGCGTTGAGATTACAGGCCCCGTGGACCGCAAGATGGTAATCAACGCCCTTAACTCGGGCTCGAAGTGCTACATGGCTGACTTTGAGGACTCGACGGCTCCCACGTGGTTTAACCTGGTAGATGGCCAAGTGAACCTCGTTGACGCTGTGCACAAGACGATCTCGTATACGCATCCACAGACGGGAAAAAAGTACGTGCTGAACGACAAAGTGGCTACTCTATTAGTGCGTCCACGTGGTTGGCACTTGGACGAGGCACACGTGCTTGTGAACAACCAGATCATGTCTGGCTCACTCTTTGATTTTGGTCTTTATTTCTTTCACAACGCTCACGAGTTACTGGCACGCGGCTCCGGCCCGTACTTCTACCTGCCTAAACTAGAGCACCACTTGGAAGCAAAGCTATGGAACGACGTCTTTACGGCTGCACAGGGATACCTGAGCATCCCACAGGGCTCAATCCGAGCGACAGTACTTGTGGAAACTATCATGGCTGTCTTCCAGATGGATGAGATTCTGTACGAGCTGCGTAATCACTCGTCGGGTCTTAATTGCGGTCGCTGGGACTACATCTTCTCGTATATTAAAAAGTTCCGTAACCATCCCAAGTTTGTGGTGCCCGATCGTTCCTCGGTTAGTATGACTACACCCTTCATGGCTGCCTACGTCAAGCTGCTTGTCCGCACATGCCACCGTCGTGGTGCCCACGCTATGGGCGGCATGGCGGCCCAGATCCCTGTCAAGAACGACCCGGAGCTGAATAACAAGTTCATGTCTGCCGTCAAAGAGGACAAGTCACGCGAGGTGGCTGCGGGCCACGATGGTACGTGGGTGGCACACCCCGGCCTTGTCAAGATCGCCATGGACGCATTTAGCAACATGTCGGACCCCAACCAGATCTCGTTCATTCCCGAAGCCGGTAAGGATATTACCGCTACTCAACTCATTGAACCCCCGACGGGTGCTATCACTTTCAACGGTCTAGTGGAGAACATCGATGTTTCGCTGGTGTACACGGAGGCGTGGCTGCGCGGCAGTGGCTGCATTCCGCTCCACAATAAGATGGAGGATGCTGCTACGGCTGAGATCTCGCGCGCCCAAGTGTGGCAGTGGATCCGGCATAGCTGCAAGACTGTCGAAGGAAAGACGGTATCGAAGGCGTTAGTGCTGGATATCTTGAAAGAGTGCGTGAGCAAGCGTTCTATGAACGCTTCTCCAGGTAACAAGTGGACATTAGGTGGTGAGATTATGGGTAAGGTCCTGACAGGAGACGATATGGTGGATTTCCTCACGCTGCCGTGCTACCCGCACATTGTGCAGCTTAGCTCGAGTATCTGAAGCTAACGTCCCATCGCTACAAAAAGCATCCTGACAAACCATAGGACAAGTTGACTAAGCGATCGGAGCGGTGGGATGCTAAGCGGTGGGACCTAGTGGTGATGGCAAGATGGAGTAGCTATTGTATAACTGCGAGGTTGACAACTAATCTTGAGATTCTTTTGGCGTCTACCGTTACATTAGTCGATCGATTGCTTATCCACTTCTTCATCATGTAGAATACCGCTTGCTTCAACTTCGTGCAATGTCTCGAGCATCACCCAGTTTTTGCAGATCAGCTCCACTTCTTGCCACATTTCATCATTCGACGTTGTGTCCAGGGCATTGCCGCAGCGCAAGTTGTTTACCTTCTGCCCTAATCGATAGCCACCAAGCTTTGCTGGCCACTTTAGGTCGTCACAAGGCACTACAAAACTCTGTGGTACTTGTGCACTACCATGCAGTTCACGGTATCTCTGCATCGCTGGAAGAAAGTAATGATTCCAACGAGCCTCGCCAGCACTCCAACTGAAGTCCAGTGCTTCCAAGTCTCTTACTTGGTACGCTAGCAACTTTTCCTTGTTGCGCCGAAGTTCACTCGTCCAGTAGCCCAATTTGTACCCCCACGTCAATTGCGGCCATGCGTCATGTCGTTCAGGCACTTTGAATATCACTGGCATCAAGAGGTCTCCATGCATCGACTTGTACGTCTTTATTGCAGACATCGTTACTTCGTCCCAGAGAAAGCGCTTCCAGTCGACAACATCTGGCAGTCCAATTGCTCGAAGTTGCACTTGAATATCAGCCAGAACACGTCTTCTTGAGGGCCTCTTGACAGAGGCACAAGCTTTTAGAAACCTAGATATATTTGCGCCTAGCTTTAATCCATGCAGCTCTTGAGGCCATTGCTGACTATCCGGGTGTTGACTACTGGGGACATTATAACGAATGGGAACGGCAATATGACCGTGAAGACGCTGAAAGATCTGCAGAGCAGGCACCAATAACTGGTAATGATGCTGGTGCTGCACTATAGAGCGAGTGCTTTGATACCGGAGCGATGTGTTAATGCTTAAAAGCAAACAAGAGCGACGAGAAAAGAGATGGAATGCCATTGAACGGGAGTATTTGCAAATGCGTGGCCATTACACTATCTTTTACTATATCAAGTGCTCTTTTTTCTGTATAATCGATGCATTTGGGAATTTGGAGAGATTGAATGAATATACATCAGCTCTAGTCATTAACTATACACGGGTCTTTATTTAATTGGAGTGATTGGCCCCTCGCTTCAAAACTTACCGTAAGAATTTTTTGCTGCTGGGCCGATAAGCGTTTCTTGAAGAGTAATTTCGGGCTTGATTGGTCTCCTGACGAGCACGCTCAAATTCTTCTTCCTGCAATTGACGAGCCTGTATCTCGGCCATTCGTAGTTGTTCGCGGTCTTCGGCCAGAACGAGCTCACGCACTGTATAATCATCGATACGGCCGACCTTTTCGATGGGTACACGGTGCTTAAGCTTGGGTAGCAGCCACAGCAGCACGTTAGGATCACTGTATGACTCGTAGAGACGTGGATCGGACACGGCTTTCACGTTCGAGTACGGGTCTAGCATGAAGATAAGACTACGGTCCATACCCACCTCTTCGTAGGCTACGATGTCGGTGGGGCGATTGCCAAAACCTGCAACGAACACTGGATGCTCAACCACTCGGCCAGCATGAATCAGCGTAAGCTGCAGCTCATTCAGCACTTGAATTTTGAAAAGGTGTGGTGTCTTGTTTACAACTTCCGTGAAAAGTGCACCAGTGAGGCCAGTCGAGTTCGTGATGAGAACTCCTGGCGGCAACGAGATTGATTGTTGCACTGCATTTTCCAAATGTGCCCGTGACGCAGTAGCCCAGTCAAGTGGACGTGCAGTGAGGTACACGATTCGCACCCCCAGCTCGTGCAACTTGGTGAAGAAGTCACAAGTTCCTGCGTGCAGGAAATCGTACTGGCCAAGGCGCAGAGTACGAATGTGTCCTTCAACGTCACTGATAGTCAATGTGCCATCCAAGTCAACAACAACGACCGATTCATTCGGTCCCCAGAGATGCAGCTTTGCGTCTACATAGCGGACTGTGTTTGTATACTTTTGAAAGTGCTCGAATCGCACATGGTTCGGAAGTTCTTCCGACAGATCCGCAAAGAGCAGGTCTTCGGGTGGAATAATCATGCCACCCGTAACAAATGTACATCTTCCTCGCTCTAGCAGCTCCATTTTTGTAGGCATCTCTTTACCATTCACTAGAATCCTCACCATATCACCCACACCAGTAGCATAACTTGTTCGAAAGCGTGACCACGAGAATGACACGTGCCACGACGTCGTAAGATACTTCCCGTCCGTGTTCTTTACTGCTACAATATCTACTGCATTGCCTGCCATCTTGTACATCGGTAATGTAGTCTCTTGTTTTTCAACAGGAGCCACCTGCATAATGGTACTGTTGGCAAGTGATACATCTCCATGGAACGATCCATCCACGTATACAGTACCAGTAGCGGTACTGCTACCACTGCAACTAGATCCTCCTGATAACGGGAGAAGCTCCGACTCGTCCGCTACCGTTTCAACATTATGTGGTTTGTCCGTTACTGCCAATGCTGGAAAAAGATCATAGTTATTGGGAGATACTGGCTCTACAAATACGGGCACCTCCCCAATACCCCCCTCTTCCACTGGAGCTGTGCTGGCCATGGGTGCAGCTTCTTTTTCGACTTCAGCGATCTCAGGGACGTTGGGACCGCATCCAAAGAGATCGTAACTTTCGTGCTCGTCGATCGCACTGGTGGACATGGATTTTAGCGGCGCAGAATGAGCCAAAGGGAGCGATGGATTTTTACAGTTATCCATGGTCTCATGGTCACTAATATCGCTCGAAGACGCAGCTTTTTCAAGCGGAGACGTTTCGGATTGTACGTCCATGGTAAAATGCTGATGGCTTCAAATAATAAAAAATATACTAACTTGTTTGCTAAAATAACGACCATTTAACAACAGAATAGTCGTACTTTTTAGGACTAAAGTTGAAGTGATACTCTATAACCTTATTCACTTTAGTATACACTACCGGCTTGTCAACTTTATTTCTCACCAGCTCTTATAGTTCATGATATGTCATTGAGCGAGATATCTTTTGTAAAGTATCATCACGGATATAAATGTCAGTTGTCGTTGCTAGGGGAGGTCTAATAAGATGTCGCAGTAAATAGCCAAGAGGTCAAGAGTGAGTGACCCTGTACGTGTATTTTAACGCACAGACGCGTTGAAATGCAGAAATCTTTGTCTGTCGTTACATAAGGTATCCTTCGGTCTGCGAAAGCGCTAGCGCCGAGCGCTTGGCGTCGCTGAATAGATCATTCGTCTCCTCAATGTCGTCTACGGACACTTCCGAGCGTCCTTGAGTCTCTGCGAGGATCCTGGAGGGCGTTAGCAATTGAACACTGTATCGCAGCGACGTTTGTGAGCCGATCTCGCCCAATCTTACTATAGCGTCGTCCATGAGTTTGATCCCTTCAACTTCAGCACGAATCTTAATGATCTGCACCATTTCTTCCACCGAGTAGGGCATTGTGCGGATGATGAGCATACGGTCCAGCAGATCAAGTGGCACGCCGTGAGGAGACGAAATATCAGTGCCACGGATCTGGCAGACACCACGGTTAGTGGCAAACACAACGATCGGAGCTAAAGTCGACTCAAGCGCGCGATTCAAGTACGTAAAGCACTCAATGTCCAGCATGTGAACCTAATTGTTAGGAGAAAATCATGTCAGTGCCAAAAAAGATATACCACAATTTTTCCATTTCACAACATCACGCACCTCATCGACGAACAGCACGCCCGGTACAAGTTCTGCAACACCTTGATCAATATATCTGTTGACGACTTTGTTTATCTCTGTCCGCAATTTCTCGGTAATTTCCGTCTTCTTAGGCTTCATCATCTGTCCCATCATGGACATGATATCCTGTCCACCTTGCGGACGTGCATTAGCAATATCGAGATCATGAAGTGTTACGTCCTGAATCAGTTCCTTCTTTTTGTGAACGTCGCCCTTGGGAATAGGCACGTACTCTTCTGCTTCCAGATCGTATTCCGTGGCATATGCATCCGAGCGGCCAACACGCTTAACGCTACCATTGTTAGCTTCAATATAGATGACGTCTCCAACGGACACTTTTTCCTTCTGAAGTGACTCATAGATACTAGGGTCGAGTCTCAGTTGCTTCGAGCCTTTTGTAGTCTTAAGTCCCACAATAACATGAGAAATGGTCTTGCCATATCCTCCAAGAGGATTCTCTGTCTCTTCTGGAGTCATCTCGGTCACTTCTCCTTCGTACACTTCCTTGGTCTCCTTGATTCGGAGTCCAATAGCACGACGAAAATTTTCCATCAAAATCTCCGTCTTCTTTACCTCGGACGAGTACACTTCCGACCCAACCATGGGACAGAACGGTACTTTAGGTCCCAGTTCTTGAGAAATACCCAATGCCATTGCTGTCTTGCCAGTTCCCGGTGCTCCAGCAAGTAGTAACGCCCGTCCAGCCATCTTTTTAGACTTGATGAGCTCTACCGTGAGTCCCGCAGCCTCTCGAGCCTTCTCCTGACCCACAAGACCCGATCCAATGGGCAATGCCGTTCCATCTTCTTTGAGACCCAAACCTTTTACATGCGTATGGGACGCGATGCGCTGTGCCTTGGCCGTCGACTGCACTTCCTCGATCTTCATGGCTACACTTTGATGGTTGAGTGGTCTCAATCCCGACTTAATTTTGACGAATCAAAAAACGAGGATGACAAATTGTAGAGACACCAATTCTAGTAGTTGTGTACCCATAATTAAGCTACAAACAGATATCATGTTGCGTCCATTGTTCGGTGGTGCCTTGAGTTGCGAAGTTCCCGACGGTTTTGCAGACGTGAGTTCATTCCGTCAGGTACCTGATAACCAAGAAGTGTTTGCTAATGCTACGACAGACCAGTGCGTCATTGTTGAGCTGCTGCAGTACGAGGAGAACGTGGAGGATGTGCACAGTGCACGCTACTTTTTCAACGAGATTGCGCAGTCCAATGGCTGTGGACCCGATGAGGTGACAGTTCTGTATGAGGAAAAGGCGGACACGAAATACGCTGCACCTGTTGCCATTGACGCACCTCACACTGTGCAGCTCATTGTGGGCGACCAGCGTGTGGCCAAGTTCAAGGAGGGCGACCACGCCAAGAATGTGGTGCGTGTGTACTTGGGCAATATCCGTCTTCCTGGAGTGACGACGGACGTGGTACTGTCGGTATCAGCGCCTATGCGCATCAATCCAGCTAGTAGTAGTTGCAACGCCTTCCAGTTCGAGGACAATTCGGAGGTAGCTGCTGCTATATTTAAGCAAGCGCTCCAGTCTTTTGCAGTCTTGGACTGGTCACTCTTCCAATAAAGATAGTAAGGGAACTTTGAATTCTGCTTTTTACTACTACCTTTTGCTGTAGTGTATTCAGTAGATGAACTCACGTGAGACGGCTATTGTACTTAATAGGCCTTGTGGTGCGTGTCGAAGCATAAGGTTGACGACGAATTCAATTGAAATTGCGGTGCGGTGCTGCATTTGTCATTTCGTTACAAGACCAGCTACTTCACTTCTTACAGATATCTGGTCTATAATTTATCGCAGCCGTTGCCACCAGCGACGACCAGACATGTAGTGGTCTCAAGATACTTAAAAGGCTCGTGGACAATGTCCACAGAAACGCAAACGACACCGTTACGACATCAATGAATTAGCTCGAGTCACCCAAATGCTTTATGTCCTGAGTCTGTTCCTTTTGTCGAGGCAATATCGACAGAAACAACAATAAACACAAGTTGGCCGTCCACATGATAATGGTCACTTCGGTGCGCAAATCGATAGTATCATTTTCAATCCGCTCCGTGCTCAGGTCAAACAATTATTCACGTTACGCGTGATGGTGGTTGCGAAAAGGAATTTCAAGGTTGCTGGCGTCGTAAGGAGGCCGTGCATGGCACTGTCGTGTCCTTCAGTGGCAAGCTCCACGGCAACAAGAAGACCACAATAAACAATAAATGTTCAGCCTAGTGGGCATTACATCTATAGTTTACTAAAGAATGGGATGCCGAGAAAGAATTATGCCGAGCAGATGATATTCCAAATCGTCAGTAGCTTGCAAAACGCATCCACCTAACGGAGCTCAAGGGTGAGCGAGCCACTTATGTTGACTATTGCAACGCCACGCGATAATATCGGTAGTAAGCATGTACTGATGCGCTCTTCAAAGTAATTTCGATAGCCACACGTCCGTACAAACATCTTTTTTTCTAACAACAAGCCAACACGCGCGCTGCTTTTATGCTCGTTTTCATCAAGTACGTTCTGCTTTGAAGAACGTACAGGAAAGTGACAAATCGAGCAGGAAGTCGCGGTACTGACGACAACTACCATCTTGTCTTTTTTCTTGCAGTATTACATGTAGCTCAAGCAGAAATGTTAAGCATCTTTTGGTGGCTATGATGATGATAATTAGACTGTCTATTAATTACCATGATTGTTTAAGATATGGCTGTGAGGAAATTTCCTGATCTTTTGCCATAACTACGTCGTTCTCCTGCACACTAGCTCATTCTGCTAGCTCAAGCTGACGAGCTTCACGGGGGACACTCCAAAAAGCACGTAGGATCGTTTGACCACAGCCAAGCACGTGCAGGGAGCAGGTGGTGTCTTAAAAGTAAGGCCAGGTACCAAACCGGCTTTCCCAGACGGGCCCTAACATGCAGCTCCGATTTTCTGAATCGGAACAAAGTGGATCACAACGTGGGACCGGAATTAATTTGGCCTTAAGAGAAGCAACAGCCAAGTAACGAAGCGGCATACCGGTCGTCTTACCTTGGAAGACAAGTCCTCTATGATGGGTTAAATTGATAAAGGGAGACCTTCTCTTCGTTGCGTGCACCACGAGAGGCAGAACAGCATACGAATCTAACGGGGAGCAATCAGCACAAAGTTCCGAGATGTGGGGCACGTCTACAAAGCATCAAACACCCTCTACCAAGGCATCAACAAGTTCCTTCCCTTCTCCGTTCCGCCTCCTACCTGCCGACCTATTCACTATGTACGCGGTAGGGCAAAATATGGAATCTACTCATTGCAAATGTATCAGGAACATTTCTATTGTCACACATAACATTTACCTTTTCAAGGTTTTACTCGATGCTGCCTGATATAACCACGCAAGATTGCAATGTAGCTCGAATGCACCATGTAGTTCTTCTACCTATCAGACTTACTCGGGCTTCTCTTATACTTCAAAGTGGTCGTAAATCGGTTTTCAATGACGAAATGAAAAAAAACGTCCAATGACGTCTACGACTCGAACATTTTCAGCATTTTACAGTTATCTATTGTGGTACAAGGGACAGAACATTGTCCAACAGTCCATCCAGACTCAGATGATAATCACGTATAGGCTCAGTTGAGACTTACATGTACTATACATAGCGGAAGAGAAGCAGCAGCAACCACGGCCCATGTGCTGAAAGTAGGGACGCAAATACCACCTAACCGCATCAGTCTGTATAACTGGTAATCGTTGCTTTTCTTACGTCGTAACTACAAAAAGGGCCTGTGTACCATGAGGTGAGACCATGGTCAACAGTATTACCAGCTGAAGGTTTTTCGTGCGAGATCAAGTCTGTTTCGACTGGACGAGCGAAGCATCAGCTGAGCCCTTTGACTCACGTGAATCCTTGCCTCCTTGGCCCTTCTATAGTCGCAATTGGCAAGACAGAGGTATTTCGTTTTCAGTCGCCGTTTTTTGGCTTCGCGATCGCTATTTATCCAGGATATGCCCATCGTAAGAGTGATGTTCGGCCTCTGCATCTTTCTGCAATACGAGAGCCACCTCCCAGCTGTAAGTAAAGCCTCTCCATGCCTTGTATTCTGTTTACGTCAAAGTCTTCAGTAGGTCCAGTCTCTAATTTGCACTCTCCTGTGCAGCAAACTTTCAGAATTCGGGCCAACAAGTACCAATATGCAACTTTCCGATGAAAAGGTGGAGCTCTACGAAAATGCGGCCATGTTGGGCGACTCGCGATGCACCATATCACCGCTAGAGCCGCTACACGACTACGATAAGTTGCGCTATGTGTACGACGACTACATCGAAGGTGGCGCACTTCGTACCGGAGGAACACCCGAGCTTTTTTCACGACGGTACATTGGACTTGTCGCGCAATACGCCGCCGTTGGATTCATCGACGGTGTGTTGCCTGCCGTCATTTACCCGTTCTTGCAGAACTACCTCAACATTCCAGGATCGCAAACGACTACGGCTGCCGTACTAGTTCAACTGCCATGGAGTTTCAAAGTTTTTTACGGCATCGTGTCGGACTGTTTTCCAATTTGGGGCTACCGTCGCCGGCCATACATGGCCATAGGCTGGATGATTTCGCTAGCCATGCTCTTGGAAATGGCGCTCACACCTGCGGGTAAGCCCTACTTTATGGACACACAATACCGAGACGTAAAGCCGGACGACTACACGTCCGATATCATCGCCACAATTAATTACGATGCTGCTAACCAGGGTAGCATGTACATCGTTCCAATGATGGGGTGCGTCTTTGGTTATTTGATGGCCGACGTGTGTGCTGACGGCATGGTGGTGGAGCTGGCGCAACGCGAACCACTTGAAGTTCGAGGAAGGACCCAAACAGTGATTTACACGACGCGCTATGCATTCAACATCTTCGCTCTTATCCTAGTCGCCTTTTGCTTTAACGGTGCCGAGTACGGAGGTGACTTTGACTTTTCGCTGCCATTTCCGATGCTAATGTTAATTGTGGCAATCGTTATCGCTCCGATGCTTCCGATCACGTGGCTTCTTATTCACGAAGAAAAATGTGCCAACGATCACAAGGTTTTCAAGCACTACATGCATGAGCTATGGGATATCGTGCAGACTCGAGCCGTGTACCAGTACATCGCCTATCAGACATTTTCAGGCATACTTGCAATGTTCTCTTGGGTCTCCAGCTATCCTATTCAGACCCACTGGGCAAATGTTTCACCTCTCGCGGACAAGATTGCTAACTTTTTCGTTACTGGTATGTTTGCAATCTCTGTCTGGTTTGCCGGCAACTATGGTCGCGATTGGGACTGGCGTCGTACTACCGTAGTGACCTTGATTTCCAACTTAGCGCTTGACGCGTTGGTGAAGCTAGTGACGATCTGGGATATTACCCGTTCGCCTTGGTTCTGGCTCGGGATCCCCATTATTCAGCAAATTCCTCAGGGAATAATTTACATTGTGGGCTCTTTCATCATCGTAGAGTTGACTACAGAAGGGCACGAAGGTGCAATGTACGGCCTTCTGACGACGGTCTATAATCTTTGCACCCCCTTCTCCGCCGCCATTACGCGAAATGTCGCTGCCCAGTTTGATTTGTCGACGGAACGGATCCAGAATGATAGTTACGGCGTAAGGTACGACGTGACCATCACGGTCTTGATCATGTGGGCGGTCAACTTGGCGTCGTTGTCGTTTCTAGTGATGCTTCCTCGACAAAAGGAGCAGACGCAGGTTATGAAACGTCTTGGTGGCTCGAGCTACTTTATGGGTATCATTACGACTATATATCTAGTTTTTGCGCTCTTTTGGTCCGTTATGACGAACCTCATGAGCATTTACGAATCTACTGCGTGTCTAGTCATTGCTGGTGGTGACGGCTGTAAGGACTAAATAATAATGCCATCGCATACGATGTTTTTGACAGATATTTTCTGATTGTAATCTGATTATTTGTATTCAAGGATAATTTTTTGTTTATCCTTAAAAAGTACTGATTTTGTGTAATCTTAAATCGTTTGTTGCATACTTTATGGTACAAGATACTATCGAATCTGATTTATAGATCTCTACTGTACCCTTCATGGCACAACAAATGACAGGGTCCGTTGATGCAAAAGATCGTAGTCCACTGCTTCGCTATGGCTCTGAGAGCAGTAAGTTCTATACAAAGTTAAGACTCGATGACTTCTTTAAAATTACACTAATGGTTGTATGTTCAAGCAAACAACAATGAAAATAAATTGCCAGTTTGTTCGCGTCGGTTTGCAGTCGCTGATAAGCGTTCCGTCGCCTCTCAGACTTCATTGCAAACAATGTTCTATGCACTTAATGGGATTGCACTCTTTGTGCTATTGTCGCTATGTATTTCAATACACAACACTATATCTCAATTGGAAACGCAACCTATCAGCACCATGTATGTAAAGCATACGCATCCCTTGCAGTACTATACTGCAAAACAATGTCTGTCGTGCAAAAGGTCGTGGTTTTAATCTTTGGTGTTGTAGGGGGAGTATAAGAGAGGCTCGACAAGTGAACGCCGTGCTCTACAGCTCGGATGACGGTCTAGTTCCCATGGCGTTGCTACCATCAAAGTTTGCAGTGGAATATGTAACTCCACGTCAAGACCAAGCTCACCGCGGCACATGCTGGGACTTTGCAACGATTGGGTTCTTAGAGCAATCGTACCGAGCGCACGGTGTCCACAAAGGATGGCTCAAACCAGACGAATATGTTGCATTTTCGGAGCAGGTACGCGACAAAAAGCAGTACCGATTGTTCTATATGGTAGCTGACCAAACGATTGAAACTGGATTGTAGGCGTATGGTGTGGAAATTCTCAAGCTTTGCACAGGTGATGCAGACTCACAACAGCAAAAGGATTGCCGAGTGGCTGGTGATAAGGTATGTACTGAAATACATTCATTGTACTTGCCGACTCTGTTGATCCTTACCAATGTCTATAGATGTGGATGAACTCGACTGATGGTGGTGAAGTTCCTGAGCTCTATTACTTGCAAAATGGACTCAAAGAATCCGTTTTCCCGCAATCTGTGTGCAAATACTACACCAAACCAGGCAACGATGTGCTTTGCCCTGGACTGGAGGCTGCGCAAGCGGCTGGAAATCCACTCAAGTTTGAGCTTTCGGTACGAAGCTATGCTGCAGTTGTACCGTTCATGATGGTTTTTGATCTGTAATACAATGCTCTGCACTCTGTTCCTAGAGCATGACGACCAAATATGATGACATGTCTGTGAGAGAACACCTTGTCCGGAAGAATCAAGCAATGCCTCTATCCACTCCGATTGCGATGGTCACCCACTACTATCCTTGCATCGGCGCACTTGTTAGCGACTATCACTGCCAACCTGAAACGTGCACGCTGTGCCCAGGAAACATGGCCACCACGACATGCTGTATCCCACTGAAAGGAAGTCGAAACCGCAACATGGAAGGCGAGTTCTTCAGTCATCGGGGCATGTCAATTGAAGGTGGCCACGCAATGGTATGCCGTTGCATGTGAAATACTATGTACACGCGTGTATTGTCTAACCGTTTCACGCATTGTGGTCTTTTGATGTTTAGCTTCTCGTCGGCTATAACGACGCCTTCTTGACGCGCGAAGGATTTACGGGTGGACTAATTGTGAAAAATTCTTGGGCGGACGGACCTTACCAAGGCAGCCATTCTCTTGCCTACTGGATGCAAGAGGTATCCGACTGGGAGGAGCGTTCCGTTTGTCCGAACAGCTACAAGTACGTAGAATCATTTGCACTAGGGTGACCATGGCAGAGAAAGCTTACTCTTTGGTTTTGCTTTGGATATGTAGCCCGTTCAGCTGGTACCACTGCGGGAATAATGGAATTTTATCCAAGTGGCAAGGGAATGACACGAAAGAGTACAATGAGGGGATCAAGGACTGCCTCTCGAACGAGACGAAGCTGTTTGCAGACGTTAATATTCAGCCGTTGCACCTAAAATGCAAGGACCCAAACTTGTGTCGTACGGACGGGGACTACACCTACTTCGTTCGCAACACGACCGACTGGGGTGACCGCATGACCGTCATGTGTCTGTGGGAATACTCATCAGAGGAGCATGTAGCGCGTGAGATTTGCCTGCCGCCAATGCTAGAGGTTTACATTGCACACACGCTGGCACCCGTTGAAGAGGAAGTGAAGGAAAATGACACGGACCGATGTGGCTTCTACTTTATCCCGTACGTGGCGCTCCGTCAGTGGATCGCACAGTTCCAGGGCTTTTTTGTCAGCAGTTTCGACATCCAGTGGGACCCACAAGCGTACGCTGCCAACAAGGACCTGCATCCGGAACTCGATTACTCGCTGTTGGAGGCGTCGACAAAGAGACAGAATTACAACGAGTTCTTGGGTCCTTTTCCGTACGCCAAGGTCATCCAGCACTTCCAGTAAGAGCTAGGCGCTTGGTAAAGGACCAGCTTCGTGTAAAGCTTATGCCCCCATCTATCGAGCATTCACATACATGTAGCTAAACAGGCTTAGCCACTTCAACTGTATCCGTCGGCATCCCAATCACGACTAGAGCTATCGTTGCCATATTGCATTGTAAAAGCACAAAAAAAGCAGTAAGAGAGAACCAAGACGTCAAAATTTCATATGAGGGATGCCGTTATCCGATGAAGGTTTGATGAGACAGATTTATGACTGTTCTCATCGAGCACCTTTTCTCTGCTCGTATTTCGTACATGGTGGTCAAGAGCCTTGTCGTTTACACGCCTGGAAAGTCATTGTGACTATTCGCAGCTGCTGTTCCACCCAAACCAAGCGTAATGAACATCGTGTTTGTATGCGCCAGCAATACGTGCCGCTCACCAGTTTCGGAACTTTTTGCCGTCGAATACTTCCGTTAACATGTCGCGCGAGCAGCAAGAAGAAAGGGGGATTATCATCCAGTCCGCGGCGTACGTAGCCCTCGCACTATTTTGCACTGCAATATGAAGTTCTAATACTGTTGGCTATGCAGATTAACGGATGCGTTTGAACGTGTTGGCTCACCAGCGTCCAAGCACGCGGTAGACGTGATGAAAAAGAAGTACCATTTGGACCTATCGAGGCACCGCTCGCAGCTCCTGACGGAGACCATGTGCCTCGAGGCAGACTACGTCGTGTGCGTAGCGAGCGGGATGGCGTTTACAGTAACCGAAAAGTTCCCACGGATTAAAGAGCGGGAAGGTGTGCTGACTGTCTTTGCTAGAGACGTGCAAGACCCGTGGCACATGTCCTACGATACCTACATGGAGAATGTAACTCAGATCGAAGAGATGACACGGGAGTTCCTCGATAAGCACGTAACGTGGTGAAGGCAAGCAAGCAAGCAGACAGACAGACGGACGGACAGTGTGTGCTTCATATGTCGACTGACAAACAACAACATGTACAGTAAGAATGATGCCAGTACTGGCCGCAATGAGTGCACAATTGACGTGGTGTAGCCATAGATACCGCAATGAATGGACAGAGAGTAGTGCTGACTCAGCCGTAGTAGTTCAAGACCAGCAGTACAGACGGTGTTTCTTCTATCACAGCAGCTACTATGGCCTGTAGTTGACCAGGAAATGCAATCTACAGGATATCGTGATTTATAAATGTAGTGCACATGTCCGCTTGCAACGTCTGAGCAGAGGCTACGTACGCTCTATTCATTGAGACCTTTTGCAGCAATTATCTACCCGCCACGAAACAGAATCTTCGTCTACATCGATCAGATGCACGATGTTTTAATTATCGGGTGCGTTAATAAGCTCCTTGTCGCCATTGCGAATGGATTCCACCACCAACAGCTCTACGACTCAGAATTAAGATGGTCGATCTTTATTCATCACTTGAGTTTTGTATCAAAAATGTCTCAGTCTCAATTGGTCACGTGGATGCGTTAGTGCTTGCTTGAAAAAAAAACTTTCCAAATATAGCTTGACGTTAAGTAATCTGTGCTTTTAGAATACCAGGTGTTTGCTTCATGCCTGCCTAGCTAGATCCGTACCCCGTTTTTTTTGTTTCGTTCTATTCAAAGAGGTTTGCGGCTAAAACGTCTTGTCGATTGAGCCTTCAAGAAAAGCTGCCGTTACGAAAAACAGGTGCTCTCATGTGGTCTAGCAATTTTACTCTCTCTCCTAAGACGTTGCAGCGACAGCTAGCGAAAATGATGGGTTTCAAATGGCAACCAGCGTAAACTAGGAGCTCACATTGAACGCTTTCTAGGGAATCGAATGATTCAATAAAACCTATATGCCCAAACATCTAAAGACAAGGGTTCATGATGTTGCACATTTACATTTCCGGACGCTGCTGGTTTTGGAATCAGTTTGATGGAGACTTCTTACTGTAGCACAACTATACGATACGTTACCGGTATAGTCAATCTCAGTCAATCGCTCTCCAGCTGCGTGGATTTGGGATGGCGTCTTTTCACAGCTTTTTGCGGCATATAAACTGTAAGTGTGACTTACTGAAATCGAGTGATTGGGTTTCAGAAAAATTGCGACAAATTTTACTAGCATAAAAGAGGAGCAGCAGAAGGTGGGAGGGGGGGGGGGGAGTCACGGTTCGAACCAGTTTCCGCGCGCCATACACGAATCGTCCCCATCCATAGCGGAAGAAGAAGACGACAAAGCATTATTTTCTTTTTCCCCTCTTACTCACCCCATCACATACATAATGGTCGGGTTTTTGCGCAAGAAGAAATCGGACAAAGCGGTACTCTCGGGTGGCACAGTGCTTGACCGCAAGGGCAAGGTGGATAATGCCAGTCTACTGGATGGCGACGGTGAGCCTACGGAGGGCTCGCTTTATGACGCAAACGGTAAACGTGTGAGCCATGGCCACGGCCACCGCAAATCGGACGAAGAGAATCGTCCGAACCCCGTGAATAATGCTGGGTACCCGCCAGTCATGGCAACGGGCATGTATCCTCGCCCCCACCAGCAGCAGCAACCGGGTGTCTATGGCATGGGCAACAGCCAGCCTCAACAGCATTTCGGTCAGCAGCAATATCCTGGCCAGCAGCAATACCCTAGCCAGCAGCCTCAACATCAATTTGGACAGCCGCCTCTACCACAGCAATATGGACAGCCGCCTCTACCACAGCAATATGGACAGCCGCCTCTACCACAGCAATATGGACAGCCGCAACCACAGCGGTATGGACAACCTCAGCAGCTGCAATCCGGCCAGCCTAGCGGCTACGGCCAACAGCAACATTACCCACCCACGACGTTAGGTGGACAGTATGAGTATCCGGTACGATATGGCCAGATGCCTCCCCCGATGCCATCAGCAGCGCCCAAGCGCTCACGGTTCCGTTTTCCTAGTATAGGCAAGAAGAACTGAGACGCTAGACGCGTACGTCGATGGAAGTTGCGTGCGAACTCGCCGAGAACAGATCTACGTGAGGTCGAGAAGAACACACGTGCTGCGGTCTCTCTTTCTTTTGGCGAATGGAGCCCCGTTGTGTTATATACTCTGTTTGCATCCAGTATTGAGAGACTTGGGCTTGTTCGCTTGAACCGAGTAGAGATAACTTCTGACTTGATGTAGCTATAGCTTAACCTTCTTGTCTTCTTTCATAGCTAAATAAATTAAGGGCTTTACATGTCATTGGCTTGCTTTCTTCATTCATACACATGGGTATTGAACACTACGCTCATGTTTGTTCCTACGCTAAACAGACTGAAGCCACATTCAAGACTGTTTCATGTTCATGAAAAGGTGACATACCGTCATCACCTCAGGAGTTTACTGTTCGTTATTGTCACTGACATAAGCGTTTTCTGAGATGGAACCGAAAAGAAAACGTTGGAAACAATGGAACGTTTTTGCCTTTACGTAGATGCTCCACCCAATCGCTAGGATAACCAGCTGATTGATACAAACTCAAGTATATTCGACAGGTTAGTGAGTGAGAAAACAAGAATGTGCATCACCTACTACAGCTGCATCTCACATTAATCTCAAGCAAATAGAGCTATGACGAACAAATGCAATGAATGAGTACTCTTCCTATGCCAAAAAACTATAACTTTATATGTACTCGCCCTTTGTGAATATTGGCGAATCGGTGTTTATTGTAACATTTTGCAATGGGGGTTATTTGAAGCAATTTTTTGGACGGACAGGCGTACAAATTCAAGAGCTATGATTGGGCATCTACCATTCCATAATTTGTCGAACCATGATTGGGATTGGTAATTTGTTAGCTCTCTATGATTGAGATTTGGTAATTCTATGTATCTTCCTTCGTAAAGCGAAATAGTCAAGCCACTATATTTTATAAATAAGTTAGCACTATCGTCGCTGCGCCCATTCTCGAAGGCAATCTATTTTAGATTTGTTCTTCAATTAGTCTAATTGGTTGAAGAATAAGGTATGATGATGGTCTAAATCAGGTTTGCTGCATAAAAAGAGAGGTGGTGGTAGACAAGATTAATAGTTTGACACAATTTTCCTATAGATTAATTTTGATCAATCCTTATGATTCACGACCTGAATTTTAACAATAACAATCACACCTCGAAGCTATACATGTAGCGAAATATTATATAAAGTCGTTTGCATTAACAATATTTACTCCATCACCCCAAATCAAAACGTAAATCCATTTTCAAAATCGATTTAGACTTCCAGATTTAGAGTTCTATGCCATATGCACGTTGTCTATAATTGAAATTAGCGTCCCTGGGAGCTGATCGCTAAATGGCGATTACTCTTCAAGTCATCGGTTTGCTATACCGAATGACTTAGTGAATGTTCTGGAAAAGGCGAATGGTCCCATCGGCACCACCTGTAACAATCCACGGCTAAACGATCAAAGCAAAAAACAGAAGTTAGTGTGGAAACAGGAACATTTCAGACAAGGATAAAAAACGCTTACCAGGACAGGATGGAAAGCTAGCGTCATAACACCGAGGCCACCGGAAACTTCGTGGCCACGCAAGATCTTGAGCGGAACAATCAACGGATTCTTCATCAGATCTCTACAAACATCATCATTTGATCGTGAGTCAGCTCAACCGTTTCGTCTCAGTGACATAATTCAGTGTCAAGAAAGAGAGCAGATCGCATTACGTACGAGTAGACCATGGCGTGGAAAATGTGAATAGTGCCATCGTCCGAAGCAGAAGCCATGAGAGGGTACTTGGCGTGGAATGACACATCACGGACAGCTTTTTCGTGATACTTGAGTGTTTTGAAAGGCCTCGAGGACAGATCAAGATCGAACCAGCACAATCTGCGGTCGTAACTACCCACAAGCAGGTGGTCACCGTTCGGGTGCACGGTCATGCTTGAGATCCACTTTACACCTGAAGACAGCTTCTTCACGATCGACTGCTTCACGAGGTTGTACACACGCACATGGCGCTGAGTAGCGTGGAAGAAAAATGGCTTGGACGGATGGAACAGAACGCACTGCACTTGACCTACGCTCTTTTGGAACGGATTTTGAGTCTTACGTTTTGAAAGCTGGTGGATCAGCACTGCTCCCGATCCGGCGCCAGGGGAGACAGTGGAGAGGTAATCTCCCTTGTGATGCCACGCCACGTCCTTCACGTCACTCGTGTGGTGCAAAACAACACGAATACCAGTACCCACACGACGTTCGAGCCACGGTCGTTCAGTAGCAGCTTTTGACTTGTGCTTGTCTTTGGTACCGCTGTAGAACCGCCAAGTTACAGGCACCTTCTTCTTTAGCGCGTCAGCCTCTACAGTGGCCTCATCCTCGTCGACAATCTGGACATCATCATCCGTGCTATCTGTCTTGCCATCCTCCTTGTCGGTAGTTTGAATGCAATCGTCAGCATCACCAACGAGTGCGTTAGTAAGTTCCGTTTGGTCCGCGCTACCCGTTCCTGTAGCAATAATGAAGACCTTCTTAGCAGCTGCAACAGCCAGCAACTGGTGATCCTTGTTTGGGTTCCATGATAACTTGTGCACCACGGCACCAACGTTATACACCTGCAGACAACGTGAGGTCTCTAGCTCCCAGACACGCACAGTGAAGTCATCGGAGCCTGAAGCCACATATTGGCCGTACGGATCCACAGCGAGCGAGCGAATACGCCCAGTGTGGCCATTGAAGACAAGAGCCAACGTATTGGGGAAGGGACGCAGATCCTGAGGTTTTGGCAGCTCTGGCACGAGCGACTCCGGGTCAATGTTAAGCTTGCGCTTGTTAACACGAGGCGCCAAGTAGAGATCCAAGCACCGTTCAAAGCGCTCACGAACAAAACCGTTGTAGCCGCACACTTCACGAAGCGACTTGAACTTTTTTGGCATGAAATTAGTCTCACGGTCCTCCGGCTCGGCTTCTTCCCAAGCACGACGTTCCTCTTTAGTAAACAGATACTCATTTGGGGGGTTATACGACTCAATATGTCCAGGAAGTGGCATCTTCGGAGCCTGCACGTTTGCTGGACCCTTGCGGGTTTGCGCTTGGTCGTCGTCGAACCACATCTGGTACACCTCAGGCTTTTTCTTAGGATCCTTGTCAAGTTTAATGCGACCTTCCTTGATGCCCTTCATGATCTTTATTACTTTCATGCGCTCCCATTTTGAAGGCAAAAATCGGCTCTTAGGCTCAATATCGTTGCCCATGGAGTGGATGATTTCATTTGACGAGTAAATGTCGACGTAGTCCGGGTACGCTTCGAACTCTGGATGTGCGAATGCACCAGCTTGCATACGACGGATGATTTCCATGTCACGGTCCGAAACAACGATCTTTCGGTCGTTGTAAGCATCATACACTGTGCGGCTGTTTAGGCATAAATGTAGTGTTAGCGCATCCTGCATATTATTAGATCAAGCACATTCAGCACAGCTTACTCGTAGTTCGGGTCATCCTTCGCAGCAATAGCATCATCAATGCCGTCCCCATTGTTTGACTTTATGATCTTCTTGCCCTCTACATTATAACCAATGTGGTCATAATCTTCATACCACCGAAGCGGTACGTTGCCGATCGTATTGACATTTTCCTGCTTGCAGCAACAACATCTCAAAGGTTAGCTCAAAGTTACACGTGCACCTCTTCCTCAACTGCCCTACCTCATCGTCCGAAGACAGGTCATCCACGTGCAGCTGTGATGCCACCGACAGAGACCCGTCTTCACGCATTTTCTGTATCTCCTTTTCTCGGTCCACAGTAAAGTGACGCGTTTCCTTTTCCAACTCCATAAGCTCAGCATCTTCTTCTTCATCATCATCATCGCTGTCATTGTCGGACGACGATCCCTGGTCCTCAAACTCGTCGTCCTCTTCATCGTCACTCTCCTCCGTCTCACTCTCCTTCTCTTCTTCTTCTTCTTCTTCTTCTTCCGTCTCCTTCTCATTTTCAGCCATCACGCTTTTCTTCTTAGAGCTCTTAACTGGAATCTGCACCTGCTGTTTGTTCTCCTTCTTTACCACAACACCTGCCGTCTTCTTGCTGCTGTCATTAGCACGAAGCGTGGACGTCTTTAGTGGTGCTACCGTCCTTTTCTTTCCGCGAGCCATTGAAAGTCTTCAAGTCCGTCGCTATTGACACTGATGGTGGAAGGGCTCGCAACCAGCAAAAAGTACGTGTACCGGTTATGTCGCAGTCACGATAAAATAACCCAATGTGGAAGAGGGATCTCTAAAAGACCACTTTTAGTCCATGGGTTTTTTATCTCGCACCTTACTTAAGTATCCCAATTGTACCCCCTCGAACATTTTACCACTTTGAAGAGAGAAGGCTCGCGCCGTGGCCCCTGCACCTTTATCTCGCTGTAATTTCCTATCTGAGCATTCGACGATTGGCCGCTCCATCTGATCGTGCTACCTGTTATTTTCTCTATCCAACGAGCTATTGGACGTGTGTATTATCCCTGGCAGAGACGAGTAATTAAGCGTCGCCCACTACGTCTTAGTCTGCATCCGATTGGCTTTTAGTGCTCTATATTACGTGCTAATTAACGCCAAGCACCACGAAACGACGTCTTCTTCGTCGTAGCAGACCACTTTTGATCGTGTGGAGCGCCATGAAGGCTGCACGTGCCAGTTGTGAAGGTTACCTCACCTTTCGTACGAGTCCATCATCACCTCCACCCATGCTACGTCGTTACTGCTTCCTTGTAGGCACTTCGTTCCATTACTATAGGTAAATACTATACTATTTACACTCTTATGTTAATGTGGGGCTAAAGCTATGGCACTTTTGTGTGTATAGCACACAGGAGGATGCATATCACATGTTGCGGATCAAGGGCGAAGTGGACGTACTGGGCGTGCAGGAGTGGGACGGTAAAGGCAATATGCACATTTACCAGTATGGATTTCTATTTGCAACGACACAGAACAAGGTGTTTTACGCCTATGCAGATACGGCTATGGACAAAGAAAAGTGGATACGAGCAATTCAAACTGCAGTGGTGACGACGGTACCTCGACTTGCAGCGGCACTTTTCCAGCATGCGTCACAGGATGGGGCAATTTCACCAGTGAGCAATGTGGCGGTATCATCCACTGAGACGGATGTGACGTGCAAGTGTCCGAACTGCACGCTGTTGACAACCGAAGCAGTCGCTACAGGTCAAACGGCACCGATTGCAACGATGATGCTGTACAAATGCAACAGCTGCGATGTGTTGTTTTGTGATAAGTTTACGACGCATAAGGTGCCATTACCGCAGAGATCATATTACTATGCCAAGCGCGTGTGTGATGGCTGCTATGAAGCACAGACTTACATTAACTATTTGCGTGCTATGGTGGAGCGTCTGAAGGCTGGTATTTGCTTGTATCCACGTCAGCTAAACCCCGAAGCACCGATTGAGCTCATAATGCCCAAGCGTCCGCTGCAGACGGAGTCAGCGAAGATTGCTATCGACTTGCTTGAAGCAAAAGTGATTACTGCAGAGGAGTGTGAGGAAATCTTGCTCAAGGATCGGCGATTTTATGACCACACGATGGATCATCCCGAAATCCCACTCGACCTGAAAATATTGGGCCTGCACCGTGAATTTCGTGCTCGCAGCTTTAGCGTATACCGCGCAGTTATCTTGTTGCACCGTCACTTGGATAGTGATCCTCTGTTATTCAAGCCTATTGTGGAGAAGCTGCTTCACTTTTCGTACACACGTATTAACCAAGTGGAGTTCTATTGGCCCCAGATTGTACACGCGTACTTATCGATTCCAAACTTTGATTTCGAGAAACTCTTTTGGCTGGATGAACTCATTTTGTCCGTGTGTTCGCGCTCCATTCACCTCGCACTGCTGCTTCGATGGCAACTGCAAGGCGCACTCGAGGACTCTCTAGATCCGAGAAAACCCAAGGAGATGCAAGACAAATACGCACGTGTAGTACGATTGATGGTTGAGATTGAGCGTGAGGTCGCTGGTGTGGATCGGGCCACTGTGCTCAGCCGTGATCCACAGCTAGGAGCGTCGCAAGTACACAAACGAAACTTACCGCTGCCCACAGATGACCAGCTACAGGTTATTGTAAAGTTGACAGAGGAGATTGCAGACCATCGTTGGCAAGCGCAGAGTTCCGCTAATGGATGTGGCTCGCCTCCGAGCAGGGATTTATTCTTGCAATTGTCGCCATCCATGGTGCAGAATGGCGTGAGTCGCAGCAATTCGGCAGATGCCGATGTTGACAGCCGATTCCGCGATTTTTCGCGCTTCCAACAGCATCTGCTCACACCAAAGGAAGACTTGAACTCTATGCTGATCACGCACCCTACTGGTGAGGACATATACGAGCAAGATGAGCGGTTGTCTATTCTTGAAGAGGAGGACACTGATACAAGCATATTCAGTGAGTCTATGCGATGCATGAGTCGGACAGACAAGTCCCTGTTGGCGAAGCATTTCGCTGACGAATGCGACTTTGTGGAACAGATCACTGATATTGCAGAGACTCTACGTTTCGTACCATCTATTAAAGAGCGTAAGGCTCAGTTGCCATCATATTTGGTGAAACTACATCTTCCGCCCATGGCGTATGTGCCGCTTGTGAAGGCTACGGATCCGTTTGAACGTATTGTACGAATACCTACGAAGGAAGGCACTGCATTCTCGACCAAGGCACGTGTCCCTATTTTGCTGATCTTTGAGGTGATACGCGGCAACCCTTTTGACGATGACCAATCAATCCCAGAGTCGCCGCGTTCTCCTTCGAAGCGAGCTCCAAATGGCAATTCTACATTAGAATCTTCCGAGGTCAACTATGTCGAAGATGACGAGATTGGGGAACTGATTGGACACCAAACAAGCGAAGCCTTTGGTGGTGATTTGGAGGATGCGGAAGAAGTTGTAGCGGCAGCGGCAAACCCTCCTTCCTTTGCTCCGTATCATACCCCAATGGCCGCGTTTCGCTGTGTGCCTGTACCTCAGACACCAAGCCATGTTCCTGACAACGTATCAACGCCATCAACGACAACTCCGATGTTGATGCAACCTAACGAAAAACCAGTTGATGCAAATAGTGTACCAAAGGCCGAGGGCACACCATCAGCATCGTTTGAAATGGACCTAGCAACGTGCAACTTGACAGCAGAGGCCATGGAGCGTGAAAAAGCACGCCGTAGGGATTTTGAGGCAGCCTTTGGCGAATCTTGGAGCTCAAAACGCTCAAGACTGAAGGCTACATCACCCTACGGCCACCTTCCTGGGTGGGACATTGTGTCCATGATTGGCAAGAGCAACGATGATCTTCGACAAGAGGTATTTACTCTGCAATTGATTCAGAAGTTTATTGAAATCTTCAGGGGCGCGAATCTTCCTATGTGGGTAAAGAGATATCGAATCATCGCTACAAGCTCGTCTACTGGGCTAATCGAGACTTTGGTCAACGCGATTTCGCTGGACGGTTTGAAAAAACGTGAAGGCTATGTTTCCTTGCTTCATCACTTCGAAAAATCGTATGGGCCACCTGACTCGCGTCGGTTTAAGGAAGCTCAGCGGAAGTTCATTCGATCGATGGCAGGGTACTCGCTTGTGTGCTACTTCCTTCAAATCAAGGATCGGCATAACGGCAATATCATGCTGGATAACGAAGGCCACATTATTCATATTGACTATGGCTTTTTGCTTGGAATCGCGCCAGGTGGGATGCTGAGCATCGAGACAGCACCATTTAAGCTTACAGCCGAGATGGTGGAAACCATGGGTGGGCAGGATTCCGAGGGATTCAAAGAGTATGTGACGCTTTGCACGAGAGGTTTCCTTGCATGTCAACAGCACTGCGACGAAATATGTGACCTCGTGGACATAATGTCACGTCAATCGCCGTACCCATGCTTCCTGGGCATCGACGCTGAGTATATTTTATTGCGCTTGCGCTCGCGCTTCAAGCTGCTGCTATCGAAACAAGAGACTGTGGCGCATGTGCTCGCGATCATTCGCAAAAGCAACAACAACTACAGCACTCGTCAATATGACAACTTCCAGCGTATGACGAACGGCATTCTTCCGTAGGTTCAGGATCAAGAATACAGAACGTGAAATAAATGTCCTTGCGCGTTAGAAAACAAACCATAACGTGCATGCTTGAGCGCATTAGCTGCATCAGTTGATATCGTAAAAAAACGTGCCTTGCTGCCACAAAAATAACGAATGCAGGAAAGAAATCAATGTGATGTATCATTCAGCCGATTATCACAGCGACGTAGCTCTTCGAGTAGCTGCGGTCACTGACGTCAAGCTTTCTAAAACTTATACGGAAGAGAAGTAGCTGCTCAATCCCACGCGCTTCCGTAGCATACACCTCCGCGTGAATACTGTGTGAGCCACAGCGACAGCCACAATAGTAACGGCGCAAGCCAACGCAATTTTTGTGCCCGTGGAGGCATCCGAGATATTGGTAAGCGACCCGCCCGAGTCCTCTGCTACAAGCAAGTTGAAATAGACCGCAGCAACCAGTGTGACGAGCGCAAAAAGTCCCCAAATCACTCCCCAACAGCGACTTGAAGTGTGCGTCATTTTGGCAAAGACCGACGCATCACTCTCATTTACACGGCGGGAGATGAGGTCGTCCCAGATATCGTAAACCGAGAAGAGGCAGCTCATGACTCCAATAAAGAGCGTCACAAAATGTAATGGGTCGACCGTCGTCCAAATGTTCAATGCCAGCAAGCCCGCAAGTAGCACAATAAAGCAGAAATTCAAAACCCGCAAGTAGCCATTATGTGCGTAGAAGATAAATAGGAGCAGGAAAAAGATGAGGACACCTGCTGCCACCTCGGAAGCCGTCTTGTCAGCACTCGCAATCATCAACCCCATACCCCACACTGCTGATCCAAGGTACCCCTATAGTCAGCATCAAATGTTACACAACGGATCAGCACACCCACTCTATAATGCAAGAACCGTCCTCTAAACAAGAGCATCGTACAGCTGGGAGAATGACCCACTGCAATCCACCAGCAGTCTTGGTCACACCACCTTCATCCGGATGCACTTCCATCCCTTTCACCTGCAATAAGAATACGCCATAACAACAGTATTGCATCAGTTCTACTGACTATAATACATCATAACAGGTGGTTCGTACACTGCCGCACGTGAGCCACGCAGCTGTGGCGTGCCCCAGTTCATGGAGGAACACCGTCCTGCATCGATATTATCAGATCCTCTGTTACATCATAAACCTCATGAACTTACTAGAAACAATCAAAACCAACATACAAAATTTTAAAGGGGTGAAGAATCGATACGCGCCATCTACAGAGAAGAAGAAGAAGAAGAAAAGAGTTTAGTACGTAACTTAGAACTAAAAGACTTATCTCACGTGTTTCGCATACAGTTTAAAGATAACGACAGCATAGCAAAGAATGAGAAAAATGGACAAAAACTGTTTGTCATTGCAACACTCGAGAGACCAGTCAAGACTGCTCATAGTAAGTCACAATTGCTTCAAGTCGATGTGATAGCAAGTCTGGAAAGAAAGTAGTGATAGTACTCTAAAGTACAGCTAGAGGCATGATTGGATGAAAAGACGTTGAAACCCAAAACCGTTCCATATGATACACTCTGACTCACCTGAATGGATTTTCATGATGGAAAAATGGACAAAAGTCTTGGCTCGTACTTAAGTGCGTCCCTTACAAAGTTCATGTATATAAACCGATGCAAATCATCCGCCCAAAGATCAAATGGATTATCGAAAGAGTAGATAAATGACGTCAACTTTACTTGTAAATGATACACTGCTCGAGGCTAGACTAGTACAAACAGCGCAGTCTCTACTCCAATGCAATGAGAAGCAGCACCAGCTACTTTGTCGCAAGGGCAATTTGGTCAACTCAAAAGTACTGATTCAGCATTTACATACTTTTTTGTCAAAAAAATCCTGTTCTGGACTTGAATTGCATTGATGACGGGCTTCTGAGAAGCCATGGACCTCAATGGAAGTGTAGTCTTTAGCACATACATACATACTGTGCATATGTGCTCTGTAGGTAAGCCAGCGGAATCTTACTAACAAACAGCGATCATCCAAGGCAAAGGCTAGAACTATGCTACTAGCTAGCGAAGAGTTTGACTCTGACCAGCCTTCCCGTGCATGTCTGCGCTCACTTGATCGCAACTTGTAACATGCGAGTACGTCGGTTAATCGAAGCACTTCAATCTAATACGAAAGCCATTCTCGACTTGATATAAAGACATTCATTGCTTTCTAGTTGGATTTCTCATCTTCATCGTTTTCTACTGAGTCGCACCCCTTGCCAATACACTCTAGATCCTGAACATAAATCCAAGCGAGAAAAAGTATCGTCGGTAAAAGGATGATCTGAGCATTGATGATACAAAACTCGGCGATGGAATTCCCCATCTGCTTCCAACTTCCTTCATTTATCACACCAAACAGGAGCTGCACAGCCAGAACGTCCGCAAAAGACACTGCCACGAGAATATATCGTACAACTCCAGTAGACTTTCCTTGCAGCTCCTTCTCTCGCGTTGATACTGCCCTCGAAGGTAGCAGTATAATAAGACGAAAAGCACACCCGACAACAACGAAAGGGATCAAGAGCTTTAGTACCACAAGTGCATACGCAATAAAGGGAGCATGGTTTGGTAGAAAGCGTCGAATTGCTGGAATCTGGAAATTTGTCATGCTGGCCACGCTAGTGGTGCCGAAGAATGAGACTTGAGCAAAGAGTAAAAGCATCAATGCTCGCTGTACCTCACGAGTTACATAGACCCCTTCGGTAGCAGCCGCATCTGCTTCCATCATCAACCAGCTAACGAGCGCACTGCAAAGTGCCAGATAAAATAGCACTTCGTACGATGTGCTAAGCAACGCGAGTGCTGGGGTTAAAGCCAACATCACTCTAGTAAGTCGCTCAACCACCACGCGAATTACTTCTCCACTGGTTTTTTGTTGACATTCCAAATCATTTTCATCCTCATGTTTAACCAAGCGCAGCCCCGCCGTTTTGCTCTTGCATTGAGTTTCAATTATCATCCAGACCAGTGGCGTCACAGCAAGCACCCAGTTTGCCACCACGAGGAAACTCGGTGGGACTTCGTTGCGATCAAAGAAACTTGTGGTCCACTGCAGCGTTAGAAGTGCCAGCAATACAGGCAAGCCCCCACATACTAGCTTTGCTTTCCGCTGAGATATATGGGCATAAACTGTTGATACGCTACGAATCGATATACAAGCAAACGCCACTACAAGTAACGCACCAATATGAACTAGTGGCGTACTCTCGTTGAGTTCGCTTGACAAGCACGGGAAAATCGCAATTAGAAGACAGCTTGCTGACCAAGAAGTGCTTGGTGAGACTAACTTTTTCCCAAGCCAACGTTCTTTCAGCTGGATGTCACCGCTCAATTTGAACAGGTTATAGTTTGCAATGTCCGGCTGCAGTGCTAGCAGAATGAATAGCAAACTGAAAATGACACGACGTTGATAGCCGAGTGCAACAAGCTCTAGAAAAACGAAAAGGAACGCAATCTGAATACTCCACTGGCACCAAGAATCGTGTCCAACAGGAAGCACTGCTCGAAAATGATCGCGATGACTCCAAATGAACTTCCAAAAGACAAGAGGACACATGCCGTACAGATAGTAAGTAAGTGGCGAGTCAGCAAGATACCTCCACCACATCACAGCCACCACCGTCGCAATAAACTTGACACTAATCGTATGAGTGAACAACCAGCGTACACGAAATGTATCAGGGTGGAGGTAGCCAAAAAACATGACTAAAGCCCAGCCGACGTAACCAAGCACGATAGATCCGAGCAGAAAAAAACAGTCGTACGTATGGTAGTACACAATCGCGCTCCGGCAAAGCTCAATCATCTCTTGGCTCAGTATCTCTACGACACGATGCGCATCGTCATGAATTGAGTAATGCTTACCATCGCTTATGCTGCCAATGGCCTCGTCAAGATGGGCCTCTAGAGATGATACACGTTGGTGAAGAGATGAATATGGAATGAACAACAGCCCTCGATGAGCGCGTTTTACCTCTTCTTTGCGTAAGACGTGATTATACAATTGTTGTGCATTTGCACGCATGGCTTTTGCGCGATACTTGTCCTTGTTCAAGTATGTAAACGGCAGCACACCTACCGAGTTGCGGGAAAATGGAAGTCCAGCCAATGCACTTATAAGCGGTGCTACATCCGTCTGCATAACGTCCTTGCGTTTGTAGTCCAGTAGTGTCCCCCATTCACGTATAGCAGCTTGTTCCTCTGGCACCTGGGATTCCAGACGTGCCAGCACCTCCGCTCTAGATTGTGTCGGCAATTCAATAACGAATTTTGTCGCGCTTGTATTGATCATCGTCGTCATCTCAGGGCCATGAACTCCAGCACCCCACACAATCATTGCGGTCCGCGTTTTAGCTGGAGCATCATCTCCATGATCACCATGAAGGTCCATTCCATGATCTGTGCTAACCACATACGCAGTACGTCCATCATTTCCATAATACTTCTCAATCGTCTTCTCCGTCTTCTCAATCAATCTATCAACAACTGCAATATTCTCCAAGTACTCTCTCGAGTCAGCCCCATATTTTGGTCCCGTCGTATCAGTGCCAAGAAAATGGCAATAGATCACAAGCTTTTCTTGATGTAACTGGTTGTACAACTTCCGGTCCCTTGTCTCCATTCCTCGAGTAAACAACTCTTCTACCTTGCGAAAAATCCACACATCCAACAGTGTCGTATCTTTTCGTACCATCTCCACCTCTTCTTGTGCCGTGTAATGCTCCTCCGTTGCTGGTGGTGCATGTCTTGCCAGCATTGGAGCAACGTCTTTATTGCCATAGATAAAGGAACTACTGCTCTGATTGAACACCGAGTCAAATGGTACCGGGTGTTGCTTCCAGCTCTTGTAAACTGCATGAGGATCCTCATACATCCCAGCGGTCAAGGCCACATGACACGGTCGACTTTCAGTCGGCGCGTGATTGTGTGAGACGCCCCAACTACCACGATGACGCATGACATCGCCCAGGAAAGAAGAGCGATTGTCAGAACTGAACGTAACGTTTTCAGTGCTCTCTGGGTTGAGGTCGTAGTGGTCTGTAAAGCCGGCGACAACTTTAAAGAGCTTGTCGACACGACAACCATCTAGAGTAAAGATAATGACGCGTTTGGCCGGAGGAGACGAGGTGTAGTTGGCATTGGGAATAAAGGACTCGACATGTGACTGGAAGTAGATATCAAAGATACTGAAGATGCACAAGAGGTGAAAAGCTACGCCCAACAACAGCAACTGGGTGATACTGTCCATAGGCTGCAAGGCTTTTGTCTGTTGTCCGTTTATTAAATCAAAGACCAGCACCTTATTGTCCACTAATTAGATGAAGTGTTGGCGTCCTTAGTGGAAAACATGTGGAATAGAGACAGATGCGTACTTGTGCCGCCTATTGTGCACGCTCGGCAAACCAGGCGCCGTCGAGGAACAAGTTTCTTGCTGAGCTTATACGAACCTTAAAGCACGAGTCCGACTTGACAAAAGCTGTGTACACCAGTAACGAATTAGCAACGATATAGACCATGTCGCTGAAGTAAGTTGTGCCACGTACTTCGGATGATACCGTTGCTGCTATCATCGCCCAAAGATGCAAGACAACAGATCTGCAAGGTTTGCTGGGTCTCTGCAACGACGATGCCACTATGGCCAACATTGCATGGATTTCTTGATTGAATCACTGCACAAACGAGCATGGTGCAAGAACCAAATTTGTTAACTCAGTTCAATACGCTCCTCCAAAAAATGATGTTGCACACATATCGGCGTACAGCCGGCAATTACCTTCAAGTGGACACCCAGACAAATCCATATACTTGAGTTTAGAGTGGAGTTTCGCGTTACGCGTACGCTGCGCCTCTTCCGTAACATGCTGAACTTCGCAAAGTTCGCTCTCAATCACTTGGCTGACATACCGGGTCCAGATATCGTTGAGTTGCATGGCGTCACTATACTTCATCTTGCCCCTTAGCAAGTGCAAGCCAAGTTCTCTCCGTCGACGGGCACCCATCAACTTTGCAGTCTGTTTTCTGCTAGCGGATGCAATCATTTTTCCTGTGGTTTCTGCAGCTGTCGTCTTGAATGGGTTATCCAAGGACAGAACCTTATTTTTAAGACTACCAGCAACATTTGAGCCTGCTCTCGTGCCCTTCGTCACAAACTCCAGATAATTCTTCAACGTTTGATGCAATGTTCGTGGATTCGTCAATGTCAGGATTTGAGATTGCTGCAGAATATACACGTCAGCTCGACCATTTACACATTAGTCAACATGTCTTCCTAATCCTCACCAGAGAACAGTCTTTGAGCCCAAGAGCCAGCAGGTCCACATTCATCTTCTCATACACTGAGTCCATCATCGTTGCCTTTCTTTCATTCTCTTTTCCTGCCCGTTCATTGGCGTTTTTGCCATTGATTCGTCCATTTTCTCCTTTGTCGTTGCGCTTTTTGTCTTTGCGCTTCCGTTTCGATTGCTGGTAGGCCTGTTGCTTATTTTCCTTCGACAAAGCTTGCTCAGCAGCTTGCACCGTATACTTGGAAGCTACTGATTGCGCAGTAGACGCAAACGCCGCGTCCAACGACGACAAGAGGTCGGCGCGCGGCCGCTTTTTACCTCCGGTCGACATTATTAACAACTGGATAATGTTTAATCGGGATCAGATCAGAGTCAAGAATATTCAGATCTGAGACCAATCGTTGCGGCTTGCGTCTCGCCGCATATATACATATATCTAGTGTAATGGCTGATCTAGCTTAGCGCATAGCAAGGCTCTGTCGATACCTCCACGCTTGCTATCTGATCTATAGGTAATGCGCTTACAATTGCACGAATGACTGCTACATCTAAGTGAGTGATCGGGTACTTGGAGGTAATAAAAAGTAGGTTATATTGCTTGAAAATTTACATGACTGTGTGTTGACAAATGCAAAATGCCTCTCCAGCTTTCAAATATGGATTGCTTTTTGAGAAGCCGTAGTCTCCCATCGCTGCCACTGCGGCACATGATTGTTGTACCTGTGTCAGAATCCGCGAGAACTTTTGCTACTGACTGATCTGGGTTATGCTTATTGCGTCTTTATCGACTGGATTGCAGCAAAGTACTACTATTTTGAATCGCTATGATTACAACGCACTGGCAGCTTGGCTGTCGCGAAGAAATTACTCTGAAAGAGATGCAATAGCATAATTCTTGTGCTAGATCTCCGCGAAATGAGTGAGTACTCAAGTGTTATCGTCCGAATGTACAATGGCGAAAGCTTTTCGTGGGAAGGACTGATGTGACATCGATATTTTTAGCAACAAACTCCTACATGACGTCTTCGCGAAAAAGTATTGCATAGTACTTCTATCGCGTGTAAGCCGAACAAACTCAAAAACTCTATGAGCGACTACTTTCGTCGCGTTACATGCCTCCCGCCTTGACTACTTTCTTGACCCTACTAATCTTGCCTATCTTGTGCTGCTTACTCAGCACCGTCGGAGCTGCTAGTGTGTCGGTGCAGGGCTCATTCGCCAACTTCTCCAGCTCCTTCAGTGATTTAGGTTGAGCATTGAAGATAATGCTTACACGGCGCCGGAACGCTATGACGACTTGTCCAAACTCCATATATCCCTGTTGCAAGAAACGTAGTTAGAACCGTGAGGACACAAAACATCTTATACTTCAGGCAATTGCCAACTTACCGCCCCCATTTCGACGAAAAGCGAGTCCAGGACCGGAAAAAGCAGGCAAAAGATCGTCTCAAACACGTGGTTCTCCGGTTCATTGATAATCTCCTCCCAGGACTCATAAGCACTTAATGGTGTAGGCGACAAGTATGTCTTCATTGCATGTGTAGACCGAGACTTGTTGTTGACACTCTGCGCGATCAAATAACTGTAAGTTTTCATCGCATTTGGAGAGCAGCCTTCCGAATGTGTACCAGCGTCACCCAAACCGAGCGTTTCAGTCAGAATCGACGCCACATTGATGCATGCAATCGCCAGTGGGTAATTCCTCATGTTCCCTTCGCTTACACCATGCCGCGTACGATTCAATATACGCTGGAACTCGTGCGATGGATAGCTGGCAAAAAAAATGAGACAATATAGACCAAGTAGGCCACTTGAACGAAGATCAGAAGCTGGGCCTCCTCTTTGGAATCCAATCTCCAGCCACTTTGGATCATTATTTGATCGAAACGGTTCGCGTGGGAAGACGAGTTTCCAGAGTTTCATAATCATCATGTTCATCGTCTTCTGATCTCTCGGTGGTCCATTCGACTCGGGCGTCACTTTAGCTTTAAGCAGTTTTCGTAGCCGAGCCACACATGACTGAAAAACGTAGCGGATCTTCGCTCGCTCCTTCAGCTCAATCTCAATGATCTCCGAAGGCAGACACTTAGCGGCTGCAATGGCATCATACCAAGCGTGACACTCTGCTGAAGATGTACAACCTAGCGCCAACCGTCCAATATAAAGTAAACGCTTTTCTTCTCTGATTGAAACACGGAGCCCCTTGAGAGCGACGACATACCATGGACGTGTGCTGCTATCTCCGTCTGCTGGATAAAATACGACACAGTTTTCGTGAAGGCATACAAATAAGCGGCCACGCAAGGTAGCATGTGGCCCAGCATTCTTCGCCTCAAGACGACCAGTTTTGAGTGTCAAGCGAGATGACCGTTTTTCAAGGTCGTTGCCTGATACCACATTGTCAACAATCCGTCGCAAAATCGCAAATAAGTCATCACGTGCTTCCGCAGTGTCTAAGAATATCGGCCAGGATCGATGTCGCCCGTGGAAATCAATAATGATGCCATACTCCTCACCACGGGAACGCACACTGCTCACCGATACACCATGGATATCCGTAAAATGAAATGTTGTAAGAGTTTCTCCTCTCCGTGAGTTCGTAAGGGTCTGCTCAGCAAAGTTCAGCTCGAGGACTCTAGTTTGAAGTCGATTCCGGGAGCTGCACTTGCGTACCCCGTAACGAACTAAGAAACCCTGAATTCCCGCTTCATGCCACAGCTGCTGGAAGTCAGTTGCGCCATCAAATGTCGAGCGATTCCCCGAATTGATTGCAGCTTGAATCGCACACACCCACTGAGTCATCTCATAGCTCGAGGCCGCTACCATGTAGAATTCACGTCGTGAAGAATCTGCAGATGTCACGACCTTAAATTCATGTTCTTTCGCATTCTTACCCGTGACAACCATGCAGCGGGATGTCGAGCTGAGATCAACTACTTTAGTTGGAGAACCTTCGTCGCTGTCCTTTGCGTACGTCAGCATCGGTCCTTGTGGCATTTTACGCAGCGTAAACCAGCGTTTACGATAGCTGGGAACCACTTCTCCACGTTTCGAGATCCATCCCTGTCGGATTATATCTTCTGACGTGGACATCCTCTGCATAGTAGATTTACGATACGATGCCAAAGATTTGCCTCCACCTTCCTGATCTTGCACACTCTGTCCAAGTCGTTCGAGATAGATCTCTCGTCCGAACTGCCGGTCAAAGTGAGCAAGATCATTCATGGTAAAGGGTCGGTCAATTTGCTCCTCAGCGACCATACGTGACTCAACATTCAGCGATTGAGTAATATATCCAGCTAGTGACGCCTCAATGCGTTGTTCGTAGGTTCCCTGGTCTCCGTCACTCAGCCGTCGCGTTGAGCGTTTCCGATGTGGGGACGGTGCTGAAATGCTTTCGACACTCAGCTCTTCTTCAGATGCAAACGACAACGACCTGTCTGTATATTCACTGAAGCTGCGACTGCTCGGCGACTGTCTGGCGTATTTACTGCTACTGCTTGGCTGTATGGCGCTCAAAGCGGTCGGAATGCGTTCTTCGATCGGACCAATAGTATCGTCGTCCAATTCGTCCTCCTCAATGCCGTATCCCATCAATCCCGTCGGTCGTCCATAACATTCTATCGTGTCACTATTATCAGGCGACAATCTGACAGATTCGCGACGTCCAAAGACCAAATCCCTGCCAATCATAGAGCATCCTAGCATGTTGTCCTGTGTGTAGAAACTCGCTTGCACTAATTCGGTATCACGTTCAATGTCTGCACCAGCATCTTTCTTGATCAAATTCTACAGGAAAACGATAAAGATATAACAGACATACGAGTCAAAATAGTTAGCATCCAGACAAGTCGATTGTATCAATTAAAAGCAGCATTATCACTTACGTCTAAGGACCAGAGCAGATCATCAGACACTTGGTCGCTCATGCTGCTATGCGCAGCCTCGACGACTACGTTGTTAGTAACTAATAGCAGAAAATAGTGGCCGAGTGCCAAAGAGAGGAAAGGGGAACTGTGGCTCACGAACGTGCACTGCCCGTTCTAACGAGCACTGAGCGTTACCAGAATAGTCAGCGCAGCGACGTCACAACTTTTTATGGACGTACTAAATCGATTACGCAAAAATTAAAAACGGTTTTAAGAAATCACTTTTATGTATATTCTGTGACAAAAGCGACAGATACATTACCAAAAACTAGTTGGCGTAGATACAGGCTAAAGACTGGAAAGAACTAGGGTGCTAGTAGTCAGTAATTTACTAAACTCCCCAAACCGTCTCTTGCTTGTGATTTTAGATTTGGTCACTATCCAAAAATATTCTCTTGGCATACAATCAAATACGTTAAAATTGACTGATGCTATCAAGACATGAAAGCGACTTCACCTCGTTGTCTCTCACACGTAAAAAAACATATCTATGTAGCCGCATTCAAAAAGGTAGCACAGCTAGATTATGCGAGATTCACCTTAACCTAGTTATAAGAAGATTATATAGCCCCGCAGCGCGATAGGAAGAAATGAGAAAAACTTCCTGAGAAGAACATTTTGCGCGTCAAAGTCATATTTGGTGATATTTCTGAGCTAGGGCACCGATGTAATAAGTGGACGCGATATGAACTTACTGCTAGGTTGCTTAAAGGCTCCGTTCCGATGAACCACTGGCCTCAACCAAACCAGGCGGGAAAAGCTATCGCCAGATTACCGGCAGTTGAATCAGTAACGGACAGCATTTTCATATATACGTCAGAACTTCTTTGCATAGACTTGAGTTTTCTATAAAGCAATATCGAAACCAACGCCGGTGGTGAAAGCGGCTTGTAGGCTTCTGCTTCTGACGTTTCAAACGAGGAGAGTCTATCTACATCCGAGAGTGAGCTATGCAGAGATGATGTATTGCAGCAGTCACTCTGTCGTAGTAGCGCTAAGCGTTAAAGTGGATGAAGTAGCATCGGGTAGACTTGCTGAAGTTGCGGACGACAATATCTTGATAAAGTAAGTGCAATTTTTAATATTTAAAAAATGGTGAGCTCCCGGAACAAAAAGACGGCAACGTATGGAGCGTAGATTAGTTTTGCTACAGGTCATTCATTGGCCGATGCATGGTGAATTGGACGATAATTAAAAAGAAAAAATTTGCACTACTTCGTAGACTGTAATAGCGCCGAACTGCGTCTTAAAACGCAGTACGCAGAGCCCATAAGAAAGGACATCTCGTAGTTTTACGTAGTCCTTTTTTTCCTACATGTTCTCTCTGGGAAGATTTTACAAAAAAATTCAAAGACTCTGTTAATGAGACAGACGAGACATGACAAATGGCTTTTTATAGCACATCCCTCCCTCCGTTGAATTATGGGTCGGCGGACGATTACACTTATTACTTAACAGAAGTTATTACTTCTCGGATTATGTGTATCGTACATAAGAGAACTTTCATAATAAAAAACGGACCTTGTAACGGGGTAAGCCCGTAACATCATATTGACACTAACAATAAGTGGCAATAAGAATATTATAACAACTAATAATATTTGACAATATTATCTTGCTTATAATATTGTCCTCGCATCTCCTAGAAGCTGGAGATGCCCTCTGATTGATTGATATCGTATATTTTTTCAAACAAAGGCGCTGACCAATGACCGATGGACGCGTGCAAAGAATGGCGGGCACGAAGGTAGCATACACATTTGTACTTTGATATAGTTAAGGCAAGGTTATTAATGATTTAGTTTTAAAGATAGTTTAACTATATTTAATACAGGTCTCTTTTCTTTCTCAACTAAGCACTTGTTTAGTTGATAAGCTTCCTCTGTCTCTTTGTGTAAGAGAGATTTTGAGGCACCTGCCTTCATTATTATCATTGAAGGTTGATCATACGAAAGTATAATTAGGAGGGTGCCCCATTACAGACCTGGGCAACAAGACCATCCCCACTTCCCTCTTAAACAAAACAGGCTCTAGCCTCAAGGCTCCGACTGCTGACAGAACGTAAGTCCTAGTCTCCTTCGTTCATTTGACTCGAGACTAAAGGTGTGAGACATGTCGTCAATTTTTTCGAATAGTAAAAGCTGTATATAATTTTACAGTGTTTAACAGCGTCTTACCTGCTGATGTGCTACCTAGACAGTAGAAGATAACGCAAATTCGGCTTACCAATGGACAGCGTTTTCAAATTTGCATGCACAAGACTAATAATCCAGAATTATCTCAGACGGCACTGGCTAAATGAGCAACGAAGAAGTTCGGCCTTGCCAAAACGCAGTCATAGGCATTGATCAGCACGATAATGCAAAAGCGGGCTAATCTGGAGATCATGGATCCACAGCAGTCTAAATGCGAAGCGTCAGCGGCTGGCTCAATATCCTATACTAGAAGAAGCTTTGGCTCTTTGGGTCCTGCAGTGTCAACACCGCGGACTGATTATCACTGGAAAACTTATTTGCGCGAAGGCTAAGCAACTTGCTTAATCGCTTGGAATACTAGACTTTCACACACGGATGGCTTTAACAATTCTAACAACGTCACAAGCTCCGTGCTATTCGCATATATGGCAAAAAGGTTCGGTAGAGGTGAAGGCTCTTACTGAAGATCTGCCTGATATAAAGAAGGTCATAGCCGAGCACGCTAAAGTGTGACATTTACATTTTGGATGAAACTGGTATCATTTCCCTGTCTAATTATTACCTATAATGGAGTCTTATTAAAGTTGATTAATTTTATTAGGACTGTTCTACAGCATGACACCTAACAGGACTATTGCTCAGCAAGAGATTGAGGACACAAGAAAAACAAAGTAAGATAATGTTCAGATAGCTAATTGTTATTTACTAACACAGTGTATGCGCTGACATCATCTGCAGACGCAAATATCTATTGTTCTCACTGCAAACTTGCCGATGGATCTGACATGCTGCAGCCTGTCGTTATCGGAGAATCGGAGAATCGAAGAAGCCCCTCGTACTTTAAAAATAAGAAGTCAGGCCAAGCACTTGGTTTTTTCGTACCGAAACAACACAATGGCTTGGATGACGGGCGTGATCTTTCAGGAATGTCTTGCAATTGTGAACAAAACAATGAAGGTGCGTGGCCAGCTAAAATAATTGACTTCTTTTCTCTATTGATTCTGAAATTACACTTCAATCCGAGCAAAAAAACATTCTTCTTTTGCTCGACAATGCTCCGTAGATGGCCTGGAATTAACAAATGGCAAGGTACAGTTGCTTCCTCCAAATACGACATCCAAGATTCAGCCGACGGATGCCGGCATCATTGCAGCATTCAAGCGGCGGGATCGTCGCTACCATTTTCAAAATGCAATCGATTGTGACGAGCTTAGGGAGGTCGAAAACATTTACAAAGTCGACCAAATTACTGCCATGCGCTGGTCGATGGCTGCCTAAACCGAGATCTCAGCCATTACCATTGTCAATCGCTTTAATCACACTGGGCAGTATTCGAATCTTCCCGTCATTTAACTGCTGTAGATATGAAGAGAAACAGTGATGGCGCGAAGGAGGTTGAAAAAACGAAAATTTAGCTGGATCAGAAACTGAGAGATCAGCTAGAGCAGCTGCGTGTCCGGGATCCCATGACGATTTCGAATCTTCTCAGATACATCGGAGAGGATAAAGCTTCTCAGCTGGACTCCCTGAGAACGAAATCCTGCAAGATGTAAAGGAGGAACAGGAGGAGGGTGGAAATAGTGAAGACGTGGCACCTGTCGCAGACAAGTTCACCCGAATCGAAATGATCGATCTCCTTCGTGGTACGTGCTTCCTGCTCAATGTATCCCAGGAAAGTCACCAAGCTGCTTATAGAGTTCCCCGCGACCTTCAGCTTGATATTCGCAGCGCACCCACCACCCAAACTACCCTCGACATGTGGTTTAAGTAGGTTTATCGTCAAAAATATAAAATTTGCTTATTTCATAAAGTTATATTGCCCTGGCTGATTATGAATTACAACTTAGCAATCATAAAACGAGCTTGGTGAACACGAAGTTAAATGAGCTACAGCAGGTTAACACTAATCGGAGGATAACGTATTGGAGAGGGGTCTGTATAGTTTTTTTACTAAATGAAGACGGCGGCAAAGCTGTCAATGCAAATTAGGCAAACCATATAATTGTGACCTTTAGATTATATTGATTGATAGAAAACATAATATCTAATTAATGTGTTAAATCATGTTGCATTTTTACAATGGCGTCGGTACAGGAAAGGCCCGTTCATTAAATAACATGTTTTGTATCCAATTAAGAAAATCTTGTTTGGAAAGGGACATCGTGAGCAAGCACGTTAACGAAGCAGTAGAGATTTACAATTACAAGGCGCCTAAAACTCTGGATGGAACAATTTTAACGGGTTATTCTTGCACTACTACAAAATTTTACGGCGAAGTAGCCATGTAACCCACCCTTAAGTAAGTGATACACACAAAGTGTATTCACATTGAAAGGGATGTTTCCGCTGAGCTTTTGCTCAGCGCGGCTGTGAACAAAAATGTCGTCAAAGTAGCTCGGTGCAAAATCGCGAAGCGGGCGAAGTACTTGTGTCACCATCCAATTGAACGTAGCTGAAGCGTTCTTAAGACCTTGTGGCATGACTAGTCACTCCCAAAGCATATCGCTTGGGGTGCTGACAGCAGTGAACGGAATGTCACTGTCCCTCATTAGGATCTGATAGAAACCGTCTGTCATATCTATGGCGCTGTAGATCTCGCTCCCGGGCATGGTATTTAATACCATGTCTTTTCGAGGGATAGGCGTTTGAGCCGGGATCGTAGCTGCACAGATTTTTAGCCAGAGTAAGACTTTAGGCTGAAAGCCTCTTAGTTCTATACAGCTAAATCGAGTTAAGGCTAAAAACCACTTAGTTCTAAGGAACTAATTATACGACTTTAAAGTCACCCTCTTCTAAGGAAGTAGG